GCCGCTATCTAAATAGAAAGAAGGAAATTGAAAACATAACTCAGATAAACTTTTTTGTACCAGTCGTCAATGTCTAGTCTTGAAAGCAGCATTGGTTCAAAGTTGCACATTAATGGATATGTGTCGCTGTGTTCTTCTTTGTTTCTCTTCATATCTCGATTTCTCTAAATCAAATTAGCTTGACTAGATAACATTTTAATTTCAAAAACTCACTTTAAATTCTTCATTGCCTCTTGGATTCAAAGCATCTCGCAAACATCCAATATCCCAATTTAGCGAAGTCTAAATGGAGAAATAGGTAAATGTTACGAAAAGTTCAAAAATACCACAATGCTTTTTGTCATCACTGCAAAAATCCATAATAATTCCCCGGCGATGCAGTTCTCGAAAAGTTCTCGTAAAAGTTTACTTTCTAAAACAACTTTCATGTCATAACTATTTCGATAAAATACCCTCTGCATCTTTGCTTCCCATCAATTGCTTGAGCTTTTGATTAACTTCCCCCAATTTGAAACTGGATTGCGGGCTGAATCTCTCACTAATCGGAATGATCAACTCGCGAAGGCTTTTGTAGTTGTTCTAAAGCTTAATATAAGGAGTGAACAAAAAAAGTTTACCCCAGAGTCAGATATGATGATATCAATGACTTTCAAATCCAAGACTCTTGCAATCTTTTGACGTAGACGGAGCTAGAACAAGAGGAAAGCTGCAAAATTTTACGAAAAAAATCACCACTCCTGATCGAAATTCGTTTAGCTCTTCGTTTTCCGCAGACCGCAAGAACTCTCGAACATTCGTCGCCTTCTCACGCTCAATTCCATGATTATTTATGAATTTGTTCAATGCCTCTGTCTTCATTTTGTTGTTGACCGTATGTCGAATCTCGAGGAGCGCATTACAGAAGGAGCTGAACGGTACATCATTGTCCATTTTCTGAAAAATATAAAAGTTCTCGTAAAAGTTTACTTTCAATAAAAGTTATCAATGTGCAAAACATTGCACCATAAGAGTGTTCAAGCTGAGCTGTCTTGTTTTCAAATTTAAAAAAAAAATACTACGATGTTTGCTCTTATCAACTATTTCGCTCCCTTATAACTTATTCACAATTCAAACCTGGCAGAACTTGTTCTATTTTGCAGCTGTTTGTCTCTTTTTCCCTAATTCTCTCTAACTGGTGGAACAAGAAACGCGCCAAGGCTGCTTTAAAGACGCTTTATACAATGTTCCGTGCGTTTTCTCTTGAAAAAATGTGCCCCAAGTTTCTAGCTTAGTTGTTGCTAAAATTAATTTGCAAACTTCTCACTGATTTTTTTTGTTTTCGATTGCTAAAGTTTCAAGAAATTATCTTAAACATAGGCGTTTATGCGTGCAATTCTTATAAGCGACAACGTGTATTATCGTTTTCTTTTTTTCAAAAACGCTCAACTTTATTTTGTGTATTAAACTTTTTGATTTTCAGGATGTCGGGCAAGATTGAAGTTCCATTGACCACAGCGGAACGCCTCGAGCAATACAAGGAAAAATTCGGCGATGCTCTTCGCCACCCCGATTCTCCCGATTGGTTCAATCGCGAATACAACGAAAAGCTCAAGAAGGAACTTCTCTGGGCTGCACCATATGACGCTCGTTTCCCACAGGTTAATCTTTGCTTGTCGAAATGTAAGAAGCAATTCCATATTTTTAAAAGCGCCGCTAATTAACCAATAATTTTAGGTTCGCAAGCAGCGTCAATGCTTCGCATACTACGTCGATTTCCACCGTTGCAAAGAGTTGATGGGCGAAGACTACAAGCCTTGCAAGTTCTTCCAGAACGTCTACAAGGTAATATTTTGCATCATAGTCAAGTAAGAATTTCTGTTAGCGGATTCTTTGAAGGCGTTTTATAAAGTTTAATGCTTTTAATTGGACCTTTGTAAATAAATACCCTTTTAAAATACTTAAAGCCACTTTTTTTTCTCAAGTACTAACATTTTTTAAGGATTTCTGCCCTGGATTCTGGGTTGAGAAATGGGACGAGCTCGTTGGAGAAGGACGATTCCCTGCCAAATTCGATCGTTAAATCCGTTAGATTAAATAAGTGTTCATAGTGTTTTTATTTTTTTACGTGTAGCAGAACTATTGTAAGATTGAAATAAATACATTTTTCGAAAATTGAATTTTTCTTTAATCGTTTTCACGATTCTATATTTAGTGCAGAAAAGTAGCCAAATGTTTTAACGAGCTTAATGATCGACTTTTTGTTTTAGCCATGACAGAATGTACAAGGGTTAGTGACAAAGAAATAGAGCGACGGGAGAGTTACATTCGTGCTGGAGATCGACCAAGAGAGCTCCTCGATCCTTTTACTTGGGAGTATCGATGGAAGGTATTATATTTATCCGTTACAGTAAATGTAATGCAGTTTCCGAATACTTCTATGGTAGAATTAATGAACAAAACACGTTAGTAATTTTGCAGTCAGAAAACGCATTAATAACTCTAAACTTTTAGTCAGGCACATTGTTCACTGCGATGGGTTTTGCTTCGATTTATGCTTACAACACTTGGTATAGGAAACCGTGGTACTTTGGTATGTTTTTATTTTTACGGCTAATAATTTTAATCTTTAGGTATTTTCCCTCGTCTTGCTCTAGTTGGAGCAATTGGGGCACTAGCCTATGGTGCTGGAGCGATGCGTGAACACCACAACAAAACTCGTGATGCCGTTATTGAACATTACATGCAGCTACATCCGGATGATTTTGACCATTTTAAAGATCGTTAGTTTCCTTCGGTTGTTTCATTTTCATAACCTTTTTTAAGGTAGTGGTCGTGCCTGGTCTGAAGTTCTTCTCCCGTGGTATCCAAAGCGTGCTCAATATTACAAATTCGATTGATTTTCTCGACTGTATGTATGACGTATGTAGATAGTTCAGGAATAAACACTTTATTATTATATTATACGAGACACTTCAGAAACAAACGTTTGTTATGTTTAAAGTTTCGCTGTCGCTAGTATAGTTTTAATAGCTACAACAAGGACGGGTAAAAAAAATGAATTAGTTGTTGAGTTTTGTGCTTGTCACATTCACGACACACGACAGCTCGTGGGAAGGTGAGCGCCCCCCGATTCGTATCCGCTTGATTGGCAACCGCTATTTCAAGGACAGAGCACAAGAGTCGCCCTATCAACGTCTCGTATTGTGTCTTGTTAATTTTTTGTCATTAATTTTCCGGTTTGCTCAAAAGTTTCTTCCTGATTTTGCAAAAAAGATAGATCTATTGATTTTTCTAGGTAAAACTTTTGAATTACGTGCATTTTTAAAATTAGCCCCCTAATTTCAACACCTACGTAAGGTGCGGGCTAAATATCTGGTTTGCATTCTTTCTTGCCAGGGATAATTCGATTGATTTTGCGCAGCCGACGTCTTTGTCCTTTATCTCAAATCACTTTCTACCTTTATTGATTCAATTTTCATATCATCCTAGGGGTTTGAAATCGAAAATTACCTCTTCATGATAAATAGATAAAGATCATGAAGTCTCGACAGTTATTCTCGATTCTGAAATTTTGAGAATTGGACATGTACTTATTGTGTCACAGATTCACCCACTCATTTTATAACTAATAGTAATCGTAAACAGAGCCATTATAAGGTTTGCGGTTAAAAATGCAGGCCCAACGATTTAATCCTTTTAGTTGTCTGCACCTCTTGCGGCAAATTTTCCCCATTACAGCCCAAGGCTGACTGATTTTGTTTTTGTGGATCATAAGAGTGAAGAATTTATCGTTTGAGAGAAAAACGAAACGTGAGAATGTAATGATAGAAATAGAACTCACTCATCACGTTTTGCCCCCTTTTCACGATCACTTTGATTCATGCAAATGTGTCGGGTGTGGTCGGAGTCTCGTCTTGTTTCTTTTCCATTTTAACTTGTATTGGAAACGAGATGAGAGATTTACGATCATGTAATTATTCGAAAAAGTCATTCTGCTCACTTTTTGTCACAGCTTTTTTATAAACATTTGTTTTTTTTGATCAGTAAATCGATTGAAGTTCCTTTTTCAAACACAACTGATCAACTTTCCACTCAAAATAAAAACTAACTCTTCTAAATCTAGCATATCCGGTTTTGATCTATGTCGCTGATCTATATTGTCCCAAAGTTCTCAGTTCTCAGATTAAAAGTTTTAAATTTAACTATTTCAATAGTATTTTGATTTTAACAACAAGTTAGGGGGACTAATCGAAAGCAACGGGGAAATGAGATGTTTGGAGAGAAAGACTGTCTGTCAGTCTTGATTGACGAGAAACTGATTGAGCAAGGTCTCGATACCCTCTTTTTTTAAGCATCATTTCCATTTCAATCTTTTGTTTGAGCTTCTTTGTGTTGTTTCTTTTTCAAATCAGGACTTTGCAATTGATTTTTAGAGATCTTGGTATTCGGCGCTTGAACGTTTCCTTATCCAAAACATCGAAAAATCGGTGAAAGCAAGATCGGCAAACTGGTTGCCTTGAGGCATCGTCTCATTCAAAGGGCACCGCAATGGGCAAGCGGCCAGGGCCCCCACCCAGCCCTCAGCCCAGCCATGATCACGTGGGAATATTCAGAATATCTACTCATTCATTGTCTTTCTAGGATATCATCGCTAAAGATTCGGAAAACGGCGATGGGGTAAACGAGGATCCAATGCCAAATCCTCATCCTCGTATCCTCATCCCTGAGGAGGAGAGCCAACAAAATGATTTGCAAGAAGAGGCTTCTGAAACGGATGCCTTTCTCTCAACGGTTGACCCTGTTGAAGAAGCACCTCGAAAAGTTTACCAATAATTTTTTCCTAATTCACAAAAGCCCAATTTCACAGATCACACTTTTTCCATCTCCGATCCCGCAGAAACTATCAACCCAACGGAAACAAAGCTCTCGAGAAAGGCGGAGAAAGCACAGCAGTCGTAAAGAAGAACAAGACGAACACTATATTATTGAGATTGAAGAGGAGGTTTGTGAAATAATCAATATAAATTGAAGAAAATTTAGACGATACCAATCAATTGGAAAGAGAACCTCAAAGTTCAATGGCGCGAGTTCTGGGCAGACCTTAGCAATACAAAGCGTTAGCCGAAGTTTTCAAAAAGGAATTTATAGACCAATTGCAGAGATGGTTTTCAATTGGCCAGAGAATACACCACTTGAAGTGCACGAGCTGGTTGGACCCGAGCGTTTCGATCCGGGTCTTCCCAAATATCAGATGCCTTTCTTCTGGAATAGTAGACGAATTCCCGCCACTCCTTCTTGGTAAGTAAATAAACGATTATAAACAGATCGATTATAAACAATCTCTTTTTTTAGGGCATTAGTTGTTTGCGCGATCGAGATGGTTTTTGGGTTTATCTGTTGGTTCGGCAATGTGCTACATTTCCTTATGTACGTGCCCTTTTTATGAAGAGAAAAGCCACTCCACTCTTCATTTTTTCGGCTACTCTCCTCCAGTTGACTATTTTCTTTTCAGCAAAAGTTCTTTTAAACAGCAAGCAATTATTATCAATAATTATTAGGTTCTCTTCGTGATCTCAATTTATGAAAGGCGAGCTCGGCTTCTTCGCTTGCAACTTTTGTTTCAGGTTGACAAATAAAAAGCTGAAAAGCTGAAAAGCTGAAAATCTGAAAAGCTACTCTTTTACAGTATACAACTTGTGTTTTCTTGTTACTTGATGCTTCTTTTGCATTAGCTGCTGATTTTGGTGGCTATCACGAAGAGGTTTCTAATTGAAGTGAGATTTCAGAGCAAAAGAATTTATAGAACCTTTACGCTCGCCGAAATCCGCCAATCATTCGATTTCTCGCCTTTCTTTCACTACTTTTTCTTTTTATTCAACTTTATCTTCGAATGATGACTGTTCAAGTGTACAACTTCATCAGCGATAATCGAAAATTTCAGTAATACGAGTTATCAGAAACGAAATCTCGGCTTTTAGTTTAGCGTTGCACAACAGCTGGTGGCGTTACAGGAAACGCGTCTATTTCTCGTTTTGCTCAATTCGAAACGCTGAAATGAAAGACGAAGAAACGGAGGCGAGAAAACATTTTTTAGGGATAACGAAACGAAACGAAACGTTTTAGAAACGAAAACACGATGCAGTGAAAAGAGAGGAAGTGAGAGATGCAGAAGTTTTTCGAAAGATTCAACAAGAAAATCTTGTCACTCTCATTACCGTTGATCCGTTGATCGAACCATATCCTCATTTCACGCCGTATCAGGTAACACGAAAAATGCGAAATGTTTATACTGTTGTATACGTGTTTCCTTGATATCCTTGATGTTGATGATACAATTTGAGTCGTTGACGTAGTTGATTTCATAATTTATCTAAACAAACGAAATATTGAGCAATATTGGTACTAGCCTAATTGGGAAGGGGCGCTATTTTTTTCTCCAAAATCACTTTTTCTAGGGTAATTTTATATGTAGATTCCGAAAAACACAATGAGAGCTTGGGAAAAGGCGTTTTAAGCCGAGTTTCGGGGCTCCAAAGTGCGCGCTTTTATCGTGTACTTCACTAAATGGAGCTCAAGCTATTGACTATTGAGGCACTTTTCAAGGTCCAAACTAAAGCCAAAACCATTTTTAACCACTAAATATGCATTTTCTAATTTAAATTGACTGGTAGAGCCAAAAAAAATTGAAAAAATATTTTTTGAGATTTTGGCTCATGTGGTCATGATCGAAATTTGGAAAAAAAAATATTTTTCAAATTTTACTCTAATTGGATCAGAAACGTAATCAGTAGGTTCAATTATGCCAGAAGAAGTGTTTTTGGCTTCAAAAATGCTTTGTGAGACCATTTTTAGACCTCTCCCCTATGTGTATCCCTCTCATCACACTTTGGAGCCACGAAACTCGGTTTAAAACGCCCTTTCCCAAGCTCTCGTTGTGTTTTTCGGAATCTACGCATAAAATTACCCTAGAAAAAGTGTTTTTGGAGACAAAAATAGTGCCCCTCCCCAACTAGGCTAGTACCGAACTATTTTTTAAAACAAAACAAAACAAGGTTTTAAATGACAACGAATTTTAACCTAAGAGAAGCAATGCTGTGAAATTGCAGACAAATAGGGGTACGGTAAAAGCTCCGTACTTTAGAAAACACTCAAATTAACGAATAAACAATCTGTGAGAAATGATTTAAAATAACTATTATATTCTATTATATTCTATTATATAATATAATAGATATTATATTATATAATTTATAGGCACCACTACTACCAGTGAATCGAGGTCAACCGCCGTTCTCAATGATTGTAAATCTAGAGGTAAACGTTTGAAAAAGTCAAAGTTGAATCGAATTTCAGAGTGACGTCGATTCAATCCCAGGCTTTCCTTTACAAAGGTGAGAAAGATAAGTGGATATAGTCAACAATAAGTATTGTTCAGCTCTACATCAACACCTTCGATCGCCTCATTGAGTACAATGGCAGTCCCATTGAAACGGCAAAGACAAACGAGAGGGGTCACCGTCTCTGCCTCGTCAACTCCAACACAAATAAGAAGGGTACCACATCGATCAAAAGTAAATCTATTATATATAAAAGAGCAGTGTCTGTCTGTCTGTACTTTTTCAACATTGAGTGGATTAAACCCGAACCCAGACAAGAGCCGTAGACAAGCGCGCTAGCGGCTGCGCCACTGCGATACAAATCATGCGTTGCCCAAAACATTTAGTCAAGTCGATTTTTTTGATAAACAAGCGTCTGTAATTGAAATGATACACCTTCTTATTGAAATCGAAATAGCTGAAATCGCTGAAATCGTTCTCAATCTAGAGCCGTCCACGAGAAACGATTGTGCCAAAGAAACGTCTCCGTATCGATAGTGAGGCGAATGGGCAACGAAGAAGGGAACATGGCATTCGATTGCAATTAGAGGTAAAACAAAACGATTAAAAAGTAGCCAATAAAACTGAATGAAATTTCTTGAATCCAGGTGGATGGAGACTCAGTGAGACGATTACTCGATAGCCGAACTGGAGAGAAACTCCCAGCCACACTAGCTCTTTCTTAATCTTTCTTAATCTTTCTTAATCGATTTCTTAACAATTTTCAAATCTTAGAAATCACTAGAATTTAGATTTCTATTAAAGAATATTTATTTTCTCTCTTGTTTTGTTTTTCTTTTGCACAATTTCAAATGATCTTCTTCAGAGCTTATTTCTCGGTTTGGGAGTGGGACAAATGCGACCTTTTGTATACGCATTTGTCTTTTGTATACGTCTTTTGTATACGTCTTTTGTATACTTTTGTATAAAAGTAGACGCATTTGTCCCACTTTTTGTCGGTTTTTGAATAATTGTGTACTTTTGAATGAAATAAGAGCTAATTCATTCTTTTAAAAAAAAAAAATCGATTTTTGATTTGTTTAATGAATTTATTGCAAAGAAAGATAAATAAAAACACTTTTTTTTTGCTCAATTTTTACTTTACAATACAAGTTATAAGATTTAAAAACTAAGAAGTCTTTTTGTTTAGAAGTATTTTTGTTTAGAAGTATTTTTGTTTAGAAGAATTTGCTTTTTGCTTTTTGCTTTATACATTTTCATTCTTGTAAACAATGTTTCCTCGTTTTACAACATGAGAAATGATTGTATTGTGCGCGGCAAATCTAAAAGGAAAAATATTGAAACAAAATTGATGAATAGGGAAACCTATAAATAAGGTGCTCCCATTTGGGTACTTTGAGAATGAGAAGATCGCCGACTCGACCTTTATGAAGAGAACCGTGAGTAGCACCTGGAATTTTAACGGAGTTTCATTTCTCGAAGTTTATCTTGGCTCTTTTCGATAACTAAAGATTGAAGACTTTAACCGTAATGAGTATTTTATAAAACTTTATACAATACTTTATACAATACTTTATACAATACTTTATACAGTTTCGTGTTGATCACCAACCAACTTTTAACATTTACGTTTTCCCCCTTTTTTAAGCCTTTTCGTTTCACGACTTCTTTTAGTTTTGATGTTAATTCGAATTGTATTAATGATAGTTTTGTTTAATAACTCAATGTAGATCAAATTTCAAATACAATACAATTTTCCCTGAAGCTATAGTAATAGTATTGGCTATCAGAAGCTATAGTAATAGTATCGGCTATCAGAAGCTATAGTAATAGTATCGGCTATCAGAAGCTATAGTAATAGTATCGGCTATCAGAAGCTATAGTAATAGTATTGGCTATCAGAAGCTATAGTAATAGTATCGGCTATCAGAAGCTATAGTAATAGTATCGGCTATCAGAAGCTATAGTAATAGTATTGGCTATCTTTTTCAACAAATTTTTTTCGTTCTCATGTCTTTAAGCCGATTAGACTGAACTCTTTCTTAGCTAAAATCCAGTAAAGAGCATTCTCTAACACACAGTTCTTAACCCATTCTTAACCTAACGATTTCTTAACCTATCAAGAGAAGGTTAAAAGATTGGAAAGGGGAAAGTGCTCATGAAACCTCACCGCGGACTCATCCGTGCCAATAAAGATGAGCCAATAAAGATGACGCTATTCTATTTTAAATTCACGAGAGTAATGTATCATTTTAAAATCCGAAAGATCTCTAGCTTAGAGAAAGAGCATAGAGAATTCAAAGAAACCTCTTCCAATCGAATGAGCTGAATTGATAGTTGCAGCTGATAAAGCCTCCGCAAGTGAGAGTCTCATTGTCACACAAGCCATATGCATGATCGCTGCCATCGCTGGACACCAAGCATTTGGGTTAAAATCAGAACCTAAAACCTAAATTTGTTTTTAAAGTCATTTTTTTTCTCACCTAAAGCCACAATAACGCCTTCATTAATCATTTTACGAGCAGGTGGTGGCGTAAGTCTCAATAGGAAAGCAGTTGACGGAAGAAGCACTGCCACTGATCCTATAAATGCTATTTGTTTTTTTCAAGTCTTGTTAACTTTCAACCTGATTGAGCCATTTGTTTAATTCCATCATCTGAAATCTCTTCTAAATGAGACATCGCTTGTACCTGAGTATTGTAAAGTATAAGGTAAAGATCGATTTGTGGGGGTGGGACAAATGCTACCTTTTTTTTTGCGCACCTGGACATTTGCGCACCTTTTTTGGCTGGAAAAGGCCTTAGGAAAGGTCGTAGAGCTTCAAAAATGTTTTCATAGAAGGGAATCGTATGCGTAGATTCCGAATTTCGACAAATCAGACCTCGCTGACACGTTAAATTTGGGCTAAGAGCAAAAACTACGCAACTTAATGCTTTTCCGCAGTTTTTGCATTTTAGCCCAAATTTGACGTGTCAGCGAGGTCTGATTTGTCGAAATTCGGAATCTACGCATACGATTCCCTTCTATGAAAACATTTTTGAAGCTCTACGACCTTTCCTAAGGCCTTTTCCAACCAAAAAAGGTGCGCAAATGTCCAGGTGCGCAAAAAAAAGGTCGCATTTGTCCCACTCCCCGATTTGTTTATTTACTTGAAGACGAGCTCCCATTTCAGCGCTATGCAGACAGCTCAATTCTTCGGCATGAAAATTTCCTTTAAGCCCCATCTTTGCACCGGCTAATAGAATGCGTTCTCTAAATCTCTATTCAATGTTTTTTCATGAACAATCTATGACTAACGTGTTTTCAACATTGAAATTCCCTTTCTCACAAAAAACATCGATATTTTCAACGCATTTCAATTCACCATTTTCTTTACATTTTCGAATTAAATCTGAATTCGAGTATTTACAGCTTCAAATCGATTCAAATTGATTCAAATCGATTCAAATCGATTCAAATTGATTCAAATTGATTCAAATTGAACCTAGCATTTCCCCAGCTATGAGATGAGTTTGTGTGTGCTCGTCGGTGCCTCTAGGAACTGCATGAGCACCGCAAAATGTTCCCGAAATCTCCAATGGACCCTCGCGATTCACTCTCTCTAACACTTTTAGCATCTATAACTGTGATTTCAAATCATAAAACTATAAATACTTTCATTTCAGTGCTTGTTTCCAATCCATATCCACTTTTTGCTTCAAGTGTTGTTGTACCAGATGCTAGCATTTGGTTAGCGATTTTCTGGAATTTCTTTTGCTTAGAATTTGGCTTGTAAAACTTTGAAGTCTTGATAAAGATCGTTTTCAGTAGCAGCTCGAGTAGCACTAGTCGTGAAATGAATCCCTCCACCTGCTGCTTGAACCTAGAGAAATTTTATTGTCAAATTTTAGCTGAGATCACCTCCAAGTAAGTTGCACCAGCTAACTTCATTGCAAACTCATGCACACGATCACCAGCAAAAACTGGATGTGAATGAGCGTCGACAAGACTAGGAAACAATATTGAAAGAGAGTTGAAAGAGAATTGAAAGAGAATTGAAAGAGAGTTGAATTAAAAACAAAAATCTACCCCGGTAGAATGACTCCCTTTTGAGCGTCGATTATTTCAACATCGGACAGATCATTGCGCTCTTTCACCTGAGATCATTACGCCTTAAGAAAATCTAAAAATGATACTTCTTTAAATAATCCAAGATCTGCAATGATGCCATCACTGATCAACAATGCAAGACGAGCATCGTTATCTTCAAGAATCTAGAGAAAATTTGAAATGAAAAGAATTGAAAGGCGAACTTTAATCCTATCAGCGTCAATGCCTTTCAAGAAACGAATATCAGCACTTTCTGTGATTTGCACAATTTGTCGAGCATTAGTTATCAATAAACGGGCACTCATCATTGATTGATTGAATTGATTGAATTGAATTGAATTGAATTGAATTGAATTGAATTGAATTGAATTGAATTGAATTGAATTGAATTGAATTGATTGAATTGAATTGAATTGAATTGATTGAATTGAATTGATTTGAATTGATTTCAATGTAAACTCGGTAATCGAGAATCGGTAATCGATAGAAATGGGAAATGTGTTCCCGTCTCTCCTGTGTTCCCGTCGAGTGTCAAGGTTTACGAGCCCGATTCCCCCTTCCATAAACGTTTCTCCAATTACTTTTTATTTCGCTTTTCAAATAAAACTTGTTTCTAAGAATAAACTTTATAACATAACTAAAAGATAAATAAATAAATATGTGCATTTTCTTTTTTTCTCTTTGGCGTTTTATGATTCACTTTTCATTTTGATCAGATTCTCAAACGTTTCTATGCTTGGCGTCCACACGGCGCTTTGCTTAGCAATCTGAAATTCATAATTGAAATTGAAATTAATTGAAAAATTTAAGATTTAAGATTTTATTGATAGAATCTAGAGCTTTAAAAGTCTAGAATAGAGGCTAAAACTTTAAAAATCTCACCTTTCTCCCATCGGAAAGTCGAAAAGATCGACTGTATTGATCACTGTCGGTTCGCCATGTCATTTCCACGATCGAACGAGTTCCTATCAATGTGTCAATGTCATGTTAAGTCGATTTCTTCTTTGACTTGTCGAGAATTTGATACTATTTAATGTTTATGGATTAAAGATTTAAAATGTTTTGGGATTGACCAAATGTTTTGGGCAACGCATGATTTGTATTGCAATGGCGCAGCCGCTAGCGCGCTTGTCTACGGCCCACACGATCTGGGTTCCGGTTTAATCCACTCAATGTTGAAAAAGTACAGACAGACAGACACTGCTCTTTTATACTGTATTGTTCGACTGTATTGATCACTGTCGGTTCGCCATGTCATTTCCACGATCGAACGAGTTCCTGTCAATGTGTCAATGTCATGTTAAGTCGATTTTCTTTGACTTGTCGAGAATTTGATACTATTTAATGTTCATGGATTAAAGATTTAAAGAAAAATTGTACTGTGGTTTAGAATGAAGAAAAATCCGAAGTTGCATTCAAGCAAATGAACCAAGTGAACCAAAATAATTGGGGTTTCTTCATTTGATATATTTTAGCAAATTAAACATTTAAAAGAATAATGCAATACCTGTTTTTTGATCGTACTGAGCGACTCGAAGAACGGGCGGGATTTGGGTGGGCAGTGGGACGGCGTGAGCTTCGAGCAGATCGCTCAACCCCTGAATATAGGCGATCGCTTGCTTCAATGTGTCCACCTAAATTGCCTCTCAGTGAAAGATCAAATTCAAATGAAAGATCAAAATTTCGCACTTACTTTTGATAATTTCTTCTCAAATGGTGTCTCCGGTAGATGGCATCGCAAAGATTCAAAACCGTGGTTAATGCTGAAAGAATGTTTTGGAGAATTGAAAGTTACCGTATTTCTTCGAATAGAAGACTGGATAAAGAGTATGATCGCGTACTCCTGCGTAGCAGCCCTTTTTAAAATTTCTTTTCTGCATGAAAGCTTTCAATCAAGTGCTATAGAGCTGGAAAATGACTCAAAAATACCACATGAGCTAACAGATTTTTGAGCCATTTTCCAGCTCTATAGCACTTGATTGAAAGCTTTTATGCAGAAAAGAAATTTTAAAAAGGGCTGCTACGCAGGAGTACGCGATGATACTCTTTACCCCGGCCTTCTATTCGAAGAAATACGGTATACTACCTCCTCATTCGTTTCCTTTCTCGATCATTCGCGGCTTTCCGTCTTCTCGTCGAGATTCGTCTCTTGTTTATTGGAAAATTGTAATCTAAAATTGATTATAAGGAATTGATTATAAGGAATTAAAATGATTATCAAAAGATTACTTGTTGGATGATGAGGTGGGGACGAAGTGGATGATGAAGAGGTGTCACCACAATCTCTCAACATTGGCATATAGACGAATGGGTCAGTCTGTGGACAAGAGATTGCTTCAGTGAATTGTCTGAAAGATTGCTTCAGTGAATTGTCTGAAAGAAAATTGATTAATTCTAGATAAATGAAATTGCAGAGAAAAAAGACTGACGGTATTGGGTAGAGTTGAGTCTGAAAAGAGAAATGGTCGTTGCCATGTCGCACGTAAATCTCGTTGTCCATTTCTGAAAGAAGTTAAAGATAAAGCTAACTTAAAGCTGTAAAGTTAAAGCTGTAAAGTTAAAGCTGTAAAGTTAAAGCTGGAAAGTTAAAGCTTAATTTAAAGCTTAACCCATTCGAAGCCGCAGCGTTTTTTCTTTTTTTTCGTCTACGGACCAAGCCCTTTTTTGACATTTTTGACTCCGGAGCAGTTTATTTATGGTTGGAAAGATGTAAGAGAGTCTCCTACACCATTTATTTTTGATGAAGAACGATTTGGATTTGACTTCAGTACTTTTCAAGATCCTATCGATTATTGTTCTTATTTTATCGACGACAATATTTTAGTAGGCGAATCTAATAAACATGGAAAAAGGAAAACAAACTGGCAGGATTATTCGCTGCAAAAGTTTCGAATGGGTTAATTTAAAGTTAATTTAAAGCTAATTGTTCAACGATTTGGTTTTAAAAAGCTTTCTGTCTAATAAAACAAGATAATCAAAAAAATAGAGATGGAATAGAATAAGGAAAAAAAAAGTGAGCTGAGCATATGGATTGAAGTGGGTGCGAAGGGAGGCATTGTCTTGATGGGATGGAGTCCTTAAGGGGCCACGTGCATAACCATTGAATGGGGATGAGATTGGTGTGTCCCTTTCAGATCATTACCCAATTTCGTGATGTGATCCGATTTGTAAACACGACATATCACGTATCGGCTTAGGGGAAGCCGTTACGCAATCCCCATTCTCACCCCCAGCTGCTTTACATTTTATTTACCTATCTGGAAAATATTGGCTGGGCTAGAAAGAAAAAGATTGCTAGAAAATGAATGTAGATTTTTTTGTGTGTGAGATTTCAAGGCGAATCATCTTTATCTATTAAAGAAATCTGATGTTTATAGATTAAGCAAAAAGAAAAAGCAAAAAATTATTTGATCAAAAAGAATTTTTTAATTATTTTGATGATAGACAAAGATAGACACGTAATCATCGAATCATTCAATCATTTTAATAAAAGACAAACGAGAAATAGTTATAATCAATTAATTAGACAATAGAAATATTAAAGAAACATCAGTTTTAAGTTGAATAAAAGCAGATTGATTTGAATTGAAGGCTCTTTACGGATAAGGGGTTTTTGGTCAATTTGCAGCTTATTTTTAAGCAACCTTAAACTTGTCAAATCTGAAAGTTTTAATAAGATTTAGATAGCTTAGAACGTTAGCTTTTAGAAACTATTTGTTTTTATCAAAAGTTATTAACAAAAGCCTGTGTAAAATCGGGTTGCAAGTTGACCAAAAAAAATTTAATCCCTTCCTCCCTTTTACCCTTCCGTTAGCCGTAAAGCATCAAATTTAAACTTTAATTTTATTTATTACTTGTAAATAAATAAATAAATCTAATTTAATCTTGAAAATCTGCTTTAAAAAGTGTAAATGATTGGGTTTTTTTGATTTGATTTTGAAAATGGTATTTACGGAATGAAAGTATAATTTATTCGACACGAATAATGAATTATAACACAACGGAGGAGAATTACAACACAACCTTTATCCCTAATTACCCCTATTACCCAAATGTTGCTAAGAAAAAACCCATAATAATGGGAAAAAGAACCAAACTTTCGGGATCGAACCCTTAACCCCCCGACTAGGAGACAACACTCCTATCCGGTCGGCTACGACAGCTGTACAAGACTTCTATCCGGTCGGCTACAACGGTATTGGAATGAAAAAAAAACCCCAGGAATCACCTTGGGTTTATGAGATTATATTCTAAAAAAAAGGTGTTGAAAAAGAAATTTCAATGCACTCAATAAATCAAGCTATCGACACGACTTCTGAAAAAAAAAAAAGGAAAAAGATAAGAAATAAAGCTGTGAATCGGGAAAAGCGCATATAGCAAACATTCTTTTTGCAAATTTTTAAATCTCAAAAAGATTTAACTGTTTAGTAGTCTCAAATCATTTTTTATTCTATCCCATGTTTTTTATTTTACAATAAATTGTTCATTGATTTCAATTCTTCACCAACAAATATTTGTGTGATTTGAAAAACAGAAAGAAATGTTTACTGAATCATTTGTCACCGTAGTCAATTTGTAGTCAACAATCAACCATTCAAGGCACTGTATTCTAAAAGTTATTCCGTCTAGTCGATATTGACACTTTGACTTTGACAAGAGACTGGACTTTGACAAGAGACTAGACTTTGACTTTTTTAGCTACCGTATCAAGCCTTTCGAAAGGTACATCGCTTTCACGAGACGTCGATCGATAGACTTATTTTCATTTATTTCAATTCTTCACTGACAAATATATGTGCAATTTCGAAAAACAGAAAGAAATGTTTATTGAATCATTTGTCACCGTGAAATTTGTGACTGAATCAATGAAATGATTTTTTTGAAAGGATCATTCTCCTGTAATTCTTTTTGAAATGGAGAATTTAAGCTTCCAAATGTTTAGAATTAAAAAGCTATATTCTTTTATAATATTTCTTTTTTTTTTTTTTTTTTAAAAAGCTTTCTAATTTTGAATAGAAAAATGAGAAGAAAGAGAAATACTCGTGAAGAAGTGACACTCGATATTCACAAAATAAATTCACAGGGGATTTATTAGGACTAGAAAGTAAAGACCTAGTAAAATAAACAAAGAAAATGATCTCTAGATTGAGTTTGTGATATGTGAAATGAAAGAAATCATACCGTAAATACTGGAATAGTACCCCACCTTCATAATGACGGGGCGGAGCGTTGCGTAGTCTAGCTTTGAACGAGTTTTTCTCGACACTGGTTTACGGTACAATCCTCGTTTAGGTATCAAAAAATAGCCCTGAATTTCAGCTATTTTTTTGATACTAAAGACGCATTTTTTGAAAGTACGGGCGCTTTAAAAAAAATGAAATACTAAAAAACTAAAAAACTTTTGCGACTACCCGACTGTACGAGGGCGGTGGGGTACTATTACAGTATTTACGGTAGTTTCTATTCGAAAAATGAGATATAAGTCAAAGTGAAGCACCATTCAACGAGTGAGAAATGTGACCCGATCATCTTCTTTTTTTTTTCTTTTTCTATACATTTTCATTCAAATCTTCACAATAAATAGTTTTTTTCTTTGTGTAAGATTGGAGAATGAAATTAGGATAGGAGGATGGGATTTGATGGATTGGAGAGCTATTGATGACGCTTCAAATGCAGTGAGAGGTGATCGCTTCGAGCAAAACTTCGAGCACAATGCGGGCATTTGAATGGCTTGTCTCCTGTGTGTTTTCTGTAAAGTTTTTTCTTGAGATTGATATAAATAGAAAACATTCGTATTAGAATCTTTTAGATCTTACAAAAACTCTCTTACAAACCTGTAATGTCGTGTGAGCTCATCACTTCTTGCAAAGCGCCACTCACAACCCGGCCACGTACAAGCGTACGGTTTCTCACCTAGAATAAGCAATGAACTTTTCCTAATATTTTTCTAGAATATTCAAAAGATCTCTTTACCTGTATGTGTTCGATAATGAGCTTTAAGATGAGAACTTTTCGTGTAGACTTTTCCGCATTGTGGAAATGAGCAAATGTGTCGACGTCCGTCTGAATCAACTGATGATGGCGATGCGGCTGCTGCTTCACCCACTGCTCCTTCCTACAAAAATTGGAATAGATTTTAGATTTTTAGGATTCAAGATCGAATTGCTTTACTGCTTTGCTGCTTTAAATGCTTACAGTGATCCCCGAGTCAGGTCTCTCCGCTTGTGCTGCTTCGGCTTCGCGAATTAAACAACCCAACTCTTCGCGAAACTTTTGTAAAGCATTCAATTGTTCTTGAATTTTTGAAATGTCAAGATTTCCATTACTTGTTGGCATCGCTGCTAGACAGGCGGCTTGCTGAAAATGCATTTTAAAACGTTTCAAACGATTCTCTCACCGTAAGTTGTTCAATTTTCTCTTCGATTTCTTTCGGATCGAACGCTGATCGGTAGATGAAGGATCCAGCAGCTAGATTTGAAGGTTTAAATGCTATAGCTTGCAAAAAGCTTACCAGAACTGATAGATGAGGGGAGATCAGAAGTGGTAGAAACAGGAGAAAGAGCAGGAGCCGAAGCACTCTCTTCGACATTCACAGACAGAGGTACTCGTTGACCTGCTGGTGAGACACGTCTGCCTATAAATAGCAAAGGAAATTCAGCAATTTGTACTCATCAATCAACCATTCAAGGCACTGTATTCTAAAAGTTATTCCGTCTAGTCGACATTGACACTTTGACTTTGACAAGAGACTCGACTTTGACTTTTTTAGCTACCGTACCAGGCCTTTCGAAAGGTCCATCGCTTTCACGAGATGTCGATCGATAGACTCTGATTGGCACATCGTGAAATGTGTGTTGTGAAGTGTGTGAAGACGATGGAACATTCACCTATAATTTCAATCTATTAGGTTGAGGGGAAAAATAATGTACGTTTTTAGAAATATCAACTATCAATCTACGAGAAATATCAACTCTCAATCAGTAAGCTATTCTCCATTTTTATTAACAACTTTTTCCCATCTTCCCATCTTAAATCTTTAATTTCATTTGTGAAAAATTGAGGATTTTTGAAGCCAAAATATGTAGTTGTCAACTGCTTTTTTTTGAATTCAGCATAATCATCGAACTCTTCTCTTATGATAAACTTTAGGACTGAAACAAAAAGGCAGGGCTAAGTCAGGAGAGTAAAGTGCATAAGGAAGCAACTTCCATCCCAGCTCGTCAATTTTTTTTGTGTGACTTTTGCTGTCTGGCCTTCCCATTGTCGTGCAAAAATCGAATCTTTGATGAAAGAGCCTCAATTTCTTTCAAGCATCATTAACTCTAGTGAATTGTTTTGAAAAAAGATCAGCATCAATATTTTCTCCTGGATTAGCTCATAGTACACTAAATCTTTTGATTTCTAGCAATAGAGCATTCTTTTCTTTTCATCAATATAAGGTTTGCGAGTGGTTTGATGGGGTTTTTTTTTCGGTAGATAGCCTTTGGTTCTTTCTTTTAGCATTCTCGTAATTAATCCAAGTTTCAAATGTCAAAATCAAATCCCAAAAGCTACCAGGAGAGTAAAAAAAGAGCTGAAGTTGACACGAGTTTTGTTGTCTTGAGTTGTCTTGAGTCAATGAGTTGTCTCGACCGATTTTTCCATAGCAAAATGGTTGTCGATTGTCTTCTGATCAACATCAAAAATTTCTACAAGCTCGCGAGTTTTTGGTTGAAATCAATTTCAATTCAACAATTTCAATTCATCAATTCGAAATTCAAAGCGCACATTATTTTTCCTCGATCTTGCCAGCAATTTTCCTAAAAATTGCTCTTTGAAACCGATTTCTTTTCAAAAAGTTTCCTCGATCATGTGAAAGAAACGCGAATCGATGTTCGGAGATCTTTCAAAGAACGTTTGACATGATTGGATGGAATAAGGAATGAATGAATGGATTTCATCTCTTGGGGTGATGGATGGGCACTCGAGTTGCGCAATTGTGTCGTCGCTTTCATCAAAATTGATAACATTGTGCCACGCCCTTCCCTCCCTCCCCCTCCCCGTCCACTCCTCCTCCTTTCCCCCTCCTCATCCTCATCATCCTCCTCCTCCTTTTCTTCCTCCTCCCCCCTTCCCTGCCTTTCCTCCTTCCCTCCCTTCCCTTCCCTCCCTTCCCTTCCCTTCCCTCCCCCTCCCCTTCCCTTCCCCTCCCTCCCTTCCCTTCCCTCCCTTCCCCTCCCCTTCTTTTTCCCTTTCCCCCTTCTTGTCTTTATTTTTGAACGATCATACTCGTAAAGCAAAAATACTCCACCTATTTTTATCAACTTTTTGTTTTCATTTTATCTCAAACCTTGTGTGGAACGCTTGACGGAGAGTCTTCGCTATGTTTCCTCTTTTGCGACAAGAAATCATCCTGAAATGATTTTTGAGTTTTCTAACCAGCATTCAGCTATTTCAGCGAACAAAAATCCCAATGAAACAACAGTTACAATCTCTTTATCGATTCCTCTCTTCTATCTTTAGCCTTAACATTCCTATTCCCCTCAGCTGGATCGAGTATCTCTTTTCTCTTTGCTCAGAACTCGATCCGTCTCCCGGAAGCTCTTCTCTACATTCATTTAGCGATTAATTGAGACTGATTGTGGTGCCTTCTTTTAAATCTTTTCCCTTTTAAATCCTTTTTTTCTACTACAAATTCACTAGCTTGAAAGCGATTTTTTCTGCCACGCTGTAAATGAGACTCACGGATAGAAGCTCAGCGATCCGAAAACCAGATCCATGAGGTCGATCTGATCCAAGGGGTCGATCTGATCCATGAGGTCGATCTGATCCATGAGGTCGATCTGATCCAAGGGGTCGATCTCTTCTCAAAGTTGAGTTCTGAGGAGAACTTAATGGAGATCTGTAATGTTAAATTGCTCATTTTCCGAACAAAATAATTTTGAATTACTTACGAGTTTTTCATTCTCATTCCCTGAAATGCGGCACCTAGAGCGGTTGTCGGGGTGTACTGCGGATGCAAAGTCGTTCCTGAAAGCAAAAGCAATTTTCGGATCAAGATTTCAAAATAAAACTGAAAGATAGTAAAAATAAATAAAGTAAAGAACTTACTCGTTAACTCTTGCTGCAATTTTTCCATTCTAGATGCCAAATTTCCATATTCTGAGGGAAAATCCACAAGAGAGAAACCCGATGGAGAACGGGCTCTCGATTGTCGATACGGGGAAAATGCTGATCTTCCTATAAAGGACTTTATTTGAAAATATCGTTTTTCTTATTTACCAGAAGAAAATGGTTCTTCATCTAGTCGATCGTTTGGACTAAAATCTAGTAAAGAAGTGGCATCATGCGAGGTAGAAGGCCTCATCAAATCACTCTCAAACTGAAATCGAAATTATTTCTTGTTTCAAAGTTAGTAATAACTTACTAAAGAACTCCGACTTGCTTGTAGTTCTCTCATTCGTTCTCGTAAACTATACACATTTTTGTTTTCAAATCAAAAAAAAAGATTTTACCTTTGAAGCTCAGAACCATGATTATAATTGTAACGTCTTGTCACGTCAAGAATTCTTTTTGAAATGTCATCCTCTGCACTCAGTGTAGCCGCTAAATTCTCAATTTTATTTTATTGAACTTGAGCTCTCACTAGAGTGATTGAAAACAGGAGAAAGTCGATTTGAAGAAGCTGATGAATGTCGAGCGTTTGTGTCAATGGATAAACGAGGCCGATTCGCCATTCTCACCACATTCTCAACTCGTAGATTTTGCATGTGAAATGATGATGATGATGATGATGATTGTGAAGAAGTATGATGGAGACGAGGGATCGGTGTCTCTCCCGATCCTCCCACACTCCGCCAATCCTCGCCGAACATCGGCTTTTCTTTTCTGAAATTTGCAAACATCTTATCGAAAAATGAGCGTTCATAACTTAACAAAATTGTTTCAAAAGAATTTCTGAAAGGAAATGTTGTCTGGGATTGTCTGGGATTTTTTGCCAAATCTCGATCTCCAAAAAAGTCTCCAAAAAAAGAACTAAGGCAAAGAATCAATTTCAGAATCTTCTTCAAAAGACGCGCGGTCATGCGGTAAGCGAATGAAAAATGACCTTCGCTGTGCTGATCAATATCACAAAACTTAAAGGAGTGTCACAGTGAAAAGAAAAACGAGTGAAGAGGGAGAAGAGGATGAGCGGGGAGAAAATGGGGGTGGCAATGAAAGGAAAACGGGACAGAGCAGCCGCTGCGGGACGGTAGGGATGGGGGAGGGGAGGGTGTGGTGGGTGGGGACGGGCAGACTTCGAGACACGAGCCATCCCCCCCTTTTCTAGAGAACCATCATCCCTTCCCTTTTCCTCCAAAAGAAACAATCTGCGAGTGTACAGCCTTTTTGAGATTTAGAGAATCGACGATTTAGAGAATGGAAAATGGACGAAGAAAGACTAGATTGGAGACAGCCAATGATCCTCTTTGATTTCAAAATTTCAGGACAATCCTCTTAGCTTTAAAACAGTAATCCTTTTAGCTTTAGAAGGTTTGAAAATGAGCCGCAAATCAAGCACAATGACCACTGAGTTTCCGTTCTTTTTTGTGCGCACAGGGTGTGGAGATGGGGAGATGTTTTTTGGTGGGGAAACGCCCTATCCCTTTTTAACCCTACCCTCACCCCAATGCATGTTTTGTCTTGTCCGTTCATTCATTTTTTTTTCCTTTAATCTCCATCTCCATCTCCTTCACCACACCTCTCACACCCAAAAATGCAAACTGAGCATCAACGTCATTAGACTCTTCTCGTGTTCTCGACTTTGTCTCACGTGATCTCCAATCACTTTTCATTCAATTTAGCGAACTCTTTCTTATTTTTAGAAAATCTTCAATCAATTTATTCATCCCATCTGATTCTTTAAGCATTTTAAATAATAAAGATTGAAGGATTTTAAATAATAAAGATTGAAGGATTTTAAATAATAAAGATTGAAGGATTTTAAATAATAAAGATTAAAGGATTTTAAATAATAAAGATTAAAGCATTTTAAATAATGAAGCTTCTTTCATTTTAAATAATGAACATTCTTTCATTTCAAAATTCTTGCTAAAATTAATTCATTTTTGAAGAAATTTCATGACCTTTTCTGGTCTTAAAAAGTCATTGCATTAAAAGGTTAATAAGGGAAGAAAGATTGTGGAAAAACATGTAGAGAAAAGTAGGGGAAATGAAGGAATAGAAGAAGGGATAAAGAGCTGAAGGGGTGAAGGGGTGAAGGGTGAAGAAGACAGGGGAAAAGGGTGATTCATTTCGTGATCACTGTAAAAACTAGCTGAGCGGAAAGGGCAAATCCATAAGGAAAAACTAAAGACGGCAAGAAAAGACGTAGTGAGGCTGCCACCGTTTTCGCAGATGGCTGAGAAATTGTTTTCAAAAAAGTTCATCCCTTGACCTCACTATCAGAAAGATGACAGGAAACGATTATCGATAGAAATGGGGTGGAATTTTCGATCGGAAAGCATTTCTCTTTCGGGAAGATTTTGTGAGGAGGCTGTCTTTAGAGGAAAAAGGAGACAAAATACAGCTAATTTGATTAAAGAGGCAGCAAAAGGGGGTGACCGTCCCCCTCAACCATCACCGAACACTCGATCTACCCCACTCTCTCAAACATTGCTCAGTGAACTTGTTTGTAGAAAAAAACTATCCCCTTTTCGATCCTAACTACATATTATTGATTTTAACAATTTCTAAACAATTTCTAGACTTTCTAAACAATTTCTAAACGATCTCTAAACTTTCTAAACTTTCTAAACAATTTCTAGACTTTCTAAACAATCTCTAAACAATTTCTAACCCTTCTAACCAATTTCTAAAATTTCCAAACAATTTTCTAAACAATTTCTCCAAATTCCAAGAATTAATGAACTTTTTCGAGAAAGGAGAGCTAAAATAAGCAAATTTTTAAGGAATCTATTCGTTGAATTGAATGGATTTGTTGGCATTTCATCAAATCGGTTTAAAACAATGTTCGATTAAAGGAAAAATTGAGCGAATCCGTTTTGAAGAGTCGTTTTTTTTTTTGGAGAGGCAGAGGGGAAGAAGATAACGAATGGGCGAGGTTTTGGCCGACACGATCGCGAATTTGGAAATTCCCCGCACACACAACACTTTTTTTTTCGATCAGCCGGTCTCTGCTCATTGGGAATGGCCATTAAAGAATTGGGCTGTAAAACTAAAAAAAAAAGGCGGTTCATCGATAACTGAAAAATGTTTTTGGAAAATGGGTAAAAATTGGTAGATTGGTGGCAAGTTAAAGCTGAAATTTTGTGCTGAAAAACGACGTGCTTTGAAACGTCTATCAGTTCTTTATGTTTTTGTGAAATCTTTAGATTAACTCGACCAATGAGTCAGCAAGATTTTGATTCAAATTCTGGGAAAATTACGTGTGAGAAGTGAAGAGTAAAGAAAAGATAAGCACATTGGCTTTAAAAAAAACTCGCAAAAGAAGCTAACGAGTGGACGAGAGTTTATGAAAATATAAATACAAATATCTTGATATAAATATTGATATAAATATTGATATAAATATTGATACAAATCTTGATATAAATATTGATACAAATCTTGATATAAATATTGATATAAATATTGATATAAATATTGATATAAATATTGATACAAATCTTGATATAAATATTGATATAACTCTTGATATAAATCTTGATATAAATATTGATATAAATATTGATACAAATCTTTAAAAGCTTTCATTGAAGTAAGATTTGATATATTGAAAAGAACTTGTTTCTTATTAGCATCAAAAAAGAAGAGAGCACGTGTGAATGAACGAGAAAAGGATGATGATCTGGTCGGTACAGTATTTGAGAATCTTATTTGGAGGAGAAATGGGGGAGTGGGGGATGGGTGTGGTCGCGAGACAAGAAGAAGAGGAAAAAAAGGAAAGGGAACATGTGGGTGATGGGCGGAAGGGCTACCCCTTCATCCCCCTCGCCCCCCTTCAACTCCTTCCTCATTTTCAATGATCATCATCTCATCTAGATGTGTGGCTGTTACCCCCGAAATTCCAATATCAAGCAGTGCTTTGAGATCTGTTTATATTAAGTCACTAAGCTTGGCTGAATATCTTTAAATTTCACAACCTTATGTATAAAAATATTCAACCAATGAGACAAACGGTTACTGGACTAGCTGCTCACACACAAATTACGGTGAAGAGTTATATTAGTCAATCCGACGGGGACGTCGGTCGTTCGTCGCTGGAGGGCAGTCGGTAGCACGCATTTCTACCGCCCAGCGCGCACTACAGCCCAGCTGGTCCGAGTTCGACCCCCGCACTTGGGAGTATTTGATTTATTGGCAATTGGTTATTGGTTTATTGGATTTGAAAGGCTATTTTCTATTTCACACAACTATTTTATATTATGTTTTATTCATATTTATTTATCTTTATATTTCGAAACTTTAAAAAAAAAATTCCAGCTGTTTGGCCCAAAGACGGCTGAGTACGAACGGACGGACAGACATTTATTGGATATATATTATTCAATAAATGTTATGTAAACTTTGTGAAAGTGTAAAGATGCGGTGTTCATAACATGTGATAGGGTCACAGTTGGGGTCGAGCCGTTCACAACGCTCTTTCCCTCCCCTTCCCCTCCCCTCATTCGCCTCCTTTTTCTTCACCCCATCATCTTGTTGTGATCTGGGAGAGCAGTCTGCAAATAGAAAGCGAAGAAGTACATGAAAAGAGGCACACATACAGATTGACTGCCTGGGAAGAAAAGGTGATGGAACTAAAGAGGCGTTTCCTTTTCCCTAATCGGGCCATAGTGAGGAAGCGATTCAATGAATATCACCTGCTGGTTTGAAAGTTGGGAATTGAAAGTTGAATTGAAAGAATATGCCAAGAATTAGTTGCTAAAGCATTTTGAGTATCGATTTTAAAGGAATCGCTTGATATTTGCGCTTATAAAGTTACGGTAATCTTTTTTGGAAGCTTTACATCTTTTGATGACTGACGAGAAAGTGACCGATTTTCAAGAGATCGCCGTTGTAAGTGCTTGTTTTTTTCTTTGAATTTTTCTATTACGATTCTATTACCGTATTTTCTCTAATAGTAGTGCACCCCGGCGAGCCGAGTTGGTGACGATTTTACGGTTTCCAAGCTTTTGCAGAAGCTCAACACTCTAATCTCTCACAAGATCTCATCGTCAGCTACATTTTCCGACCCCACATCGATAGGTTCTGATAAGCGGTTCTCGAGATTTCCAGGAATTTAGTCGAAGCTTTTGGTGCACTACTATTAGAGAAAATAAGGTATTCTAAACTTTATTTCCTTAAGAAATTATTCATTCTAAAACATTTAACTTCTTGAAAATTGATTGTGTCTTTAGACGGAAAAGCCGTGTGGACCGAGTGAACATCGTCTCCAATACTCCTATAAATTCTCGTGTTTCTTTCGACCAGCCGGTGATTTTAGCTCTGAGAACTATTCGAGATATGTTCAACCGATTGCCATCGTGAATAGTGTCGAGCAATTCTGGAATGTTTACTGTCATCTAGTTCGACCTTCAGGTGGTGATAGTTTGAAATTTTTGAAATCTAGATATAAAATACCAAAGATCAATTCTAGATTTGAATATTGATTGAATAGATTTGAATAGATTCAATAGATTGAATTGAATTTGAAATTTGAAATTTGAATACAATTCTAGATTTTCTAGATTTGAAGAAAAGAGGGGAAATTCATTTTTTCAAAAAAGATATCAATCCAACTTGGGAAGCGGAAGAGAATAAAAAAGGCGGAAAGTGGATTGTTCGACTTCAGAAAGTAGGTTTAATGATTCTAAACGGATTTCAACAAATGATCTATTGCTGATCTATTGCTTGATCTATTGCTTGATCTATTTCTTCATCTATTGCTTTATCTACTTAAGGGATTATGTTCACGAATTTGGGAAAATCTATTATTAGCGATGATTGGAGAGCAGTTTTTGGTTGGGGACGAGATTTGTGGAGCTGTTTGTAGTGTGCGAAATGCTGAAGCAATTCTAAGCTTGTGGAACAAGTTAAAATCAAAAAAAAATTATTGCTTTTATCGCTTGTTTCAGATCAGCTGATAATCCTGGTGTGTTGAATCGTTTACGAGAAGTGCTTGGTCGAGTGCTTTGCCTTCCCGCGGATACAATGATCGAATACAAATGTCATGATGATTGCTTGAAGTTGGTTTTTTTGTTTTCGATAGTGAAACGTTTATGTACTGATTCTAACTACCGTAAATACTGTAATAGTACCCCACCGCCCTCGTACAGTCGCGTAGTCGCTAGTCGCTAAAAGGTTTTTAGTATTTCATTTTTTTCAAAGCGCCCGTACTTTCAAAAAATGCGTCTTTGGTATCAAAAAATAGCTGAAATTCAGGGCTATTTTTTGATACCTAAACGAGGATTGTACCATAAACCAGTGTCGAGAAAAACTCGTTCAAAGCTAGACTACGCAACACTCCCCACCGTCATTATGGGAGTGGGGTACTATTACAGTATTTACGGTAGTTTTTAAGTGGAAACGATTTTGAAAGCTTTCAAAGCTATCAAGCTAATCAAATTGTATTATAGATCAAAGATTGCATTATAGATCAAAGATCAAAGCTTCTTTAGAGATCAAAGCAACTACCGACATGCAAATCGAAATGTTTACTTGTATAATGAAGTCATTTAGAAACCTTTTTAAATCTTAAATCGATTTATTCGTTTGCATAAGAATTTTAAATGTTTAAAATCTTTTGATAAAAGAAAATATCACTTCTGAAGGAAAAAGAAATGAGCAAAGAAAGAAAAAAAAAAGAAAATGAGGCGGTTGATTAGGATTTATATGGCACTCTTTGGAAATCGTAAACAAAAAAACAATTAGAAATTTGATTGTTGAGCATTACTATAATCAACTACATCAACTAAATCAATTTTCAATTGCAAGTTGATTTATCAAATGAAAACAAAACCCGGGTAAATGATAATACCGTAAATACTGTAATAGTACCCCACCCCCATAATGACGGTGGGGAGTGTTGCGTAGTCTAGCTTTGAACGAGTTTTTCTCGACACTGGTTTATGCTACAATGCGCGCTTAGGTATCAAAAAATAGCCCTGAATTTCAGCTATTTTTTGATACCTAAGTGCGCATTGTAGCATAAACTAGTGTCGAGAAAAACTCGTTCAATTACAGGGGGTCCAATTACAGTATTTACGGTAATCTATCTCAAAGAAAAAACAATCAAATCAATGATAAGGCACTTTTCATACAAAGAATTTGATTTTAAAACTCGCCTATATCTATGTCTCTTCATAAATTAAAGACTTTTTTTGTTGTTAAAGTAAAATTTTAAGATATAGACAAGCCATGGAAAAAAGATTGGCGAGGTATGGCACTCAGATCAGCACGAGAAATTAAAAAACAAAAAAACAAATAAGCTATGGCACTTCCGACTTCTAATAAAGTTCTAATCGACTAATTTCAATAATGATTTAAGTAGTAAAGAGAGAAACTAGAGTGGGATTTTTATGGGTGATGAGTTTTTTCTCGAACATGATTCTCGAGAGCAGTCGGATCGGTGAGAATTGAGGTGTTTGTGGCAAGATAAACAAGAAGATTCGACGCCAATGGACGCAATTTTTGCACTTTCCATTCCTCGCAAAACCACAAGGCGGCTGTGTGAGAAATCTGTAAAGCTTTTGTAATGATTTTCACTTGTATGACTTGTCCATCTATTTGTCCATCTATTTATCTTTTGACATTTGTAACTCACCTCGTTTCTATCACCTGGATCTTGATGAAGTCTTGAGGCAAACGAGTGCAACATTGGCTCAAGCAGCTTCACTAACTACAACTCTTTTTTTTGCTTTCTTTTCATATTTTTGTAAAACAAACCAGCCAAAAGTTAAATTGTTCACGACTTCGCTCGCGTGTATACCGTTCAACAAATTGCATCAACTAAATAAAGCATTTATTGGGTTAGTGAATTGAAGATTGTGAACTGGACTTTGAACTAAAATTTATTTAACATAAAACCATCAATTCATTCCAAATAATTTCCATTATTATTGATGACTTCTGCCCATTTTAAAGGCAATTTGCGGATTCCTCTTTCGGATTTTGGATTCTAGTAGGATTTTGGTTTGTGTGTGAGACTCAAAAATCGAGGACTGAAGATGTCGAGATGTCCCAGTTTGAGCACTTTCTTCAAAAGAAACCCATTTTGGTGTCATTAGAAAAGTTGTAGAGAATCAAAAATTAGGCTTATAGCCAAATTTCCAAAAAGATACACTTAGTAGTTTCGCTTAAAAAGCAAGTTTTGTGAAAGTTTCGTAAATTTGGCATTTCTTGAAAACCAGTTTTTGAATCGTTCTGAAAATTTGGATATAAGCTTGATTTTTGATTCTCTACAACTTTTCCATTGACACCAAAATGGGTTTCTTTTGAAGAAAGTGCTCAAACTGTCACATATGACAATAGCTGGCAGTTTTCAATTCACCAATCCAATAAATTGGAAAGCATTGATTACTTGTGTAGTTGAATCAACACTAGCCGATCCAGTAGATGCACTCGCTGATGGGAGACTCGTCTGCAGCAAGGCGATCTTCGCATTCAGAGTTTCGATTCGATTTTGCAGAACGGATTTTCGTTGAGCTGTTGTCTCTTTTTGTGTATTCAATCCTTTAATATATTCAGCTGCTTTTGCCAAAACAACAGCATTTGTTGGTTTAACGCCACCAGAGTAGAGATCTGGTATCTGAAATTTCTTGTTTATTTTATTTATTTCTTGTTTATTTCTTGTTTCTTGTTGTTTTGTTTATTTTAAACTTACAAGTTCGGTGAGTTGATCGAAGCCATCTTTCAAAGCGCATCGACGATTTTGTTCTGCATGCAAGTGAAGGATTCGTTTCCTTTCCGAGGGATTCAACGTCGAATCAGCCGGCTCCTTTAAAGCAGATTAGCAATGAGCAATGAAATGAAATGAAATTTTGAAATTTCTCTACCATTTTATTGCTCTTCGTCCGTTCCTTTGGCATTTCGATGTCATGTTTAGGCTCAAGCATCTCATTTGATTGATTTGATTCAATAGAACCAGGAGCTTGCATCTAAAATTACAGTTAGACTTAACTTTATCGAAATCGTTTATCGTTTATCGAAATTAAAGCTTTTATTTCTACCATTTGATTCCAGTTTTTCTCATCATTGTGACTACGAGAAAGTACTCGAGGACCATCGGAAAGACTTGGTGAAGGTACTTGCCTAATTTTGATATAGAATTAGATATAGATATAAATTTTAAAGAATTCAATCCTTTACAAAAGATTATTGTTTGTTAATTGCTTACCAGTTTGAAGGTACGGATAGTTTTGGCTTGAGTGAGAGATAAGTCTGTGGCGATGGAGGGGTTTCTTGTTTAGGAATTTGATGAGATCTTGGACCGTTGTTCAGTCCCGATTGTGTGATTGGGGACACAAGCAATGATGGTTTTGTGGCTTCGGACTGAGAATAAAGGTTTAATATTATTTTTTTTATGGTAAACCTCAGGCCGTAACATGAGTTGTCTCAAGTCGCTTCTTTGTGAAAGATTATGAAAATTTTGATGAGATTGTCGCGATGGTGAACTTCTGAAATAGTTATATTGTTTTGTTAACTGGTTTTGCTATGTTAACTTTGTTGACTTTGATTTTGTTGTTAATCACCTTAAGAGATCGTTCATATGAGTTGTAGCTGGTGGTAACTCGGATTGAATGCCGAGAGACGAAGGACAAGGCATTGAAAGAGGTGACAACACTGAAGGCGACTGTAATGAAGGCGATGGTGACTAAAATAGTTATAAATTTGAAACATTTTAGCTGAGGAAAGAGATTGTCTATAGGTTGTTATAGAGCCTATGAAATTATCTATATTCCTTAATTGGTTGTTATCTTTAAACAGAAGTACAAAAATGAACAAAAAGAAGACTCTGAAAAGTCTGATGTTAAAAACGTACTGGAGTAAGCACTTGTAGAGAAGCGGGTGAAGCTAGTTGTTGCTCAAGCCATGAAGCGGTGGAAGATGGAGTACTCCTTGACCAAGGCATCCCACCCTGTAATTGGCTTTGTTATTGCCTTTCGGACAAAGTAGCTTACCATTGATTGAGCTGGTGTGGGTGCGGGTTGATTGAGTCGAGATGGTCCAATATGGCCAATGAAAGGAGACGAATAGTCGACTTGAGCTACATCACCACCAGTTACCTGAAACTATTTTAGAAAAATAGTCCAGAAAACAATTCGATGGTTGTGGTTAGAAAAATACTTCAATTTAACTCACCAGAAAACAATTTGATGGTTGTGGTGATGGAACGTTTTTCCAAGGCATTCGTGGACTATATTGGGCAGCCGAAAGCTTTTTATTCAAAAAAAAATTGAACAAAATTTGTCTACTTGAGAGTATTGTGGTTGAGCAGAGATCGATCCACTCATGATAAGCATTTGCGAGGTGATTTGTGATGGTAATCTAGTTGGTTGTTGTGCAACGGGTTGATTGCTATATTCTTCTCAAATAATGAGAGTTTAAAATCTAAATCACCTATAGTCGACAAGCATATTGGCGTAGTCTTTGATCGAATAATCGCCGCCTAATGAGGATTCGTCGCGAGTCTGTACAAAATGTAAGTGTTATTTGGCTTTTCTTTGTATGAACTTACCATTGGTGGAGCGGGCACAACAAATTGATTGAATTGCATATGATCGGGAACAGTTTCTTGCTAAAGATGAGTGAAAATTGTGCATTCATTGATCGGGTTTACCAAACTATTTATAACTAACTATTTATAACTACCATAAATACTGTAATAGTACCCCACCGCCCTCGTACAGTCGTGTAGTCGCTAGTAAGTTTTTAAGTCGCTAGTAAGTAAGTCGTAGTAAGTTTTTTAGTATTTCATTTTTTTCAAAGCGCCCGTACTTTCAAAAAATGCGTCTTTGGTATCAAAAAATAGCTGAAATTCAGGGCTATTTTTTGATACCTAAACGAGGATTGTACCATAAACCAGTGTCGAGAAAAACTCGTTCAAAGCTAGACTACGCAACGCTCCGCCCCGTCATTATGGGGCTGGGGTACTATTACAGTATTTACGGTAACTATTTATAACAAACTAAACCAAACAAACTAGCATTTACCGTGTTATAATCTAGCAATTTTGCTAAACAGATTTAGCAATTTAACAGTTAGTGAACTCGAGTCGTGGACTTACTCGTTCCAAGAGTTGACTCCGAAGGTCACCAGATCGGTCAAGGCTTAACGATGATGGTGGAGCACTGCCGCCATTTGTATTTGGTGCGGTCAATTCGGAACCATCTTAAGTACTACAGTAATTGGTTAAATGCAATTTCCCTACCCAATGTACACATGATTTCTTCAAGGCTTGGCTGTAAAGATAGAAGACCCGGTTGCACAATATCTGCATAGCCGGTTTGCACTGAAACCCGAGTATAAAGATTCTTTTTCGAATATGCTATATAATATAATATACTATATAATATAATATGCTATATAATATAATATACTAGACTTCGGAAAACAAAACTTAACCAAAACCAAAACTACCAAAACCAAAACCATAACAAAACCAAAACCAAAACTAACCAAAACTCGCCAATATCTTGCGACTGGGAGGAGCTAGCGAAAATCTGTTTGCGGATTTGAAATCAGCATCCAAAAATCTATCCCATAGGCTATTTTTTGTTTTAAAATTTCGAGGTCGTGTTTTGGGCCTTTTTTCGGCCGCGAGATTTTGGGGAGTGAGAAAAAGTGAAAGGCAAATTTGCATTTTACATTAAAATTTGCATTTTACAATTTTAAATTTACATGTTAATTTATATGCAAATTGAGTTTTGGTTTGTTTTGGTGTTTTGGTTTTGGTTTTGTTTGCCGAAGTCTATAATATACTATATAATATATAATAATATTCTATTTTAAAAATATAAAACACTTTACTCATTTCCCGTGGATTTGGAAACATGTATGGTTGATTCAATGAGGCGAAAAGCTCATCAGTGAAAATGTTCTCAAACTCATCGGCATCCCAATCTGATTGAGCCAAAGGAGTCTGAATTGACTTTTTTTTCCTAGAGAACAAGAACAAACTTGTGATCGTTGAACTGGCCCAGCTGATACTTTCATTATAGCCGGAAGTGGACCTGATCGTTCCTAAAGAAATATCGAATTTGATATTGTGGTTGCTTTAGCTTAAGAGTAAGTTGAAAATTGAATCAACTGAATTAACTAAATGCCTCAAAGATTGTGGTCTTGATAAAAAGCTTTCTCTCTTTATATACCCTTTTTCTTTTAGCTCCTGGGCGTCGATTCTTAAAAAAGTGTCTCCATCTTTTGTATTGAGCAGAAACAGCAGCCATTCTTCTCTTCCAGTACATACCTTCGATCAATGTACCCTAAAAGTAAATCAGAACTACTAGAAAGTAAGTTTGAAGTTTATTGACTTTGCATAACTGTAAAGTGTCATAAGAATTGATTTCAGAATTGTTCTGTTCTTTTATTCTGTTATTAGATGATCTGATCTGTAAGTCAGAATCTTTTGCTTTTGCTTTTGTGCTTTTGCAGAGTCGTCTCATTGTCAGATGTTTAAATTCTCATCAAAATTCTTCTAATCTCTCACTTCTTGTATATTTCCTCTAATATTTATATTTGATTTATTGATTTATATTTGGTAATCAACTACAATCAACTACAATCAACTACAATCAACTACAATCAACTACAATCAACTACAATCAACTACAATCAACTACAATCAACTACAATCAACTACAATCAACTCACCTCAATTTTCGCATGAGTATTGTCATCGTCGGGAACCGAGAAATAGCAATACTTTTTCTTCTCCAACAGCTTTTTTGCTATGAAATCTTGAGGTCTTCGGACTTAAATTTGTGAAAGTTTTTGAATTATCTTTACAAACGTACACTCCATGTAGTAAGCTCTCCAGATGACGTTATTCAAACGAATTCGTTGTTTCCAATGCAACCGCAATCCTTTAAAGTCTTTCCATTTTGGTGTCGTCATTTTGCTGAAAAATTTCTTTATAAAAAGAAAAACCTATTTGATTACTTGTAAGCAACTTTAATGCATTTATTCAATTTGTTCAAGGAGACATCAATGGCAATGGATTGAGTTTTCTTTGGGCCAAACTTGTAGAAAGTGACGGGCTTATCAGCATACTGAATTTTTCACTGATTTAACAACAATCTCAATTTAACAACAACAACAACAACAACAACAACAACAACAAAACTCACCAATTCAGCTTTAGCTCGACCCATTTCTTGTGTCTTTTCATCATCAACCTAAAAGGAAATGAATCTGAATTTTGACAATCATTTTTTTCAATCAAACTCTTACTTTAAAATATCAAAAACAAGCTTGTAAGCGGAAAATTTGACAAAATTTGACATTTTTGATTTACAAAACAAAACCCAACGAATGGGGCAGCTACGCACTGCGACGGAAAAAGTGGAAAAGCGTAGCTGCCCCATTTCTCGACTTTTCCTTTGAAACTTAAAAGATATTCAATTTTCCGCCCAAATGGCAAAGTTTTTTAGAACAAATTCGGTGCTTACTTCGAGTGACTCAACATCCACTTCGTTATCATCTTCCTCTTCAGGTGTGGGATCTGTATGAGGATTTGAGGTCATAAAATGACCCGAGTGGATCGGCTCGTGTGACCCCATCTTGCATCGGTCACCGCCACCTACTGAAAGATGCTATATTATAACAAAAATAAAGTTCAATGTATTAAAAGTTGTTGAGAAATTTGATAAAAACTAGTTGAAATGGCTGGTAAACTTTGACAAATGTTTTGGTTACAAATCTAGTGCAAAAGATTGCTTGTATTCTTGATCAGAAACAAGTAAGAAAAGAAAAGAAATTCCTTGAAAAGCGAGACGGAAAATGAATTTAATAAGTGAGATCGATTCGTAGTCCATAGTGGGTGATTGATGCCACGTGCGCGATCAAAAGTGTTTGCCCCTTCTCCTTTTTTCATTCTATCCTGACTGTTCTCCGTCTGTCTATTCGTCGATGTGACGCCCTCTCTATCTCTTGCTATGCCGAAAATTCCAGTTTTTTCAATAATCTTTCCTATTATACACCACCAACTATCGACCTTATTTACTCAAAAACGAAATGCACTCAAGGTTGCAACATTTTACGATCACGATGTGCATTAAAACGTTTTGAGTTGGCAAAAAAAAGAAATAAAAAAAAATCTTGGACAATAACTCGGAAAATATATGGAAAAAGAATTAAAGTGATTTAAAATGATTGAAAGAATTTTGAAAATGATTAAAAGAATTTGAAAAATGATTTTAAATGATTTTAAATTATTTTAAAATAAGGTAAAAACAACAAAAGTTTGTTATGATTTAACGTTTTCCTTTTACCTGTTTTCATTCGGTGATATTGAAAAAATTGTGACGGTGAAATCGGAAAACGTGTAAATCAATTTTTTTTGGCAGCCAGCAGGAAAGGAAACCAAATTAGGGGGTCAACCACAGTTTTATCACGTGTTTATGAAGGGGAAAGGGTGAGTGCCATGGGCATGCGCTGTTCGTTGTATCCAATGGACGGACTCTCACAGCAGTCTTTTCCCCTTTTTTTTCATTCCCAGTCGACTCCGCTGCGTCTCTTTACATCTCCTCTGTGTCTTGTCGAGAAGTCTCCCCACTTCTTCTCTGCCCTCTCGCTCATATCACTAGCGATATCTGCCCTTTTGCAATTATCAATCTAATCTCTCAAAAATTTGCAAAACATCGAAAATAACGTAATTACCGTTTTGGAAAAGGGCTGAAAAATATAAGCCCCGGGCTTCTATCAAAATAATTACGATAACTGGTAGTAGTAGGTAACTTTGTAGGTAACTAGAAAAAAGTAGGTAACTTTGTACACGGTCAAGCTCAAAAGTCTGCTGATTTTGTTCACGTTTCTGAGAAAAGAGCTCGTATTGCTGCATTTTACTACTGCTGCGTAACTTTGTACACGATCACGTTCAAAAGTCTTTTACTGACTCAGACCTAAACGTGAAAAATTATAAACAACACGAGTGTTAGTTTGAAATTTTGAGAGATCTAGAAGTTTTCATTTTCAATAGAAAACCTGGTTTTTAAAATTGCCATCTCGAAATACCATTTCGAAATACCATAATCCGTTGGCCCTATAATTTCTATGTAGGTAAACCCTATTAGGTAGGAATTTCATCTTTTTCCACATATCTTATAGTTAGCGCCGTCCGTTTCTGCTATATAAATGCTCACAAATGTTAAAGTTGTTAGTTAATAAGCTATTTTGATAGTCAAGTCTACCAAAATCTAGTTTTGTTATCTTAAACGTCAAACCATAAGTGGCATTTATGCGTTTTTTCTCTTTGACTCTCTGCGATTGACAGTTACTTGATGTAAATGTTTTGTCTCGTTTCGATCAGGTATACGGTAGTTTTATTCGCGTCTTGTTGTGAATTTAAACGCCTAATGTTTCAAAAAAAATTTCAGTAGGCTTTTGGCATTTTGGCGCATCGTCTTTGAATTTTTGGCACAAATTTTAGAATTTTGATGCATTAACGCTGTTTTGTGTAGACATGAAAGGCGTAGATAAGCAAAAAGCTGATTCAAGAGCGGTAATACCAAATTTTTGCCTTTTCGAAGTTGTCAAAAGAATAAAAACGCTCTGCATATTTCCTGAAGTCAGTAAATCAATGTTTCTGTGTCAGCTGCTTTGCTTACTTTCTAGATGTACATTTATATAGGCCGCTTGACTTTCAAAACCGTTTGGCTAGCTTATTGCATCATTTTCGTCATTCTGATGTACTTTCCGTAGAATAGTATTTGAACATTTCAGTTGTTACACCCTCTTCATTTCTTACTGCTTCTTTTTTATTACTTGTCTATACATATATTTTTAGTTGTATCAGACGGGTTTTTTCGAATTGGCTCAATGGCGGATGCTGAAAAAAAATTAGCAAAAAGTGAGTTTCATTGTTGAAATTAAAAGGTATTAGGCGATTCTAAAGTCAAATTACTTCTTTAAATTATGCAATGTAATCTTTGATCGTTGTCGATTAGCTCTTTTTGTAGCGTAAAATTGCCTATACCTAGCGTTTTGGCGATGAAACGATAGCGCATAGAGCTAAACAATTTTTTTTATGTCATTGTGTTTTACTTCAAAAGATTAAATTGCTTGTTACCTATTTTTTTGTAATTAATCGCCTAATACCTTTAGGTAAATGTGGCCACGAGCTTTGCTAAACGGGAAATCATGCGCGCGCCGACTTTTGGCCCCACAAGCCAATTACATTCAGTTTTTTGCTTGGCGCTCGCAAAAAAGGTAGAATGTTAATTCACTATTAAAATTTATGCATAAAATTCTTATGCAAGTTTTCTTTAATTTAGTGAGCAGAAACGGCTCGAAAAACAGAAGCGTCAGGAGCAAGAACGCAAAGAAAAAGAAGAAAAGTTGGCTGTCGAGAAGGCTGCTAAAGGAGGCGACCAGAAAGTAAATATTTTCTCTTTTCTTGCAATGTTTTAATTTTAGGTTGAAAAGCTAGCCGATCCATCAGATCCACAGGAATATTACAATATGCGTGTTCGTATGATTGAGGAGAAGAGGTACATTTAGTATTTTAAGTTTTAGTTTGTGCAAATTAGTAAAGCGCTTTCGTTATATTTCTTTCACAAAAAAAGTTCAAGCTAGGTTGTATATCTTTGGTTTACAGGGCTTCCGGTGGCAACCCGTTTCCGCACAAGTTCCACGTTTCGACTTCCCTTGGAGAGTTTATTGAAAAGTATTCTTCGCTCAAGAACGAAGAAATCTTGGAAAATGTGACGGTGTCGATTGCTGGTATAATTTGTTTACATTGCTTCAACCATTCTTTGGATAGGTCGAATTTACTCTAAGCGAGAAGCTGGAGCCAATCTCATCTTTTACGATGTCCAAGGAGAGGGAACTCGTCTTCAAGTAAAAACCTTTTTGTCTACTAAAGTGAGTCTTGTTATAGGTGATGGCTAATGCACGTATGCACAAGATGGCCGAGGAGTTCAAAGTGCTGCACGGAAAAGTGAAGCGTGGAGACATTGTTGGATTCAAAGGCTATCCTACAAGGTGTGTATCAAACAATTCAAGATGTAGAAAAATATTTATACAACTCAATCACATACGGTCCCATTCATCATAGGCTGCATTTGGGACATAATCATCTTCGATGTGTGCTTTCTTTTTGAGGTTCATTTGATTCTAAAATTCGGTCCGCGATGAAAAATTTTCCGGAAGAGCTACCTGCTCTTTTTCAAATTGCCACGTTTCGTAATCACGAACTGCGTTCTGAACGTAGGATGTCACATAATGCTGTTCTTCAGTTCGTTGATATTTTTGAAGCATTTCGAGCGCCATTTCCTTCAATTCCGCCAAGTTCAAAGCCTCACATTCCCCTACTAGCCTGTAACCAAAGCTGTATCATATATTTTTAATTCAAACTTGGCCAAGTCATCCGGCTTGCTTGGCAAGGCCAATGATGGGACAAAGCGCTCTTTCTTAAGACGAAGGTAGGAGAGAATATGGCGGAAAGTTTTAGCATCGCGGTCCAGATAGTAGTTTCCTCCCTTAATTGCTTTAATTTTTTTCAAAATTAATTTCAAACCTTATCGGTGGCAATCGCTTTTTGAGTACCAGGGCGGAACCATTCAGCTAATTTCGAACGTGGGTCTGCTAACAGATCAGTTCTTCTAACCTAAACGCTCCTCAAATGTTTGAGACCAGTACTTTTAAGCTAAACCTCTTAAATTTACTAACCGTATATTTTTTGCCTCCAACATTGATGTTCAATATATCGTCGGCATGGCGTCGAGTTGACATATTGTCGTAGGAATAAATCTGAAAGAAAACTTAAATTTTCAGGAAAAATCAATAGGGCCCTTATTCCAAAGTAGAGCTCTTTTATGCTTTTGTCGCTAGGTGGCAGAGAGAAAATGTTCCTTCCGGCCATTATTGCCTGCTTAGCCTCTCTGTTTAGTTCTCTTACCATCGTTGATCTTGGATAGTGTAAATATGTTAAGCCAGAAAATAAAAGAAGAAACGTTGCAAACTTGCTACTAGTGGGCTATTGCGAAAAAAAACCTAATCCCTAGCGTGGACCGGAAATGTCTACCCAGATTCGCAAAAATGTACCCTTTGAAGCGGAAACCCTTGCGGATAATTTTCTTAAAACTATCTAAACTTGTTACCAATGATATTAAATTTAGAACGAAGGCCGGCGAACTTTCAATCATACCTACTGAGGTGGAACTTTTGACTCCATGTCTTCACATGTTGCCTCACACTCATTTTGGTCTGAAGAATCAGGAATTGAGGTTTGTTTCGGTTTGAAATTTGTTTGTTAAATTTTATTTAGATATCGTATGCGCTATCTCGATCTCATCATGAATCCACCAGTCAAGAATAAGTTCGTGATTCGGTCCAAAGCAATTAGCTTTCTTCGACGCTACTTGGACAATCTCGGCTTTCTCGAAGTATTTTTCTTAACGCTATTCAATTATTATATTAATTTTTAGGTTGAGACACCTATAATGAATATGATTGCTGGTGGAGCAACTGCTAAGCCCTTCATCACTCATCATAACGACCTCGACCTTAATCTGTTCCTTCGTGTTGCTCCTGAGCTTTACCACAAGGTAAATTTCTCGATTATTGTTTTACCTCCTTCATAAAATTCAGATGCTCGTTGTTGGTGGAGTTGATCGTGTTTACGAAATTGGCCGTCTTTTCCGCAATGAAGGAATTGATCAAACGCATAATCCTGAATTCACGACTTGCGAGTTTTATATGGCATATGCTGATTACGAAGATATCATGCGTTTGACTGAAGATCTTCTCTCAAGTAATTTTTTGGTATTTTTTAAAAGGTTACAAGAGTTTTAGAAATGGTCTTCCACATTCATGGAACGTACAAAATCCCATTCCATCCAAATGGTCCTGAAACTGAGCCAGCATATGAGGTATTAAAGTTTCGGAGAATTCTAAAAGTCAATTTTTAGCTTGACTTTACTCCACCATTCAAACGGGTGCATATGTACGACGGACTCGAAGAGGTGCTGGGGAGTCAAACTGCCAAAACCAGATACACTTCACCTGCCGGGTAATAATATTGCTTAATGTTTCACAAGAAATTATTTTTAATTAAACGCTTTAGAATCAGTGAAGCTTTTGAGCGACATTGCGATTCAAAAGAACGTGGAATGTCCTGAGCCACGCACTGCTGCTCGCTTATTGGACAAATTGGTTAAGTATTCTATTAAAAATTTTTAATTTAGAGTTAAAGGTTGGCGACTACTTGGAGAACACATTCATCAGTCCAACCTTTTTGATAGGACATCCTCAGATTATGTCGCCACTCGCCAAATGGCACAGGTAATCGAATTTTTTGGTTTTATTTGATAAGGTTGCAATTATACATCGGGCATTCATTTTAGGTCTACTCCAGGACTTACCGAGCGCTTCGAATTGTTTGCTGCCACCAAGGAATTGGCTAATGCGTACACCGAGTTGAACGATCCTATTCGGCAACGAGCATGTTTCGAACAGCAAGCTAAGGTAGTGATTCTTTAGTCAGGTCATTAAACAATTAAAATTTTCTAGGATAAAGATGCTGGGGACGACGAGGCTCAGCTAGTTGATGAGAACTTCTGCACGGCTCTTGAATATGGACTGCCTCCTACCGCTGGCTGGGGAATGGGCATTGATCGTCTCAGCATGTTCTTGACGGACTCTCACAACATTAAGGCAGGATTTTTGATTTTTCTTTTTAAGTTTTAAACTTTAGGAAGTTCTTTTCTTCCCTGCGATGCGTCCAGATGATGGACCCACTTCGGCTGCAGTTGCTGAGGAAAACAAAGAGAATGGCAAATAGCCAGCTTTAATTTAAAAATGTTGTTTAATTCTGTGTTTCCTGAGTTGTTCTTGGTTTGTTGACCCTTTGCCACGTTTAGGGATAAATTTATTTATTGTTGGTAAAAACTTCAGTTAGAATAGAGAGCACTATGGAGAGATCTTTGATGATTGCAGTTTTGGTATCGAGCTGAGGGCTATGTTACATATTTTAAATCAAATCTTGGCAGCAAGAGCCTTGGCTATTGGGGCTACTCTTTTTGATTTTGCAAAGGAATCCGTTTCGTTTTCGTCAACAAGGCCATCTTCCCCGAGTTTGTCTATTTTCTCCAAGGTTTCGAGTGATAGATCGTCGAGTGGATCTTCCTAAACAGCTTTAATTTCGGATCAAATTTTTCTCATGCCTTTTCGTTTAGTTCCACTTCGCCACTTTGGTTGTTATCACTTCCATGTAGAGAGGGCTCTCCGAATCCACCGCCAGTGGCTCCATTTCCATAGCCTAATTCCAAAACGTAAACTGTACTGAAGTGAATAATTGGATATCACCTGAGCCGTTTTGTTCGCCAAAGTTTTGAGAAGAGCTTGCTCTAGCTTGTTGTGTTTGATAGTAAATTGCATACGGATCTTAAAGGTTTTGTAAAGCCTAGGATGTTTCTTTTTTTACTTACCATAGTCATATGGAAGACGACCTGGCCAAATATATTTTGCACTCTGATACTGTGGTGGATAGACATAACTAAAATCGTCATTTCTTTTTTTCGAAGAAAATTAGTTCCAACCCAAAGTCTTTAGAGCGAAGTCGATATTGTCTAGGAAGAAGCCACCAGGGATAATGCTGGAAATAGTAGCCCATGCGAGGAAATCGTGGCTAAATTATTGGCTCTCATGCTTTGGTAGCAAAATTTAACAATTAGGATTTACTTGTGGGTTGGACTTAGGAGTGTTCATTGAAGTGGATGGACGTTTGACCGGGTTCTCTGATGACGAGGGCCTACCGGGTAAAGATCCGTGAGCCTGACAAAATTATGACATTAAAGAAATGAAACATGCTAAATGAGCAATTTGGCGTGAAATTTTGAATCACCCGACTCCCGACAGCGACCTCTGATGAATCAAGTTGGGGACGGGAATCCTCGATTGTCGACGGACCCAATGTCACTGTGCTCAATTCGTCGGATCCTGTTCGTTCTCAGGTTTTTCCTCTTTTTATGATAAAATTTACTGTCTCGTCCGAGTGTTTTCCCTTCAAAGTCACTATAATCGTCGTCGGTGCGAAAGTTTGACTTGCTGAAATCGGAGTCACGCACCTGAGAGCATGCTTGTTAATTAAAATTAAACGAAAATCAAAAGCGATCACCTCATTTTCGAGTTTTTGTCCTATTACTCCACGACGATTTATCTGAATTTTTTTTTTAATTTACGATTTAACTGAAAATGAACTTTTTTAAAATTAGGCGACAGCGCCTCTCGTTCAGCTTGAATTGCATCAGCCAAAAGCTGATCATCGAGATTTTCAGTGTGAACTCTAAAGCAATAAAATCAAAGCTACTTTTGTTATGTTTATAAATTACTTCGCGAGGAATACGAATAGAAGGCTGGACAGCAAAAGCATTGCAAAAGAGAAGTGAATGATTGTTGTGATAATAAAATGAAAGCGATTTGACTGAATGGCGCTCACTGTCTTTCACAGACTTTCTCTTATAGTCACCCTCGGGTGGCAGCAAAGGGAGGGGGAATGAAATCGACAGTGCCACCCTCCACATACCCTCAAAGGGTTCGTCTCATTGATCTCACTTAGATTTCCCTCTTTTTTTGAGATCTCCTTTCTTTTTCGATTTGGAGATTAGGCATTAATCTTTTTAGATGTTATCCATTCACAAAAACAAAAAATTCATTGAGCAAATCTTGTACATCATACAGATTGTACATGTACACTATTAGCGTCATATTTTTCTCTGCAAACGTTTGCTCAAATTCTATTTTCAGCGGACTACGCTTCTTAGGCAATACCCAGAATATCACGATCGCGAGTTCCGGAAGTAAAAAAGGTGATGAAATTCTTTATCTCAGTGCTACTGAGACCTACATCATGATGACCATTGAATAGCTTTGTGGGCTGTTGTGTGTCAGAGATATCCATTTGTGGTGATACCCGATCTGGGGAAAGCTTTTTCTTTTTTGATGATGGCTTGCATGCCCGCCCTCCTCCCGGTCACCTAATATCTTTTACCGGAAACACCTGGAATCACCGATAAAAAGGGTCCCCCATCGCTCGTCGATGCTTATTTTATCCCTTCACTATTTGAGGATCTAAAAAATTTTTTGATTCAACAATGATCTCGAGAACGAAAATCCTTTTTGTCGTCGTGTTTCTCATTTCTTGTAAGTTTAAGCTGAAAATTGATAAGCTAATTGATAAGATACACTACTGGACAATGAAATATGATATTTGAAAAAAGATCGTCACTTTCGCACGTCTGTAACTCCCTTGTCTTTACCGTATTTCTAAATATTAATATTACCATTGTGTAGCCCTTGAAAAGAGCTTTCAGAAAATGTATAACACTAATAGTTTAAACTCAGACAAGGGAGTTTTGAGAGAGAAAGTGACGATCGTTTTTTCAAATATAATATTTCATTTTCCAGTACTGTAGCTAGAGTATCTTGCTTACTAAATAGCAATTTTGATGAATTTTCGTAGAGTTGCCACACGACGTTGAGGAGCGGCTAGGAGAACCTAGGAATTGCATGAAGCAGAAACTCGCCAAACTGGATTCAATCCTTCTTTATACTTTATTGATCTCAAAATTGACACTAACGAAGTATAAAGTGGATTTAAAACTAGAGAACTACTGTAATGAATGTACAAATTTAATGTATAACACTAATAGTTTAAACTCAAAGACAAGGGAGTTACAGAAGCGCGAAAGTGACGATCGTTTTTTCAAATATCATATTTCATTGTCCAGTACTGTAGATAAGCTCAGATTTCTCTGAATCAAAATTATCTATTAAGAAATTTTCCAGTGGGAATTGTGGCCGAATGTCAATTGGATAACATCATGGGTTGCGTTTTCTGTCAGTTGATCACCGAGTCGATAGCTCAGGAAATGACACCACCGCATGCATTCAAGACAATGTATAGGTTGGTGGAAATCTGTATCGATTAAAGTTAAGCTCCAAAGAAAAAAAAAACCCCACTTCTTACAGACGTTGCGCAAAGATGGGCTTGATGGAGCCGGTGTGTGACGCGTTTATCGAGGAAAACGCAAAGAAAATGTTTATGCTTCACAAGAGCGGATTTTCGCCTGAGCAGATCTGCCACAAGCTTGCCCTGTGTCAGATCAACTAGTTCAGATCAACTAGTTTTCTCTTTTCTCTTTTTTTCTCTTTATTGAGTAAATTTTTGTTCATGTTTTCAAGAATGCATTCGAAATTTGCACATTAAAATGAAAGGATTTTAAAAGTGGTTCTGAGCGAGAGTTCTGAGCGGAAAGCATATCTGCATTTTACGCTCATCGGATGCGATTTGCATATAGAAAAGATGAAAAGAGACTCGCGGATGTGCGCTATTTGATTGTCAAAAGTGGAAGAGATTTTCGGGTGCCCGAATTCACTCATTAGCGCCTTTCCCCGTCCATTGCGACACTAAGTGGATTTGCATATGCCAACTTTGTCTATTTCGGTCTTCTTCTGCTTTGATACCAGTAGGAAAGAGTTAAATCTAGATTTATCAAAAAAACTCAAAAACAACGAGGACTCGAACCTACCACCCTTCGATCACCGCACAACTGTGCTAACCATTACACCACAACACGCTTGCTGATCCCAAGTCCAGAGAGTGTTAACTATCTAGTTATTCATCACACCGACTTTTCAAAAGCTATACACATTGCAATGTGTATTTTGCAAAATTTCTTTAAAGATGTTATAACTTTTTGTAGAGTTGAGCAAATTTGATGATTTTTGCATCAAAATGTTCGTAAGAGTCTCTAGAATAAAACTTATCCCTTCGTTTTTGGTCCTAGACCCTCGTTGTTACGTTACGAGCCCCAAACTGCAGGGTACCACAAAATTTCCCATACAAAATGACCAAAAAAAACCGCTAAAACTAAATTTAAAAAATTTCTGTCAGAGGGATTTGAAAAATTCCTTCAGATTCGGAATCAGCACAATTTTCCGCATCTAAAAAAGGTACTCCCAGAAAAATCCGATAGAAAACGCATTTTTGCCTTATTTCGCGCCGACGGGCATTGTGTAAATTCAGCTTTCATATTATAATTCATTTGTAATTTGTATTTGTAATTTGTATTTGTAATTTGTAATTTGCATTTTGTAATTTACATTTTGTAATTTACATTTTGTAATTTACATTTTGTAATTTACATTTTGTAATTTACATTTTGTAATTTACATTTTGTAATTTACATTTTGTAATTTACATTTTGTAATTCACAGATTCAGATTGTAAAAACTGTTTCAAAACCTTTTGTATTGACATTGATGCAAAAATAAAGAAAGAAGAAATGCTTTGAGTGAACATTCTTCTTTCTTCTCTATAAGGGTCTGTAGAGCGGTTGACAACGAGTGACAAGAGGCCCTTCACGCTCATCATCGAAAAAAAGAGAAAAGAGCGACCATTCCTTTCCACAAAAACAGAACAACTCCTTCACTCAATCACCTCTTCGGAACACTAGAAACAGTTTTTTGCTTTTGCTTTTGCTTTTGCTTTACTTTTAAAAGCATTTACAGTACTTTGCAGACTTTTTTAATTCTTTACTTTTTCTACAAACTTTCGTTAATTCAAATTTCTGTATTCCTTCTGTCACCGATTAAGAATGGACTCCTTGAGATCATAATGAAAAAAGGAAAAAGAGAATGACCATGTGGCAATTCTTTGACACAAACACACCACCACCAATTAACTCATTGACACCAAAGCTGCAAGCTGTTGACTTAGAGAAAAGGAGAGGGATTATAGGGTTGTCAATGAATGAATCATTGAAATCTTCTCTAATTCTTTAGCAGTTAAAGAGTATCGTATTTTCTATAATAGTAGTGCACCGTAAGCATCGCCTAAATTGCTCGAAATCTTGAAAACCGCTTATCAGAACCTATCGATGTGGGATCGGAAAATGTAGCTGATGATGAGATCTAGTGGGGGATTTGAGTGTTGGGCTTCTGTGAAAACTTGGAAACCGTCATCCGTCCGTATCGTCATCCGTCATCCGTCACCGTCAAAATAGTCATTAACTCGGCTCGCCCGGGTGCACTACTATTAGAGAGAATACGGTACTCGAGAAGGGATGATAAATTCTGTGAGAATAAAGATAAAAATGAAAAAAACGCAACTTTTCCATTACAAGTAGCGTATTTTCTCTAATAGCAGTGCACCCTGAGAGTTGCCTAAATTGCTCGAAATCTCGAGAACCACTTATCAGAACCTATCGATGTGGAATCGGAAAATGTAGCTGACGATGAGATCTTGTGGAGGATTAGAGCTTCTGTGAAAACTTTTAAGTAAGCTTCTGTGAAAACTTGGAAACTGCAAAATAGTGATCAACTCGGCTCGACCGGGTGCACTACTATTAGAGAGAATACGGTAAATGATTTCAGAAAACCTATAGTAGCTGTTCGAATGGGTAATTCCAATTTCAGAATTGATTTTTTGACTTGAAATGCTTTCAAATCGTTTCAATAGATCTTGAAAGACTCGTCATTTTGTGGAAATTGGGCGGTGAAGAAAAAGGACGAGAATTTATGATCCTTCATCGGTTTCAAGGCAAGGACAAGGGTTTTTTAAAATTCTCTCCTTTTTAGGATAATATTTCATTCAACTTCATGGTCAATGTATTTGATTTGTAAATTTCTTCTACAAGCTTTGAACTACAAGCTTTCTTCTACAAGCTTTGAACTTATAAATGAATGCTCTGTGGCTTTTGAGACGAAAAGATCTGAGATCGAATGACCGAGAGTCGTGGGAATAACTCATTTTGGTAAACAAAGATGTCGCATATGCAGCTTCTTGGTTTATCAATCAAAAAGTTAACAATAATCTTAAGATAAATCTTGTCCTTGCTTCTATAGCTCTAAAAAGACAGCTGGATTTCACTTAAGCAGTCAAAAGCGGTCGTTTTCAAAGCTTTTGATTGAAGATGATTTTTTCAAGTGCTTTCTAGTATCTTTCTAGTATCTTTCTAGTATCTAGTGTTTCTTATAGTTCATTGTCTAGGGTTATTACCGTACTTTATCAATTTCTTCTCAACATTTATAGTTTCATTCTTTTCTCTTTATTTTTAAGAGAATCAGCTGAGTGTTTGTGGTGAGCGGATAGTCGGATATGGGAGTGAGAATGATGGGAGAGAGCCCGCCCCTCCCCCTCTTTAGCCTCCTTTCTTCCTTTCTTCCTTTCATCCTTTCTTCCTTTCTTCAGGCCGTTCTCTTTCTAGACACTCTCTGGAGATTCCTCCATTACTTTATCCATCTTTATCCATCTTTATTAACCTTTCTGCTTTTTCGAAATCTTGTTAAAACGCTAGAATTTTGAATTTCAGATGCGAGATAGTCGACGCGATAGATAATGCTTCGACTGTCGTTATTTTTGCTGGTGGCAGTCGTCGTATTGTCCATTTCAGAAGTGAAATCCCAGGTGATATCAAGTAAAATTTAAAATTCCCTACCTTTTAGCAGCCATCAAATGACTCAGCCGAGCCTAGCCTTCTACCACCGCTGGCTTTCTCAGTGCCCGAATCGGCTCCAATCGGACATCACATTGGCTATGTTGAGGGAAGTCCACAAAGTGGCACCGATTCACGATATTTTATTGTTTCCACCGATCCTGATAAAACTGACACAGTGAGTTCGGCTTTTCAAATGATCACCTTTTCTTTTTGAATTTTGCTTGAGAACTACAGCCATAAATTGGCTGTAGTTTTTTTCAGTGTATTTGCAGTTTATTGAAACAAAAATAGAGATGATATAGAAGTTTTTAGGGAATAGAACAGTTAGGGTTGAAGCTGGGGAAATGGTCGGCGCCGGGATTCGAACCCGCGATCTCTCACTGACCAGGCGCTTTCCAAGCGAACGCTCTACATTGACAGCTATATTGACAGTAGTCCATTACCGCTAGGATAGGGCTTTATGCCTGAAATTGAACAGATGAAGAATTAGTAATACTTCTTTATATACTAGGTAGTCAACATTGGGTAATTTAAATGTGAAATCGATTTAAAAAGATTTAAAAGCGGGAGTCACATAAACGATGGGTAAGAATCTGTAAGTTCTGTAAGAGTTTGACTATATATTGCATGATTATTGTTCAAGAAATGACTCAAGGGTATTTGAGCAATAGCGACGAGCCGAACACCATCGAAAGTCACCGCAATTTCACGCGAGACCGATCACTCTTTTTGGGGGAAAGTCCTAAACGCAAAAGGATGCCTAAGGGATAGTTTGATCCCCTCTTGACACCCCAATCTTCTCTTTTCCTTCTTTTTCTTCTTTTTCTTCTTCTACTTCTCTTTCTTCTCCTTCCTTTGCAGACTTTGTTGTACATTCTTGGTATGGCCTTGCCGATTCCCCGCAAACATCCTAATTATCCCACTAGGTGCCGTCTTTAAGAACTTTTTTTTGTTTTAAAGATTCTATTATTTAGAAGTAAAAGATAGAAAAGATAGAAAAGAATTAGAAGAGAATTTAAAAAAGAATTAGAAAAGAATTAAAAAAGAATGACGCCCAATCGACTACTAATGCTACCAATGCTTGAAAATTGCATAAAAAAAATTCCAAACTGTTTATAAGGATTTGGAAATTGAAAGAAATACTTTATCTGTATCTTTTCAGAAATGAAAAACGGTTCAAAATGATTTTTCATTTCTGAAAAAATACATTTAAACTATTTCTTTCAATTTTCAAATCCTTATAAACAGTTTGGGAATTTGTTTATGCAATTTTCAAGCATTGGTAGCATTGGTAGTCGATTGGGCGTCAAGGTCTCTAACATATCCTTTAGATTTCTTTCTCTCTTCTTCCTTCATTTTCTTTTCATCCCTCACAAATGGTTAGAGACGTTAGAGACGTTAGAAACGTCTCTATTGAATACAAGGACACTTGGTAACCCCCAAAAGATTCGACGATTTCTTTTCTCCAATAAAAACTAAATAAATTCACAGCATAAACATCCGTAATATGGATTTTCTTCTAAAGACAAAGTGTTTTTTTGTTTTTCGTTGGCGTAGAGCGTATTAGGAGGGGAAAAGCGCTGAAACAAAAGGATTCCAGTGGGGGTGCCAATTCAATTGGAAGGAGCTTTCGGCAAGAAGAATTCAAAGGAGAGGGAGCCACAAGAGCTATGCACCCCTCGGGACCATCCTCAACTCGAGTAAAGTGACCATCACTCCTTCACTCCTCCTTTTGCTCTCTAGAAATAGATTTATAGATTTCGCTAGGGTACAGCCATATTCGCTAGATTTGTTTTCGGAAAAATTAGGGTTTTCAAGTGTTCTAGAGTTTGAAATTTTGAAGTTCTTGATTCTGAAAGTGTAGAAGCTTACTTTCAAAACTTTTGACTCACTTTTCACTCAAGCTCTTTCCAAAGCTCTTTCCAAATCTCTTTCCAAAGCTCTTTCCAAAGCTCTTGCCAAAGCTCTTTCCAAACCTCTTTCCAAAGCTCTTTCCAAAGCTCTTTCCATTTTAAGACCCATTACGTAATGTAAAAACAGATGACCTAGTAATAAACCGAGAAAGAGACGATTGCGGGATGGTTTCTTAGAGTGTTCGATTGGGAAGGACATGCAAGGGATGTCCTTGTCCCTGTTCGGGAGAATCTCTTTCCGATAACGGCTTTTATGCGGCTCTCAATGGTCCCCTTTCATTCTAACGGTGACCATTCAAATTTCACCTCTTTCCCCTCCGTGTTCAATCCCATTCACCGCTGAGACTAGTTTTTACCAGTTCTAAAGAAAGTTTTGAAAAAAATGCGCACAACTCTTTCTTCTCTTTTTTTTCTTGGCATTCACGGGGAAATCTATTTCAACTTTCTGAAGTCGAAGTTGAGAGAATGATCGGTTGAATTGCTGGGAGAATGATCGGTTGTTTTGAATGCAAGCCACAACAAATGGCCTAACTCTTTTCGGCAAAGAAGCTCTCCCATTGACCCAATAATCAATCAAAGACTGCTCTCATTGTATGACAAATGACTCTCTTTTGAAGGGGGGCGGGAGGGGGATCGGATGCCCTTTTACATTCCTCAAAGCTTTTTTTTTGTGCACAAATTATTGGAGAAATCGTATTCGAAAAAATGATAGCTTAAAGAGTACTTAAAGAGTTAAAGAGTTAAAGAGTACTTAAAGAGTACTTAAAGAGTACTTAAAGAGTACTTAAAGAGGAGTTAAAGAGTACTTAAAGAGTACTTAAAGGGTACTTAAAGAGGAGTTAAAGAGTACTTAAAGAGGAGTTAAAGAGTTAAAGAGTTAACGAGTTAAAGAGCTAAAGAGTACAAAATTGAGTCTAAAATACTTGTACTTTTTGAAGGCAATTCATATCGATGAACGAACGGGTGAGATAACTGTTGGAGCAGGATTGGATTATGAAACACAAAGACGATTCGAGCTTGTCGCCATCCCAATTGGAGGGGGTATTTGGGGAAAATAAAAGAAGAATTCATAATGAAAGTATTAGAAGCTGGGATCCCAGTGACGGTGAATGTAGAAGATGAAAACGATAATGAGCCGACGTTTACACAGTCGGATGTTCGACTTGAGATCAGCGAATTTGTTCGAATTGGCGCTGAATTCCCGCTTCCATCGGCTGTCGATCGGGATGGACCACCGCTTGATGTACGGACATATAAAATTATCCAGGTAAACCAACCTTAATATCTTTGATCTTGAGCGTAAAACTCATCAATGCTTTAAAGGGAAATGTGAACAATGTTTTCAAATTGTCGACAAAACGAGTCAACAATGTGCTTTATGCGGATTTGATGGTAAATGGGAGATTGGATCGAGAATATCGAGAGAGTTATGAGCTTCTTGTTGAAGCATCTGATGGAGGAAATCCACCGAGGTGAGTTTATTGTTGTGTTGGTACAAGGACTCAAAAAAACTATAAGGATCCTCAACTAAACACTGACCTAACCATCTTAAAATAAAAGAAATCATTCAACAATCTTATCACTTTTTAGAACGGGAGAGCTTCATGTTTCCATTTTGATCCTTGATGCAAACGACAATGCACCTGAGTTCTCTGAAAAGGTTATCGATTTAATCTAACCTTTAGAAAGATTAGAAAACTAGAAAGATTAGAGATCTAGAAAGATTAGAAAACTAGAAAGATTAGAAATCTAGAAAGATTAGAAGTCTAGAAAGATTAGAAATCTAGAGAGATTAGAAATCTAGAAAGATTAGAGAACTAGAACGATTAGAAAACTAGAACGATTAGAAAACTAGAAAGATTAGAAATCTAGAAAGACTAGAAATCTAATCAAAAACAAAAATCAGATCTATCATGCTATGATCGATGCGAATCATCCAGTGGAAAAAAAACCGATTCTTGAAGTAAAAGCTCTTGACAAAGATTCTGCACATAATGGACAAGTCTCTTTTCGAATTGCCCAGGTTCTTTCAAAGAAAATCGATTTAAAATACCTATCTTCTTAGCCAGCTTCATCTGTCGGCCGATTGTTCTCATTGTCGTCAAATGGCGTGCTCACGAGGAGGCTAAAGACGACTCTCCCATCCGGCACTTTTGAGTTTCCTGTAATTGCTTCCGATCATGGAATGCCTCCACAAGAGTCCAGTGTTGTGGTAGGGAAGAGCTAGAACAGCAACTCTACCATGTTATACGATACGGTTCTAGGTGTCAGTGACGGTGGAAGGTGGTTCAAGCAGAGCTCCATCTCTTGATGTTCTTTGGCTCACCGATCACACTGAGCCTCGACTTCTCGAGAATGCGACTCTTGGATCAATCGTTGCTCGTGTGAATGTTACAAATTACGATCAACAACACGGGTTTTTTAAAAAAATCAATCTCTCGACTCTTAAACTTCTTTTAGAGGTTTGGAATTGAGTGGATGCACGTCATTATGTCTTCAACAATCTCAACATCCATTTGTTTATCTTCTAATCATTTGTGGTCTTTTGGATAGGGAAACCACTTCAACATATCATTTGAAATTTGTTCTTAAGAAGGTAGAAAAAGAATTGAATTCCTTTTCAACAAGAAAATCTTAGGGAAAAGATGTCATTCTTGAACATCCCGTTGTGCTCACAATTGAAGATGTCAATGATAATTCACCACAATGGACAAATAAGAATTATCATCTCATATTAAATAGAACTCTGTCATTTACAGGTAATAAAGATAAAGATAAAGATAAAGATAAAGATAAAGATAAAGATAAAGATAAAGATAAAGATAAAGATAAAGATAAAGATAAAGATAAAGAGAAAGATAAAGAGAAAGATAAGATAAGAGAAAGATAAGATAAGAGAAAGATAAGAGAAAGATAAGAGAAAGATAAGATAAGATAAAGATAAAGATAAAGATAAAGGTAAAGATAAAGATAAAGATAAAGAAAAGAAAAGAAAAGAAAAGTTTTTGAAATGATTTCTAGAAGATCCTCAGCTTGATCTATCAGCTATAGACGTTGATGCCGGGAATAATGGCCGTTTACATTATTGGATTGAAGGCACTGATGTGATAGGAATTGATGAAGACACCGGTCGAATACATTATGCGACTGAGGTTCTAGCGACTAGATAAAGCTAATCCATTTATTTCAGCTCGATTGCTCGATTGGCTCAGAGTTACGCTTTCGAGTGCACGCTTCCGATAGAGGAAATCCACCATTATCTGGAAATATTCAAGTAAAAAGTAATAAAAAAAAAATCAATTGTAAAGTTTTCTAGATAACTGCTGATATTGTCGATTCAGCCGGTAAAGCGCCACAGTTTGAGCGAGCTTTATACACGGAAAGGATTCGAGAAGATGTCGAAGTTGGGACTTGTGTCTTAAAGGTAATTGATAAAAGTCGACTAGATTATTAGACTAGATTGTTAGACTAGATTGTTAGACTAGATTGTTAGATTGTTAGACTAGATTGTTAGATTGTTAGATTGTTAGATTGTTAGATTGTTAGACAGATTGTTAGATTGTTAACTTGTCAAATTGTTAGATTGTTGGACAGATTGTTAGATTGTTAGAAGTCTTAAAAGTTTGTCTAATTCTTGAGGGTATTCATTGATCCATGACCGGTCCTTTTTTTGTCCTTTTTATCCTTTTTTAAGGCTAAACTTTCTCTCAACAAACAAACTTTACTTGTTTGCATAGCCGATTTGCGGTATTTCTTTTGAAAAGTTTTTAGATGGTAGTCGATTATTGACTGGTAGTCGATGATTGATTATTAGAATATCACTGATAGATTATCACTGATTGATTATCACAATTAGAAACGAAAAGCTTCGAGCAATGTCATGATAAGAATGCAATTCAATACAATTTCACAATACAATGCAGAAAATAGAAAAAGATTAAAAAAAAACACAGCATCACTGGTAGCACAGGTTTGAAATTCGCCTAATCATTAGAGACTTCTTAATCCCTTTTCCCGGATGGAGCTCGTCGTTTTGTGCTTGCACTTCGAGCTGGAGCGTTTGAGCCTCCACGAGTCGCACTCCCCTCACGACCACCCCTTGATGGAGTCGTTGCTCGAGATGGAGTCGTTGATCTAAAGCTTAGACTTTTGTCAAGTGAATCAATTTCGATCTTTGAATTTTTACCTTGAACCAGGCCTAGACCCAGTTGTGGGCCTTGACGGGGTTTTATCTCTGCTCGCCGCGCCTCCTCTTCCCGTGCTTCCTGCTCGTCCACCCCTCTTTGCCGTTTCCGGTCTTGCACCCACCTAATTTCTGATTTCAAATTCATTTCACTTCAACCACCTCATCCATCATTTCAGCCAAATCTTGCCCCCGTGTCTTCTTCTTTTTTGGTTTCTCTTTCTCTTGATCTTTCACTTCCATCTAAATTCTGCTAAATTTCATTTTCATTTTCTTTTCTTTCACCTCTTTCATTGCATCTTTTAATGTTTTTCGTCCCTCCGATGCATTGATTCTTTTCACATTAAGTTCACTCTCGACAATGAACTGTTGCTCATCAGCAGCATCAGTAAAAAAAGACATATCAAAAGCGGCTGGGGCTTCTTTTTCACCAGTTTCTTTTCTACAAAATTTTAGAAATTAGAAAAGTTGAATTTTCTTTCAAACTTTTTGCCCATAAGAGCAAGAAGAAGGGTAAGATCTCCAGAATCGGTTGTGGTGTCGTTTGCCGAGGCGCCGTTCTTTCCGCTCATTGTGCCACCACCCTTTAGCTGAAAGAGATGTTATTAGAGTTGATCAGAGAATTAGATTTCAAAACAAACATCAATTGGATGAGAAGCTCCTCGATACATATTGAATCCAAGCCGAGTCGTGCGCTCTTTTGCTTCACCGAGGTTGAAATTTTCCTACAGCATTTCATTTCTTTTCTCTTTTCTTTTTTTTTACCTTATCAGGAAGAAAATTGTAATTGTCTGGAGCTGGGAATTTGCTCGTTTTCATCAAAGCTCCATCCTCATAGTAGCGAACGATTCCAGGGTATTCGGATTCCTGTTTGACTTGTTTGAATCAATCTTTTGGCTATAAGTACAGTACTGGACAATGAAATATCATATTTGAAAAAGGATCGTCACTTTCTCTCTCAAAACTCCCCTGTCTTTGAGTTTAAACTATTAGTGTTATCTGAAAATCTGTGTTATTTTCTGAAAGCTCTTTTCAAGGGCTACACAATGGTAATATTAATATTTAGAGATACGGTAAAGACAAGGGAGTTACAGACGCGCGAAAGTGACGAAAATGACGATCTTTTTTCAAATATGATATTTCATTGTCCAATAGTGTATTTACTTTTGGGATATCGACATTTGCATCATGTGGATATAAGACAAAATGCCCGGATTCAAGTTGTTTCCCTTCTCGAAGCAAGATTGACACTTTCACTTTTGTATCCTAAATAAAAACCCAATTTAAAATGTAGAAATTTGAACTTTACCTGAAAAAAGGTCAACAAGCAGCATCTCATCAAAGAAAACTCCCAAATTTGCGAATTTCTATAGGCGGACATTAGCTGAATTAGCTAAATCAGCTAAATTAGCTTAATTATTCGATATTTCATCTTATTCATTTCATATTTTTTTTAAAATATAATAACAAGAAATGAAACAAAATAGCTCTGGGTTTATTGCTTTTCTTTTTTGCTCCGAAAACAAGCCGGCAATAGGCAGCCATTGTTTGCACATTTTCAACAAATAGCTGGCTCATTGCCAGTCCGTAATGGGCTTTTAAGGAGAATATGGAATTGAAGGAGAATGAGGAGAAATACTGAAATCTGATACTGAGAAATACTTTCAAATCGTGATCTTTATCTTCTACGCTAATTATAGGATGAGCAAGAGTTGAAAGTGAAAACAAGAAAAGAAAGGTAACCAAGACTACGAAAATTGATTTTGTGAAGATTCCCAAGGGAAATCAGAGCTGAATTTTTGAATCATTAAATGCTGAAAATGGAAACGATCTGGGTGGTCATGAGAAAAGGATAAAAAGTGAAAAATCAAAGATAGGAAAGTCAAGCTGAGAGGGGAATGATTTGAAGTGAAATTTTGGCATTAAAATGAGATGCAAAAATCTATCGAATACGGCGAGTACGATGGTGATTTCAGATTTTTGTTAAAAATCGCTAGTTTTCGAGAAAAACAACTTTGAAATTTCGATCTTTATTTGAAAACAACGCTTCTAAAGGACTTCTTTCGGGCCCAGCCAACAAGCTCTAGTGGTCAACTGGTAGAGTCCTCGCATCTTATTCTCGCGGTCCTCTCTCGGCCCTGGTTCGAGCCTGGCCACTGCCATTTTTTCCCTTTTTCCAAACTTTCTATTGATAGGGTTATAGAAATTCATTATAGAACTTTTATAGGTGATAGAACGTTCTACTGGTTATGCGTTGACTCATTAGGGTCGATTTGTTCCTATTGAGATAGGTATTTGATAGGTTTTGATTGGTATTTGATAGGTTTTGACTGGTATTTGATAGGTTTTTGGATCTCATTTTAGTATTGAAATCTCAGTCACTTCTTCAAATCATTCACTTGTGAGAAAGGATTTGTTAGTCACCATAGCATGCGCATTGTCGAGTAGTGGGATGAGATCGCGATCATCGGGCATCAATTCTCGCATTCCATCCAAATGATTGATTGTGATTGTCAATAGCTGAAGATTTTTTTGAATTATTTAACATAAACATTGAAGAATAACCTGTTCCGGTGTGGCTGACACTTGAATTTGATACTTTACAGTCATCGTGATCAAATCATAAAGTTTATCCATACTAAAAATGTTGAACTTGAACTTGAACTTGAAAAAAGAATTTCTTTAAATTGAAGAGAACGTTCTTTTCGTTCTCTTCAATTTAAAGAAATTCATTCTTCAATCATTACAAAAAAAGAAAAAAAAAACCTTGTTTCGTTGAGTCTCATAATGCTTGAATGAGCGAGTTTCTCGAAAAAGTGACGCATCGTTTTTCGCGAGTGAAGATCCTAGATTTTAAGGGTGACATTTTAGGGTGACAGTTTTTTTGATACCTGTGGCTTGAAGAGTTCATCAAGAAATTTCCGATTGAGCATCGTGTAGGTGATATCTTGAAGGACTTTATTGCTTTTCTCTGAGCCAACATTCTGCAATGTCTAAAGGATTTTTTGCCTTTGCTCTTTCTACTCAATTTTTAATTTGTTATCACCTTGAGTCGTTGCTCTAAGATGTACACCATTTCAGCCCCCATATTCAGCAATAGAATCGGCATACATCGTTGACTCATTTCGATTTCTGTAAAGGAAACAGTTCTCTACAAAAAACAAGGCAAACAGGCTCAAGGGAACATTACTGATATCTGGATGAGATGAGAAATGAATGAGAAGAAAAGGGAACAAGAAGTCACTCCTCATACACAAATGGCAATCTGTTGTTGTCATGGAAACTTCATCTCTTTTCTTCTCTTTTCTTCCCCTTCCTCTTTCTTTCTTCCCTCTTATAATCTATACTTTTCTGGTATTTCTCGTTTTGTCACCACAAAAATCGTCTCAAAAATCAGCAATTTTTGTTTTCGAAAGCGATAATCGGACAGTGAATTGATGATTTAAAATTTTAAATCTTAAAGAGAGCCGATCAAAAACTTGTGGTACCGCCGGGTCTCGAACCCAGGACCTTTCGATTATCAGGCCACTGTGCTAACCACTACACCACAACGCGCTCGACGGCCTCCTACTCCAGAGGGGCTTAAATGAAGACTTCTCCCTAAAACCAACTTATCTTGGTTAAACGAGAAATTTGCAGAATAGAGCCAAATTTGAAGCAAAATTTTCCCCAAAGAATTTGCAAAACGCTAAAAATTTTCAAAACGATCAACCCGGCTTAGCCTTTTGAATTTAAAACTTTTACATTATAAAAGAAAAAAGAAAAAAGAAAAATAAAGCTGATGCCAAAAGAAATCTTTCTAAACTTTTGAAATGATTAGAAAAGAATCGAAAAGAAAGCTGAACGCACAGGTGTATTCACCATTTTCATTACACGGCCAATATGCAGCTTGTGCTTAATCCTTTCCCCCCACTTTTCGTCCTCTTCTTCCCAGGTGCCCCTCAATTTGAGGGCATAGCGTGTGTCCGAATCAATCCACTACTCACTAATGAGTCTCACGGTTGACAATCCCAGATATTAAACCAAATATTGGAATAACCAAAGAGATGAATTTGAATGAAACTTGTTGATAGAGATCGTAAATATAAATGCTAAAACCGTATTTTCTCTAATAGTAGTGCACACCGACGAGCCGAGTTGGTGTCGATTTGACGGTTTCCAAGCTTTTGCAGAAGCTCAACACTCAAATCCCCTACTAGATCTCATCGTCAGCTACATTTTCCGACCCCACATCGATAGGTTCTGATAAGCGCTTTTCGAGATTTAGAGCAATTTAGTCAAAGCTTAGGGTCAACTACTAGAGAGAATACGAGATTCGGCGATCACTGGATTCAGCTAAAACTATTGTAATCTAGAAATTGAATACCTGAGAAAGAGGTATCACCACGTTACCGTAATCTGCCAAAGCTGATTGCTCTATTCTCTTTCTCTCTAATAGTAGTGCACCCCAGCGAGCCGAGTTGGTGATGATTTTACGGTTTCCAAGCTTTGCAGAAGCTCAACACTCTAACAACACCCCACTAGATCTCATCGTCAGCTACATTTTCCGACCCCACATCAATGACTTGTGATTTTTATGTTAACTCAAGTTTCTAAAGACTTTTGTTATTCATTTTGTAGAAAGTTCTCGATAAGTTTATAATGGTTTTCAAGAGGAGATTCAGAGCTATCACATTCATTGTAATACCGTATTTTCTCTAATAGTAGTGCATCGGAGTTGATGACGATTTTACGGTTTTCAAGCTTTCGCAGAAGCTGCAGAAGCTCAACACTCAAATCTCCTACTAGATCTCATCGTCAGCTACATTTTCCGACCCCACATCGATAGGTTCTGATAAGCGGTTCTCGAGATTTCGAGGAATTAGGCAAAGCTTTTGGTGCATTACTATTAGAGAAAATACGGTAATAGCTGAGAATCTGTGACTTAAAAACGATAACTTTTAGGTGTTGGCTTTGTCGAGAAGTTGCACATCAGCTCGTCGTATTCGGTATGCGATGAAAACCCGACAACCGAACGAATCAGTGAGAATCAATCAAGTGACAACAATTGTTTCCATTTTTTTTTTCAGAAATTATCAGTCGACTCAACGTCCGGTGCCGTCTGTATTGCAAAAGCTCTCGATTATGAAGTTGAAAAAACAGTTCAAGCTGTTATTGAGGCAATCGATCACTGTAAGTGTTGAAGAAAATTGGGATTTCTCAACTACTCTTATTTTGAAAAGCTATAGCAGAAACCCATAATTTTCATGGAAAGCTAAAAAGATTTTGTACAGCAAAGAATCTATAAACTTTTCTAATTGCAAAGAATCTATAAACTTTTCCAGTGGGTGCCTCAGCGACCACAGTCGTAAACATCGATGTGGATGATGTGAATGATAATGTACCCGTTTTCTATCCCCAATTCTACAACATAACAGTAAGTCTTTATACAGACATACAAACAGACAAACAAACAGACAGACAGACAGACATATTCACATAAATTATGTGATACAAATAATACATAAACAGCTCTAAATGTAGAGAAAAAATGGAAAAGAAAGATAGAATAAAAAGGTTTAATAGGGATTGAACCTTGACCTCTCGACTAAGATACAGGGCTCCTAACCAGTCGGCCATGGAGGAGGAACGTCGTTTCCTGATGTAAGAAGTTATTCTTACGCACCTCCTCTGCCAGTTATTGTCACGTTCCTTTCCGCCGTGTTCCTTCTCTTCAATGGCCTACTGGTTACGAGCTCGGTATCTTAGTCGAGAGATCTCTTAGCTCTTAGCCAGTCCGCTCTCTTAGCTCTTAGCCAGTTGCAAAAACGATAGCTTTAAAAATCTCTAGATTCGAGAAGGCGATGATCATCGAGATGGCGGTTGGAGAGAATTGTTGATAGTACAAGCAAGCGATTTGGATAGTGGACTGGGAGGAGAAGTGAGATATTCACTGTCGAGTGGTGAGCCGAGTCTTTTCCGCGTTCATCCAACAACCGGTGCCATCTCTGCAAGAGAAGCCCTTTCTCGTGGCGATCACACACTTCAAATCGAGGCCATTGATGGTCTTGGTCGTTCTTCTCATTCGTCAGCCTTCGTTCAAATCAGTGTCATCGCTCAAATGGCGCTTGCTCCCATTTTCTCACAAGCGAAATACGAATTTCACACATCGGAGGACATCCTACCGGGGATTTCGATTGGTGGAGTTGAAGCAAGCGGTGGACCGGGAATTCGATACTCTATTTATAGTGGTGATCCAGGAAATCATTTTACAATTCACCCAGAAACTGGACGACTCACCGTGGCCAGATATCTAGATGCTGATAAACAGGACACACTTTTGCTTAATGTGAAAGCTGATCTACCGGGAGGACTTTCCAATCATACACAAGTACTCATTCAAATCGATGATCACAATGACAATCCACCAGAATTCCCACAATCACTCATTGAAGTCGTTGTAAAAGAAGACACACGACCCCAGCAAACTATTTTCATCGTTCAAGCTATTGATAAAGATAAGAGAAAGAATGGAGAGTTGACGTATTCGTTGATTTCATCAGTTCCACCAGCTCCAATTCTTGTTCAACCAATTACTGGACATTTAGTACTTACTGCTCCTTTAGACTTTGAAAGAATCAAAGAATATCGTCTTCGAGTAAAAGCTCAAGATCATGGAATCCCTCCACGATCCTCGAATGTTACTGTTTATTTAAAAGTTTCAGATGTAAACGATAATAAACCAATCTTTGAGAAAGATTTGTATAAAGGAAAAGTGTTTGAACATTCGGCAGTTAAAACTCAAATAATTCAAGTGAAAGCAAATGATCTTGATTCAGAGGAAAATGGAAGAATCGAGTATAGAATGGATGAATCTGTGATTGAGTTTGGTGTTGATATACGAAATGGAATCATCTTTACAAAGAAAGATCTTGATCGTGAGGTTGTTGGTGAGTACAATGTGACTGTGTACGCTTTTGATAGTGGAAATCCATCAAGAGTTGGTTCAACGAAAGTTTTTATTGAAATCCTTGATATAAATGATCATTCACCGGAATGTATTGATCAAACGATCACAATCACAAGTGATACAGATTCTAGAAAACCTCTTGGAGCTTTACTTGCTATTGATTTAGATTCCGGTGAGAATGGAGCTTTAATCTATCGAAGTCAAAGCAATCATCCGAATTTTATTGTTAAAGGAAATGGAGAGATTTTCTTGAGAAATCCTTTAGGCAATAGTGTTGAGCATCGGGTTTCGGTGATTGTTTCTGATACTGGAAAGCCTGCTCGATCAACTGTATGCCATTTTGTTATACGCGTTGTTGAAGGGAAAAGTAAAATCGAATTAAAGCGACCATTTGAAAGTACAATTCGAATTGGAAACAATTGTACAAATGGTTGTCGCTTGGCACAGATTAATGCTACAAATGTGGCATTTTGGCAAATCCAAAGCAACGAACATTCAACTCTTTTCTCGATCACTTCAACCGGTATTCTATCACTAAGTAATTCGGTTGAGGCTACGAAAAATCCAATTGCAATCACTCTAATTCTATCTGATGATGATGGTCGACAAATCTTGATCCCTCTTCGTATTATACCATATAGAGATTTTAATGGTGAACATATCTCGATTTCGATTCCTCTCAAAACACCAATTGGTACAAAATTGATCGAAATTGGAGAGAAATCGAAATTGGAGAGAGATGGAGAGAGAGATCGATCTTTCTTTTATAATCTCTTGAATAAAACGGATCTAATTGATGTTGATGAAGTGACGGGCGATGTATTTCTCATTGCAAAACCAAAAACCTATGCTGGACAAGTGATTGATTTTTTCTTTGAGAAAGGATCCGAATCCACTTGTGAGACGGCTGTGAAAATTGTCAGTGTTGAAATCGAACCCTCTCCAATCAAACCACGCTTTACTCGAAATCTTTTTCACACCAATCTCTCAGAAGCAACGATTCCAGGTAGTTATGATTTTAAAGAAAGAGATTTATAGTTTTCTATTTATAGATTTATATTTATAGATTTCTATTTATAGTTTTCTATTTATAGATTTCTATTTATAGATTTATATTTATAGATTTATATTTATAGTTTTCTATTTATAGTTTTCTATTTATAGATTTCAATTTATAGATTCAATCATCTTTACTCCAATGTTAGATGTCTGGCCTAAAACAACAAGTTTCAAGTTGCTTGAAGGCGATGACTATTTTAGCATTGACCCAACGAGAGGAGTTTTAAGTTTGAGTCGACCAATTGATTGGAGTGAGGTGAAGAGGCTATAAATAATATTTTATGGAAATTGATTTAGACTCCATCATTGATTGCGGTGATATCAGCTGAAAATGATGGCCTCTCTGCAAGTGCTGCCATTCTTTTCAATATCGAGGACACAAACAATCACTCGCCTCGAATCATTAGGTAAAAAATTGTGTCGAAATTTAAACTCGAATTCTAGTCGATCAACCGTTCTACTGTCACATCCAGCCGCTCGCCCTTTACACTTTGTTGTTGGTGTTGATGAAGACAGTGGAGACAATTCTCGACTTATTTACTCTATTGTAAATGGTGATAAAGCAAATTTTGCTATCGATCCAATAACTGGTTGGTTAAAGAAGTCGAAAAAGAATGAAAGATTATTTTGATTGATTAGGTGCCATTTCTTTAAATCGTCATATCAATGCGGATCAACAACTCACGATTCGTGTCACCGATAATGGAAATCCTCCACGTTTTTCTGAACAGAAAATTGAAGTGATTTGATTGATTGATTGATTGATTTACTGAATTGATTTACACTACTGGACAATGAAATATGATATTTGAAAAAAGATCGTCACTTTCGCGCGTCTGTAACTCCCTTGTCTTTACCGTATTTCTAAATATTAATATTACCATTGTGTAGCCCTTGAAAAGAGCTTTCAGAAAATGTATAACACGAATAGTTTAAACTCAAAGACAAGGGAGTTACAGACGCGCGAAAGTGACGATCTTTTTTTCAAATATGATATTTCATTGTCCAGTAGTGTACTTCAAAGATTTCGATTTTTATTTTAGATCAAGTTACATCATAGTACAAAAAGATGGTCATTTTTCAAGAGGCCTCATTTCTTTGTTGAACTTGAAACACTCATTCCTGGAACTCCAGTCATCGAGTTTTCATCAACTGGTATTATAAATATCATTAAAGATAGAATCTTTTAAAGAAATATTTTAGGAAAAGAGAAATTCACTCTCTTGCCGTTTAAAATCCCGTTTTCTATTGTAGAGAAAAGTGGTCGAATCACTGTTTCACAGAAGTTAGAAGATTATGAATACAATTTATTAGGTAATTTGAATAGATACTTTTTTTTCTCTCAAATATTTCCCCCATTTTCTTTTTTCTTTTAGTTTTTGCTGAGAATGATGCTGGTGAAAGTGATCACACAACGGTGAGAGTCATTAGAAAACGAAATGAAAATATTGGAGTAAAGGTGAAATGAGAGGAAATGAGGAAATGTCTTATGTAAAGGATTTTAGATTAGTTCAGCTTCATGTGGCAGTACGATAGTTCGAGAGAATACACCAGTTTCACACCTTAAACGAATTGTTGCAACATCACCAACTGGAAATGTTACATATCAAATACAAGGTTTTTAATAATAAAAGATTTTAATAATAAAAGATTTTAATAATAAAAGAATTTAATAATAAAAGCCTTTAAATAATAAAAGCCTTTAATAATAAACGACTTTAATAATCAAAAGCCTTTAATAATCAAAAGCCTTTAATAATAATTTTATAATGAATTCTACAGCCGGCAATGATGGAATGTTCATTCTTGAAGAGAAAACTGGATGGCTTTCTTGTAACAAATTGGATAGAGAAATCAAAGAAGAATACATTTTAGTCATTACTGCTAATGAAGCCAATAAATCGGTTTGTTAGATGAAAGTAAAAGGAGAAAAAAGAATTATAGGATACGTGCACTGTACGGATTCGTGTCGATGATGAGAATGACAATGCGCCGACGTGGATTGAAAGTTTTCGAGATCGAGAAAATGAAATGAGAATTGATGATGAGACGCAGTTGAGACAAGAGATTTTAACTCTAATTGCTATGGATGTTGATGGAGGTGAGAATGGGAAACTCGAGTACACGATCAGTGAAGATCCCACGCAATTGCTTGATATTGATCCGAATTCCGGGAAAATCTTCTTCGCAAGGTGAGATCTTCTTGCTTTTGTGCAACACTCTCCAAAGCTTCAAGCTCCATCCACGCAAAAATGATTCACAATTTTTAGAGCATTGCCAGTTTTGACGCAAGAGTCAAAGATTCGAGTGCGAGTCACCGATCGTGGTGTTGAGAAAAGGCTTTTCACGGAAAAGACAATCATTCTACGAGATTATCGAACCCATTATGAAGGTAGAAAAGACAGATGTTGTAGATTTGCTATTGAAAGCATATTGGTTAGTCAATAGTTTGTAGACCATTCGTCTAAAAACTATTGACCAAACTAGAGTGTGCTCCTCGCGAGTAATGTCGTTTTTTAAAAAGCACTTGGGAAAAATTACCGCAAAATTTTTTTAGCAAAAATTATTGCAAAAAAATGACCCAAAAATCACGAGCCCCCTTATATACGACACTTTTTAAAGATACTCATTTAAAGATACTCAGCCGTTTAACTGATTTCGTGGGAAATTCCCTTCCAATGTAAAAAATGATTTTTTGACAAAACCGTGTGCACACGGATAATGTCGTAGCTTTGCTATATTTTTCGCGCTATGGCTGACCCTTTTTAGAAAACGCATTACTCGACAATTACTATTGACCAATTTACTCGAGTAATTACTCACTCGCGAGGAATACATTCTAGCTAAAATGGTCTAGTTGGGTAAGATTACCGCAAAATTTTGCTAAGTTATTGCACCCCGAAAGACAAAAGATACAAAAGATGATTTATTTGGTAGCTCTAAGAATTTGCGTTAGCAATGAAACTACCTGCAAGTCAAAAACTGCGGAAAAGCGTTAAGTTGCGTCCCGCTTTTATATGTTTTTCGCGCGCGCGCACTTTTTAGAAAACGCATTACTCGACAATTACTCATGCAAATTTACTCGAGTAATTACTTACTCGCGAGGAACACACTCTACTACAAACTATTGAAAACTATACAAACTACAAACTACAAACCCCGCCATTAGCAATCCAACTTTAAACTCAAATTTCTTAGTGTTGAGCTGTTCAATTTTTGTACAAATGAGAGACCGAGAGACTTGGTGCATCCAGCTCAAGAATATTTAAATTAAACAATTCAGCACAAAGAAATTTGAGCTCAAAGTTGAATTGGTAATGGGAAAAGGGTTGTGGATCAAATGCCCGATAATCTAGCCGATATGCTTTTCTAGCAAACCATCTACAACACCAAAGAAATGAATTTAGATCCACCAGAGAAGCCCCAATTCTTGCGAGAGCACTACGTGGGTAGTGTGGATGAGGGACAGCCAAGAGGAAGAGAAATTCTCACAGTCTCCACTCTTCATTCATTGCCATTGTCTTCGCGAGATTCTCGTATCACTTACAGCATTATTGACGGGAATCACGACTCTGCTTTCGAGATTGATGGTTTTGGTACGATATTTATATATGTTTTATTGATTTGGATTGAAATCCAAATTCGATATAATATAGATTTTTAGGAACCATTCGAACAGCATTAGAACTGGACAGGGAAATCCGATCATTTTATGATTTAAGCATTTTAGCTGTTGGTCAATTTTCAGCTCAAGTAAGTGTCTACTCGTTACACAAAAATTTTGATAACTAGGTGAGAACTCGAGTTTCAATAACTGTCTTGAATACAAATGATAATGCGCCTTCATTCGCTGCTATAAGAAAAAGAAGACTTTCGGAAGGTTTGTTGAGTTAGATGTTTGAAAAGTTTAGATTTATATTGGGTTGGTGAATTGAAAACTGCGGGACTTTGAAGTAAAATTTATTGAACATAAAACCATCAATTCATTCCATATAATTTCCATTATTATTGATGACTTCTGCCCATTTTACAGGCAATTTGCGGATTCCTCTTTCGTAGTAGGATTTTGGTTTGTGTGGGAGATAAGTGTGAGACTCAAAAATGGAGGACTGGAGATGTCGAGATGTCCCAGTTTGAGCACTTTCTTCAAAAGAAACCCATTTTGGTGTCAATAGAAAAGTTGTAGAGAATCAAAAATGAGCCTTATAGCCAAATTTCCAAAAAGATACACTTAGTAGTTTCGCTTAAAATGCAAGTTTTGTGAAAGTTTCGTAAATTTGGCATTTCTTGAAAACCAGTTTTTGAATCGTTCTGAAAATTTGGATATAAGCTTGATTTTTGATTCTCTACAACTTTTCCATTGACACCAAAATGGGTTTCTTTTGAAGAAAGTGCTCAAACTGTCACATATGACAATAGCCGGCAGTTTTCAATTCACCAACCCAATACAATACTCTTCAAATACTCAAAACACTCAAAATTTCAATTCACCAACCCAATAATTACCATCAAAGAATCTAGGGACAATGGTTGGCACATTGATTACAACGGTGATCGCGAATGATGTTGATGAGGGAACGATTCTCGAGTATTCGATTCAAAGCGAATTCAACGATGAACAGGAAACGAGTGGTATGTTAAAGGAAAGATTTCCATTAGAAAACAATACAATATTAAAGGCTAAAGCTTTTTAGAAAATCATTTCTCTATCGACAGTCGTACCGGTGCCATCCATTTGGTGAAAAGACTCGATCGAGAGAAATTTGCCGAGATTTCTTTAAAAATCAGGGTTTTGTGTTCTGGAAAATTTAGAGATTGTAATCAATTCTAGGCTTGGGATGGGAAATATACAGCTTATACATCACTCTTGATTGAAGTAATCGATGAAAACGATAATGCTCCAATTTTCACTCAACAACTCTACGAGGTAACCCTTCATTGCAATTCATCATTCCAACTCCATCATTGCCATTCCATCATTGCAATTCCATCATTGCAATACCATCATTGCAATACCATCATTGCAATACCATCATTGCAATACCATCATTGCAATACCATCATTGCAATTCCATCATTGCAATTCGATCATTGCAATCCCACCATTGCAATCCCACCATTGGAAACCCACCATTGCAATTCAAAAACTTTCAGGCTCCAATTCCATCATCGCTAAAAATCGGCGAAGTGGTGACAGTACTTTCGGCGATTGATTACGATGTGTCAACAGAATTCTCGAAGATCATTTATTCAATGCATGATCCAGCTGGGATTTTCGTTATTGATTCAAAAACTGGTAATCATAGGGATGAAAATTCCTTTTTTTTTAAAAGAAAATTTAGGTATAATAACATTGGGAAAGGTGTTGAGTGAGAATTTGAAATCGAGTTTTCTTATTTCGGTGACAGCAAGCGATCAAGGGATTCCACCAAAGTCTTCTCACTCAGCTCTTCAAATAACGCTTAATGATAAGACGAAAATACGGCAACCACAATTTGAAATCGATTTTTACAAGTAAGGCGTTAATGGTTGAAGTTTTCAGCTTGATATTTCATTCAAATATTATATATTTTCAGCTTTACTGCACCTGAGAACACTCCACTTCACCTAGCGATTGGACGATTTGGAGTGTCAAGAGTCGAAACCGATCTCACATCATTTCCACTTTACTTTCGAGTTCTTGATCCATCCGCTCAACAATTTTTTGACATCGATCGCTTTGGAAACTTGTGGTTAAGACGAGCGTTAACTGACTTTAAAAAGTCGCTTTTCGAATTCCCGGTAGAGAGTTATTAAAGAAATTCATTATTCAGTGCAATCGGTTGATCTTTAGGTTGATGTATCGACTGGATGGCGTGGATCACTTTCTCAAAACTCTACTGCTCATGTCACGATTCAAATAATCGACGAAAATGATCATTCACCAATTTTTCAATCAAGTGATCATCTCAAAATCCTCTTTCATGAAGATTTTCTTGATGGTCATCTTTTGACAAAGTATAGTATATAGAAATGCCTTTAGAATATAAAATTGAGAATAGATTCTCTGTGATTGATGAAGATCTTGGCGAGAATGGGAGAATTGGATTGAGAATTGTTGCGGGAGATCATATGGAAAGCGTTCAACTTGATGAATCGGGAGCACTTTTTTGGAAAGGAGCAGATAAAAGTCCTCCAAATGGATCGCTTGTAATCGTGGCCACCGATTTTGGAGTCCCGTCAAGGTTCACTTTTCTTGAATCTCTTTCAAAGTGAAAATTTCTAGAAGTACATTGATGGAAGTACCATTCTCAGTTGAGATCTCAAAGTGGAGACTTAGTGCTCCGTTTTTCGCAATGCCTCAATACAGAAGACATGTTCGAGAGGGTCACTCATCGTTAGGTCTTCTCGGTTCTCAAATAATCGCTCAAATGAAAGCTGTCAATCGACTTGGTCTCAACATTTCTTTGCAATATTCGCTGAAAGATCAAGATCCAGTTTGTGCAATTGTGCAAATTACGGATGAGCAAATTCTTATAGATTTTCTCGATCGATCCACTAACTGGAGAAATCACTTCTCTAGAAGCGCTCGATTTCGAGAAACAACAAAGACACACAATGACTGTTTCTGTTACTGATTCTGGTAAGCTTGGATGTGAACTGTGAGCTGTGAGCTGTGAGCTGTGAACTGTGAACTGTGAACTGTGAGCTGTGAGCTGTGAACTGTAAACTGTGCACTATGAACTGTGCACTATGAACTGTGAACTGTGAACGGTGAACGGTGAACTGTGAACTGTGAACTGTAAACTGTAAACTGTAAACTGTGAACTGTGAACTGTGAACTGTAAACTGTGAACTGTGTACTGTGAACTGTGAACTGTGAACTTTGAAATCACTCCATTAGAAATCATTGTACTTTAAAAATCTCCAAAATATTTAGGTCGATCAGCTGTGACTCCATTAGAAATCATTGTGCTTCCGATTGATGAATTCCCACCAATATTTCTCAAATCTTCTTACACTTTCACGGTATAAGCAAACCAAAATCTTTGTGATAGAAAGAATTTCTTTCAGTTATCGATCGATGCTGATCCAGGCACGGAGATTGGCCAAGTTTTAGCCATTGATGGAGACGCTGGAAATGATGGAATTGTTTGTTTTTTCGGGAAAACGAAATTTTACTCTCATTTTTAGGTTCATTATCGAATAGAAGAGAGAAAAGAAAGTAAATCGGGAAGAAATTTCGGAATTGATCCATCAAGTGGACTCATTCGGTTGAGAACAAAAGTTTTTCTTTTTAGAATTAAATCAATTTTAAGATCAAATTTAGCTTGATACGATAAAAAATGGAACCATTGAGACATTGCTGGTGATTGCTGAGAGTGGGCCTTTGCAAAGGAGTCGGACAACTGTTTTTGTAGAGGTGAAGAGAGAGAGAAAGAAGAAGAAGAAGAGGAATCATTTGTAATTGTTGGAAATCATTTTTTTAGATTGGTGGCCTAGTTGGGCAGAAGAAACACGGCTCTCTATTGATGTGGAGTATTTGGGCGGCGATTGGAGTGCTCATGATTTTCCTCTTGATTCTTCTCATTCTTTGTGTTTATCGACACAAAAGGAAGCAAATTGAGAGTCCGCGTAAACAAGTACGTACTCGTTAAAAGCCATTTAACGCTTTTAACCATTTAAAAGCCATTTAAAAGTCATTTAAAAGCCATTCAAAAGAAAAAAAGCAAATCAAATCGATTTCTAGGTTTACGCAGTTTCTCGAGGTCAAATAGCTGTAATGGCGAATGTTTCTCGGGATTCTCCAGTCAAATCCAGACTCCCAAATCCATTGGTTTGTCAAAGATCTAGTTTTATAAACGATAAAAATAGATATTACATTGAAAAGTTGATAGAAAAAGTTTTGCACGATGACTTCTCAAAAACCAAGCCCTCAATTCTTTTCAGATTTCTTTTGATAAACTTAACTATATTTCAAAAAATCAGGGTGAGCCTAAGGTAAAAAAATAAAAGATTTCTTCAGCTGAAGTCACTTGGTCACTTGGCTTTTAAGTGAGCAACCTTTAAACAAGTTTTTAATGGAGTTAATGAATAGGCAATAATTCCCATTCAAAACCTAAAATCAAATACTTAAAATAGGCCCGGAAAGGGAAGGGTCTGTGGTCGACCCCGTCCGATCTGCCAAGTTGAGCAACGTCGGCGCGGGTTAGTCGTGGGTTCGACTCCCATGGGTTCCCCTCCGAGCGCCCTAGCCCGGCCATCGGAGTATGATCGGCTACGACAACTACACTTCTGCCTCAGTAAATGTGGAAGCAGGTTGTGATCTGCGCTAAGTGCGAAGACAGATCAAATCATTATTATTATGTGTCTTGAATTTGTGGATTCGTTTTTAAGAAAATTCGAGTCAAACTTTTTTCCGAGAACTTTCTTTTCAATCTAATAGAAATGGAAATTGTGTGTTTTGCTATAGAAATAGATATAAATCAAATTTAATGCTAAATTCACTATAAAAGCTTAGCCATCATCGATGAGCTCATCAAATTCGGAAACTCAAAACATCCGCTCCTCTGGCATCTCTTCTCGAGAGTTTTTCACGACTCGATCTCAACCTGACTCTGGAATTGATCACGATACAGTTTGTTTTTTGAAATATTGAATTGTAAAATCAGAAATTAACAGAAATCTCAGGTTTCATTAACGTCATCAGTAAATGAATACCTCCAATCATTAGGAGTGAGTATTCCGACAAAAAACAAAACAAATCAACGACCATCACTTGGATATTCAAGGTTATCTATAAACAAGAATATAATAAATATCATTTCTCATAATATCATTCATTTTCCAGAGATGGAGATTCTCTAATCTATGCTCGATTGGAAGATATCGTTAGATCGGATCCATCTCCAGTAACGCGAACAGAGCACTTACGGACTGTAAGTACCATTGCTTAAAAGAACATAGTCACAAGTCTAGAGCATTCAATTCTTTGCAGTTTCCCTGCCCCCGTTCAGCGTCTCCAAGCTTTCAACCATTGACAGAGATTTTCGCTGAAATCGAGCGTCTTCAGCGAGAGCCTCCGCCATCTAAACCATCGACAAACCTCGCTCGTTTCGTTAACATCTAACATCATTGAATTCCCTCTCTTTTTCATGTCTTTCAGGTCATCATCCAGTCTTTCATCTAGTCATCTCAAACTCTTTTTCATCACCTCATTTCATTTGCTCAAAGCTTTTACAATTTTGAGTTTATCTTTTACTCTGATGCTCAAAAAGCGATAATTCTTGCATGTGTTCTTGCTTAAAAAAATATTTTATTGTGCGGGCATTTCAATGAATAAAGAATATTTATTGTAAAGAAAAGGATCTAAAGCAGAAAGAATAAGGCACAATTCATTAAAATCGATTAGAAATTCAATGGTTTGTAAAGTAAAGCGAAAGAGGCGCTTGGTGCGCGCTCAGCATTTCAGATAAAGCCAGAAAAATTGGTTAGAAGAGTTAAAGGCTTTGCTATATTGTACCGGCAAGGGTTTTTAACAATGAATAGCTTATTAAAAGGAGATTTTAATTAGCAAGGACAAAGTCTAATTAAATGGTTATTGAAGAGAAGAAAAGGCAAAGAAATGGGGAGTGGGACAAATGCGACCTTTTTTTTGCGCACCTGGACATTTGCGCACCTTTTTTTGCTGGAAAAGGCCTTAGGAAAGGTCGTAGAGCTTCAAAAATGTATTCATAGAAGGGTATCGTATGCGTAGATTCCGAATTTCGACAAATCACACCTCGCTGACACGTCAAATTTGGGCTAAAAGGTAAAAACTGCGGAAAAGCGTTAAGTTGCGTAGTTTTTGCCTTTTAGCTCAAATTTAACGTGTCAGCGAGGTCTGATTTGCTTTGATTTGTCGAAATTCTGAATCTACGCATACGATTCCCCAGTATGGAAACATTTTCGAAGCTCTACGACTTTTCCTAAGGCCTTTTCCAGCAAAAAAAGGTGCGCAAATGTCCAGGTGCGCAAAAAAGGTCGCATTTGTCCCACCCCCAGAAATGGCAAAGAAATGGGGGCACGCGCCAAAGCCGATCTCATTTCTGGAGAGTATTTCCTTGAAGAAGTCATCATAAAAGATTGATAACGATAAAAATAAGTTAAGCAAGTTTTTTTCAGAAATACTCTTCAGTTAAAAGAAGGGGAAATGATCATAAAACAAAGATCGTTAAAAGAAACTTTGTTTAAAATGACTTTAAAATATTAAACATTAAGTAAATCCTTTTCACAACACCAAAACCCAAAAAAAAAAAAAACGAAATCGCTTTTAAAAAAACATATCACAGTTATTGCTGGGATATAGAAAAATAACAAAAAAAAAGACAAAACGTTTGGAAAATTTTTTTGTATGGCAAAACGAGAATGCAAAGGACCTCGAACAAAACCCTGGCTTAAAGAAAAAAAGAAAAAAAAAGGCTTTACGATTAGAAGTAGAGCGTGTTCCTCGCGAGTAATGCGTTTTTTAAAACGCACAATTGGGAAAAAAAAATCAACGTACTTTTAGCAAAAACTATTGCAAAAAAATGACGCAAAAATGACGAGCCCCGCATTATACACGACACTTTTTAAAGATACTCAGCCGTTTAACTGATTTAGTGGGAAATTCCCTTCCAATGTAAAAAATTGATTTTTTTTTGAAAAACCTGGGGATAGGCTACTTTGCGCCAATTTTTTTGGCGCAACAGGGTCATTTGCGCAACTCGCCATAACTTTTTTTCTAAGTAAGCCAATCTTTATGATTTTTGTGTCATTTTGTAGATCTCAACAAGTGTAACAAAATGACACAAAAAAATCATAAAGATTGGCTTACTTAGAAGAAAGTTATGGCGAGTTGCGCAAATGACCCAGTTGCGCCAAAAAAAATGCGGAAACTAGCCTACCCCAAAACCTGCGCAAAAAATTGCTTTTATATTTTTTTCGCGCAGTCGCACTTTTTAGAAAACGCATTACTCGACAATTACTCGAGCTATTACTCGAGTAAAAAATTACTCATACAAATTTACTCGAGTAATTACTTACTCGCGAGGATACACACTCTAGTTAGAAGAAAATAAACGTACTGTACTAAAAGTTTAAAGGCACTGGTTTTCCTGAAATCCTCACACAGAAATTCTTTATAAAAATAAAACCGGAGAAAAAAAAAAACATGATGGCAATTCTCGGGATGTTAAAGTTTTCAATGAATGGCAAGTTTTTGGGGAAATTTTTGGTAAAACTTGATATAGAAAGCTTTGAAATTATGAGGTAAAAGAATAATTAAGTGAAATAAAACGCGAAAACAAGAACTACGATCTCCAGAACATTTCTTTAAACGACCAACGCTGAAAGTTAAAGTTTAGATAGCTTTAAAGATAACGTATTCTATTATGAACTGATTTTTTTTACCATAATCGTTTTCTATTATGCACTTTGTTACCTGACGTTTATTATTGTTCCAAAACGAGCACGGGGTTACGGTAGGCGGTGAGATACCCTCAAGGCGCTTCAAGAAATTCTCCTCGTCACTCTTTTCAGGAGCTGTCAAGCAAAGACCGCTCTCTTTGTGAGTGAATAGACCCTCCTGAATTATTGATTGATCAAGTATCAGTTGGGAACAAAGGGCTGCGATATTCGCCAAAAAAGGTGGGAGCGGGGGTCGAACCCAGCATTCCGAGATCTAGAGACAGACGCTCTGGCAATTCACCATGAAGACAGATTGATGGGGCGACTTTTCCCCTTTACACTCAATGGGTTTTCTTTCCTTTATTGAGAACTATCAGAATATTCAAAACCTTTTGTCGAAAATCCCATATTTCCGTTGGATAACCAGCGCATTCTTTCAATTCAACGTTCCATTCCGATGAAAGATGCGTGTTCTGAATTGTCTAACGTTTTCCCTTATTCATAACCCTTTTCGACTCCCATGGGTTCCCCTCCGAGCGCCCCAGCCCGGCCATCGGAGTATGATCGGCTACGACAACTACACTTCTGCCTCAGTAAATGTGGAAGCGGGTTGTGATCTGCGCTAAGTGCGAAGACAGATCAAATCATTATTATTATTATAACCCTTTTCTTGTTTCTTACCCTAACTGCTGAGAGACAAAGATGTTCATCAGTTTTGAGTCGACGATTCTTTGTGTAGAGCCAAAGCTGAAAGTTGGGAATAAGCTCTTTTAAACCAATAATTTGGTGTACATTCAAAGAAAAACTAAACTATTATAGTCATTTGATAGCCCTAAATCTTCTCTTGAAAACTAGAATAAAGTTACCGAGAACTTTCTGAATAATAAAAGTTCTTAAAAAGATAAAAATGACACCAAAAATGATTATTTCGCATCAGTCGCATTGTCGTAAATTTTTTTAATATTATAACCTGCTGTACTAAGAAGATTTTTCTTTATAAAATCGAAGCTGTCAACCTGCCACAAGTCAAAGCCAAGTGTGCATTGGGAGGCGGTTAGCCGATGAGCTTTGTATCCCTGATCGCCTTGTGGTCTGCTCACCAAGCACAGCCTTTCACCCATTGTCGATACCTTCAATCAAATGATTACCTCTTGATTTGTCCATTCTTTCTCGTTGTGACATCCCGTTGGGGAAAGGTCCGCCTTGCGGAGCCCGGTTGTTCTCGAGTGAGACCATTTCAGACAAAGAATCCCTTCACTCAGCCCCACCTACAACGAGAACGTTGCCACCTAGTTGGGGATTTGTTTTTTAGAAGATTGCTTGGGAAATTAGATAGCTAGATTGAAAAGAAGTTTAGCTTAGATTGAAAAGAAGTCAATAATTAGTGGAATAAGCTAGATCAGATATCTTATTTCATTTCTAAAGCTTAAAGTTACATTTTTAATGATTTCCCCCGACATCTTTTTAAAAAACAAACCCTTCCAAAGCGATCGCCTTTCATTGGTAGAAAATGATCAGTGAAAATATTGACCAAGTACCTGAAATTGATAAAATCTTATCTACTAGATATATATCTGTCCGTCCGTCTGTCTGTACAGGCTTTTTCTCAACCAATAAAGCTAAAACTTCTTTAGAAAACCATAGAATATATTGTAGTTGTGGCATTTAAAATAAAAAATTTAAAAATTGAATTGGCATGCCACTAAGGGGGTCGAACCCGGAACGTGTGGACTGTAGAAACAGACGCTCCCGACTGCGCCATGGTCAACCGAAAGGACTCGAGGAAAAACCAGCTGTTAACCGGGTTTCTCGGCTGGTTATCTCAATAAACTGACCAGTGAAACGATTTACAACGAAGTCTTTTCCTCAGCTCAACCCGATCCGAAACATCTTCTGTTAAGCGAAGTGCACCAGATTCTAAACGTTTAACCATTTAAATGCAAAATTCTCTTTCAAAATACGTGGAGCGATTCGATAGAAAAGCTCTTTCCACTCATCCATCCACACCTCAGCTACACGCATCAAGTTTCGATTTAACACCTGCATTTATTTATGTAAATATTTAGGTTAACATTACAAAAAACCTTTCCTGAGCTATGCCCAGGGAAATCGTGAGGAGACGCTTTGCGAAAGACGTGGCCAACGTGTGAACAAGGCAGGATCTCCACCCGACCTCCACATTGCCATACCTTAATTTTTGAATTTACAAATGTTTAGTAAAATTTAAAATCAGAATTTTTTGATTACCCTAAAAGAAAGCTCAAGATTTTCGCCTCCCCAAATATCCATCTTTCGATCATATTCTCCAAGTTCTTCGAAAAATTTTCGATCAATTGAAAAAAGTCCCCCAGCCATTGTTGGTGATCTGCTTTTGATTTCTTGAAGTTTTTAAGAGCTAATCTTACTCGATAGGCTTTGTTGGATCGACTCTGGCTTGTATGACATCTTTTGGAAGAGCATACCATCTACAAATTTGTTCTTAACTTACAAAAAACTTTCCTTCTTTCTTCTCTGCCAAAAAAAAGATCCCGGATAGCTCAATGGTTAAAGTATTTGCTTGGAAAGCAAACTAGCTTGCTTAGAAAGCAAACTCGCTTGCTTGAAAAGCTTGGAAAGCAAAAAAAAGCAAACAGATTTCAATCCATCTCTCCGAAATCTTTCTTTGCTATCCCTTATTAATCTTTTCAGAAAAATCACCGAAACTGAAGACTCCAATTAAATCCCCCGCGAAAGATCTCGATTCCTCTCTGATATTGAAATGTTCGATCATTTACTACGTCTATCACTGGACAAACAATAGCTTTCCTAAAAAAAAACTTGAAAAAACTTTTACGATAGATTATACCGAAATTCTTGAATCCTTGCGAGTAGTGGCTCCAACCATCCAATTGTACATTCGCAATGACTATCCAAAAACGTTAAAACATCACCCGTTGCTTCCTGAAATTGTTTTTTCACACTTTTCAAATTATTCAATTCACTTGTGCTCCCATCATTCTCGCTCTAATCAACCCGATTCGACTCTTTGATCTAACGATTTTAATCCGTATTCCTGAATTTTCACGAGCGAAATCATTCAATGGTTGCCGAAGAAAGGCTGAAAAATTTCTTTTTTTGATTTAAGATTTGCTTCACTTCGATTGCTGTAATCATCGACAAGGATAATCTCTTGAAGAAGTCGACGTGGTGAACGGGAGATAACCGAGGAAATCGTGCGCAACAGGGTTGAATAAGCTTCGTTGTGATAGACGATGATTACAGAAGTTGTAGGTAATGCTAGCTCTGAAATTTTTCTTTAGCTACAACAAGACTGATAGATACCCGAGTAAATCTTCTCTCGACATGCTTCTTTTCGGATATCGGGTAGTGATCGATTGATTGAAATCCGATCACTCACATACAAATTGAATTGATTTATTGGAAAAGTGTTCTCGGATTTGAGTTCTTCTGGAATGATTTGGGTTTTTGTTTTCAGCTTTGCTTTCAGCTTTCAGCTTTGCTTTTCAGCTTTGCTTCCAGCTTTACTTTCAGCTTTGCTTTTCAGCTTTTCTTTCAGCTTTACTTTCAGCTTTGCTTTCAGCTTTGCTTCCAGCTTTGCTTTCAGCTTTGCTTTTCAGCTTCAAACCTTTGATCGGCAATCGTACAGCTACCCCTCCTTCTCCCCATCCATCAATCGGTGAATACTCATTCGTGTTCATTTCCTCTAAGATTTTATAGTTTATTTGAGAATATTTTATGCTTTTATAGCTTTATTTTATATAATACCAGAAGCTTCCCTATTGCTTCTCAGCAAAAAAGTAAAAGAATTGATGGCAAGAGAAGGCGAACCCCCGACCTCACTCTTCCGTTTGTTTGAAAGATGCGCGTGTTAACACGGTGACGACAATGGCGTTTTTGCACAAACAATCGCATGGGACCACGTTGTTTTTTTTCGACAAAAAATGTCACCTGACATCAGGTGACAATGTCCCAGGCGAACGAATATGTGTCAGACAGCATCAGGTGACAATGTCGTCAACGTGTTAACCACTGAGCCAGTAGATGGCACAGTGGAGCATTGTCTCTAGCCCAGACAACCCGGGTTCGACTCCCGCCTGTGTCGGCACTTTTAGTTTTTGAAAAATTTTAAAACATGTTGCACAACTAGATGGAACTCTAAGCCAAACTAAGTATAGATTATTTAAAACAGTTCAATGAGCGCGGAGGAGTATTGGCAGATGACTTAGTCCCTTTATTCGACTTTATATAATAGATTTTGTAGTTTATTTTATAGTTTTATAGTTTATATAATATTCCTTACCATCAGTAAGATTATCTCGTTTCTCTTTTGGCAAATTTCCATTATAATGTCCGACTACTACCTGAAAAAAAAAACAATTATTTTATCGTTTTTACCAAAAACCTGCATTCCTTTACTGTTTTTTAATTCATTTGCCGACTCATCGCTCCTTTGAATTGGCCCCAAGATCTTTAAAATTAATAGCTTTTGAAAAATCAATTTTTATCAAAAAAACCTGATCTTGCAGCGACAAAATGACGAACGTGAGCAGTGTCCAAAGAAGAAGAAAACCGCACACACAAATGCTCACCTCCACCACTCGTTTCAGCTTCTTTCTCCCGAACCATCTTAAATTTCTTCAACTTTAGGATTATTTAAAATCATTACCGCTGCCGGAGCATGATGGATTTTGCTGTTTGGTGACAGCTTCCACGAGATTCACATCTGAAATTGTAGAAATCTATTAAAGAAGAACATGACTCGAAATAGGTCAATAAATAAAAGCATAAAGGGGAAGAAATGGAAATTCCAGAAAGAGACAGAAAAACGTGAGTGCGACTCGCGACTTGATGAAGGATTGGGATGGATTGAAGAAGGGGAGAGTGGATCGAAAGATGGGGATCGATTGAAAGGGAAGAGGGGGGAAGAGGGGGAAGGGAAGTGGGGGAAGGAAGAGGGGGAGACTGCTCCCGTTTTGGGGAGAAGGACAAGGACGATTTCCTTGAAATGACCAAGAAAAAAAGAAAAGAAGATATTGAATGGTAGACAAGGTAGAATGAGTAGAATGAGAAAACGGGTGAAACATCTGATTGGTTGGAAACAAATTTTGGTAAAGCTACGTTGAGCGCAGCCGATTTTATAGGATATCTCAAAATCCAACAACTATTATTGCTTGTCATTTCTCTCTCGTTGCCTTGATTGAAATGATTTTTTATATCAATCGACAGACGAAGAAATGACGAATCTAATTCTACAAAAAAAAAACGATTTCAATTGAGCAACTGAACGCCGAGATATTTGAGTTTAAAGTTCGATTTTCAATGGGAAATGGATGAAATTAAATGTCAAACTTTCTGAAATGATCAAATAAATGTGTGTTGTCAAAATTGTTGCCGCAAAAATTGTTGCAATAATTCTCAGACATCCTACATCCTGTCTAGGAGAGTTTTTTGCATGCTGCATAAAATGGATACTTTCTGGTAATCTCAAGCTTTTTGTCTATTCCATTTACAATTCCTGGCTAATCGAATAGAATCGAATCGCACACTTCAGTTGTGCGTTGCTCGTTGCCTCTTTTTGGTTTAGTTACCCAGACACAGGTAAACTAATGCAAAAAAAGAAAAACTAAAGGATTTTTTTGAATTGTTTTAAAAGAAAAACTGTTTCTGTATATATTTGTGGTTAGAAATTGATGGCTCAGCCTCAGGCTCAGGCTCAAGCTCAGGCTCAGGTTTAGGCTCAGGCTCAGGCTCAGGCTCAGGTTTAGGCTCAGGCTCAGGCTCAGGCTCAGGTTTAGGCTCAGGCTCAGGCTCAGGCTCAGGTTTAGGCTCAGGCTCAGGCTCAGGCTCAGTTTTAGGCTCAGGCTCAGGTTTAGGCTCAGGTTTAGGCTCAGGCTCAGTTTTAGGCTCAGGCTCTCTACGAGTAGACATCTTCACCTTGGAAGATGGCTACTCGTAGAGAGCTCCTCTTTCTCTCTTTTCCTCTCCAATGATTCTTCAATCTCAATCCTCCCATTCTCAAGGTCATAAAAAACCCCTCACCTTTTTACTCATGCTTTAGAAATTATAGAAAAGAAGTTCTAGTTCTAAAACAAGTTACGAAGTTTTAACCAAATGTTAACTCTTGTTTTACTCACAAGGAAAAGTCATGGGGTTTTTTGAACTTTAACTGCTTCATCATACCCAATTTGAATTGCCAAATTTTGCCGAATTCTTTACAATCCCTAGGAATCAGAACAAATGTGAATTTTTGGGAGCGAAATTCTTGCATTATTATAATCTTAACATCGTCGTTCATCTCGATGATTCAAGAATGATTTCTAGATATGTCACATCGCCGTTTGTGGTCAAAGTTTGAACAAATCGTCGGTCAAAGTTTACCCTTAACTAGCCTAGTTATTATATTCTTGTTAAAAAAACTCTTAAATATATATATATACATAATATTTGTTAGTTTTCAAATGGAAATATGAAAAACAAACGAATTCATTTGCATTGTAAGTGAACCAAATTTTATTTTCAGCATGGGGAAAGCTCACCGAGATTAGACTTAAAAAAGATTTGAAAATGAAGCAAACACTTAGAGTCATTTTTCAAAGGGAAATATGAAAAGAAAAGAAAAATGAAAAGAAAAAGCGTAAACACTTATTCACTAAACTAATATTTTCACTAAACTCATTTTCTTCATCGAGATTATCGAGTTTAAAATTCATTTAAAAAATTTTATTTTCAGCAGGGGGGAAAGCTCACCGAGATAGACTTAAAAAGATGGGAAAATGAAGAAGCAAACACTTTATATATATATATATATATATATTATATATTCATACTTTATTCAGGACATGAAATAAAGCGTAATCAGTCAGACAATACACAAATCTACACATAAATACATAGAGAAAGATGAGATATTTTACTCGGCGATGTGGAGGCGGGGAGAAAAGAAGATAGATAGAAGATAGGCTTCTTGCTTTAATAACCTCAGGCCATGAATGGGCCAACCCAGTGGAAGAGTGAACTCCGCTAGAGAAGGGATCTCTAGTCAGCTCTAGAGAAGAGACCTCTAGTCTGGGCGCACGGGCTAGGGAAGAGAACCCTAGGGGGCCGAACCCCACACCCTCAGTTTGGAAGTGATAACTTAACCAATACACCATGAGGGCCCCATTTAGAGTCATTTTTCAAAGGGAAATATGAAAAGAAACGTAAACACTTATTCACTAAGCTAATATTTCATTTTCTTCATCGAGATTATCGAGTTTAAAATTGATTTAAAAAATTTTATTTTCAGCATGGGGGAAAGCTCACCGAGATTAGACAAAAAAATCCCTGACATTCAAATTATTAGAGTAAATATTCTATGAAGTAAAAGAAATTTAAATATTCTATCACAATTCACGTTGATAAATGCAAATCATAGAAATCTTTAAATAGAAGACAATTTATAGCTTTGGTCAAAGAGAATGGCAGGTATTGCTGAGCCACGAGCTTTTCTAGGAAAACATTGAGTTAAAGAATAGGCAGTGATCGTTGAGAGTAAAAGAAAGATTTTTTTTTTTAAATATCTTTATAAACATCTAAACAAAAAGATAAACTATTAAATAATATATTAAAATTTTTAATGCCGGCGTTGACGTTTCGGCTCGATTGCATAGCTCAACTCGATAAGGCGACGCTGGTTGTCAATCACCCGGAAATTTCTGTAAACAATTAGACTTTAAAGCATTTTGAAGGAGTTTAAAGGAAACTTTAAATACTTTAAATTTTAAAAAGGGCTGCTACGCAGGAGTACGGGATGATACCGTATTTCTTCGAATAGAAGCCCGGGTAAAGAGTATGATCGCGTACTCCTGCATAGCAGCCCTTTTTAAAATTTCTTTTCTGCATAAAAGCTTTCAATGAAGTGCTATAGGGCTGGAAAATGTCTCAAAAATATCACATGAGCTAACAGATTTTTGAGCCATTTTCCAGCTCTATAGCACTTCATTGAAAGCTTTTATGCAGAAAAGAAATTTTAAGAAGGGCTGCTACGCAGGAGTACGCGATCATACTCTTTACCCGGTCTTCTATTCGAAGAAATACGATAGTTTTTTTAAATGTATCGTGAAATTTTGACTTTATTTCAAACCTAATCAAATTCTGAGTGTCACCAATTTTCCTCTCTGCGTAAACTTGATGCGGGAAATGGGCTTTACATTTGCGAAACGCACGTAAAACCCCGGCAACCATATGCTAAAATTATTTTTGATTTTCCTTTTTAAACTTTTTCAATTCAACCATTTTCTCTTGATTGACAAGTCCGCTGAAGTAGGTTTTGTTCGTTTCATGAATGAAAGTCAAATCTTTTAGCAGCAATGGGACAAATGGAACCTGGAAATGGGTTAGATGTTGAAAAGGAAGTGCTATCTATACAGTACTGGACAATGAAATATCATATTTGAAAAAACGATTGTGTAGCCCTTGAAAAGAGCTTTCAGAAAATGTATAACACTAATACCGTATTTCTTCGAATAGAAGGCCGGGTAAAGAGTATCATCGCGTACTCCTGCGTAGCAGCCCTTTTAAAATAATTTCTTTTCTGCATAAAAGCTTTCAATCAAGTGCTATAGAGCTGGAAAATGGCTCAAAAATCTGTTAGCTCATGTGGTATTTTTGAGTCATTTTCCAGCCCTATAGCACTTCATTGAAAGCTTTTATGCAGAAAAGAAATTTTAAAAAGGGCTGCACGCAGGAGTACGCGATGATACTCTTTACCCGGTCTTCTATTCGAAGAAATACGGTAGTTTAAACTCAAAGACAAGGGAGTTACAGACGCACGAAAGTGACGATCTTTTTTCAAATATGATATCTCATTGTCCAGAAGTGTGTATGTCGCAGCCGCAGTCGCAGCTCGTGATTTTCAGCCGCTAGTGATTGAATCAGCAAAAAGCAAGCAAAAATATTAAGCAAAATTTACTTTCATTTAGATGGCATAATTTTTCGAATTTGGCAACAGAAGTTACCTCCCGAGGTGCTAAGATATTTGGTCCGATTAACCTAACTTTTTTATTTGCATCTGCATTGCATTTCAAATGTTTCGTTTAAAAACTTTCAACCACCATCGACTAGCCGATGGTGATTCAATCAATAGCGGCTGCGACATATATATATGTACGACTTACCGTAAATACTGTAATAGTACCCCAGCCCCCTCGTATAGTCGCGTAGTCGCAAAAGTTTTTTAGTATTTAATTTTTTTCAAAGCGCCCGTACTTTCAAAAAATGCGTCTTTGGTATCAAAAAATAGCTGAAATTCAGGGCTATTTTTTGATACCTAAGCGCGCATTGTAGCATAAACCAGTGTCGAGAAAAACTCGTTCAAATCTAGACTACGCAACACTCCGCACTGTCATTATGGGGGGATGGGGTACTATTACAGTATTTACGGTAGCTATAGTAAAGCTATAGTAAAGTTGTTGAAAAGACTTTCTAGAAAGCCAAATACAATTGTTGAATCGTACAATTGGTGGATGGAGACTGTCAACGAGAGCTCGATATGCTCGATGATTTCTAGAGGGATCGAGCAGTGCCTCGTACTCGGCGAATTGACGTCTCAATTTGGCGGGAAGACGCTAAAAGATATGCCCATTTATTATTTCCATTTCTACAAACATTCCACAATGAATTCAGTCGGCTCACAGCGATATTTGAAAGACCGAGAGTTAATGCAAATAGTGATAATAAGTCTCGATTCTCTTTGGCACTGAAAATTTTCTATATACACTACTGGAAATATCATATTTGAAATGAAATATCATGTTTGAAAAAAAATCGTCACTTTCGCGCGTCTGTAACTCCCTTGTCTTTACCGTATTTCTCAATATTAAAATTACCATTGTGTAGCCCTTGAAAAGAGCTTTCAGAAAATGTATAACACTAATAGTTTAAACTCAAAGACAAGGGAGTTACAGACGCGTGAAAGTGACGAAAGTGACGATCGTTTTTTCAAATATGATATTTCATTGTCCAGTACTGTAGCTAGAGTATCTTGCTTACTAAATAGCAATTTTGATGAATTTTCGTAGAGTTGCCACACGACGTTGAGGAGCGGCTAGGAGAACCTAGGAATTGCATGAAGCAGAAACTCGCCAAACTGGATTCAATCCTTCTTTATACTTTATTGATCTCAAAATAGACATTAACAAAGTACAAAGTGGATTTAAAACTAGAGAACTACTGTAATGAATGTACAAATGTACAAATGTACAAATGTACAAATTGAAACTCACCTCTGTAGTCGCCCAATATTGAACCTCATTGAATCTTCTCAATAAAAGATCAAGATTTGATGGAACTTTTCCAGGGAATTGATCTCGTCCAAATACCTGAAGAAGATTTTTTTTAGTTCATTTGAAATGATCAATACTTGAGTGACGAGTTCGGTTTCATCGGTTGCTTCAAACATCTCCGAATGCATGACAAAGAGTTGTTGAGCTAGCTCGCTGCTCGACAAATACTCCATCATCGATGAATGCACAGATTCCAAAGGGCCCGATTGATCGGGAGTTGCCATCTGTAGATAAAATGTGATATTAGAAATATCATTTATTTACACAATATCATTTATTTACACGAAATGTAAAGAGAAAAATCGAAAAAGAGAGTCAACCACGACCGTCACAGGGATTGAAGTTCCAATACGGTTCCAATACGGCTCCAATACGGTTCTTTTTTGATCTAATACGGTTCCAATATAGTTCCAGTACGGTTCCAATACGGTTCTTTTTTGATCTAATATGGTTCCAATACGGTGGAACATTCCAATATGGAACATTAACCTCCCGACTAAGATACAAGGCTCTTAGCCAGTCGGCTAGGATAGTACCTTAAGCGGCCGTTCATCTATTGCCTTTGACTCACCAAAGCATGAATCTCTTCTCTCGCCACTACATACAACTTCGAGTTTAGGCCAAGCATTGTTGAAACGCTGATGTCAATGGGGGAAAAGACAATCCTTTCTGAAATTGTTATTGAAAATATTGTAAATGTGAAGAATGTAAACCTCCATTGCTTTTCACTTCGATTAGTCTCATTCTTTCTGATGGTGGCACAACATTTCTCATCCTTTGCCTCGCCAACTTCACCACTTCAGCAGCTGTTCGATCGAGGCGAATGCTCATCGCAAAAGATGTCGTATCCGAGAGGTGAATGATTTGATTGCCTAAATAAGATTCTCTGAAAAAGTAGGCATTGAAGTGGCAAAAATAGGCAAACTTTCTGTCGTTTGTTTTTCTGTTGTAGATCTATTGAGAATCAGCTCTAATCAGCTCTAATCAGCTCTAAAGAATAGCTCTAACTAGCTCTTGCAGAACTTACAGGTATCAGTCGGGAGTACAGGAGATGGTGCAGGGCTGAGGCTTGAATAAACCCCACATTCAAGGACAATTGATGGACGCCTTGCTAAAACGCGCATTGCTGCCTGAAATTTGAATTGAAAAGATAATTCTCTTTTTTCTTTACTTCTCGTGTGATTCGAACTTGAGCCAATTGAGCGACAAGATCTTCAAGTCCTTGATAGAGTCGACAATCCTCAAGCAGAAGACAATACAATTCCTAGATTTGAGGGAATAGGCTAAGCAGAGAAATTCCTTAGTTTTAAACATTGTTTTATGTATTTTTTAAAACCTTAAAATTCGCTCACCTCAATAAAAGCATTGCCAGCTGGATCAAGAAAAAAGTGGAGTCCAAGTGTGTCCACCCAAAATGCAAGAAAATGAATCACTCGCTTTTTCGCGATCATTCGAAGATTCCAATCCAATTCAATCACTTTTTTCTACAGAAAAATTTCTAAGGTTTACATTTACAAAAAACCTTTCCAATGTAATAGTTTCTAAGGAAATTGCAGAGAATATTCGTAGGCATGTAAATGGTGTGTGTGAGGACGAAATCTTCGAGAAATGTATCATTTGAGTCGTCAGCATCTAGAGATCGTTTTTTTGGCTTTGGCTTAGGCTTAGGATTTGGCTTAGGCTTAGGCTTAGGCTTTGGCTTTGGCTTTGGCTTAGGCTTAGGCTTTGGCTTTGGCTTTGGCTTTGGCTTAGGCTTAGGCTTAGGCTTAGGATTTGGCTTAGGCTTAGGCTTAGGCTTTGGCTTTGGCTTAGGCTTAGGCTTAGGCTTAGGATTTGGCTTAGGCTTAGGCTTAGGCTTTGGCTTTGGCTTAGGCTTAGGCTTAGGCTTAGGATTTGGCTTAGGCTTAGGCTTAGGCTTTGGCTTTGGCTTTGGCTTAGGCTTAGGCTTTGGCTTTGGCTTTGGCTTAGGCTTTGGCTTTGGCTTAGGCTTTGGCTTTGGCTTAGGCTTTGACTTTGATTTTGGCTTTACCAATTCTTGTCTCCAACACATACTCGATCATTTTCTGAGCAAGACCAGCGAGTACAGAGTAACTGAAAGCTTGAACTTTGCTCGTTTTCTTTGCTAGCTCACCAGCATTGCAATTCACTATCATCAGCTATAGCAGCTCCTCTCATCATTGTCATTCTCTCCAACACTAACACATCATCACCTAAATTAACAGTACAAATTGAAGAACAATACAGATGTTTACACTCACTTCGATCTTTTAATCTCACTGTATTTGCTTCGACCTCGAGAAGGACTCTAAATTTCTTAAGAGTAAAGAATAGATATTGATAGTTGAACCTATTAAAATCGTGTTTATCAACGATGAGAAAATGTGAGTCTTCATCGCGAAGAATGACGGTTGTAGCACGAGGTGAATCGCTTACAAGACACAATTTTCCGAAATCATCTCCTTCTCGCAAATGAGTGACAACACCCTGTTGATTTCCTTTGCTATTTTTCTTTTTAAACATTTACCTTTCCATGAATCGTCACTTCAACACCGCCTTTCAAAATGATATACCAGCATTTCGCTCGATCACCTTGATGATAAAGGACAGTGCCTGAAAAAGAGTGTATATAGAATAGTGTACAGTATGATATGGCTGAATACAGTACTGTACTTTCTTCTGATATAGTAGTGTAATCAAGAATTGAAAGATGCCAATCTCTTCTCCAAGATAGACTAATAAGTTTCCGTTTTCCTCTAAAACTTTCGACCATTTAAAACCGCGTTCCAATTGATAGCCTCAATAAAATGAATAGCTCCAATCGATTCACGGATCCCGAAAACCCCTGGATACAAATTCACGGCTCAATACCTTCTTTTTATATCATCTACAATGCAAAAGTAAAATCCTGTAAATGACTGGCAACGTGTTCTTTGTGAGCGTGCACAATCGCCCTTCATCTGGCAAACCGCTCGGGCATAAGGTGCTTTCTTTTCGCCTTCAGTTTTCCTTGTCGTCGTCGTCGTATTTTTACTGTTTTTCCCGGTCACTATGCCCAACTTTTTTGGGAACTTTTGTCTTAAATTTCTTCCTATTTTGTCCTTCAAGTTTTTTCTTTCTTTTTCATTACCTGCATGTGTATGAGACTCAATTCCAATTACAGAGGCAAGTTCCCGTTTCACCATCGTAGATAAATGAGCAAGAGCCTAGAAAAGAAATGCTTAATTTACATTGATGAACACACCTTTACATGAAGAAGCTCATTGTAGACAAGATCCAATTCCTCTGGGGTACGATCATGTGGACTGAAATGGTCATTTGTTCTGTCTTTGTCTTGTCTTTATCTTGTCTTTGTCTTATCATTATCTTTTTTTTAGAAACTTACGCTCTAGTGAGAATCATCCGAAATAGAGCATCTAGACCGGCGGTGTTGAGGAAAAGAATTGCCGCGATGAGCTCATCAGTGCTCACCGAAGCCGTGGTGTGCATGGTGACCGCGTCAAAGAAAGCCTAAATGTCAATCTTTTGAAAAGATAATCTTATGCTAGTTAGCAGCCTGAAATTCACCTTTTCCCCAGGCAATGGTGTGCCCGGTTCCTCATCTCTTCCATACGGTTCAGCCTCTTCTTCTTCTCTATCAATCGCTCGTTGCCATTCCTCAATGTTCCATCGATAGAAAGTCATCTGATCCACGAATCGCTGTTCACCGCTTGCTAAAGTTCTTCTTCTCCGTTGTCTTTCCTTCTTTCTCCAGGCTTCTTTCTCTTCTTTCTCTTTCTGTCTTTCCTTCTTTCTCCAGGCTTCTTTCTCTTCTTTCTCTTTCTGTCTTTCCTTCTTTCTCCAGTTAAGGTACCGGATAGCTCAGTGGTTAGTGCAGTGGCCTGGAAGGCAAAGGAAAGCAAGGTCGAGGGTTCAATCCCTCAATCAATTGGCTACAATCCGGAAATCTACTTTTTCTTGCCAATTGTTTCACTTCTTTATTAGAAAACTACTTTATCTTGCGATTCCTACACTCCTTAATTGATAAAACTTACTATGAGCAATAATATTGTACTCGAGTAAAGCCTGCCACATTCCTGTCACCTAAATTCAGCTTTTCACAGTATTTTAGAGGAGTGGTTACTTGAAATCGAGACATTGTTGACATATTAGTGCCAGCTGAAAGCGATAACTCTAACAGCCAATCAACCATTTCTGAGCCGATCATCGAAGCCGAATAAACCTATAAAAAAGTTTTCTTTCATTTTTTGCGTTAAAAGTCTACTTTTGCTCTATGTGCATGATCACAAATGAGATGAGCTTTCTGCAGTCTCATCGCGTGTCTCAACATACACCCAACTTCGACAAGTCTTGCCTCGAACGACTGAATCTCTTCTTCATTTTCGTATCTTTTTTTGTCGCTCACCACTTGATTACTCAATCCAATCATATTTGCGTCATCGATTCGTAAATCAGTCGGCAAGTTGTCGAAATTATTTTGATTTCTCCCTAAGACTTTATATGATTTGTTTAAAGTAATTGCTTACTGTAAAAAGCCATCGTTCTTCTTTGATCTCTCTTTTTGTAAAAAGCAGGATTATTTTCATATTGACTCTCATAGCCTCCAAAACTCTCATCTAAAATAATTTGACTTATGCAAGGAAAAGTTTTTACTTATTGCGATGGAAGTGGACGGTTGACAGTCGTAAATGGAAGCTTGATGCTCAATGGTTGGCACTGGAAAAGCAGGCACACTGAAATAAATAATGATTATAGAGAAATGACAAAAAAAACTATCTTTTAACACATTTATGAGTCAGATTCTTCATCTCAGAATGCTTTCAGTTACAAATTTTCAGGTTTACTGTCCGAAAGTCCGATAGTCCGATGGTCCGATAGTCCGAAAAGGCAGTCAAGTTAAGAATGATTTTGTCGTGAATGTGTTTAAAATAGTCTAAGGCTTTGAATGAGTAAACCTTGTTGATGGAGGCCATTCCAGAAGATCCATCTCTCCCCCGATCCCTCCATTTATCATTGGTGTCCATGAGATCCCTGGCTCGTAAACTAAACAAAAGATTTTTTTACTAGTTTGTTGTTTTTTATTCCTTTTATTGTAAATGATAATAAGATTGAGGTCAGTCATTTCATCTCCTTTTTCTTTTTACTTTTTTTCTAGTTTCTTTTTCAATTTTTTTAATTCGATTGATTTCTATAAATGTTCTCTACAAAGTACATCTTTTTTATGATCCAGTCATTAGTCATTATCCTGCTCAAATTTCACCTGTTTGGTCAGCGAGCATGTCTTGAATCACCTGGATGTACGGCGAGAGGTGGTCAGCGTGCTTCTAAATATATGTGGTGTCCGATTTAGATTTCCGTCCGATTTAGATTGAATCTAAATCGGACGTCATAGATTGAACTTATCGCGGACGTCCGATTTAGATTACAGTCATATCGGACGTCCGATTATTCAATCTAAATCTTATATGGATGAACAATAATATAAACATGCTAATATATGTTCTTAAGCGTTTCTGTAGTTTTGTGCATTTTCAAAGGTCTTTATTGATTACAGTCTATATCGGACGTCCGATACAGATAGAACAATAATAAACGTGCTTAACATATGTTCTTTGAAAATTTCTTTGAAAAGCGCAGAAAATTGCAAAAAACGCAAGAACATATATAGCACGTATTATTGTTCGATCGTATCGGACGTCCATAAGACGTAATCTAAATGGACGTCCGCGATAAGTTCAACTAAATCGGACGTCCGATTTGATTCAATCTAAATCGGACGGAAATCTAAATCGGACACAACATATATAAATTTGTTAAATAAAAGCTTTATCACTCACATTGTAAATGGAGCAAAAGTGTTGTTGAGGGATTCGCACAAACTCCGAAGCGCGAGTCACTCGAGCCGCACAGCAATGTTTCTGCAATAAGTACAGTACTTTACGTATTGTAGTACTGTACGTACAGTACGTACGTAAAGTACTGCAATACGTAAAGTACTGGACAATGAAATATGATATTTGAAAAACGATCGTCACTTTCGCGCGTCTGTAACGTCTGTAACACGTCTGTAAGTAGGTTTTGTTCGTTTCATGAATGAAAGTCAAATCTTTTAGCAGCAATGGGACAAATGGAACCTAGAAATGGGTTAGATGTTGAAAAGGAAATGCTATATATACAGTACTGAACAATGAAATATCATATTTGAAAAAAACGATCGTCACTTAATATTTAGAAATACGGTAAAGACAAGGGAGTTATAGACGCGCGAAAGTGACGATCTTTTTTCAAATATGATATTTCATTGTCCAGTAGTGTCAATAGGACGTTCCATTACGTTTGTTCACCCGGTCAACGATCCAAAATTGGGTGTGCGGTGAATGAGAAAGGGTGGCAAAAAAAAAGATGGGAAAAGGATCGAGTTCAATTTGTGGCCCTAGAGGGGCCCGAATGTGGCCCTAGAGGGGCTCGAATTCCTCACCCACGAATTATTCACGAGAAACACCGTGCCAAAAAAATGCTCAATGAAAGAATTCTCTCACAAAATTTTACTGGTCTCCATTTCCCCTTTTTTTTCCCATCTTACAATTGCACAATTCTTTTCGTTTTCTATTCATAGATTAAGAAGTCAGTTTGTTAATTGAAAACTAATATTTTAAAATTGAAAAGTAATATTTAAAAATTCAAAAGTAATATTTAAAAATTCAAAATTTTACACTTACAGGAAAGTTGAGCTCTCCGAAAATCGCGCCGGCTGAGAGTGAGCAAATTGGGTGAACGCTGCCGTCCTGAATTTTGATTATAGAATTTTGATTATAGAATTGATTCACCTGATGAGTTAAATAGAGTTGCACTTGACCGGAGAGCAAGAGATACCAACATGAAGTGGGATCATCGACGGCAAACACTGAAATGCCTCGATGAAATCCTTTTCCACAACAACGATGATCATCATTGTTCTGGCTGAGATTCAGCGAGACATCGTTAGGGTTTTTTTTGGTGGGTCTTTGTTGGTTGAAGAGAAAAAAGGACGATAAGAGACCACCTTGAGCCGTGTCGCCTAATGAGCCGTAGCGCCTTCTCGCAACCAAAAAAAAAATAGGAGAAAGAAAACGGGATGCGAATCCCAGAAAGCTTTTTGTCCTATGCATAGGGAAATGCTTCGATTTGCGAAAATGTCACTCAATGTAAATGGGAAACATTTGAATTGAGTGATAAATTTGGAAATTGCAAAAAGTTAATGAACTATAAAGGAATTGCTAATAGACATTAACTAATAGAAGTTGAAAAAAGCGATTTACAAACTTACAGACTTACAGGCTTACAAACTTATAGACTTACAGACTTACAGGCTTACAGACTTACAAAAATGACTTACAAACGACTCCGTTTTGAACCCGATCTGGATGGGGATCGGAAACGGCAGTGAGGGCCCGAAGGAGGGGATCGGGCACTGAACGGAGTGGGCCCAATCCCCGCACACGCCCCAGAAGCCCCTCCATCTGTAAATCTTTTTCTTTTTTCTTTGCCTTTCAAAAAACTATTGTCTCAAAATGTTTGAGAAATTCTTTTGAGAAAATTCGATAGAATTCTTATCATTTTTCTTTGCAAACCTTTAACACAAAATTTTTATGCTTTTATATTCGCTGATTCGCTTTTATGTGCTCAAAAAAAAGTGCCTACATTCTCAGGGAATTAGGATCAACAATGTGGTCACTTTTGAGAGAAATGATTCAAATTTCAAAGCACAAAAAACCAAATTTAGTTAATTTGGCTTTCTGCTTGTTAGCTGTCTAATCGTGTTCAATTTACTACACCTTATTGAAAGCTCAATTCGCATCACCGATATCCGTTGACGATTGCCCGCTTTGAAATCTCATCTTAATCATCTTCTCTAGAATCTAAAAAGGAATCCACATCAAACATCTAATACGATTATTTTTTCTCAAATTTCAGAAGAATTTGACGCAAAAGGGAAACCGAGAAAAAGCTTGCGAAAGATGAAATAAAGATTCAAACGATAAGATGCGATGATGAGAATTGACAGGAAATTACGATTAACATAGCGGAGCAAGAAGAGCAAAACAGACACGATTAACAGAGCAAAAAGAAATGAAAAGGGCCATCCAGGGCAGAAACGATTGGAGGAAAAGAGGGGAAGCGACCAGGAAAAGCAACTCTTTTCGATCGAAAAAGGGAAAAGAGGCAAAGAAAAGAAAGGGATAGAAAAAGCAAGTAAAAAGAGAAGCTCGGCGATGTCGGGCGGATGGAAGAGGAATGGAAGGGGGCTGTATGGGGGCTCTCCCCTCCAGGGCCCATCGATCTCTCCAAGAGGGGTGCCCCCCTCTTGTTCCTTTTTACTCCCTCACCAACTCAACCCTTCTTCTTCGTCTTCTTCCTTTTCTTCTTCTTCTTCTTCTTTTTCTTCTATACCCATTTTTTGCGGGTTCGAGTTTCTTCTATTCACCAAAAGTCATAAAATAATATATTGCTCTCTATTTCTTTGCACTCAATCATCTGCGTTGATCACGTTGATGGAATCAAAACGGAATTTTTTGATACTCTTGCTTTCAACAAGTACCCTCTATTCCCTAAATCTGAGTTTCCAAATTTTGATTGATATTTTGTTAAGTTTTCCCCCAAACCCATCCCTCGGGAGACTCTTTTCTCCTCGAAAATTCACTGACTCGCATTCAATTCTCGTGAGAACAAAGAATGAACTCCCCAAGAATTTTTTCATTGTTAGCTTTATCAACTATTTATTCTCAAGAAAGAAAACAGAATAAAAACAATTGTTCCAAAAAGGTGTACTTTGTAGATGAGAACATTTGGAGCAATGAATCGAATTATTGAAAAAAGAAAACAGAAAAAAAAGTAAAAAGGAAAAAAGGAGGGGGGAGACGAAACGACGACTGACCGCAACATTATCATCGTAAAAAATACCTCGTATTCAAAAAGGAAAGAGGTGTTGATCGGTATGGTGAAAATGGGGGGAGCGATTTAGGTGTTATGAACGAGGGACCGATGGGGATTGATGGATTGACTGATGGCTGGATAAAGGTGGATAAATGATCAATTAATCCCTTCTTATTTCTTTTTGCTTGGAGCTTTGCCGGCTTGTGGTGGCGCGTTCCTTGTTGGGGTCACCGGTCGACTCGGCGTTGGCGACTCCAAGCTCTTTTGGTAGGACAACGGGAATTTCTTCTTGTCCGCTGGCTTCAGAATCTGCAAGGAAAGGTATTCACACTTGTTTATGATAGTTTTAACCTTTATTTACATTCTTATTTTATGAACTATTAGACTGTCCATAAAGTCTTTTCGTTCCCTTTCGTAGTTCCGTTTAAAACCAACAAATGCATCAATTGAACTATGGTTTTTTTCATTAGAAAGGCCAATTATTTTTCTGCAAAATAACATTAAAACGGGTTTAAAATGTCTTAGGTCTAGATTTTTTTGGGAACATCAAGTCGGTAGTCAAAAAGAGCGACGGCTCGATGAGGATGATGATGATGATGATGATGGGGGTTTAGACATTTTAGCTAAGGAAACCCATCTTGGTGTCAATAGATAAGAGATAGAGCACAAAAATTTAGGTATATAGCCAAATTTTCAGAGAAATTCATTCAGCTAATTTCTTTGTAGAGATTTTTATAGATTTTTACGAAAAACACGTGTTTTCACTCTCGAATTTGCTTGAAAGTGAACCAAAATTGGCTTAAAAATATGGGAAATTGGGAAATAAAAATTTTTAATTAAGAGTAAACCATAGGTTAATTGGTGAATATTTGTGATTTTTCAACGGAATTACGAAAAAGAACGGAAAGACTTTCTGAACAGCCTAATAGGTTTTGGGAAGCCTTGCTATCTTGCAGGCCGACTAAATGACTCAGACTGTGATGACTAATATATAAATTCAGCCCTATTCTTTATCAGTTCGTTCACCTGGAAAGAACACATGAGTGTCTCATCAACAGTCATCATTGAGCCGGCATTATCGAACTCTCCGCAATAGTTCGGAGCCGAGAAAAGTGTGACGAGTTGTCGTTTCGCGAAGAACTCGTACCCATCCTCGACAACCTGTAGTTCAAATCATCTATTAATAATTGCTTTCTAAATGGCTTACTTGATGCGCTCGACAGATAAGATCGAGATCGTGTTTGTGCAAGAATTTGGCGACCACTTCAGGCCCAAAAGTGAACGAGACGCCTCTATCGTTTTCTCCCCAGCCCGTCACATCCTTATCGGGGTCTGACCTGAAAGAAATCACGGATTAACGCACCACGCAATAGATTATAGTTTATCTTTTTTGGGGAGAACGTAAACGTACCAAAGAAGATCGCAAAGAAGTCCTTGATCAGGCACATCCGTTGGTCTCATTATTCGACGAACTTGCTCCATCGACTGAAAAATGTTGTGGTTATACAGAGAACAGATATAAAACTTTGTATTAAGAACTTTAAAAGTTTTCAAATGTTTTTCAAAAGCAAGTATATCATGACTATCCATTTGATGAACGGCTAATATTGATGTTTTTAGTTGTTTGTGTATTCACAGATGTTGGAGAAGGCAAATATTTCCAGAAAATACTCTACCATATTGTAATGTTGCTAATTTTTTTACCTGTAAATCGGGCGAAAGTCCTCCATGACAGCAGAAAATTTTCTCATCGATAATCGCCGCAACGGGGAGACAGTTGAAACAATCGGTGAACGTTTTCCACAATTTGATATTATAGCGTCTTTTGCCTAAACATATGGAAAAAAATTATTAATGTTTAAATTTTTCAAACTCACATTCATCGTAGAAACCATAGATACGATTGATGGAGGCGCACTCGTGATTCCCACGAAGAAGGAAGAAATTTTCGGGATATTTGATCTTATAAGCAAGAAGCAAGCAAATCGTTTCCAACGATTGCTTTCCTAGAAAATCAGAGTTGTTATTTTAAGAGAAAATGATTAATAGAAGAATTTTTAATCTTAATATATAGTATTTTTCCTAATAGTATGCCATGCCCAAAGGAGCGTCATTTTTTAGAGAAAAATCGATCCAGAGGTACGCGAGAAAAAAAGTGATTTAGTATGGGAAAAACAAATGACTACGTGACGCTCCTTTGGGCATGCCATACTATTAGGAAGAATAAGAATAATATATCAAATTCAAACCTCGATCCACGTAATCACCGAGGAAAAGATAGTTGGACTCTGGTGGGAAACCGCCGTACTCGAAAAGACGCAACAAATCGTAGTATTGACCGTGCACATCGCCTAAAATTTATTCATTATGATACGCACACGATGATACAAATATCGATTTGCTATTTCAATGATGTAATAGCTATATAATATTTATAGCAAGGCTTGATAGTACAAAAACAAACCGCAAATCTTGAGCGGCGCCTCAAGCTCGAGGAGAATTGGTTGGGAGAGGAAAATCTCGCGCGATTTCACGCAAAGGCCTTTGATCTCATTCTCCGTCAATTGCACATTCTTTCCCGGCTTTGATCCACGAACTAAACTCGTATGGGTTTTATGGGACAAAAACTAGTTCACTTTTATTGTAATGCTAATTTCTTCTAGACAATTAAAGATTTTTAAAGTTTCCAGTTAAAGTTAAAGTTAAAGTTAAAGTTAAAGTTAAAGTTAAAGTTTAAAGTTTCCAATTTGTTACCTTCAAGCAGTCGTGAGATGATATTATCCAGATTGAGCTTGTCGACTCGGTCCCCAGTCTCGGCCATCAGCTTCGCTCACTCACCCCCTAAAACGCATATTTTGAAATCAAATCGATAAGAAAGGCGTATCTTGAAATAAAATCGATAAGATAGATTTCAAGGGTAAATCCTAAAATAAAATCCTAAATTTTTAAAAAAGTTGTCAAAAACATCAATCAGTTGCTAAAACAAATGTCAACAAATTTTTCTTTAATTCTTTAAATTTAGACAGGTGAAAGGGTAAAAATCAAGATCAATAACAAATGCAAATATATGTGAAACGAGAAGGTTAATAGCAGGAAGGAAAAGGAAAGAGAAATGGGACGAGGCGAAGAGAATTGTCGAAAAAGAAAGAGGATGGGGGATTTGTGGGGGAAATTGAATGAGAGACATGGGATGAGAAAGAAAGAGAAAAGAAAAAGAAAAGAAAAACGAGCGGGGAATGGAAAAGGCGCGATGAGACCCGACGGGAGAAGATTGGGGAAGGGGAACGGGGAGGGGACACGCGACGCGCGAGGGAGGACGCACAACAACACTTGCACATAGAGGAATGGGAAAGGAAAAAACCCGGCGAATCTCATCGAGAATTCACCCTTCAAAATTGCATAGACTTTTTCACCCAGCTGAAACAAATGAGGCTATAAAAATCGGAAAATTTGAAAAGAAATATATTGAGATAGCTGTGAAAGTTGATTTGAAAAAGAAACTTTCTCTGATTGTTTGTTCAAAACGGTAAGAGAAGTTTAGAGAATTGATTTGGCGAAGATTACGTTCTATTTCAAACTTTTTTGACTACTTTTTCATTAATTGATGCTCCTAGGGGATATTATTTAAAAAATAATGAGGAGATTTAAAAGAAATAAACAACTGATATGCATCAATGGTCAAGAAAAAATTGTTGTATTAAGCAAAAGAAAATTTTGACGGGAAAAAATCGAAGATTTACAACCTACAGAGCTCAGGGTTTAGCACATGATACATGAATGAACAAAAAAAATCAACTGTTATCGAATTCAAAAATAAACGTGTGAAGAAAAAAAAATGAGCAAACGGGGAAGAGCAGGTGAATTCATTTGCTCGTTTATTCTCCCTTTCCTTTCTTTTACAATAACAAGGTGATTCATGAATGTTCGATTGGATGCACGATTCTCCCCCATTTTTCCCCCAATCTTTCATTTCAACCATTTATTTGAGCATAAAACTATTACCACCGTTTTTTTGAAGTTATTTACAAATCGTTACAAATCGTTACAAATCGTTTTGCTCTTTTTCATCATGACTGAGCTTTTTGATACAATAATTCCCCTACTAGAGTAATTCCTACGATAGACTACTCCATTTTCTAGTGTATATTACTTTTTAAACCCTGGAAAAGTGCTAATTAATTGAACCAACGAACTCTTAAAAAATAAATGTCGCTTTAATGCAGTTAGCAGAAACGTTGATGCAGTTACCATCAGCGTTGATGCAGTTAGCATCAACGTAGTCATGTTGATTTCATATTTGTTTATTGTCATATTGATTTGTTTATCCGGAAAGTCTTGCTCACCTTTTTGAAATTTTCTTTTATAAATGAATAATTAGCCGATAAACGATAAACGTATGATTTGCCTTAAATAAAAAAGATTAACTATTACATTTAGCTCATTTTTAGACAAATTTGAGTCCGCTTTAAAGCAAATCCGAACAGGAATTCTTATTTTTCCAAAAATCCTTACATATAGAATGAGAAAAGCTTAGTGAAATGTTATGAAAATTTGTCTATTTGCCTAAGTTTTCATTCTCTATCTTTTGTCTTTTGATATCAAAATAGGTTTCTGTGAAAAAAAAGGTGCTCAAAATACAGTGTGGTGCAAAAAAAATTGGGCCAGTTCTCGGCAGAAGTTATTTTGCAAAGAATAAAAAAAAATTCAATAAAAGTTTAAAAGAAATTAGAGGTTTTAAGTAGCCCATTACTTCTAGTTTCCATAACGCATAATCATAAGACGTAACAATTTATCATTTTCGTAAAAAAAAAGACATTATCCAAAATATGGTCTGAAACAATGGTGCAAAAAAAAATGGGCCAAGATAGAAAACAGACATAATATCAATACTTTGTCGGTTCTCCGTTTGCATTAATGAGACGGCCTTGATTCGCCTAGGCATCGAGAGGACAAGATCACGCAGGATGTATAGGTGCTCAAATCAAAACTTTAACTTTCATCGTTTTGCCCCCCTTCACACCTTTAAAAAGATTAACTAACGCGAGCTTTTCAGCTTTTCTTAAAGGGTAATTTGTAAATAAATAATAGAAATTTTTGAACAAACAAACCATAGTTCGATTGGTTCATTATTCATTTCAAAAAGTAAACTTGAAAAAAAGCAGACAAGACTTTCCGGCTAATATATTAGCCTGTCCAGAAAGTCTTTTCGTTTCTTTTCGTACTTCTGTTTAAAACCAAAAAATTTACCAATTAAACTACGGTTTTTATTAGAAAGATCAATTGTTTTTTTTGCAAAATAACAGTACAACGGATTTCAAATGTCTTCACGCATAATGCATCACGCTCTACAGCATAATGCTTGTCTAAATTCTGGAGATGACAGGGAGCTCTTCTAGTTCTCTTTCTCTTCTTTTTTATCCATTATTGGTACGTGTGCCTGCGGGTGACCTTGAAAGCCAGTCCCCTCACATGGAGGATGAAGATGGGGAGGAGGGGTGAAAGTGAAGAAGAATAGAAAAGAGAAGTAAGGGGAGGAGAGAGAGAGCTCTGCCACACCATTCCTTTCTCCTTCGATTACAGTTCTTGTGAAGGGTTGTGGGTTTCTCTCTCCATGCTCACTTACTTTCCCCTCGACTTTCCCCCCGATTCCCCGCTCCTGTCGTGTCTGTATCGGAGCGCCAGATCTCTGCTTTTCTCATCGCCTTTCGCAAGTTTTGTGCGCTCACTCACTTGGTTGATTCCCCTTCTTCCCCTTCACTCTCATGAATAGTTACTTGGCACCTCTTTTTCTCAAAATTTACTTATTTTTTTTGTTTCGGTTTATCCATACACCTCACTATTGACTATTTTTATCAACTTTTTACTCTTGGCTACATTGTGCTTTTGGCTTCAATTTCGTTTCGTTCTTTTACAAGTTTAAGCATTTTATATTCAACTTTTGAATACATATTTTTAAGATCAATCGAGCGGAAGCAAAGAAAAACATAGAGGAATTTCATATGAGCACGGCTACGATAACATATCACGATTTGCCTGGGAATCCCTCGATCAAGTGGTCAAAACCGGCTGAGAGGCTTTCACTGGGTAAGAACATTCAGCTATCGATTCTTATGAAGAGTTCACAGCATTAACCTTTGATGCTTGATCTCGATTTTCTTCATTTTCATCTTCATTTCTTCAAATACTATAATTGCTATTAGACTTTTGATGATATGATAGACGATAGAATCTATGATAGATCTATCTATATTCTTTGAATAAGACTACTAAATATTTTAAGCTCTTGTAAGTCTATAGAGGAATCTATCATAGATTCCTCTATATTCTTTGAATAAGACTACTCAATATTTTAAGCTCTTGTAAGTCTATAGAGGAATCTATCATAGATTCTATCGTCTATCATATCATCAAAAGTCTAATAGAAATTATAGTATTTGAAGAAATGAGGATGAACATGAAGAAAATCGAGATCAAGCATCCATCTATATTCTTTGGTCAAGCATCCATCTATATTCTTTGAATAAGACTACTAAATATTTTAAGCTCTTGTAAGTCTTAAACACTTCTATTCATGAGCTTTTACCGTATCAAGAGTTTTTAATAAGCAACAACAATAATAAGCTTTCGACTTGCTCGAGTCCCAAGCACTCATCTCACAGTTATCGATTCTTCTTGTATATGCGCACTATTTTGAAATACGCCAGTCTATTATTCGTCTACTCGACGATAACTCGGCTTCTCTACAATCTCGTTGATCTTTCTCTTACTCCTCTTTTTTTCACTCCCAACAAAGGTGCTTCTCGGCCTCAAATTGGGGTGAGCAGAAAACCTGTTCGTCGAGCATCATTCACCCATCCATTCCCCTCTTTTTTTTAGCTTCTTTTCTTTTCTTTTCTTTTCACTCATTGTTTCAAAGAAAAAAACAACGAACACATAAAGAGATTTACTTATATTCTCGCGCTCTCCTCGAGAATTTCCCGCTATTTAAAAATATCACTCTCAATCACTCAATCACTCAAAAAAACGCTTATTTCCTATTTTCAGATTCCGATCCTGAAGATTTCAAGTGGAAAGACGCATTGCTGAGATCTTCAAAATTAACAGTAAGAATTTTTGTGTATACAAAATCCGGTTTCCCAAATATCGTTTCGTGCAGTTAATTCAATTCAAGGTCACTTGAAAATTTTGCAAAAAAAACTCCAATCGGTTCTAGTGAATTCTCTAGCGATTCTTCAATCGATTCTAGCGAAAAACACGATCTTATTGTGTTCATTGGGTGTTCACAATCAACGGTTAGGCTTTCCCATGGGGTTCGGGCTCTCTTTTTTCTTGTTTTTTTCTTTTTTCGCCTTTCTCTTTTCCCGCATGAAATTGCTAGTTTCGTTGTATGCCTTTGAGAAAATTTATGAGAGTTTTGCTGTGCGACACAAGAAAACTCTTTTTCTCACCGATTTTCTTCGCGATTCTTATATTGTTGTTGATTTACAATTAAAAGAAAGTTGATTGCCATTTCAAAATAGAGGAAAATCATCAGTAGATAAAAGGTCTTATTTTTAAATAGATTACTTTGTTTTCAGTTAAGCCTGAGTCTTCTCTTTTTAAAAAAAAGCTCAACTTTAACCCTGCTTCTTTGGGTTTTCTATGATATTTCAATAAAGACAACAATTCTTTCAATTCTTTCAATTCTTTCAATTCTTTAACAGTTTTTATAAGGAAAACAATTTTAGGTGGAGAAAGCGGCGAGAAGGAGTCGGAGCGCCCGAGTGGCAACGAGTGGAGGAAATGGAGGAGAGGAGCTGTGCCTTGTGTGTGGAGACAAAGCATCCGGATATCACTATAATGCGCTCACTTGCGAAGGATGCAAAGGTAACGATTGAAAGTGATAAAGTAGACTGGGAAAAAACAAGCCTCTTTCTTTAGCTCTACCCAATCAATAGCTGTAAAAATTATCCTTTTAGGCTTCTTCCGTCGGTCGATCACCCGAAAGGCAACATATTTCTGTAAACAACAGCAAAATTGCGATATTGACATGTGAGTTTTAGCTTAGAAGTCAAAAGGACAAGTTTCTAGGTACATGAGGCGGAAATGTCAACATTGTCGCTTGAAAAAGTGCGTTCAAATCGGAATGAGACCTGAATGTGAGTAGGAGAGGGGGATTTGTATAAAAAAATGTAGAAAATTTTAGTGGTAATCCCAGAAGAACAATGTCGTTTAAAAAGGGAAGCAAAAGAGAGAGCAAAAGGAAAAGAAGAGACACCAAAAGCACTCGCACGAAGGAAACCGCATTTTGCACACGAAAATCACTTCAACAAGAACCTCGTCCCAGCGATTACGGTTGGTTTTGAAAGATTGCAAAAATAGATTTGAATCATTTTTGTTTATTTTTATGCTATATACCAAGATTTGTTCAGCTGCTAACCGAAGCTGATGTGCTTGAGGGAAAAGTATTTTCCGGATCACCACAGTATCGTGGGATGAGTGCCGAGACGACCGAACTTGTGCAAAGGACTTTAGCCCTCAGTCGACTCTACGAACGACCGAATCCTCGATTTACGCAAAAGCTTAGCGTTCGTTTTTTTTTCTTCGAAATTATCTCAATCTTTTCCCAGATCTTAACGAATCCAGAAGTGCGCCCGAATTCGTTCACCCATTTGGCTGAGCTCACCGTTTTAGAGGCTCAGCTCACCCACGAGTTTGTTCGTCAACTTCCAGGCTTCACACGATTCTCTGAGGTTTGCGGATTCAAGCTAATTTTCAAAAGAAAGTATTTAAGGAAGATCGTAAATTTGTGCAAAAATCGAGTAAAGTGGCGCTGATGAAATTGCGAATAGCAAGGACTTTCGATTCGACCGATTCAACTGTGAGATTGGGAAGTGAGACACACCATTGGAGGTGAGTGTACAAATGTCAATGTCTTTCTGTCAAATAGGATTTCGTTTGCCGAAATTTCAATAGCTTATAGTTTTTTTAATCAAGTTGCCCTTTTTGCTTTTCCAAGTAGAAGCTGATAGTGAGAAGCAACGAATCAGTTAACACATCTGCTGATAAACAAAAATTTAGGCTAAACGAAATGGCCTTTGCACAGGGATTGTGCGCATCATTGGGAGACGCGATATTTCAAACTGCTCATCGACTCTCTGAGACAAAACTTGACGAAGCTGAATTCGCTCTCTCACAAGCGATCTGCGCTCTCAGCGGTAATAACGATAACTGAAAATCTCAATACACCAATTTCAGGAACCGATGGTTTGATTGATCCAAATCTAATTGACGAAGTCCGTGAGGTTTATCTGTCCGCACTTATCGCATATAGGTAAGAGAAGCAGTTAGGCAACTTCGAGAAGAAAAAAACAATTTCAGAACTATGAATCGAGGTACTCCCGACATATTGGATGTCTTGGGACTTCTCGAATTCGTTCGCTCATCAAACGAGGTGAGCCGTTAAATAGCCAATCATAAATCATACAAAAAGTCCAGGAGATTCCTCAGCCACTACTTCCTCGCTCAATTCCGATCGAGCATGCCTCGTTTTCTTTCTCGATGATTCACGGAATTGTTCCAACCACTTGCTATTCTCCAATCCATTAGCTGTACATAGTGTGGCCTTCAAATGATATTCACTTGTCAATCCTGTATCTCTTTTTTCATATCTTTCCCTACCCAGTGTCCGCATTCAACTCTGAAGTCGCTCAGTTACGTGTAGATTTTACTCACAACTCGTTTTCTGTTGTTTAAAAGCACAATATAAATTTATGTATTATCACATCAGATTTGCAGGCAGAAAAGACACAAACATGATAAAAGACCAGATAAAACTTTGTTTAAGCACCGCATGTCTTCAGGATAGCTTACCCCACGCAAATCCTAAAAGTAAATATTATCATAAAGTAAATGTAAATAATAAGCACTTATGACCAATAAAATACCTTCGGCAGTTTTCACGGCCAGTGGGATCGTAAGAATCAGTGAATTCTCCAAACAATCTCGAATTATCTTGTGGGCGCGCTCCTTTGCCTAAAATTTGGAGATGCATACATTTAAAAAAAGTAATCTCTAAAGAAAAACCAATACTTTTTAACTAACATTTATCGGGACTTCACAAATCACTTCATCGTGAATCGTCAGTATCACATGGCCGTGTATATCTGGAAGAAATTTATGTATCTACCAATGAAAGAGACAAAGCCAACCTTTAAGTTTTTCTTCGAGGGCTAAGAGAGCCTTTTTCAAAACCTCGCTTGCTGTCCCTTGAATCGTGAAATTGATACTTTGTCTAGAATAGCCACATAAACGAGTAGTACATAAAACGCATACCGTTGATCTTTTGCAATCTCAGTTTGTGTTCCTTTCTGTACGTTGAAGTAGCGTTTTCTCCCTACAATTTAAAAAATTCAACCTTTGAAATACGGTTTAACCCAAAATGGTCGAGACAAATTTGCCATCGGACTGCTTGTTAGCGTATTTTTCTTTGATATCACGTATATAGGCGCTTATTTCTAAATATTTAGTTAGTAAAAGGACTAAAATCAAAACCAAACTTTTATAATTGCTGAAAAATGCGTTGATTAGTTTTTGAGCTGCATCCTTTGTACAAGATAGCTTTTCTGATAAAGCATCGGCCCCCATTCCGTAAATGATACCTATAAGAAGAGTAGCTAAGAAATAAATACTTATGAAATACTTTACCATAACATAGCACTTTGACTTCATTTCGTGAGTAGCCCATCTCCATACCCATTTCATTGAAGATATCTTTGTTTCCTGAAGATACTTATCAAATTGAATTAAACAAAATCCAAACTGTCTCGAAAAGCTTCACATAGAGTAGTTTCCTGGCTCATGTGTGCCAATATTCGAAATTCCAATTGCGAATAGTCAGCAGACACAAGTATATAATCTGAAAAAACCAATAAGTTCTCATTCAAGACCAAAAATTATACCTGGTCTTGCTTTAAACAAGTCACGCATCCCAAAATCCTCAAAAAGTTTCTCTTTCGTTACGGTTTGGACGCTTGGGTGATTTGTTAGCATTCTGCCTAAAATTCAAACCATTCACTTTAGGTTTTGTCTGAAACCAGTCAGCGTCAAAAAGTCGTAGCTCGGATGTACTGTTGATGAAGATGGTATGTTGTTCATGATGGGTCGCATGTGCATCTAAAAAGTATTCATTGAAATAAAGAAACTAATAAACGAAAAATAAACCGCAATGCTAGAACATATACGCCGATGTTCCATGATGAGTCCAGGAACAGGATGCTTTTCGATAATTTTCTTGAGTATTTCACCGGACGTCGATCGCTCTCCACGCTTGGTTTTCTTTCCCGGATATGGTATTTGTAGAGTGTCAAACAACAACTAAAATGAGTATTCCAAATGATTGCAAACTGGCCTACTTTGGCTATCTCTCGTGGTGATTCAACGTCGATAGAACGTCCAGCATATTCATTGCAACGTTTTGAAATATATTCAAGCCGGTTCCTCAATTGCGGCAACTTTTCTTTACAGAGCTACATAGAAAATTAATTGATAAGTATTTTTTGATTTGATAAGTATTTTTTAGAAACTGGATATAAGAATTTACCGCTTTATCAAAATAAATTCCACGAGCAGTTAAACGTGAACCAGCCGCTAGTGCTTTCATTTCGAGTGTAAAGCATCTAAATACACGTGTGTTAATGAATTCTTTTTAAGACAAACGTTTTGTTGTGTAGTAGAATTGCCTCCTTTTGAAATTTGCAGAAGAATCCACCAAGAACTAATGCCTAAATTTGCAATTTCCTCTTTGAACAATTTCCTAAATTAACCTACCTGAAACGCGGAAAATATCCTAATTGAGCTCTTTAAATAGTTGTTAAAATTCAGTATTGGAAACAGAGTCCTCGCGTATGTTTTGACTAGTTGAGCAAATTGAAAAGTCTCATCTTCTGATCGAGATTTGGCTAAAATCTAGTCTCAACAAATTTATAACTTTTTGACTCACATAAATATGCAGCATAAGCAACATCTAAAGGATTTTCAATCTGTAGCTGGTGACCGGTGTGCAAAGCGGCTTTTGTTATTCGCATTAAATTGAACACAAATATCCGTGGGCAGGTCCTGTATATTTTAAATTTTTAAATGTAGAAAAAGTTACCTTAAAATACAACTCAAAACAGAAATTCTTTCTTTTACGGTAATGCTATCCAATTGTGTATATGTGGGGGCTAGCAACTCTTCGTCGGCATTACCTAGATTAAATTATACAAGATATAAATAAATGCACCAAACCAATAAAATCATCATCAGAAAGCGAGATCCATAATATGTTTTCTTTTCCTGGGCATAATGCTACACCGGTGATAACCTAGAAATGGATTCATCATTTTTTCATCTTAACATTCAATACCTCTCCTTCACCACTTTGCTTATAAGCGTAAGCTAAACCACATTCACGCCAACTTTGAGAACCATTCGAAAATTTCCTCCACTTTTCTATTGAGCTAGAAGGATAATTAGTGTTTACAGCCTAACCATTTCTACCTGCAAACGTCCTCAATTTTGGGTTTTTCGATTGTCAAGCAATTTTTCAGAATCAAATCATCTTCAGATTCCGCCTTCGGCTCTAAAATCATAAAAATAATAGCTTTGTACGTAATGCAACCTATAATCTTTGCTGTTTTTGAGATTTTCGCCACCGGACTGGAAGTACTTGGAGAATGCGGTAATCCCTGAACATTATGTCTCGAGAATTTACAGAAACCATACCATTTTATTGAAAACTCGCTTTACAGGCTTTTGAGCTTCAAGATTGTTCCTTAAAATTTCTGTTTATGACGTCAATTATAATAACCTCGGTGAATCTATAGTGGAGAACGAGGAGGCAAAAAGATCGCAACTATCGTTAAGTTCTAAATAAAAAATTGCAATAAAATTTGTGAAATCTACCTACCCCGTTCATCAGCCGCTCCATTATGATTTGAAGAAAGATTTGATCTTGTTGAAATGAAAGTTTCATCATTTGATTTATTTAATGAACATCTTGATTTAGCTTGTGGCAATTGTTTCAGTAAAAGGCTCCGTCTCTGAAATTAATTAACTTTTCTATTGGATTAGCTAGGCACTTACCAAAACTTCTCGATTTTTAGGTGTTGATCGCCTGTTTTTTTTCGACGCTTTGAAAATCGTGTCAAAAGATAATTCAAATGAATCCACAAGATTGTCTTCGCCTGCGAAAGATAGTTTGAGAATTTGTTAATTTACAAAAATTTGTCACTACTAAAGATTCCAAAGACATACCCATATGCTCGTTTGCGTATACGGAAATTAAAGATTGATCAGGTCGCTCCTGAAAAAGAATATAAAAAATACTAACACTCTCTGGAACTCATCAGATTCTTTATTAAAACCCTCACCTGATTCACGACAAATAAATCGCCTCGCCATTTTACCTAAAAGCCATAATGAAATTTTAACAAAAAAACCAAAAGGTTACTTGGTTTAAAGTCGTTTCCAAATCTTCCGTTTCCCCAAGTAGAGCAAGTTGAGTTTGTCGAATTTCTGATAACAGGTTTCTAAAAATTCATCGATGAGAAGGAGCTATAAATATTGTTTAAAAGTAGTACACTAACTCGCAAGCCTTAAAAACATCTCACCCTTCAATCTTCGGAGTAAAGCTTCGCCTTTTGGGATCGTAAGGTGAATAAGAGTTGTCTTGAATCCTTTTACCTTGATCTTCATCAATCGTCAACTAAAAACTACCAATTAGGTATATCCATCCAGTACCAATCATTTTAAATAAATCTTTTAACGAACAAATTTACCAACATTTGCCACTGACTGTGAAAACAAATCAAATGAGCTGCTATTCTCGTTTACACTTAAGTTGCTGGCATCGTTCATAGAATAGTTTTCTTCTTCATCCTTCTCAGCTTCAGTATTTTCGAACTTTGAAATCCTTTCTTTTTGTGCTCTAGAAAGCTTGTGTTATATATGATCCCACTTTTCTTTTTACCTTTCCACTGAATAAGCGCTAATGGAAGCATTCGGAGCAATATTAAACGTATTTTCCTTCTCGTTTCCCTCCAAATTTTTCTGGTCATCCCATTCAAACTCCATCTAAAACTTGATAAGATGTAAAAACAACCCATCAAACCGAATCATTTATAGGCTTTGGGCACTGTGTGGCAATCTGAATTGCATCGGCGACAGCTTGTGAAATCTGATTTTGTTGAGCCAGCATCCTAAGATTCCCAGTACATTAGTATTTTTTAGTCTGACACGAATATCATTTCATTTGGCTCTTTCAAATTTAGTTTTAATTCTAAAAAAATTTCACTAATGTGGAAACTTTATTACGCATAAAATCCGGACAATATCACAGTAAACACATACAACCACAATCATCCAATATATCTTAAAATCGAGAAAAGTTAGACTAGGTTTAACATACTCAATTTAAAGCAAAACTTTAAAAAATAGCTTACTCGGATAAAAGATACTGTTTGTATTTTTTGATCTTAACTTTCTTTGGTCTTCTAGCTATCTTTTTATTTCTAACGCCAGAAAAGTTTCGCCACCCTATTCTTTTGCCCAACCGTTTTTCTCCTCGGGTTTTTATTTCGCGAATTTGCGATTCTGGAAGTAAGCCGAGTTCCCTAAAATGTTTTTTTTTCAAGAGTTAAATTAAAATGTAAGTACCGTATCTGATCCGTAACTATTTGATTCGCACGTTCCATCAACAAGGTAACCGCTTCTTCTAATCTCATGAGACCGCCTCCAAAAAGCCATTCGCCCAACCCATTTCTTTCCGTAGAGCTAAATTTTACAAATAAAATACATTTTAGAAGGGTCTAACTATGAGATACGATTTTTATTTTCAGATGGGCATAGGCACAAAAATAAAGCTTTCTATTTATATATGTTGTGTCCGATTTAGATTCAATCTAAATCTTATATAGATTGAACAATAATACGTCTTGTATAGATTGAACAATAATATAAACATGCTTAATATATGTTCTTAAGCGTTTTCTGTAGTTTTCTGCATTTTTCAAAGGTCTTTTATTGATTACAGTCGATATCGGACGTCCGATACAGATAGAACAATAATAAACGTGCTTAATATATGTTCTTAAGCGTTTTTTTTGCAATTTTCTGCGCTTTTCAAAGAATTCAAGATGTCACAATAGCATGTTCAAGATGCCACAAAGAATTCAAGATGTCACAATGTCACAACTCTGCAATTCAAGATGACACAATAGCCTAAGCTGCAAAAATAAATAGAAATTTTTAACTCGTTCGTTGTTGTTGTTAGTTTTTTGTTGTTATATGTTGTAATTTTGCATCTATTCTGTTAACGCTAATAAATTGTTTCATAGTTGGGTTTTCTTTTCAGAAAAAGACAATAAAATTTCCTTGAAAAGCGCAGAAAATTGCAAAAACGCTTAAGAACATATATTAAACATGTTTATATTATTGTTCAATCTATATAAGACGTCCGATTTAGATTGAATCTAAATCGGACGGAAATCTAAATCGGACACAACATATAAACATATATGTTGTGTCCGATTTAGATTACAGTCTATATCGGACGTCCGATTTAGATTCAATCTAAATCTTATATAGATTGAACAATAATACGTCTTATATAGATTGAACAATAGTATAAACATGCTTAATATATGTTCTTAAGCGTTTTCTGTAGTTTTCTGCACTTTTCAAAGGTCTTTTATTGATTACAGTCTATATCGGACGTCCGATACAGATCGAACAATAATAAACGTGCTTAATATATGTTCTCAAGCGTTTTTTTTGCAATTTTCTGCGCTTTTCAAAGAAATTTTATTGTCTTTTTTTGAGAATTTTTTGTTTTCTTGTTTTCCTATTAAATGCTTACTATTATCCTATTAAAGTTAAAAACTACAGAAAACGCTTAAGAACATATATTAAGCATGTTTATATTATTGTTCAATCTATATAAGACGTATTATTGTTCAATCTATATAAGATTTAGATTGAATCTAAATCGGACGTCCGATATAGACTGTAATCTAAATCGGACGGAAATCTAAATCGGACACAACATATATAAACACCATTTTAATGCCTATCCAAGTTGCAACCCTAACGTCTTAAGAATGAGTATGGATGGCCACGCGTTTCCAGTAGCTGGCAGGGAGGTCAGAGATAATTACTTGATGCGCGAGGTGAATTTGGTAATCCAATTAGCCTTGGGCTATTAGAAAGACTAGGTGTGCACCCACAGACCGGGAAATCAATTGCGTCACAATAGACCCAAAATCAAACCATAGCAACATTGCGCCACAGTACTAGCTCTAATTTTTTAAAGTTTAAAAGTCTTCGTAAATTTGAAATTATTCCAAAACAGAACTTACTTTTCAAACGGAACCACGGACGTTAGAACAGAAGTGATATCTTTCGAATCGGCATTGGCTAGTCGAGAAATTGAAGTAATTCCGGCAACGTGAAAAGCACGAGCTCTAAATTTAAAACTTTTGATTTCAATAAAAACAAGTCATACCTAGCTCCATCGATTCCCTCAAGACGAACTAATTCGGTCAATTCACGACGAACACCAAATGCTAACCGACTTGCAAAACCTTCCAGCAGTGCTTTCAAATACACCCAACCAAGGCGAGCACAAAATGCCACAACCATCGCTAAAACACCATCAAAATTAAACAATTTTTTGTAACTCAAGACATCGTAAAAATTCTAATTTAGCCAACAAAAATTAACTTACCGGCGTAAGTAGCTGATTGTTGTTGAAGCGTTTGCAAAGCTCCGCGTGTAATACCAAACTTGATTGCAACCTAAACAGATACAGTCTATATTTAAAGAAATTTTTTGTAACCTCTGCTATTGGAGCTTCGTTAATAACCTCGAATAAAGCAAGTGCTGAGAAAAAGCGTTCATGAACCTAGGGCACGTGAAACTTTGTTTGCCAGAAAATAAAATACAATTTTCTTCTGCTCGCACCGGCCACTTCCGTTGATATAAGCCAAAATCGTGCCCTCATTAACGCCAACCACCCGCGATACCCTTAACAAAGTGAACTTTCAATGAAAAAAAATATTAACCGTACCGTATCAAATCATCCCCCAAAGCTGTGTAGATTTTATGTAACCGATTCCAGTCCGCACTTGCCCAAATACCAAGATTCAGAGGTGTAACCTAAAAAGTGAAATCTAAAATTTGAATAAGTTTATGATACCAAATACAACATGTGTAGCTCCGTGTTCAAACAAAGCGCTTTTTGTGCTCTTTCCAAATCGCTAAATACTTGCAATGCTGCATCGGGAGGAAGTGAAGAAGCTGAATTTTTTCTTGCAAATTTTCATTGAGTATAGCGTACCTAATGCGGCTGCTCCAAGCTGAGTTGGCTCTAATTCTATCGTCTGATCGTCGTTAACACGCCGTGATACAAATTGTAGCTGTACCAAATCTGTGCAAAGTTAAAATTTGCAAAAACAAAAGAAACGCTACCGTCAATAACTTTATTTGCTGTTCTCAAAGGAGTATTAAGAAGTTTACATAACAGTGATGTGATATCGCTCATACATCGACACAACTTCGAACAAATCGCCTAAAACCATGAATTGGTCTGATTTTTTTAAAATTCATACTTCCAACACTAGTTTGCCCGGATCTCGAGGCATATCGTAGACAAAATTTTCGTTCTGGGATATCAGTTGTCTTACACGGCCCACATCGCTCCTTCGAATCGATAAGATGGATTCTCCTGAAAAACACACCGTTTCCATGTTTGGCACTTGAACTATTTAGATGTATCTAAACTCCTCAAGATGACATTTTAGGGACCAGTCAATATTGTGTATAGAACGAGCCTCTATCTAATTGGCCAATCAGAGAGGACTTCTTGAAAAGAATCGTCACGCCCCTTTTCCTCTCCTCTCCCTCGTTCAGAGAGATAGTACCGTAAATACTCTTGGAGGTTCATTTTGATTCATTCTGTTCGGAGAAAATTTTCTTTAATTCTTTTCATTTTATTACTATTACTTCCACTCATTTTTATATGATTTGCGTCTGAATGAAAATGAAATTTGTTTCAGAAAGATGGCCGTAGACGAAGCGATGAGTATTAATGCCGTTATGCAGGCTGGAAATCATCGAATGCCGTTCGCGATACACGAGATTTTAGGACTCTCCGGTAATATGCGCTTTACAGAAATTAAACGTAACTCAACCAGGAATGTCCCCAAATGGCTATCTTCCCCCAAGTGCCTACTGTTCTCAAGGATTTTTCCCTCAACAGGGCTTTCCTATGGATTTGCAATGCCAAGGATTTGATCGAACACTTTGCAACGAATCAATGGCACCGAGTCAAAGTAAAGTTTCCAAGTGTCTTTCATATTCTTAAAAACTTAGGCAATTCGATATTGCATTTACCATTGCCTCTTTCAGGCATTGAAACAAATAATCATGTGCGTTTTTCCAGACATCAAATTTAGTGCCAAGTTCTCGAATGGATTATCTTTTACCAGGAGGCCAATCGTTACCTGGGGATGATGTCGGCACAACGAGTAAAAAAATTATATTCCTTCATATTACAAACTAACTTAGGTGGTAAGATTACCAAAAGGAAAAAGCGGCGACATCGAACTATTTTCACCCAATACCAAATTGATGAGCTCGAAAAGGCGTTTCAGGTTCAAAAATGTGGCAGCAAAGATGAACCATCTCTATTTTAGGAAGCTCACTACCCCGACGTTTATGCTCGAGAAATTCTTGCGGCAACAACTGATCTTCCAGAAGATAGGATTCAGGTAAATTGCTTATGGGTTAAAATTTGAAACCTTTATTTTCCCATGACTTGGCTAAAACTACCCCGATTTGAAATTTTTTCAAAACGAGACAATATTTTAGCGCCTAGCGGCATTGAAAATTTGGGGGGAGGGTGATAGTTGAGTAGTGCGAGGAGGGTGCAAATCGAATTCACGATTCAATTGTGATAGCGTTATTCCGTCTAAACTAAAATTTCAACTAAACCAAAAAATTTAGAATACCAAAAAGACAGAATTAAGGTTTGAAAACCCTGTAAGGCGCTTTAGTCACATTATTTCGTGTCCCAAGGGAACGTGTCCTTAATTGGTCGTTGTCGTGGATGGGAGAGAGGGGGGACCCTCACATTTTCCCACTCGTCTCAAACATCCTTTCTGGCGAAGGCTTTCAATATTGGCCCAATTGGGGCGATGGCCACTTGTACATTTGAAAGCAACAATTATCATAGAAATATCAACGACAGGGACATTAAATCTTTAACAATAAACTCTCAGGTATGGTTTCAAAATCGTCGAGCAAAGTGGAGAAAAACGGAGAAAACATGGGGGAAAAGCACAATCATGGCGGAATATGGCCTATATGGCGCCATGGTTAGTTCCTAAACTTTCTGGCGCTATCTACTTTGTGCATGTCGGTGTTTTCTAATAGAAAAAAGAATTTAGGTTAGACATTCTTTGCCTCTACCGGAAACTATCACAAAAGCCGCCGATCCAGCAGACCCCGATCAATCTCCAGCGCCTTGGCTTTTAGGTGATTTGATAGAATGATTATACATAAATACCCAACAATTTCAAGAGTAGGATGGGTTAGATTCACATATAACGTTTCTTTCCAAAAGACAAATTTACTGACCAATGGGACCTTGAGTGTTAGGCAAATTAACCAAACAAAGGCACAAGGATGTGTCGAGTGTCAATTGTATCAATTGGAGAGGATTAAATGACCGCTCTGTGCGCGAATGCCCCCAAGGCTCTCTTCTCTCCAGCCTACAAGAAAGGGGATCCCCTAGCGAGAACAAGGGCGTGAACTCATTAGGTGCAATTGGGCAGCCAAGTGCTCTTCGATTAAAAGATTAATCTCCAAAAGTACCAAACAATATGGAAGGGGTCTTGCTGAAAAAAATTTTTGACTATCTTCCTAGGTATGCACAAGAAATCTATGGAGGCCGCCGCTCACTTAGATGCTGTCGATAAAGTTTGTGAAGCCTCCGATTCGGAATCAGACGAAGGAACCATTCCCCACACCTTATTGATGGCAAAGAACGAATCCTCGGTAAATTTTAGTTACCTAACAGTTTTTATTAAAAATTAAGCGAAACATGCTGGGAAATGGATCGGAAGTAAAAAGCATGCCAACAACCCTACACTCCTCTCTATCCAATCCTCACAGCATCAACAACTATTCTGCAATGCTCGGGACTCATCTAGGTCAGATAGACATTAAAATATCTCTTAATTTGATTTCTCAGGGCTAAATACGGATGCTACTGGAAACTTTCTGCCAACGAATTCTAAATTATACCATTAAGCTCTTAAAGCTAAAGCTACTGTCTGCTTATAATAAAAGTAATAAATCATCGATTTCTCCAGACATTACATTAATCGATATCACCCGGGATTCCACAGTAAACGTGCATCGAAAGAAAAAGAATCGGTGTTTGGGAAACAGAAAGGGGGCAAGCAATAACTGAGCCAATTACAGAAAGGAAGAACCGGCACTCAAGGGGCGCTCTTAAACACTCGGTCAAGTTGTATGCAAGTGCTAGAAAGAGTGCCACCTACTGAGATCAAAGAGATAACAAAAATTTTTGATTATAAGCTAAGATATCCCGCATATCTTACATCAATTTTATGACACTTTAATAGGTTAAAAAGCAACAAACCCTTGTTTGCATGTCCCATTCTTCCAGCTCGTCCAGCCATTTGTTTGTAAGTCATACTGTTTATTGCGGTTGGACCTCTGGTTTGAGCACGAATTATGACTTTGTTTGCAGGCAAATTAACGCCTAAAATTTAAAATTTGCTTTTCACTTCATCGAATATGACAGACAAAACTTTTATGCGTCCAAAATCTCACCAGAAGAAAGAGTCGATGTAGCAACCAATAACCGAATTATTCCTCGCCGAAAAAAGTTTTCAAGGCATTCTCTCTCTTCGGCGGTTAGACCTTAGCAATTAGAAAAATGTCATGAAATGGCTTACAACAAATATACCTGCATGATGAAAACCGATCCCACGGGGTAATGTTTTTACAAGCAAAGGGTCAATGGGCCCAATTCGTTCCATTTCCGTCTTCAATTCAGTTAATGCGGAACGATCAATTACACTCTAGAAATTGGAATTTATTCTTTTAAAAATAAGATTAAACCTTTAACTCCGATTTTGTAGGTAGCAGACCCGCAATGATTCTAGCTATCTCCACAGCAACCTGAAATAAAAAAAATTGTCGGACTTACCACTCGCACTCATTGGGTCATGGCTAGAAAGCTTTTAAGAAATTCATAGAACCTTCTCCACTTCAGCTTTTGAAGAGCAAAATACTAAACAGAGGTTCCCAGAACAAAGTGCCTCGACCGTCCATCTAGGCAAGCAAAATTAGTCAAATACCTAGTTCCAAAAACTCACCCTAACATTCGATCGTAATCTTGTGCAAAACTTCGAAATTCATTTGGGAGTTCGCGTATTTTGTTGTCGCCGTTAATATCACACAAGTCATTCTATAATAGAAAACGTAAATAAAATTTGCGGAATTGTGATCTGACCTCAATTGCAATGGTTTCGATCAGATCAACTGGGCGAAAATTTGTTTGATAAACTGAAGACCCTAGCCAGGTTTCAATCTAAAGCAAGCATGTGTGCTTCATAATAAAAGAAAAAATACTTTTGATGTGTTAGAAAGTGTAGCACTCATCGCCACAATCCGAGCGGCCGAGTTGTGTTCTCGAAGAAATAGTACCTAAATTATGCGCATGAAACCCATACCAACTCGTTGCTCAAAAAAGGCTAATAACTACCTTTGCTATGAAAAATTCATATGTTGTTCCCCGAGAACCCTCGTTTACCATATGAAGTTCATCAAGAACTATTACACCTAAGCTTGCATATCAAAGAAGTTATCTTTATTTGTAAAAACCAAGATCTTCAACTGTATCTTCTGTAATCATCCTATTCACTAGCGAGTTGGCCTTTTCAATCGTACAGACTGCACACTAAAATAGTAGGTGAGTTTTGTTCTAGCTCCTGTAAAAACCATCCAATCGTTTCGCTCAGCAGATTGATGACCCATAAAACCAGCAACTTGGAGATCGATACGACGCCAAATTTTCTAAAAGCAAAATGTATGTTTGGTAGGAAAAAAATAAAACCTGTAATTGGTGTAATTTCTCCTTGGCGACAGCAACATAAGGTAAAACAAAAAAGCTCTAGAAACAAATATTACCGGGTGTTTTAACAAAGCTACGAACCTTTTTTTCATGCAAAGCAGCATAAAGGGCAAGAAGTTCGGCAACCAGACTTTTTCCGGCGCTAGTTGGAGCCGCGTATATTACGTTCTCATTTGTCTCGGTTGCTGCTAAATATTGTGGCTATTTGAAAACACAAACATCGACCTTTACCGTTCAGAATCTCATGTTGCCAATGAAAAAGTCCTTCGACGCCCTTATCTCGATATCCAGCCACTATTTCTTTCGGCACCCATTCAGGAAAAGGTAGATGAAGGTCGGAATTCATTTTGTCATCTCTAAATCCATTTGTCTTTAGTTTTGTAAAGCTAAACAAGAAGTTAAATCAGAACGGTATAAATGAAGTTTTCATATACTATTCGCTCAAATATTGTACATATACATGGACGACAATGGGAAATTTTAAATTCGCGGGTTGTGAGGGTGAATTTGGCAAAGAACGTACTCTTGAGAAATTTCTTTCATGAGCTTTGACGATTTCACTTCACAAGATGTAAATCTCGTTTTTAGTTGAAAATTGAATATCTTTTAATATTTAGTCAAGACAGACAAATTTAAAAGTATTCAATTGAAAATTCAGCTATTTAATTAGGATCCTTTTTTCCATTTTGGGTATTTTTTTGTAAACGTCGTTTGTTATCACAGTCTTCTCTTCTTTGATTTTTAGAAATATTTTGAGTTACCTTTTGGCCAATTTTTTATTTTTAGGGTGATGCAAAGCGCTCTCTACACGGCGATGGGCCGTTCGCTCAGCTTGGGACAACGGCGTTTTGCCGGCACTGGTTTGATGGTGCATCGGGATACCAAGGAGAACAACTTGAACGTGAAATTCAAATTCACTCCGGAGAATCTCAAACGAATCGAGGCTATAACGGGCATTTATCCTGACGGACACAAAAGTGCTGCTTTAATTCCTGTATTGGACCTTGCACAACGACAACATGGATGGCTTCCGATCAGCGCGATGCACGAGGTTTCTCGAATTCTTGGTGTACCGCGAATGCGTGCTTACGAAGTAGCAACGTTCTACACGATGTTTAACAGGCAGCCAGTTGGAAAATATTTCCTTCAGGTGTGCGCGACCACACCCTGTATGCTTCGTGGAGCTGAAACCATCACCGAAACAATCGAGAAAAAGTTGGGCATTCATGTTGGCGAGACGACTAGCGATGGGCTGTTCACGTTGGCTGAAGTCGAGTGCTTGGGAGCTTGTGTGAATGCACCAATGGTTCAAATTAACGATGATTATTACGAGGACCTTACGCCCAAGGATATGGTGGAAATCATTGATGAGTTTAAAGCTGGGAAACGCCCGATTCCTGGGCCTCGATCTGGAAGACTGGCTGCTGAGCCACAGGGTCGCCTTACCTCTCTCACCGAGCCACCACCAGCTCCAGGCTTCGGACTTCAGTCTGGCTTATAAATTTTCGAATTCTTTTTGATTTGTGTATTATTGTGAAATTTCTTTTGTATAGTTATTAGTAGCTGTTCTTAGGGTTACTTACTGCTCTATTATGCCGAGGTTTAATAAAAAAATTTAGATATGGTCACATTCCCCACGGATTTATCGGCGAAGATTGGATGCTACGCCGAAAACGGTAAAAACCAAATTTTTAAAGACATTTAATTTTTTTGTTTAGGAGACGAGCTGCCAGCGAGTTATCTAGCTATTGCCAAAGATTATCCGAGTCACAAGGTATACACTGTGCAGAACTTAGCAGGTTTGTATTTAATAAATAACTTTTTATTAAAATTTTAGTTTTTTAAACAAGCTTGTGAAAAATTGTTGTGGCAGCTGTAGGTTTTTAACGGTTTCATTTTTTTAGATGCTTCACCACCGTCTTCTTTTGATTCTCTTTTCCTATGTCCTGTGACTGAACCAGTATTTCAACGATTCTTGGATTCGGCTTTTATAGCTTTGAAAAATGGTGGACGGCTGCAAATCATGTATGAAATAGAAGGTTAGACATCAATTATACCTAACTACCTTAAAAAGTAAAATTTAGTTATTGACGGGCCACGTTTTGAACGTATGATCCGTTTGGTCGGTTTTACAGACATTGAATGGTATCGCGTTGAGTGTAAATGTTTCCGTTTACTTTAGCATATTTTGAGCATTTTAGGGACCTACTTCGCAGCTGCGCAAAAACCAGACTTTGCCGCACAATCGGTCTCTCTCAAATTACCTACTAAGAAAGTTAGCTGACTTATAGAAAACTTTCTACAGCTTTTTATTTTAGATTGCCATGAATTCATCTGACTTGATTGACGAAGATGCTCTTTTGGAAGAGGAAGACTTCAAAAAGCCAACGGCACAAGATTTGAAAGGTTTTTGAATTTGATACTAACGGTTTTAAATGATTTTAGCATCTTGCGGAGAAGCTGATGGAAGCGAAAAGAAAAAGCGGGCGTGTAAAAACTGTACTTGTGGATTGGCAGATCAAGAACAAACCGAGCGCCTAGAAGCTGCCAAGCAGAACAAAGGATGCGGTTCGGTAATAATTTGTTTAAATTTTTTTACAATATTTTTACACACTTAGCCCATTTAATTGCAACGAAAATTTCAAATTTGTTTAGTGTGCTCTCGGTGATGCTTTTCGTTGTGCTACGTGTCCATATCTTGGAATGCCTCCATTCAAACCGGGCGAAAAAGTTCAACTTGCAAATGTAGACGATTTTCAGATTTAGCCTTGTTAATAGTTGTTGATTTTAAAAATGAATGTTTATACAGATTAATGTATACAAATATACGTTGTGAATTATTGACGTTGAATCATTAAATGCAGAAGAACGGTAAAGAGACCCGATAAAAAAATATTAAAAGAAGAACCCGTGGTTTGAAATTGGTTCACTTTGACCCGTCAGTTTGCGAACCATTCGAAATGTTACACATAATTGTTGATATGGAACAGTCGTTGATGAGAATTGAAGCTTCCCCGAGGAGTTATTGTACATTAACACCAATTAAATGCTGTTGCTGTTGATGATGACGCTGTTCCATTGATTGCTCAACTAAATTGGGTTTTTAAACTGATGCACGAACACTGGTTCAAAAATTGTTTCCTGCTTCAGTTTCAAGTCACGAATGCAACAAATCTTTGGCCATTTATTGGACTCTTTTTGGTTTTGGTAGTTTTGGACTCGGCAGAAAGCTTAAATTTCGATGTTTCGTGGTGTATTTTTAGCCAAAAGAGAGCTTTCTCATGCGTCATCTGTTTGATTTTCGACACTAGAAACAGTAGAGCAATTTTCAAGGTTTTCTTTTTTTTGTCCTTACCCAGAAGATCAATCTTTTTGCCGAGTGAGAGGGAGATTCCAACGAGAACGATCGAGATGACTGTCATTGCGATCGCCACTATCGCCACCACACGTTTCACTCGTTTCTGAAAATGGCTTTTAGCTTGCCCAATACTGGTAGAATTGGTTTTTTTTTTGTTTTTCTGCTTACCTGGTTGTGATCCTTGATTTCCTGAATCTCGACGTCAGTAAGCTCCATTTATGCAAGAGTGCCTCAGCTTTCCAGAGACTGAAATAATTAAAGAAATAAAATGACCGAAAATCGATTGCTGTTTAGACGCCTCACGAGTGAGAAAAGTGAAATTTGTGCGTAAATTATTTTGTGAAATCGGAGAGTGTACAAACAAAATCCGGCTATTTACATCAGACTCTCGCTCATGCAAAAAAAAAGAAATACCCTCTCGTTAGTCAATAAAAGTTTTACCGGTGTTAAAGAACGAAAATTACCTAAAAATGACACCAAAAATTGCTTCCGCCTCAATTGGTGACTGTTGTGAGCGGGGGAAATTGCGGGACGAAGATGATTGGGGCGCCGTCGTGTCACCTAGAACCCCACACATTTTTTTTTGCTAATGAATTCGCAACACAAAAAATTGCGGGACAAAAAATTCTCTTTTCAAACTAGAAGCTTGTATGATATGCGTACATTTGCTAAAAATACACAAAAAGATAAGCAAAGAAAAAAGAAAGACGCAGAAAAGTGGAAAAGTAGGTGAACACGGGAAGACCCATTTGAACGGAATTCTGCCCGGAAACGTCCCTTTTTCTAGATGGACTCTTTTCAGTAGCCACTCTCCTGAGAGTGAGCCGGAATAGATGGCGAGGAATGAACCCCTTCTCGGGGTGCTCACCTCTCTATTCCTGAGTAGTCATAGAAACAATTCCGATCCTTTCAACCTTACAGAATAACCTTTTCACCCACTTTCCTTCCCCCCCACTCAATCAACCAGTAAATACCCCCCGGGAACGCACATGTTTGCATAATTTTGAGCGAAGATCGCGTGTTTGAAAGAGACGATTTTGGACCGGTGACCGATGAAAACAAAACATGCTACAATTCTCATAGTATGGCAAAAAGATGAGGAGAGAAAATTCGATACGGAACTGAGCCACTTCTCAATGAATGGCTGAATAGCTAATCCGTAAACTGCGGATGAGAAGATCTATGTGCAGTTAGGGCCTTTGTTTTCAGATGATTGGAAAATGGGCGAAGCATTTTTTTTCTCTCACCAAGGAAATGGGTGAAAATTGGGATTTTGAAAAAATTCTATGAAATATGGATCGGCGGTGACTGACGAGAAATGTGTGAACGAGAAAAAGCGCGAAACGAAAAGCAATAGGAGCCGCGTTTGAGTGTCCCCTTAGAGGGGTGAACAACACGTGGATGAATGCGATGAGGATGGGCTGATGAAAACAAAAGAAGAGGAAAGGGGTCGAGAGGTGTTTTCTATCGGCTGAGAGACGAATGAAAGCAGCCCGGGGGGCAATGCCCGAGAATGGGCCATAGGGGACAGGAGAGGAGCTCTCGGGGAGCTCTCCCCATATGGGCCCTCCTCAAGTCTTTGTCTCACTCTCTCTTTTTCTCCCAGACTTTTTCTTCTTCTTCTTCTTCTTTCCTCTTCTTCTTCTTTCTTCTTCTTCCTTTTCTTCTTTCTTCTTCTTTCTTCTTCTTCTTTCTTCTTCCTTTTCTTCCTTTTCTTCTTTCTTCTCCTTTCTTCTTTCTTCTTCTTCTTTACCCCCATTTCTCCATATTCTCATTGCACTCTTTCCTTTAAGTAAAGATTTTTTTTTGACGAGAGTTTGGAAATTGAGTAAACCGGGCTAGATAGAATTGAGATGACAATCAATCCAATGGAACACTAAAACTAAAACGAATTGGAACAGGAATTGGAACGAACAGGCAAAGTTTTGATTGATATTCCTCTTTTAAGAGATTTATCAAATGAATGCAATGGAAGAATGAAAGGATGGAATGAAAGGATTTCATGTGCAAGAAATATGTTTTTGTCATCCCCCACAAAGCTCAAGTGTTTATTTGCTACTTCGGCTTTTCGATATTTTTGTAAATAACATTCTGGATCCCAACAATTTTCAGGGTTTCACTAGAGCTTTTGAGTGCATCAGTGTGTAAATCGATTCAGAGGTTTATACCAATCATCTAGGGAAAAAGAAAGAGAAGAGAAAACTCGATCGGATCATCGACGAGACTCGGCAGATTATAAAGTGCCGAGTGCCTATTCAGGTAACAACACCCCAATCCCACTTTCACTTTGGTTGCTCGGGGGGCTACGAGGGTTTCATTTCATTTCTCTTTTTACAAATTTTGATACCCTAGAACTTCACAAGCCTTTCCAAATCCTTTTTCTTACTCTTTCTTCGATCATTGCCCAAAAAAAATCTATAGACAATACGAGGAAAGGTGGAAGAAGAGAAGAGAAGTGATTCAGCCCTCGTCGATGCCCACAATCGATATACTTTCTTTCTCTTTTTTTTCACACAGTACAATGTCCCCAAAAGTAGTCTTTTCGAAAGTGATTCTTTCCGTTTAAGCCCTGTAAAAGTTTTTCTTTTTAAATTCAGTAAAAAAAAACTAGAAAGAATAGAAAGACTTTCTGTTGGGTGACATAGAAAAAGTTTTGTTGTACGCGAGAGTTCTAATCCTTCTGGGTGGCATTGCTTTCTCCTGTGTTGGTCGGTGTCTCTGAGCGGGGGTTTTTTTCATTGTTTCGGCGCACTTGGGTGACTTCAGTGTTTGCATGGCATCTCGACACCCTTCTCATCCCCTCCACCAGCTTTTCCCCTCCACGCTTCTCAAGATTTCTTTCTTCTACTTTTCGCCAAATTATCATGATGTTCATTCTGAAGTTTTTAATGTAAAGTTTTTTAATGTAAAGTTTTTAATTGAATTCTTCAAAATTCTCAAAGATTTATTCTTCATTTATCAAAAAAATTGACTATTGTTAGAAAAACTTTGAAACTAATGAAAATATGAAAAGAAATGTGAGGGAATGGTTTGTCATCGACAAAACTATACATTCTATGTCATCAACAAAACTATACATCGATTCCTTTCCATTCTCTTTCTTTTCTTCTTTCATCTCTTTTATATATCAAAAAGTTTTCATTACTGCTAAACTTATGCTTTCTTTTCATGTTTCGAATTTTTTACATAAAAATTCACTGTTCCACAAGTCATAAGACGTTTAGTAGCTATTTTAGTTAGAATAGTCTGGTCTAAATTTCAGAATAGTCAAAGAGCTTGGGGCACCAATAGGAGAGATTGGCTTGAAGACAGGCGATGATTCGACAAAACTATACATTCTATGTCATCAACAAAACTATACATCGATTCCTTTCGATTCTCTTTCTTTTCTTCTTTCATCTCTTTTATATATCAAAATGTTTTCATTACTAAACTAAAATTTTGCTTTCTTTTCATGTTTCGAATTTTTTACATAAACATTCACTTTTCCATTACCATTACTCATAAGTCATAAGAGGTTTAGTAGCTATTTTAGTTAGAATAGTCCGGTCTAAATATCAGAATAGTCAAAGAGCTTGGGGCAGCAATAGGAAAAATTGGCTTGAAGACAGGCGATGATTCAGAGGGGAGAGAGCACCGATTATTTGTCGATTTGATGGGAGAAGAAGAGGGTCTCTATGTGATATCCCTTTCTCTTTTTTCTCTCTTCACTTCTTTTCCAATCGCTTATCAACGGCATTCTCATGCCTTTTTCTTCCTTCATTCATGATCAATCTCTATTTGTGTTTCTTTCCCTTTGCTAATAATGGTCATTTTCTAATGGTCATTTTTTTTGGAACAGAAAGCAAATATCTTTTTTGTAAAGATTTGTATTTTGATCTTTCTGAAAATGAATTATGAATTATTATGAATTATTTCAGAGCGAATGCCCTCAAACTATTATGAAAAGGGAGAATATTACGTCTCAGAAAAGGAGATTATCAATGGAACTGTGGTGAGTTTGAATAATTATTTTTAAAAAGCTTTTATGATAAAGAAGAAACTAGAAAAAGCTTTCAAGGCTTTACTAGGACTAAAGTTTTCTTTGAGTAATCAGCTTGTTGCTCGGAAAGACCGAATTTGGCATTTTCTTTTCCGAGCATTTCCTCGCGTGACGCTCCACTATTCTCTCGTTTATTTTGTCAAGTATTTGATTGAACTTTTTAAGTTTTTATTCTTTTATTCTTTTATTCTCATAGCCTTGAGATAAAACTTTACATTATTAAATACATATAATTACGATTGTCAGATTAATCACGTGAAAATAAGCCTCTAACCATTAGAATAGGGTTGTGCAGAGTCTCGGAAAGCACATGTAATTCGATGCGAATGCAAACATAGAAAAGGCATGCCTTGTGCAAATCATCTCCCTTTCAAATCTCTTTCTTTGAATCCTTAAGTCTACCCTTCAACTTTTCCTAGATTATTTGATTTTTCTACGCAATTCTCATGAGAAATGCTTTGCACAAACCACGAGTTGTCTTGGTGCGTTTCTTAAACGTTTCAAAAGCTTTTTTAAGGCCTAAAAATTAGTTAGACAATTGTAGAAAGATGAGAGAATAGATGGAGTGTCTAGTAGGAAGATGTCAAACATTGGCACTTTGGCAGACTCGAGATTGGGAGGATACGGAGGAATGGGCTCGCTCACAAAAGCCACAACAAACATCAATCATTCGTCATCCACTCACCTCTGATCGATCATTTGATAGAGGTTTGAATTTCTATTGGTTTAAAACATTATTTATTCTTTTTTTATAGGCTCTTATCGATCCAGTCACGCTCCATTGTTGTCTAGGAGTCCTGGAGTGACGCGAAGAGTTGAGCCTGGATATAGAGAAAGTGATAGGTTAGTTTAAAGCCTTGAAATCTAATGCTTAATTTTAAATTAAGGCTTTAATCTCTTCGAAATCTAATTTACCCTAATCTAATCTAATCTTTAATTTTATAATCAGATGGTCTGAGCCACGCGTACGAGATCGAGACTTTTGGGATGAAGATCCCCGGGATCCATGGGCAAATCGGTAGCATTAAAAACAATAACACATCAACTCTGTTTTCAGTTTTGCAATGCCCGAAAGTATACCATCTCGAGGTCGAGCACTCAGTCGTGCTTCCGATTATCCGGTAAATAATAACAATCATTTTAAAAAAACAAAAACAAAACCAGGATCGCGGTTTCGAAGAGTTGCGAAGAAGTAAATCGATCGATCGACAGTACAAAGACCAGTAAGCTTTAAATCAACAAATAGAAAGGAAGAGAGAAAGGAAGAGAGAAAGGAAGAAAGAAAGAAAGAAAGGAAGAAAGAAAGAAAGAAAGAAAGAAAGCTTTTCTTTATCCATTTCTAAACTCGTTTTTGAATTTACAAAAGGAAAAAAGTGAGAAAACGATGTTTACAAGTGGTAGGAGTGAAAAAGGGGGAAAACCTCGCGCACCACAGCTGCTTCCTTTTCATATCCTTTTCCAAAAAATATTTCTGTGAAATTTTTGTTTTCTCATTTCCCCTCTTCAAACCACTCGTCTTTTCACGGTCTTTGTCGGTTCCTTTTTTCGAGAAAATCGTGCAATGGGATGAAAAGAGAGAAAGAGCAAAAAGAGGGTGGTGACTCTGCCGTTACTTTGCTTTTCCCTTTCACATTTTCTTATCGCCTCATCACATATTTGAAACGCATTTCCAAGCCAATCACATATTTATTCACGAAGCGAATCCTAAAAAAGATTGATCTCATAAAAACGAATATAAAGTGCCTTTTTGAAAGAAAATTTTATTGAATGTTGAGCCCGTCTCGTGACTACTCATTTTCGCGCGACGCTCCTTACTACAGTGTACAGGTGGGAATGCAAATTAAATTCAAAATCGATGAAATCCATTTCGAAATTTTAGTCTCGTGATCGATTGAATGACCATGGATCAAGGCATGAACTTCGGCAAGTCACTGTGAGTTTATTGCGGAAATGAGTCAATCTATCAATAAAAAAACGAGTTTGATACTGTTTTCTTAAAGGAAATCTTAAAGGAAAAAGTTCATTTTATAGTAAATAGAAAGATGAATGAGATGTTTATATTTCAGAACGATTCAATTTCCCGACCGGGTTCACCAGGTCCGGTAGCCGGAGCTGGAGACATCGTCAACACTGAACACGGTTTCTCCATCTCGCTCGACGTGAAACATTTTCAGGTTTTAAAATATCGAATACATAAATCTTTATTTTGATTCCCTAAGCAATGACAATTATTTAAAGGCACAAGACATCCGAGTGGTGCTCACTGGAGACACACTTACCGTCAATGGAGAAAGAACAGAAGATGCCGGATCTGGGCAAACGCTTCGGAGAAGTTTTCAGGTATTCGAAAAGTTCAGTTGGACACGCTGGTCCTTTTATGAGTCCTTTATTTATGAAAAGGAATTCAAAATAAAACCGCAGCGGGGCTCGAACCCTCCACCGCCCACTTACCGCTTGCTTACCAGTCAAACGCCAATGAGCTGCACCGACGCGTCTCCCAGTGCCGCCAGATAGACCTTTATTCCTTACTGTTCAAAGAAGAAGAAACTTTTTCAGAGAAAATATTCAATGCCAACTGATATCAAACTCGACTCAGTGGTCTCACATCTCACTGACAATGGCTTCCTTGTGATATCGGTGAGTGAGGCCTTGATCTTGAAGATCTTGAAGAGCTTGAAGATCTTGAAGACCTTGAAGAGCTTGAAGATCTTGAACCTTTGGAGGTTGCTAGATAAATACTCACAAATATGTTTCATTCAAAACAGTTGATTTGTTTGAAAAGTTATTCAAATGGTAATGAGCAAGCATTGTACTTGTTAAAAAGATGCGAAACTCTTTTTTTGGTGTATTCTGTATGGAAAATAAGAATTATTAGACTTCTAGATGATAGATGATTATTAGATCTCACTAATTCATCTAATAAAGCTAATTAAAAGAATCTAGGGAAGTCGAAAAGGTTGGAAAGAGACACAGATCTCAATGCATCCGCTCGACTCGCGATTTCATCGAGGTGGCTCGTCGATCATCAGCAACGTCTAGAAACCTTTTTTACCCAATTCTATTCAAAAAAAAAGAAATTCTCTCATCAGAGTCATCTAATGACATAAAACTTTAATCTCTTCTAGCTTTACTCAAACTTTTCGAAATCGAATTTTTCTTTGCAATATCTAATCGATAAACCGATAAAATCTCGAAAACAAGAAACTATTCCAAATCTCTTTCAGGAAGCTTTTTTCATTTTGTTTCTATTTTCTTATGAATAAATCAATAAAAACAATCAATAAAATCAATTGAAAAGTGCAAAAATGTAATTTCGTCCGAATGTTGTTCAGAAATAGAGAGAGAGACTTGTGCCAAAAAGAAAACAAACAGAAAAAAAATCTCTTTCAAACTCTACGAGTTTCTTTTAACGAAGAATTTCAACAGAATTCTTTATCGAATTTTTACTTTTTCATCATAACATAACATAATTTCATTTTGACATAATTCTATGAAATGTTTAAGTTGATAGTTTTTTGATAGTTGAGAGTTGATAGTTGATAGTTGAGAGTTGATAGTTGATAGTTGATAGTTGATAGTTGATAGTTGATAGTTGAGAGTTGATAGTGGATAGTGGATAGTGGATAGTGGATAGTGGATAGTGGATAGTTGATAGTTGATAGTTGATAGTGGATAGTGGATAGTGGATAGTGGATAGTTGATAGTTGACAGTTGATAGTTGATAGTTGATAGTTCTTGATAGTTCTTCGTTAAACTGATTGATCAATCACTTTGATTCATTTATAATGTAAACAAACTTTAAAGTAAATCTAATTTACATCAAAATCAATGCCAAAATCTGAAGCTTGATCTAGAATTGAAAATCGAGTCGATTTTTTAAGATGTAGATTTGTAGATTGAGTTAAAATGTAAAAAAAACCCGCTCCAACATACGTATTTGTGTCTGGGAACGGGGAAAAGGGAAAAGCTTGGGGAAATTGACTAAATATCAATATTTGATGACTTTGGGGATGATCGATTTCCCAATTTTTTTTCGTTTTTCTTCTTTCCACCGCTTTTCCAAGGGGAGCGGCCCATTCCGGCTGCCCAAACACTCCCCAATCCTTTCACTAATATTTTTCAATATTCAGTACTCTATATTCACTCAGTCATCTGTTTTTCGTAGAACTTTTCCCCTTGATTTCGCAACTCAATCAACATCTCGATTTTCTTTAGATGTTGCAAACGATTTTTTATCTAATACTCTTTCTTTCAATTTCTACTTTATCTCAGACAACCGATGCACCGAAAGGCAATCTTGATGTGAGTTGATCAACGTAGAATAGATTCAAATTCAAACACGACTTCTTTTCAGCGATTGCGCGAACTATTAGCTGAAGATGATCCAGAAAAGATTCGCTTTTGCGCTTTTCAACCGTCAGATTCGGTGAATTGTGATACATGTGTGGCAAAAGGAGATGTTAGTCGATCAATTTAGAAAAAGAACAAAGCCTTTTACAGGAATGTTTTTTTTGTGGAGGCAAAAAACAGCAATGTCTCCCCTATTCGGTCACTTTCCCGAATTGTGATCTCGATGATGTGAAGCATAAAAATTGCTGGGGTAAGTCTTTTTGCAAAGGAGGCCAGCTTAGGCCAGCTTTTTGTAAAGGAGGCCAGTAGAGGCCAGCTTTTTTTGCTTTTTGCAAGTCTAAACTTTCAATAGCAGATTCTATTCAGTGAACTGGACAGCGGTGATCATCGTCGGTGCAGTGGCAGCCGGCCTTTTGCTGATCATCGTTATTGTTGTGCTCTGTTGTTGCATATGTAAGTTAACTACTTCAAAGTTGACAAGGGGAATTTAGGCAAGTTGCGTACTTGGAGAAATCGACGAAACAAAGTCTATTGGCAAAGGAAAGATGAGGTTGAAGAGTGAAGGGGAATGAAAGAAAACTCTTTCAGAAACATCAAATGCGAATGAAAGATATTGAGACGAAGGGCGCTGAGAGAAGCTCGCAAAGAGCTCGCGAAATGGATTACTATCGAGAAAAATACGGTAGCTATTCAAAAGTTTACAAAGTTTACAATTTTTATGTAGTTTATGTAAGTTTACAATTTTTATTTAACTATCTACTATAAGTTTTTCCAGTAAGAGGCTATTTAACAAAAGATTTTAGGCCTTAAAAAGAACACGACCGCATCTTGAACTCCATTCTTACAAGAGTGCCAAACGAAAACGGGTTTTGAACAAAGCATTTGACGAATAAAATTTATCCATTCTTATTTAAAAAAGATTTTCATGCTTGACCCCATGGATATCCATTGATCACATCTGTACAATTTCCTTTTGAATTGTCAACGAGTGGAGGCAAATCGGCGAGGAAAGCATTTTTACATCCATTCCTCAACCAGCATTGCAACACTCCGACTAACTGAATTTGCGTATAGGAGTTGAGAAACGAGAAACGTAAAGCAAACCTGGTAACGCGCATTCATGATCGTATTCGGATCACAGGTGTTTGGTTGTCGAAGATCGAGGTGATGTGCTGAGCCTGCAATGTTTTTTTTTATATGTACGGACGTCCTGTATTTAGGCTATAGCTTTAAAAGCAAGTAGTTTAAATTGTGAGTTAGTTGAGAGCTTTGATTTTGAGAAATCGAGCAATATCCTTTTAAACAAGACCTTGGATTTCGAAAATATAGATCCCATTGAAAGGATTCGCATACGGATCCGTTTTCTGATATCCGCCACCACTCCATGGATCCAAATGCCCTTGTCTGGAAACAGGATTTAATCTATACATAGCCGAATGGTTAGCGCTCTCGCAGAGGTCAGGGTTCACCTCCGGTCAAGCGTCTTGGCTTTTTACCAAAAGCTCAATTATTTTCTTATACTTTTGAAAACCTTACGTAAGTATGATGTTACTAGCCGCACTTAGGGTAAGCCCGTAAAGATTTCGGACTCCATTCTCTCGCAACATCCCTTTCTTCCAACCAAAGCTAAATCTTTATCTAGTCGATTTCTAAAAAAAGGTCAAACTCAGTGCCGTCTCTTTGTTTTGTGAACGCGGATTGACAGTAATCAAGCATTGCAGAAAGTGGAGGCGGAGAGCATTCATCGTAATAAAAAGACGTGTTTCCCCGAGCGCACATCTCGATCACAATCTCTGTGCATTCCTGCGAAAAGCTTATTGTCTTCAAATTGTCTAGGGCTATGCAATTTCCGAGTCTAACCTGCCAGTCCCATCCTTGTCCCGATCCAAGATTCCCCAAAGAGTCATCATCGCAAATCGCTGAATCAATACATGGTTTATAGCTGGGATCATTTTTGTAATTGTAATAGATTTGTGATGCCTTAACGATTCGAATTGATTTGAAACAAATTTTCATTTTGTACTCACACTAAAGAGCATTCCCGCTAAAGTTCGATCACTGAAGGTTGTATTGGTTGAGAAGAATTTACAAGCTTCCTAAATAATAATACTCTACTGAGTAACTCAGATTTTCTCGACTTTCACAGGCCATCCAGGCATCGGCTGTAAGAAGTTCGATGGATAAGGATAATCGGTCATTGCCATATATTCAAGCGCCGTTCTCACATAGTAATATAAATTGTATCCTAAAGCAGAAAGACTCTATTTTGTTTAGCGTTTTAACGTTTAAAACCCACCTCCATTAATATCTTTGATCAAAGATTTCGGATCAATATTGAAAGCTTGATTCAAATATTGTTGTCCATCGGCTGAAGTCTATTTTTAAAAAAAACAAGCTATCGTAAATACTGTAATAGTACCCCAGCCCCCTCGTACAGTCGTGTAGTCGTTTTTAGTATTTCATTTTTTTCAAAGCGCCCGTACTTTCAAAAAAATGCGTCTTTGGTATCAAAAAATAGCTGAAATTCAGGGCTATTTTTTGATACCTAAACGCGCATTGTAGCATAAACCAGTGTCGAGAAAAACTCGTTCAAAGCTAGACTACGCAACACTCCGCACTGTCATTATGGGGGTGGGGTACTATTAAAGTATTTATGGTAACTACCTGTTTGCGATAATCGCAAAATAGCATCCCATCCAGCTCGAATGTTTTTGATGTTACATCCACTTTCCTATCGTGGTTTTCAAATAAAAGTAAGATCATTCCAAACTTGATACGTTCTTGTAGTGATCGCATCAAAAAATCCCCAATCCACACCACCGCCATTGAAATTCGTAAGCGGAGCCGACGAGGCCCAAGCTCTAGAATTTTTTTTTCGCTTTTTTTTGATAGCTTTCATGTTTTCAACTTACCCAATCACTACATCAGGGTATTTTTTGCGAAACCAAGCCGAAAGCATTCCACCATAGGATCCACCAAAAGCTATCACTTTTGTTGTCGCGGTAAATGAAGGAGAATTGTCCTCAAGTTTTTTGTTTTGTTTTTCATAAAAACGATTAGCATATTTTAAAATCGCTTTTCAAATTTTCAAAAGCATACTTGATGTCCAGTCGGTGTTTTCAAGAAATAAATCAATTCCGCGAAATCAGCAAGTGCTTGTTCCGAAGTTAAAAAGCCGGTGGTGGAAACGTTCTAAAAATCATGGTTTATCGTTGAATCGTGTCTCGGGTCCAACTTTGTACGCATTCGGTGGTAGAGAAGCTCCATAATAACGGTGCTCAGCAAAAACAAGAGCCGCATTGAACATTGGAGCAATGTCCCACATTAATCCCTAGAAAGCCAACGGTCTCACTTTATGTATTCAGTATAGTACCGTATTCTCAATGAAGCCTGTAATCGTTCCCTCATTGCCCGTATAAAAGAAAATTGGTCCTCCAGCCTTGTAGGAGTCCAAATTGACCATGTATCTAATTCTCCGTTTCATTCTTTTATTCTAACAAGTTTGACGTTCAAGTACAAACCTTATCTTGAAAGTGATATCGTTGATATACGAGAAATGATCGAGTGGTACATCAAACAAAAACGTATTGTACGACCTTTGCAAGCCATTTTTCTGAGAAAATTGTTAGGGATTATTTAGGTTGGGAAAGAACCAGGTAGAAGACACCATTTTTGTGTTCGGGACTAGTTTTGGCAACTGGATCAACAAACTTTCGCGTCGAAACTCCAAAGCAAAATAGACACAATAAATATAGAGCTTTCATGTGTATAGCAGTTTTTGGCTACAGAGCAAACCAAAAAATCTTTTCGGCCAAACCCTTATCAGGAAAATTTTTTCTTTGGTCAGCTTTTTTTGCTAATTGTGACCTGACCTGAACATGACGTCTCAATTTACATTTCAAACTTGAAATCACATTTAGAATTAGACCGAATGTCGATTCTCATCCACTGTATGCATTTATCTGTTAAACATAAGAGATCATTCTGAAATCACAAAAATAAAAAAACAAAACAATGGACTAGCTTATTTTCTTGAATAGTGGTTTACATTTCAAATACTAAAATATTTGCATAAGTAGATTAAATACCCATTGAAAAACACAACATGTTAACTTTGTAAAACCCATAATAAAGAAAAATACAAAAAGCTTAGCGACCGAGCATCGGTGAAGGAATGTTAAAATACTCAGGGTTCAATGGTTGTGTGTGAGTTGCGTCGAAATCCACGAAGTAGTATTCACATAAAACATACAGTCGTTGAACTCGTGAATCCGAACTTTCTGAATTAGCTTACGTCAATCATTTAAACGAATATAAAACTCACTTAGAGTCACTCTTTGATGGGATTTCATTGCTAGCCAGACATCAATCTGAGGCTCTAATCCATGAATCAGTTCTGCGTGGCGGTGTCGAATGATTGACTAAAAATAAATACATTTTTGGAAAATTAATAATAATAATAATAAATGCTACCTTGAGCAAATTATTAGCGCGATTGCTAGCACGCCTTTCATCATCTGTACCAAGCTCCTTTGTGATAATGATTTCTTCCTAAATTTCCTGCTGTTACGAACTAGCAATCAAAGTTACTTACATTTAAACGTCTGATTAGACGCACGGCTCCGTTGTAGCGATGAACGTGTTTATCAATTTGTAAGTTTAAATGATTTCGAATAGCGCATTTCACAATGTCTTCTAAACTTAAACATTAGAATTTAGGTAATAAAATAAGTTTTACCGGCAAAAGCAGGCATGCGGGCTGTAGCCAAAGGGAGAACATCATCAAATGTTGCATCAAGTACCAGTGCTCGGGCCCAAAATTTGACTTTAACAACTTTTACAACAAAGCAATTACCTGTGGGTAATTAGCAGCCAGCCAGCTAGCCGGAAAACCCCCAATTGACCAACCAAACAGGACAATATTTTCTAAATTAAAATAGCTAAAAATAATCGACTATTGCATGTGTATTAGTGCACCCAACCAAAATAAACTACTCACCCACGGAGAACCCGAGTGGACCCAGAGCATACTGCATTACCGCATCAGCAGCTGCCAACACGTTTTTCGGTAACGGAACTCCAGTCGATTCGGCAAAACCAGGATGATTCCAACCCAACACCTTGAAATAACTTCTTACTGGGGTTAATTAGTAAATTTATACGGAATATCCAAGTTGAATGGGCGTTCCAGCTATTCCAACTTCATAAAAGCCCGCATTCCCTTCGCAACAAAGAATCAAGGTACGCCCACGATCGCCGAACTAAAGAATTTGAATTAAAAATCCCAATGAAAGCTTGTATATATCCAGGCTAACTATATACAATAAATCTGACCTTCCTCAAGTCCAAAAACATCGTGTCAATTGTATCACCGGAAGCTGTTTTAATCCAAGCCCGTTCGCCATTCTAAAAAAAGTAAAGTCAGGGTTTCCAGAGTGACGACTCTTACCTTTTTTGTAATCAGCGCTTTACGATTTTCGGCCAAAGCTGATGAAAGGGCCATGTTAAGCAGAGCTACCTAAAACTCTTGCTCTTATCTATAAATAAACATAACTAGATATGTAAACAGGCAGAAGATTTTTAGATACCCACCGATCCCGGATACATGATGCGACGTCCGAATGAGTGAACGCAAAAATAGGCCACGGTCTGAAGCCTAATCATATATGATAAACGATAAAAATAACCTTGTACAAGATGTTGTAAGCACGCTCGTTCTCTTCGGGTTCATAATACCATAGCTTTTCATTTGGAGCAGCAACAAAATCGATAAATCCACCACTGATTTCAAAGTCGTATTGTTTTAAAGCATGAATGTCCGGTGGTTTTCTATCGCTGCACGCTTTTTCCCATGTTACAAGAAAGTTTCGGTACTCCACATCAAGCATTCGTCCAACCAATCTAAACATTGCGTTAAATAGCAGCTTCGTTATGCTTACCTGGTTGAATAAGCAATAACAATAAATAGTGTAGCGCATTGAACATAATAAGTCAAACTGCTTGGATTGATCATATCTTTGTTATACATGTAACAAATGATAACGGGATAAAAGCCTGAATTGCAAAATTAATAAGTTTTTTATTATCGGCAACCTGTGATCGTATTGAAAACACCGCGTCCAAACTGGAACATGTAGTCCGATATCGTTTCGAGCATATTTGGTTGCCATGACATGTCGTTGAATTTGCTGTAGAGCTTCGGACCGGTGAGTAATGAGAAAATACTCATCCTGCTATTAAAACTTTTGGAAATTTTTACGGAAATAATTAGAATGTTATAGATATTTCAAACGAAAAACTAATAAGCATTAATTGGCCTTCACTTTTTAGCGCTATTTATTACTGACGTGAAAAAAAATTATGCAATAACAGTACAAATCAATCTTATAAATCATTGTACATAATAAAGAAAAACAAATTCAATCACAGACAAAAATTCACAGATAAGCTAAGAGATACCCTAGCATTTAAGCTTGAAAAATGCTACTGGGAATCAAAAACTTACTAAAAGTTTGAAAGACCACTAGCGATCTAGTACTCAAAAAACGACAATAAAGCTACATCGCAAACATAGGATGAATACTAGTGTTTGACGACAAAAAGTTAAACAGCCGGTTAAAAATTGGAACTGCTATAATATCACAACGATGACATTTCTTATCAATGCAGAGCTGATAAGAAAATAGTAAAAATCAACGCAAAGCAAGAACAAATATGATAATATTTTTGCTACCTGTACACAAATTGACCCTAAATGCTGGTAAGTAATTTTATAAAGTAGAGATATCGAGTGGAGCTGGCTCATCGTCTTGGATGAACAATGCTGAGAGGGCAAAGATTAAGAAGACAACGCCACCAATAAGAGTCACTAAAATTTTGAAAACTATAAAAATAACTCGTCTAGACTCTACCCGTTCTGATTGAAATTCGTTGAGCAACAAGCTTGCCTCCCAAAACTGCTATTCCGGTACAAATAGCATGGCCCAAAATTCCTCCAATAATCACACCAGGAATGTTTTCCCTAAAACGAGATCCATATTTGATGAAAACAATGTTTTACCTTGCTGCCAAAATTATCGTGGTGAGCTGAGAACGGTCACCCCACTCTGCTAAGAACGTCAAAGTGAAAGCTTCGAGAAAGATTCGCGATACAAATGAAAAGATCACCCACGGCGAACTGAAATAGGCCGTTGTTGCATAACCCACTCAAACTGTTTTAAATTAAAGTTATAGGCAATTACAGTGCTAACATCACCGACATATTGTTTAGTTTTACTAGTTAAAACAAATAAAACCTTGTGTTATTCTTTGAAGATCCACTTTCCATATCAGAAAATTTTGACGAATCCATATCCAACTCTCTTTTAGCAACCTGAACAAATAAAAAATGCTTTAAAATCAATGATGCTGTAGTCTAGAGAATTCCTTGGTAAGAGTCAAAAATTACTTCTTCCTGCGCTTCATCATATCCTTCTGTACCATTTGAAGCACGCATGTGATAACCTTCATGGAGCATCTTAAAATTTACCATTATCCCTATAAAATACTTAAACACCCACCTTCAAGCCAAAAAGCGCAAACAACAATGTGGAGATGTAATATGTGATAGCACGTGGAATCAATTGCGTGATCCATCCCAGACAAGCTTCGATTTTTAGGTAATTGTCAAACAAATAAAAAAACGAACCTGATAAAACAGTCATTAATGCTAAAGCTGCGATTGCACCACTGAAGACTGTGAGCCGCGAATGTTTCATCGACATAATAATGGCAATAAACCATGTCTAAATCAGCATAAGTTCTGATAAAAAGCAATGTTTACCTTGTCACCAAGCTCACTGACAATGATGACCGATAGAGAAGCAAAGAATCCATGATAGAACGAAATATCTAACTAAAATAAAAATTATAATTTTTTTTTCCTTTTGAATATGCTACATTTAATCGAATACGGCATAAAAAAATGTCTCAAAACCAACTTTGGTTTTTCTTGTTGTGCTCTCCAAGCTTGGCTCCTTGTCAAAAGCTGGTGGTGCTGCCTGTTGGTTTTTGTCCAAGTCATTCTAAAATTGGTTTTAAAATGATTTCTGAAAAATATTTACCTTTATAGTTTCTTCTGCGACAGAGCTGTTGAATAAGAACGCAATGAAGAACAAATAAAGCCAAATAGACATACCTATAATTAATTTTATTTAATTAAATCACCGTTTATGACGTGGAAAATATATAAAGCTAAAGCCTTGTAATTCGAGCAAGGGGGTAAAGCCGTCAATAGGCCTGTGAAGTTCGAAAGAGTCAATAGAGCAAATTGGGGAGAGAAGGAGAGAAAGAGAGGGGCGTGATGTGGCTTTTTCACAAGCAAAGGTACAAAAGAACCAAGTTTTAGATTAGATGCTTTTCAGGGGTGGGACAAATGCGACCTTTTTTTGCGCACCTGGACATTTGCGCACCTTTTTTTGCTGGAAAGGCCTTAGGAAAGGTCGTAGAGCTTCAAAAATGTTTTCATAGAAGGGAATTGTATGCGTAGATTCCGAATTTCGACAAATCAGACCTCGCTGACACGTCAAATTTGGGCTAAAAGGCAAAAACTACGCAACTTAACGCTTTTCGCAAATTTGACGTGTCAGCGAGGTCTGATTTGTCGAAATTCGGAATCTACGCATACGATTCCCCTAAATGGAAATATTTTCGAAGCTCTACGACCTTTCCTAAGGCCTTTTCCAGCAAAAAAAAAGGTGCGCAAATGTCCAGGTGCGCAAAAAAAGGTAGCATTTGTCCCACCCCCGCTTTTCATGCATATGTTTTACTGCTTTTTAATGCAACCCGCATATGTTTGTAAAACATTTAAACCCATATAAATAGACATGCAAAATTAGAAGATAGCATTAGGAATAAACACGCGACTTTTGAAGTACAAAGTCGAGAGTACAATTTATTCAAGATAAGAATTCACAAGCTTACACTCACAAACACAAGTTATAAGGCACAAAAAATTGACAAATTAGTCACTATCGAAGACCAGTAAAACGACATAGTTAAAGCGGAAAAGAGTAATAGGGAGGATATACCATCAAAACAAAACCAAAGATACATTTTACATGATACTAAATTAGGGTTTTGGCATAAACGCTTGATAGGCACAGAAATCTGCGGTTGATCCTTCTATCGAAAAGGATTGGGTATGTTTGGGAATGAAAATGACACTTCCTTTTTCGAGTGAGATCCTAAACACGCGTAATTTGAAAAATATTAATTTACAAACTTTTGAACATCCCCGCTGATAGTAGCCGATCCTGATGTAACAATTAAAATCGATGAAGAGTCTGGCAAAACTATCGTTTGATTTGCCTAAAATGTGATTTCTACTTTGTTGTGCGTTGGCTTCTACCGTAATTTGTTGAACAGCAAATTCCGGAGTATTTGGAGCGTAAAGCACCAAATGTTCACTTTCACGTTTAATTTCCATAATTGGAGGTGGTCCCATTGTATAATCCATATTTTTGCACAAAGTAGAGATGTCCTACATTCCATATATATCAAGTGTGATAAATTATAAGAAAACCTTAAACTTTGGAGTGAGGCCCGCTCGAATAGTGTTGTCCGAGCACGACATGCATTCAACGCAGTCTAAATTTTAAAAATAAAGGCATAGCTTTTGAGTTGTTACCTCCAAATAAATAGGCATGCGGTCTATTTGGCCCAAGGAATGTAGCCTGTCCTGGTTCCAAGGTGAAATAATTGAGCAACAATGGAGCGAGGACTCCAACATCACCAGGATAATCCCCATTTAAACGCAATATCAATTTTTCCACATCGTTTATCTTCTCTTTGTCTATAAACACAATTTCAAACACCTATTTGATTATAAACAACTAACCATTTTGGAGACGTTTCACCAGCTCTCCGACGTATTGTGAAATGGTCTCGGGAGAAGAAGACCAAATGGTTGTAAAAATCTGCAACAGAAATAAAAAAATCTTTTTATTAAATAACGCAATGAAAATATGCTATATGCTGATAATAAAAACCTTCTGCAAAGCCTGCAATTGCATCTCGTGAATGGAATTCAAAAGATCTTCCATATGACAGCATTGTTCCCCAAGCAAACGTCGAAGTTCGGGATACTCTAAATTTTTATGTTCGTATAGCGTTTAACAGTGCTAACTAACTTCGAATATGATGATAAATTTCTTCTGCTGGGCGAAAACCGCAGAGCAATTCAAAAGTTGTTAGCGCAATGGCCATTTCGGGTTTATGGTTATCATCGGGGTAGTTCTTCGGATCAGTTGCATGCAGGAGACGGGCCTGCTCCTATTTTCAAATCGTTAGATAACCATTTTGTAAACAAACATACTTTTGTAGGATGTGTTTGAATCGATAAAGCTTTACGAACGGACAACACCTTGAATAAAAACTGCAGAGTACCTAAAAAAATGTTAAATCAAAATATTTATTGTTTTAAAAGTTACCCTCTTCATGATCTCCCAAAGAATTCGGCGCCTTGATCATCTCACTCAATGGAACCCCATCAGCTGAGCATTCGGATGGACCATTTGGGTGGACACCCATCCAGAACTAAAAAAATATTCGTCTGGAAAAATACTAAAACATTACCTCTGCGTATGGTTTGTCTTCTTGAACCGTGCTCGTATGATTTCCATTATGTGCTAATTGAGCAACGGTGCTTTCTTTTCCAATTTTCCCCCAGTCGTAGTTTTGCACCTTACATTTGAGCTTTTGCATTCTAAAAAGCTGTTGTTATAGTTATATCTGACTATGCGATAAGCATAATACATATATCTGAAAGAGTAAAAGAAAAAGTAACTGTTAGATGTGTCGCACTTATGAACTCTCATTCATTTCCATTCGCTTTTTCTGTAGCGCCAGCAAAAAATTCCGTTCAATCCTATGCACTTTGGAATAACGTTTCGTCATATGAAAGACTTTTATTACCGGCTTTCTCACCGTTTTTTATTGCTCAAGGTTTCTGACTTTAGATGGCTTGGACTCAACGATTGATCCGCCCGGTTTCTATAGCTGGAATATTCGGATTTGGCGCCGTTTCAACAAGTACTCTCAAAAATGACGAGGTGGGTATTTTACTAAAAACAAAACTAAGTTTTATCTGAGCGAACCTACAAAATTTCTCATTTTTAGGTGCCATATAAGATCTCTGTTGAACGTCCTGCTATCAAACGACCACTGGTTCAAAAGGAAATCTTAAGTCGAAGGATCATCAATGAAGACGACCATACTGGCTTGAAATTGCGGCTATATCAATATCAATCTTGTCCATTCTGCTGCAAAGTGAGTTTTATAAATATTTTAAACTAAACATGGAAAAGAAGGTCATCAAGTAAATTATCTATTTTTATTACGCACATTTTTTAGATTCGGGCGCTTTTGGATTATTATGGTTTTTCATATGACATTGTAGAAGTGAATCCGGTGAGCAAGAAAGAACTCTCCGGGACAAATGGCTACAAGAAAGTCTGTTTCTTCTTCTAAGTTAGTTTTTCAATGGAATTTCAGGTTCCCGTTTTACGTCTTCATGACTCAACTTACCTCATGGAATCTTCACTTATCATGTCGCAACTCGCAACTTTTTTGCAAAACGAAAAGAGAAGTATCGAGGAAATCATCGACATGTTAGTATAATTTTTAATGCGATTAGTTTTTAAAGTAACCTTATTTTAAAAAGTTTTCTTTTAGGTATCCAGCAATCGATTCGTTTGATGAGAATGGAAAGGCCATTAAGAAACATCCAAATAAATATTTCACGATGCTGGAAAAAAATCTTAGGTTTGCTTTTTGCTTTTACCACTTTTTGGATTTTCCTTTATAGCCCCGCCGAGCTTGCAAAACAGAGAGAAGAACGTGAATGGCGGGAGTGGGTTGATGAGCACTTTATTCATCTGATTTCACCAAATGTTTACCGGTAAGTTTTGATGGTTTTTTTAAATAACTATACAATTGGAAGTATACGGAGATTTCAACTTTTAGCTCTATGGAAGAATCCCTGGAAACTTTTAAAAGTTTTGAAGTTGCTGGAGAATGGGAAAGGATTTTCAGCCATATTGAGCGTATTTTTGCGGTTGCTCTTGGTGCGACAGTGATGTACTTCATTGGAAAGGTAAAGTAGTTCAAATTAAAAGGTTTAATAATAGCAATTTAGCGATTGAAAAAGAAGCATAATATCGTGGATGAGAGACAATCGCTTCATGATGCCTGCGAAAAGTGGATGGATGCGCTTGGAAGCAGAAAGTAGGCTGTTTTACATTATATTTGTTGATAAAAGAAAAACTTGATACAATAACTATACTTTAGGTTTATGGGCGGAGATCAACCCAACCTGGCTGATTTGGCTCTTTATGGAGCTATGAATTCATTTGTTGGATGTCGAGCATTCAAAGAAGTTTGTATTTTTGTAGCAATTGTTAAAGTTTTGATGTTAAGGTAATTGCAAAGGAAAGAATATCAACTTGGTACATGCGAGTCAAAGAATCGGTGGAGAATTCCGAGGGACGCCAAGCTGTGAAAAATCGCGTTGCCACGAAATAAGCTAAATGATTCTAGTCTCTTTGTTTTCCTTTTTGTTGCGAGCAAATGGGTTTTTGAGGTTAGGTCATAGATTTTATAGTTTTAATTCGTCTTTGAAATTTATAGATAGGAGAAAATCACCGAACGCATACCTTGTTACTAAAATGGTTGTAGGAGTTGAGACAATATTAGGGCAGAGACGGTCGATAATTTTCAATTTAACGCAGGTGTCTGCACAACATTCTTTGGTTTGAATTCGACACAATAGCTCAAAATTGCTTCTTTTATTTTTTAGTCAACTGTTGGCTTTACTCTAGAGCTGTTCTGTTTAGTGCCTTTATACCTTTATTGTATTATTGTATTAATCTTGTTCAATAAAGCGTTTTGTTTTTTCAAGAAACATTATATTCCTGGTCTCATTGCCACCACTACTGAAAAACTTTAAATTTTAAATAAAATCTTTTTTTTTATGAACTTAATTTTAAATTTTAAATTCAGGGGAAGTGTAACGGTAGGCTATGAGCAAAGATGGTCCTCAGGCAGCAGCCATGCAAACAGCGCAGAGGGCGATAGAGTTTGATCACGCACAGAGGTCGGTTTCGTTAGCTTATGTCAGGTTGTCAACTTTAAAAACATTTAACTTTAGATATGAAGAGGCCATTTATTTTTACGCCGAAGCTACTCGCAAAATTCTGGAACTGCTAGGCCAAAAGAAAGTAGTAAACCTAAATGAATAATATTTAAATCATTATCTAGATACTCCCAATTTTGCGAAAAAATGCACAAGAATACGTCGAAAGAGCGGAGTTTTTAAAAAAAGAACTTCCAAGGCTTCAAGCCGAACGTGCGGTAAGTTCACTCGTGTTTTTTTTTGAAGAAAAAATTTAGTCTAAGCTTCCACCACAACAGCTTCTTTACGAGCAAGCGGAATTTACCATGATGAAGGTATTGACTTCCACTGTCTACCTACTGACTAAAATATTCTTTTTAGGCGGTTGATATAGATGAACGAGGGGAGTCAGTACATGCAATGAGTCTCTACAAAGAAGCCATTCAAATGTGCTTGAACATGGTCGGTTCTTTGAATATACTTTTTGTTCATTCTTATTTTTTTTGTTGTAGAGCCGATCAAATGGAATTGAAGATTCTTTAAAGGAAAAGTTGCGTAAGGTAGCTGGTGAAGCTCTTGAACGCGCCGAGCATTTGCAATTTGCAGTTGGTAGGGCATTATAATCCAAGAAGATCCAATCCAACACGTATTCTTTCAGATTCGAAGTTGCAGAAAGAAAATGATGAAGCACAACGTCTAAGTCTTTTACTCCCCGCGGCTCTATCTTCTGGTTGGTTAATGGTTAATACATCTTATAAATGCTAAACATTTGCAGAGCTCGTTCTATCTGAGATGCACCTTGACGATCGAGCTCCATCTGGGCGTGGTACTCCATCTGGCGGCCCATCTCCAACGCCCAATAGAAAGAATGACGAAGGATTGTCGAAGGTTTGCTTTTAATGATGGATAAGCTTTAAAGATTTCTTGCTTTAAGGAGGAACTCGCAGTACTTGCGGTTACTTCTCGCATCAACGGGCGCAGTTACGTGCCATTTCTTTCCCAAGACCTCCGCGAGCAATTTCATTTCACTCTGCCATTTACGTGGGTTATTCAATTACGTATAAGCAACGTTTTTTTTGCAGGGATAAACACGGCAAACTTGCCTTAACGGAAAAACAAGTCAAACGATTAAAAGGATGGGCTCGTGCCTCAGAAATCATCAAAGAACCTACGGTAATCAAAAGGATTGACAGTGGAACTATCAAACAGGTAGTTTTTAACATTTTAGCATGATATTTTCTAAAACTATTTAGACTGTGATTTCCGATTGTTCTTTTGTGGCATCGCTTGCGATAGCCGCTCGATATGAAAGGAGATTTGGCAAACAATTGGTTACAAGGTTTTATAGTAATAACTAATTATATTTTGCTCTTTTTTAGTGTTATCTATCCCCAGGATCGACGAAAACAACCCATTTATAATGAAAGCGGAAAATATATGGTTAAACTTCATATTAATGGCGTTTGGAGGAAGGTTGGACTTTTTCTAATTAGGTGCCTCAGAAGAATTGCATTGTTCTTTCAGGTTATCATTGACGATTGCTTTCCGATCGGTGAAAATAACCAACTTTTATGTTCCTACAGTCAACAAGAAGAACTATGGGTATATTATTATAGCAGAAAGTTTCAAGCATGCCTAATTTTTAGGTTAGTCTTTTGGAGAAAGCTTACATGAAAGTGATGGGTGGATACGATTTTCCTGGAAGCAATTCGGTGCGAATTTTTGTTAAAAAGTGAAAAAAATATTTAGAATATTGATCTTCATGCATTAACTGGTTGGATACCCGAACGAGTTCCTATTAAAAAGGATTCGAAGGAATTCGATCCTGACAAAGTACATTTTTATACATATCTCGTATCGTGCATTGTAGTTAGTTTGGATGCGTAAAATAATTTTTATTATTTTACGTAAATTTTAGCTCTTCGAGAAGCTATTGCAGAGGTTTCATCAGGGTGATTGCTTAATCACGCTGGCTACAGGGAAATTGGATGAAGCTACTTGTTCACGTGCTGGTCTTGTTGATAGTCATGCCTATGCCGTTCTTGATCTGAGAAAATTTCAGGTTTGTTTACAAAGTGAAACCTTAAACATGTTTTGTTTAGGGAAAACGGCTTTTAATGGTTAAAAACCCGTGGACGCATTTGCGTTGGAAAGGACGCTTCAGGTAAGAACTTCATTCTTTATAGTTGAAGCAATGAATTTAGTGAAAATGATGAAACAAGTTGGACTCCCGAGCTGTGTAAAGCTTTGGATTTTGATCCGAGCAAAGCAAAAGAACGGGATGATGGTAGTTTTATTGCATTTAAAAAAAATATCTTGTTCAGGTGTATTTTGGATTGACTACGAATCGGTCATGAGTTTCTTTGACGTGTTTTATGTAAACTGGAACCCTGGACTATTCCCATACACATATGGATTACACAGGTAATTTGTGGAAATAGTTTTAAATTACCACGTTTACAATAAAGCTTTAAAATCTGTCTGGATAATTCAATATGTTTTAGTCAGTGGAATGCCTGTGCGGGACCCATAAAGGACCTTTTTTCAGTGGCGTCAAATCCTCAATATTCGTTGGAGGTAGTCGTTGTTGTTAAAAAGATCATAAAAAATTTAGGTCCGGAATAAAGGCCCGGCTCCAGTTTGGATTTTATTGACGAGACATATTACCGAAATCGTGAGTGGGACTGTGACAACATTTTTTACGAAGTAGTTTCAGGCTGATTTTGCCAACAATAAAGAGTTTATAACTGTGATGGTCTACGAAGGAGGAAAGAAAGTAAATAATTGCTTTGTTGTTCTAAGTTGTCTTTTTCAGGTATACATTCCGTTTGACCCAAAGCCTTTATATGATGGTGTTCGAATTAACAGTCCTCACTATTTATGTCAGATGCTGCTCACTGAACCTGGACCGAAAAGATTCACTTTAGTAGTTGCTCAGGTACTATTGACAATATACGATTTATTATCAATAATATCTAGTATGAAAAATCTACAACTATCTTCTACACACTTCGCGTGTATTCTACAGCGGAATTTACTCTTGCTCCAATAAAACTTCCATACAAGTTTAAAAAGACGGTAAGAGTTACTCCATTCTTATGATTACAGTATTTAGGAAACTGGGAAATGGGAAGGAAAAACGGCTGGTGGATGTGGTAATGGAACTTCTCGGGAGACGGTTGAGTAAGTAGCCTTTTAAATGAAATACTTATTATTTATGTATTTAGAAATAATCCCATTTTCCATATTTCTACTGAAAACCACAGTGACGAGAATATGCTGTTTTTGGAGCTTAAGGCTGGTTGATCCATCTTGATGTTTAATTTAAGAAGCTACAGGGTCCTAAACAATATTCCATTGGCTTTGATCTATGGGCAGTATCCACAGCGAGAGAATACAAAGAGTTCAATCGAATATCATCGGGTGCTTACAGGTCGGTTGACTCTTTTGTGGTAAGATGTGACTGGATGATAAGAATCCACGTTCTTTTTTAGGCCTGGATATACGGTATTGACGGTTGAACGATTACCAGCTGGAGTGTTCGCCGTACGTCCAGCGACTTTCCTGTCTAACCAAGAAGGTCCTTTCATTTTAACAATTGAGGCTTCGTGTAACTTTTCCATCAAAAGAATTCAGTGATTAAAAACGCTCCATTGTTTTATGCATATACAGTCAACTCCTAATATAACGATTCTGTCGGGACCGTGAAATGAAATCTTTATATAGAAGTAGAAAAAACTGTCTTTTAACCCAAATTTTATCGAGTTACATAAACCGTTTATCAATAAAAACGGAACATAAGAAAACGTCAAATTCCCTTAGATCATTATATCGAGAGTAGACTGTATCTATTTTATTTTTACCTTTTGTATATACTGCTTGACTTTTTAGTTTTATTTCTATGATTCAATTTATCTTGCTCATTTATGATTTAAATGATGCTCAATTTGTGATGCAAGTCAAATCTACATATTTTGATCCTTTTACGGGTTTTAATACAGGGTGACCAGAAATAACGTTGCGCGATTTTCGGCAGCCTAAAATCTTCAAAGTTTCAATTTTGGGAGACGAATTTATTTTTAACCTATTCTCTGTGATTGTTTTTATTAGTTTCTTTGTCGTTTTACTTTTTTCAAGTTTATTCATTTTTTTATAGGATGACAAACAAGGGATATGCCATTCTGGAGCTTCATCGTCAAGGTCAATGCGTAAATGCGATTGCTACGTGTTTCTCATCAGCTCGTCTCAAAAGCGATTAAGCGATACAAGGAGCTCGGCAACGATAGAGATCGTCCAGGAAGAGGCAGAAAAAGAACAGTCAACACCTCCCGAAATCGCAAAGTGATTCAGAAGCGCGTGGCCCAGAATTCACAGGTCTTAATGAGAAACATCCCTCGACAGATGGGGATCGCTCGCGAATCGGCTCGACTTATGGCCAAAAATAAGCTCAATCTTCACCCTTACAAGCTCAAGCAAGGACAACAACTTGACGACGAAAAAAAGCGAGTTCGACTCGAAAGATGTCGAGGGCTTCTCAAGCGGGCCGCAACTCCACACTGGGAGCGAATCCTGTTTTCTGACGAGAAGCTCTTCTCGGCGGAGCAAAGCTCCAATACGGTTCCTTTTAAGGTTCCAATACGGTTCCGTATTGGAACCGTATTGGAACCTTAAAAGGAACCGTATTGGAACCTTAAAAGGAACCGTATTAGAACCTTAAAAGGAACCGTATTCGGACCTTAAAAGGAACCGTATACGGTTCCTTTTAAGGTCCGAATACGGTTCCAATACGGTTCCTTTTAAGGTCCGAATACGGTTCCAATACGGTTCCTTTTAAGGTCCGAATACGGTTCCAATACGGTTCCTTTTAAGGTCCGAATACGGTTCCTTTTAAGGTCCGAATACGGTTCCTTTTAAGGTCCGAATACGGTTCCTTTTAAGGTTCCAATAGGGTTCCTTTTAAGGTTCCAATAGGGTTCCTTTTGGATTTTGGACCTTCCAGCAAGACTCCGCTCCGTCCATCGAGCCAAATCCACACATGACTGGTGTAGGACAAACTTTCCGGATTTCATCTCGGCCCAGGAATGGCCTCCGTATTCGTGCGATCTCAATCCGTTGGACTACAGTGTTTGGTCAATTTTGAAGGCAAGAGCTTGTGCAAAACCCCACAAAAGTTTGGCGGCTCTTAAGCGATCGTTGACAAGGGAATGGGATCGAATCACTCCGGCCGAGCTGCGACCCATCGCCGAAAATTTCATCAAGCGTTTGAGGCTCTGCATCGGAGCCAAAGGTGGCCACTTTGAAGAAAAGTAGGTTTTATGCTCCCTTTATATCATCTTGTTAATAAAAAATTGTTTCTGTTACAAAATCTTTTTGGATTTTTAAAAAAATAGGCTAAATTAGGCCGCAATGTTATTTCTGGTCACCCTGTAATAAAGTTGCTGGTTGTCTTTATCGGGATACAAATAGAAACTTTATTTACGAAAAACGAGAAAAAACCTGACTTGCCGTGCCGAATCTAAAGATGCAAATGGGTCAAATGAAATAAAAAAGAAAAATTCATTTACAAAACGAATGAAATGCTTCATGAGAAGCGGCACCAACAATCGCTCACAGAAAGACTTGAAAATTGATTTGAAAACTGGAAGTTTTTTTTGATTCTCTAATTGAGGTTTTGAGAGTCCCGAAATTTCAAACCAATAAAAACGGAAATAGCTAGATAAATAGGAATGATTGGTGCGATGGCACCTACAGTTTCAGTCTGCATCCAGCAAACATCAATGGCATTTGAACGGGGGATAAAAAAATAGAGGTTTCATAAATTAGAGACAAGGGAACCAGTATTTTCTTTGGGATCATGAATCAGATGGGAATCAATCACTTTCATTCACTCTTCTTCATCGGCTTGATACAAATCTGTGCACACACCTCGGATTGGTACCTGAAAAGTTAAAGTTGAAATTATTATTTTTTTTTCTTTTTCTCTGACCTGATGCGGTGGGCATTTATTCTCACAACGTTTGATGATTTGTTCGCCGACGATTCGTTGAACTAACACTTTCCCGTCCGAGCATGGTCCTTTATTTTGTTTGATAGCGGATTTTAGCTCTTTCTTACCTGCAGCTGAATTATCTTTGCCTCTCTTCACGATCTGGCAACACTGGAATCGTCTTGTGGTGGTTGAACGCACACAGTCGTATCCAGAAGGACATGAGTTTCCTCCCTGCAAATGGAGATTTATCTTGTATTTCTTGTTTTAATACCTGTGTGGTACATTGAACTGGAGTTCCAGTTGATGGGAAGAGAAGAGCCGGAGAACCAGCTGGACAACCGAATGACTCACCGCTTCCGGATCCTGATCCCGAGCCACCTGAAAATCCTTTTCACTAATCTTCTTCTGTTACTTCATTACCTGGTGAGCTTCTTGAAGTCGAACAACAGTAGTAGTTTCTGGTTTTCTTTGAGAATGTGCATTTGTACTCTTTGGGACATGGTTTGCTGAAAAGCGGTTGGTTAAATACCCTCAATCCCGTCTTCCACTCTTTTCTAAGTCATGCCCCAAATACCGTAACCTCCCTGTTCCGCCATTTCATTTCCTCTTTCATTTCATTCTCATTTGCGAATTCTTTTCCGAGAGCTTCGGTTGGCGTTTTTTTCGCTAGGATCTTTCAACGCATTTTGTTTGCTTTTTCTGTATTTACGTCGCTAAGCTCATTTCACTTACAATAAAGCCTCACTACTATGGTTCCTCATGCAAACAAACGTCAGTCTATCAGTATCAAGGATAAATCAAATGCATCCACTTATTTGAATGACTCACAGAGTCATTGTTTGGATACCAGCAGAACTTATATACCCACGGGGTATTCAAAACTATCGAAACCTAGCACATGAGTCTGAAAAATTTCCGAAGGTACTCGAACTGATTGTTAAAAAGTCTGTTCTTTCGTAATTGCTCATTACTTTGTGCATTGTTGCGGAGCTCCGTTGACAAGATAAGCCGAACCGACATCACAGACATCAACTTTAGTTGACAATGTCGAGAAAGTGTTGCGAGTTCTCTCGGGACGATCAACCTAAATTTGCCATGCTGAGTTGGTTTGAATTTTTATCAAACCTTTGGCTCCTGAGTTGTGGGCTTGACGGAAGGGTTGACTGGAGATGAGGCGCCACCACAGCAAATGTTCTGCTGAGCGGTGGACGAGAATTGGCACGTGTATCCGCGGGGACAGTTATTCCGAGCTGGATTGCAGAAACGAGCCTGAAATTTTGTTTTCTTTTTTTTGCAGTTCCTATCCCACCTTCTTCGTTCTGGTATCAATGTAGGGGCGTTGGGTGGGGATTGGACAAGTGCTCAATGTGGTCGGGCGAGACTTTGGCTAAAAAATAGATGCAATCAGTACAGGCTTGAAGTGAGCACAACCTTCTCAATGCAAATATCGTCAACCGGTTCTTGACCCTCAGGACAGGCACAGATAGCGTCATCACAGGCGGCTCCTCCCTGGCATTGCGCATCCACTTTGCACTCCTCTCCCACCAAAGCTCGGCTCAGACAATCCCCGTTCACGCGCACCTCCGACTCCTCACATTCTGAAATGGGATTTGTAAAAGAATCTTTAAGAATATTGAGAATGTCGGAAAACAAATTTTATTCTGGTTTATTCAAGCCTAACGAATGACTAATCGATGTAAAGAGGCCTCGAAAAAGAAATATCCAGCCTTGTTTTTGGTTTTTTTTTCTGTGGTCTTTTGGTGCTAGTTACATTTCGAATCTGTTATTCAGCTGTCGGAATAGGGAGTCTTTTTGCGGGGAAAGGCAACCGATTCACTCTTCTCAAAACACAAAACACTAATCGACTAAATGAAATCATTGGGAACCTTATTACAAATCCAAAATGAAATTCTTGCGTTTGTTGATTCGATTAAAAGGCTGTAGAAGAGATAATCCGCCTATAGGGATTAATAAGAAAAAAAGAAATGAAAATTTCTTTGAGGATTCTCGCGGAAACTCACTCTTCACACAGATGCCTTTTTCGACTTCCATTCCCGGGGAACAGCCACATTTGTTGTTGTGACAAATCGAGCCACTTGGGCATTGCACCTGAAAGAGTTGGTGATTAGCTAAATTTATTCCCACATAGTTGAAAACATATTGTTAAAGTAGTTGCGCTAAAGTCACAAAATTCAATCACCTGATTCTTGCACATTTCTCCTAAAGAGGCCTTGTTGAGACACTCTCCTTCGACCAAAACTTGCGTCTCCGAACAGGCTAAAATTTCGATTTCTCAAAACTTTTCAATATACGAACTGATTTCAGAAGAGGTGCAACAAAGTTGTGTGCCGGTGACCGATCGTTGACAAGAATATCCAGATGGACATGTTGATTGCCCGATCACACACGACTGAGGCTCGCCATTGATTCCGATAAAAGCGACCTAGATGTTTATGAAGTTATAATATTTTCGGCTTGTTTACTTGATCATTTGGACATCCACCGCTCATTCCACAGCATTGGAATTGATTGTTGATGGCGGAGAACTGACAGAAATACCCGGTTGGGCAGTTTGACGCAGCGGCAGTGCAAATGCGAGGTACGTTGCTCGACGACTCTTTGAATGCCACCTAAAATTTTTAATGAGTTTAGCAAATTACTGTAAATATTCTAGTAGAAAAGCGCGTTATAGGAGCGTCGCGTAGTCTAAGTTTACTCTCAAATAAACGCGCAGAAACAAATGTCTAGACGCCGAGATGTGAGCAATTCTTTGAGTGTAAACTCTTAGTAAACTTTGAGTTCTTTTGAGTCAAGTTCTTTGAGTGTAAACTTAGACTACACGACGCTCCTATAGGGGCTTCTATGAGAATATTGAAGATATTTGAATTGTTTATATGGCTCATATTAGATTATTTATTTTATTTTACCTGATTGTTAGGGCAACCAAGGGCAGCCACACTTTTTGGTGTCGAGATTGGAGTCGCTCCGCAGCATTGATATCTAAAAACAAATTGCTTAACTAGTTTTGGGGATTTCGTTTTCACCTTTGATTTGCTAATGACCATTGACAAGAGTATCCATTTGGACATGGGGCATTTGGTGGGTTGAATGGATCACATGGCGCGATCTCATTGTCTTTCATGTACACATATTCATTTGGTGGACATCCGTCTGAATTTATCAAGTTGAAACGTTGAAAACCAATTTTCCCCAAAGCTTACAGGTCTAACTGAGAGAACTAATCTTTTTTTTTTGCTAGCGCATGCTAGATGTGTCAAAAATTAATTAATCAAACAATCAATCAATCTTACTGAATGAATCAGCGAACTCGAAAAATAGAAAGTCTAAAGAAGCAGCGATGAATAGATGGATAAAATAGAAAAGATTCACCGGAGACACTCTTTTCCTCGCCGCGGCAACAATGTCCATTCTTGGCATCAGCCGAGTTTGATTGACAAGTAAATCTGAAATTTTTTGAGTTAATTCAGATAAGCTGAGATTTACCCAGTAGGACAAGTAATGAATGATCCCATGGTGCATGATCTTGGCATTTGAGTCTTCTCCTCTAGGTAGAACTCGGCCTAAAGTTTACTTTATCGTTTACGAGGCTTTGATTGTACCTTGTTGGGGCAAAGAGCATTAGCTGAGCAACAGTATCCCTGGAAAGCTCCGGGCACATCCGATTGACAGGAGTAGCTATTGGGACACTGTAAATGAATGTTTTTTTTTGAGTAGATAAACAAACTTTGGTTCTTACTATGGTAAACGAGGTTTGTGTGAGATAGCTTTGTACCTGGTTCGAGTTCGACGAGATTGTGCAACGAATCGGCGCCTTTGAGGCCGGCTCGCGATAGAGTGCCTTTCCAGATGGGCAAAGCTCTAGAACAGGCGACTTTTCACAAAGACTTCAATCAAAAAATACCTCCTGAGATGGACGCACAACAGTAGTAACGATTCTTAAGCGCGTTGAAACGGCACAAATAGTTTGATGGACAAGATCCTGAAAAAGAAGTCTGTCGATATGAGTTCGCTTGCAAAAAACCTTCAACATTGATTAAACACTCGCGAACGGACATATCAGCCGCATTCACATACGCTTTCTCACCATCCGGGCAAACGTCTGAAAATTTGAGCTTTAGGAATTGATAGAATAGAAATAGAAAATAGAATAGAAAGAAAATTTTGCTCTTGCTCTTAAAATGATCAACAATGCATACCCATATTCGTGGCACCACAGCAAACACTATTTCCACTCAATTGATCATAAGTACATCCAAAGTTGGTTGGGCACGAGTTCGAGAGAGCTGCGTTACACTCATACGGCAGATTCGTGTTCGGGTTCACATAGGCGACATCTCTGAAAGTGTTTTCTTATATGAAATGCGCAATGTTTATTGTAAAACCCCGGTGTGCAGGCAGCCGACAAGCAGAAGTTGTTGCATTGCTCAAGAGTGGCAAAGTTGTTCAAGTTTCCAGAGCAACCGTTGTACGTGAATTGAGTGCATTCCTGATAGGAAAGATTTATATAGGAAAGATCTATATAGGAAAGATCAATGAAAAACCTTGGTGACAATGTTGAAGTAGTAGCGAGCGGCGGCCGAGCTGGAGCACGAGGATCCTTGCTGGGGTGGAAGTGAGCAAATGTGAGCTGAGAATTTGGGATGCTTGTCAATGATTGATTGTTACCTCTAGTTGGGCAGCATCGATTGACAACAGAGGATCCTGAGGTGACTGAGGTACATTCGTGAGTGGTTGGGCATGGGTTTGATCCGGCGCACACCATCAACTGGCTAAACTCGTTCCTTTCCGGTGTGCCACCATTCGGACAGCCTTAAACATTTCCTTTATCATTGTAAAACTTCAAGATTCCACCTCCGACTCCACAATAGCTTTCACAATCGTCACGTGACGCGAAATTATTCGAGTTTCCGTCACAACCATTGTATTGGAAGCTCTCGCATTCTTGTGTTTGCGCATTGTAGTAATATCTAATGATGGGATTAAAAATGTTTTGCAATTATTGTAATACCTGTAGCTGGACCCCGATCCACAAGTGACACCCTTGTGCGGAGAAAGAGTACAAGTGTATGCCTTTGTCGGGCAACAACCCCACACATAACCATCAAAATAGCACTCATAATTCACTGGGCACACATTACCGGTTCCCGAATTTGAGCAGGTATAGTAATTACCCTGAAGATAAATTTTGATTTGAGATTTTTGAATGCTTTTAGAATTGCGCAAACCTGATAATCTTTGTAGGCATCACCCTGAGGACATTGGGGTTCAGGGATGATATTCTCGCAAGTGTTTTGACACTCAAGTAGAGTCTCGAAGTTGTTGTCATTACCCTAAGATTAGAATAATAACGAATTCAATCTAAAAATTGTATACTTGGCATCCAGTGTAATCAAAGATCTCGCAAGCTCTGGTGACAGCATTGTACCAATAGCGACGCACTGATTGCTTGCAATCACCAAGTCGAAGTGGCTGTGAGCAGATCGCCTCTGGATTTTGTTTTCATAAAGGAATGGGAAAGAAAGATTTCTAGAGAGGGGATTGAACCCAGTTCTTTTGTTTTCGGACAAAAAACCGCTGAGCTATTGCTCTAACCGCTGAGCTATTCGATCGAATTCCACAAAAAAAACATACGAGGCCTAGGACAGCACACATTGTGATCAGCTTGGCATTCATGCGTGGATGGGCAATCGGCATTTGTTGAACAGCGCTGATTGGCAGCTCCGATCTTTAATGGGGTTCCTGAAACGATCAAATTGAACACGATAAAAGAATTGAACAATTAGATCGATCGAAAACGATCGAAACGATTGAACACGATTTTTCCGTACCATATGTGCACTGAAGTTTCGCGCAGAAAAGCTCACACTCTGCAGCTGACTGAAAAGAAGACTTGTTTTTTTGATTTGTTTTGATTTCCTTACTTTGAAGTTATTGTAATTTCCATGAGCTCCATTGTAGGTGAAAGCAATGCAACGGCCTTGTTCAGCATCATAGTAATACCTACAAACCATTGTAACTTTCTTTAGCATTAATATTTAGAGTGTTTGATCCATTCGAAAGCACTTGAGATTCTCTATTTTTTTTGAGATATAGGTTCAGGCCTTGTTCAACATCATAGTAATACCTAAGCCTAAGTCTAAGCCTAAGTCTAAGCCTAAGCCTAAGCCTAAGCCTAAGTCTAAGCCATAGCTTTGAGCTATAGATCATGTCAATCCGGATTTGAAGCTAAGTTGTAGAATCGTTGTAGTTTAGTGCCAATGTCTAGAACAAACCTGCTAGATGTGGCATAGGTAAGCGAGAAGCTTCTCTTCATTGTGAATCCTGGGTCAAAGTTTGTCGATCGAAGGAGATCCGCTGGACGACCGCCAGAATTCGAGCAAATAGAAGCCACTGTTGGACAGCACAACTAAACAATCAATATATCAAAACTTTGAATCAAACAGCAATATACTTTTATCTATTATTCATTTTTCACTAACTTGCATCGATCCGACACTGTTACACTCAAAGTTCGAAGTACATGTGGAAGCACTTTGACAATTATTCACTGGCTCATCTTCATTCTGTGTTTGACCAGTCAAATATTGTGGTGACCCTCGTTTACAAGCTAAATAATTTCTTTTTAAGTAAATCTAGCCTCGAGATCTCTAATCTTTGCATTATGTTTGTTTTTGAAAGAAAGAAATTGAGAGCGCAAAAAGAGCCAAGGCCAAGGCTCAGCGATGATCTGATGGATAAACAATGATCGCTTTAATACATTTCCCTAACCCTTTTCCATATTCTTTTCATTCAGCATAAATTTGCATTAAAAAACTGACTGTCTCTGCAGAAGCTTTCGCAGTGTTCACGAGTCTTAAAGTTGTTTGGCGATTGCATCTCACTCTCATCCCATGGATCCCACATGAACTGTTCGCAAGTGCCCGTCACCGCATTGTACCACCATCTATTGCTTATTGTTAGACTTATTTTCCTTTTCTCAAACCTTGGTCGAACTCCAGCAGGCGCTGCAGATCCACTATCCGCTTCTCTCTTCGGTTGAATGCATGTGAAAGCACGATTTGGACAGCAAATGCCTAAGCATTGCGATTGTTTGCTTTAACTTTACAATTACCATCAGCTGACGGATGAATGTTGTAAACTCCTTCCATTGCCGTTTTCACATTGTTCATTGATGTCACCGCTGTCACACAATCGTAAATATCAGCGATAAAAACGCCAGCAGCTGGGTCTTGTTGATCAGTTGTATAGACGCAAGCGCCTAAATTGCATTGAATCGTTGATTCGACTTGATTTTCTTGTACCTCCGCCATTTGGTGAGAAAGTAGTGTAATCAGTTGATTGACTGCTGCAGAATTGTAGTGGATTTACATGATCTCCTGAAAAGAGAGATTAAAATGAGAAATGAAATGAATGAAATAAATACCCATAGCAATATCAGCATCATCTGGATCAGTCATTGATGGATTGCGCAATTGTGAGACAGGCATTGTCAACAAGTCGTCATCGTATCTAGAAATAAATGGACTTTCAATTTTATTGAGTAAAGGACGAACTCGGGAAGAGGACACTTGGGAACTGGGTCAGCGTCTTCTCCAGAGTGCAGAATGCATACCACTCCATCACGGCTTTTCGATTGCACATATGGGATTCCGTTCACATCCTCGGGACACTCGCAACGGGATTTCTCACATCTAATTTGTTAATAAGAAAAAGAAAGAAAGAAAGAAAGAAAGAAAGAAAGCAATTCTTTGTTTAGTAAAGATTTCCTTTCATCACTCACCTAGATTCCGGCCAAACAGCTGCACATTGTTCAGCATATTGACAACCAGACTCTCCAGGGTTTTTCTCTGAAATTCTTTCTTTCTAAAGACAAATCCAAGCTCACTCACTCAAATAACAATATCCTTGAATAGCGACAAAATTGCTTAAACAAGTACATGTACCAGTTGAGCAGAACATTCCCTAAAAATCTTTTGTTTTTGTCATTCGTTTTAACTCAAAAACTTACCGTCAAACAATCGGTGTTGAATGAGCAAAAATCTCCAACTCGTCCTGAGCCAGCGATTCCTTGTCGCCTAAGATTGATTTAAAACCTGATAGCAGCAACGTGGCTATAGCCGACTGGCTAAGACCTTGGCTATAGCCGACTGGCTAAGACCTTGGCTATAGCCGACTGACTAACAATCTCAATGCTTAGGCATTTGCTAAGTCAGGAGATCAAGGGTTCAATCCCTTCATTTCACTTTTTGTTCAGATATTGATTCTTTTTCTTTTCTAGATTTAGGGTATATTTTTTGTAGCATATTATTCGTGTAAATAGATGTATTTTTGCTAACTAACCGATAGCGAACATTTTGAGCTCGACACCGTCCGTCGATGAAGAATTCACCTTTTGGGCAAACTTTTCGCTCAACTCTTTTCTTGATGAGATTACAAATGAGAAATGCGTTCTCTTGCATATCCGTTTTACTAAAGAAAACACTGTATTTGGGAAATTGTCGAGCAAAAACTTTGTCTTTTGATCACAGAAGAGTGACTCTTGCGTGATCTCTTTCAAGCATTCTTGTCCATCTTCTATCAAAAAGCACTTGTCACAATCATCACCGATTCGACATTCCGGCAATTTCTTTTCTGATCCCCAGACTCCCCCTAAAAGTCGTGCTTTAAAAATATCTCGATTTTTTTTTTCACCTGTAAAGAGGAGTAGGCAAAGTGCCGGCCGCCACATCTTCAAATCAGCGATCCAGACACTATCCACACCCAATTAATCTTCTCCTTTAAAATTGGAATTGAAATTGATCAATAAAGAAGGAAAATTGTATAATCTATGAAAATCTATGAAAATTTTGTGACAGAAGAGGATTTAGTTCATTGAGAAATAGAGAAAGATGGATAGGAAAGAGGGTGTCGATTCTTGAATGTGTACCAAGATGCACCCTCTTCCCTCCTGGTACAGACTATTCTTTTTCTATTCTCTTTCTTTCTGATCTCAAGTTCCAAAGCTTTTTCTCAATTCAGTTCATATTATAGCTTGAATGGAAAAGAAAAGAAAAAAAGAAAGCCAGCGATTGCTTGTCGGCTAAGTTTGATTTAAAACCTCCCAGCAGCGACGTGGCTATAGCCGACTGGTTAAGACCTTTGTTTCTAAGTCAGGAGATCAAGGGTTCAATCCCTTCGTTTGACTTTTTGTTCTCTCAAGAAAAGAAAATAAAGGAAAAGAAAAGAATGAACTGTTCAGAGAATGTCAAATGCTGAGATTTTAATCAAAAAATTAACATGATGTTAGACTTAAACGATAGAATAAAGTGAATCAATGAATAAAGAGAATGGTGAAAAACGGGAGTAGGCGTGAGCAGCGTAATTAGAATGAATGGATGAAAGGGTTTGAAAGCATTCAAGTATAGCTTTTCTTTAGAAAAGAGGAGAACTTCTCAAAGTGGTCTACACTATCACCAAAATCGGAGAGTTTTGGTGATAGAGAGGGGAATGGGTTGAGAGCCTAAGGGCGCTTCTCCGCAAACACTGTTAAGAGGCAGTCGCAAACACACTCGCAAACGTGATCCCTTTCTTCAAATCAACTACTCCTTACCATACAGAAGGAGTTCTTTAAGCAATTAGGGAATGGGTTAAACTTTCAAAGACTGACAGACAGATGGAGATCAATCTTTATTCAGATTCGGTTAAGAAGTTCTAGACGAGTAGTTCAATCTATTCAAGAAGTTTTGAGTAATCTAGATTGATAAGAAAAGAAGTGGATTTGGCTCAGGATGAAGGCTTAGGATGAAGGCTCAGGATGAAGGCTTAGGATGAAGGCTCAGGATGAAGGCTTAGGATGAAGGCTCAGGATGAAGGCTTAGGATGAAGGCTCAGGATGAAGGCTTAGGATGAAGGCTCAGGATGAAGGCTTAGGATGAAGGCTCAGGATGAAGGCTTAGGATGAAGGCTCAGGATGAAGGCTTAGGATGAAGGCTCAGGATGAAGGCTTAGGATGAAGGCTCAGGATGAAGGCTCAGCTTTGGCTCAGGATGAAGGCTCAGGATGAAGGTTCAGATGAGGAAATGAATGAAAATATTGTCTGGTGAAGAAAAAGTGATGGAAATGTGAAGATGACAAAATGATCGGGAAGAAACAGATGAATGAATGGTGGGTGGGTCTTTTTCATCTCCACTCTTCCCTTTAGGCCTCCTCCCCCTTTTCTCGATTTTCTTTCTTTTCTTTCTTTTCTTTTCTTCGTGTCTGTATTTGTGATCGAAATCGGCGCTCCCAAATCGGGCCAGCGAATTAAGAGTGTATCGCTCTTCGTGAGATGTTGTGAGTATTGTGTACACAGTCAAAGTCTTTATTCTCAATTCTGTGCGGTGTCTCTTCCTCCCACTACGATCAGTCTTTTCCAAAGAATGAGAGAATTTTGATGGTGGAAAGAAGGCCCCATCATGACACATGCTTGAGAGATTGTGCCAAATTTGGAATCAACATCTCTCTGTTTCTTTTTGCACTCTTTCTTTTGTGTTTTTTTTTCTTGAGAAAAGGATTAGCGATTTTCTCTAATAGTAGTGCGCCGAGCTGAGCTGAGTTGATGACAATTTTACAGTTTTCAAGTTTTCACAAAAGCTTACTTACAAGTTTTCACAGAAGCTCTAATCCCTTAAAAGATCTCATCATCATCTACATTTTCCAACCCGTTCTGATAAGCGTCGACATCGACACGACCCAACCATCTATACGTTCTGATAAGCGCTTTTCGAGATTTCAAGGGATTTAGATTTAGACAAAGAGAAAATACGATATTGCAAAAAGCCAAGCTAAGTTAAGCCAAGGCTAGGCTTCTTGGATTGTACGGACGATCAGGATTGTCTTCTGGGTTACGGTCGTGACTAGGACTCAGTTATGGCTTAAAAATTATCACTAAGACTTTTGTACTATATTGTACTTGTACACTTGTACAATTTGAACTGTTTTTTTTTAAAAGTTTAAAATCAAATAATACTTTATTCTTGGAAAGAAATTTCTCTTACCGGTATCGCTAAAAGGAACACCGGTTAAACAAATAACATTGACAATGTTTAATAAAAAGAAAAACAACGGCAAAAGGCAAAAGAAAGAATTCCGTCGTGATTTGAAACTTAATATATTTGCAATTGTAAGTCAAATAGAATCAAATAGATAATTGTAAATCAAATAGAAAAAAAAAGATATTTCTTAAAGAAATCCCCGCAATGAATTGGTCATGGATAGGTAGATTTAGATGAAAAAAAAATGCAAAAAAAACAATCATCCTAAAGGACATCCAGTCATTGATCGTCGATCTGCACTCAAACATCTTTGTTCTAAGAAATCTCTGATCACTCTGCTCACTTTAGATTCATCTTTATCTTACCGCAAACAATCAAACGCTTTCCATCATCGTCAATGAAAACACTTTGCCGATTTTGTGGACATTCTGGCCGTGATTCTTAACAAGTTTCTTTATCAACTTCTCTATTTCTATCATTTGCTTAATCTTTTACCTCTTTTATGCCGACTTGTTAATGGACAACACATTCGATCGATACATTGATATCCTTTTGGACAACCTTTTGCCGGAATACAACTCCAGAGAACATTCCTTGGACCGACTGTTAACGGCTTTTGACCACCAGGACACTAAAGTATTTTAATTGCTTGTCTGATTATTATTTTAATGCTCTCACTTGTTCAAAGGTTTGTTTGGGTTGTTGTGGTCGTCTAAGCGGTGGTAAAGGAGTGCTTGGTTTTGTCGCTTTTTGTTGGGATCAAGGTTCGAATCGAGAGATCCATTGGCACATTTTCAATTAAAGTCTGAAAATTTGAAATGGGTTTTGAAAAGGCGAACACTTTAAAACCGGGAATTTCCGCATCGTTCGTCGAGTTGTTTCACAGCAGATATACATTTTAATCATCTTCGAGTACTGACATCTCCCTGATGGACAAAGAGCTCGAGAACAGGCAAGCACTTCACCTTTCAAATCAACAATCGGATTCGCTGACTCGCCGCAAAGATTTGCTAATTTTAGAATATTTAGAATATTTTGAAATCGTCATTTACTTACCCAAACAACGACCCTCAAAACCGACAGTTCCTGTCGCACATCGACATTTCCTTTCTGCACAAACGGTTCCATTTGTGCATTGAAGGCTTGTCAAACATGGATCATTGAATGTTCCCAATGAAAGGCATTCACCTTCAAAGAGAACTTCCGATCCAGTGCATGCTGGGATCTAAATAGACATGCGCACTATAAACGACAAAAAAATGACAAACTATCACACTATAAACGATTCTAACTTGTTTCAAATCTACTGTATTAATATGATCGATAGCTCAAACGATAGAGAATCTCAAGAGCTTTTGAATGACTCAAAGCACACCGAAAAATATGAATTCTAAAGAAAGTTACAGTTGTTTGTAGCCTGACTCAATCGCTTCGACTTCGACAGGCTATAAACAACTGTAACTTTCTTTAGAATTGATATTTTTCGGTGTGCTTTGAGTCATTCGAAAGCTCTTGAGATTCTCTATCTTTTGAGCTATCGATCATGTCAATACAGTAGATTTGAAACAAGTTAGAATCGTTTGTAGTAACATGTCTAATCTCTAAGCTAACAAACCGAGACACAGGCACCGGCTTTCCATAAAGTTGCGTGGGGACACGTGCAGACGGTGTTCAGACATCGAGCTCCACCCAGACATTCCTCATCAATCGAACATGACTTTCCAACCATTTGTCGCATTCTATTTTCGAAATTTCATTTCAATTTCCTTTCTCAAATTCACTTGCACTCTCCATTGACATTGACTGTGTCTATTGGACATTCCACTTCTTGAACCTCACGCACCAATTCGGCTAGTTTACTGCTTGCTGTAGTAGCTATAGGAAAGCTATTTACATTAATTGTGGACAAAGCTTTACTTTCCATTGCACTTGGCTGTAACCCAATTAGTGGACTTTTATTGGTGGAGGTGACAGAAGAATCCGGATTTGTACAACACACAAATCGAGCATTTCGTCCTTTCACACAACTAAAGTCTCTTGATTTCTTTTCTATTTTTTTGAAATACTTGTAACTAGGTGGGCACATTGAGAATTGTGGATTGCATTCCATTGCACCTCCAGTCATATCGATAAACGCAACCGTTTGTGAGGGACATCCTAAAAGAAATTCTCTATCGCATGTCTATTTAGATCCCAGCATGCACTGGATCTCTTTGAGATTCTTTTTGAGGGTGAATGTCTTCCATCTCTCAATTCTTCTAAAGTAATGCTGGATGCTTTGCATTCTTGTTTTTGCTGGCTAGTCAAAGTGATTCATAGATGATAGAGGAAGATGATGAAGGAAGATGATCTGAAGGAGTGTTCCAGAAGATAGCAAAAAGATGAGAGAAAAAGAGAGAGAGAGAGTGTGGGAGCCTCGTGTTGCCCGTCGTCGCGTTTCCCTTCGCGTTTCCCCTAAGGGCGATGAGACCCACAAAGAGTGTTTGTCAGTAAACACAATGTGGACTATGAGACGAGCGAGCGACTCTAGCATCCCTTCAACTCCAAAGCTTTTCTTTTCATTGAAGCCTTTTCTAGATCTTTTCATTGAATTTTTGATTGAATCAAATGTGAAATGAAATGTAATTTCTGCCAACTTTTACAAAAAAAAGTGATAGATTTGAAATTGAAATTGAGGAAATTGAGGAAAAGGAAAAAAAAAAATGAAAAAACAAACCTGCTCGATGACCACAACATTGGAATTGCTTGTTTCGGTCAGAGAATTGACAAAAATAGCCTTGAGGACAATTTTGTCCAGACGCTGTGCAAACTAATGGAATCCCTCGTTCCACATATGCCACTTGTTGAGCAGGACATCCCAACTCTAAAGCTTTTCATTCAATTACAATTTTAAAGCTGCTACTCAATTAATTAAAATTTGAATATTTTATACCGTAAATACTGTAATAGTACCCCTAAATACTGTAATAGTACTCGTACAGTCGCGTAGTCGCAAAAGTTTTTTAGTATTTCATTTTTTTCAAAGCGCCCGTACTTTCAAAAAATGTGTCTTTGGTATCAAAAAATAGCCCTGAATTTCAGCTATTTTTTGATACCTAAGCGCGCATTGTAGCATAAACCAGTGGCGAGAAAAACTCGTTCAAAGCTAGACTACGCAACACTCCGCACCGTCATTATGGGGGTGGGGTACTATTACAGTATTTACGGTATCAAACTTTTATATCAATAATCAATCCTTTATCTATCTAAATATCAAACAGAAATTTTTGAAATCCCTTAGTAGTACTCTAAATCTAAAGGTTCGATTCGTGACACGTCTAACTCCAGCGCTTACGACTTGAGAGAAAGAAGAAAAATCGTCGTGCACACAGTAGTCCACAAAAGAGGTCACTGTTGTTTTTTTTCTCAAGAATTAAAAGCCCCCAGCTTTTCTTCTCTCTTTTGAACCTTTCTTTCTAACCCTTTTCTGAGGAGTGTTAAGTCGAAAAAGGGTTGAAGAGTGAAAAGGGGAAGAGGTTGAGGAGAGTGAAATGGAATGGAACGGTCACCGAGATGATTGAGAGAAGAGGGGAAACTCTTCCCTCCACCCGGTAGCGTTGCCTCGTACCGCTTTGTGTGTGTGTTTCCTTGCTGAACAAAAGCGCACACACGGTTAACACAAACACCCACCACACTAGCCGCCCCTTTCATACCCGATTTTCAAATCTGACCTCTTCTGTTCTCCGGTAAAGGAGGGAAGGTCAAAAATTCTTTAGAACATTTCCTCTCAAGAACACTCTACTTAGTATATAGAAATGGGAAAAATTTTTTGACTTCTTCTGTTTACTGAATGTTTTAAACTAATGTAATAATCGATGATAGAGAATCGTATCGCTCAAAGAGATCAAAATTTAGTACTGCAGGGTTACTGCAGTAAAACAAGTGCAGTAATAAGGCCGAGTCGTCGGCACTGGCATTCTTGACAATTGAAGAGCTTAGAGCGCATCAAACCTTACTCTATTCACAAGAAATGACTTCTTCTGTTTACTTAATGTTTTAACTAGTGTAAAAAATCGATGATAGAGAATCGTATCGCTCAAAGAGATCAAAATTTAGTGTTTCATTTCTTTTAATCTCAAAGCAGGCAAGTGTACGTTGGTGGACAGGGTTTATTCTCGGGATTGAATGGATCGCATGCTTCAAATCTGACCCCTTCTGTTCTCCGGTAAAGCAGGGAAGGTCAAAAATTCTTTAGAACACTTTCTCTCAAGAACACTCTATTTAGTATATAGAAATAAACGCAATGGGAAAATTTCACCTTTGTTTTCTCGATCGTTTCTTGATCGATTCATTTCAAATTTTGTCTACAATTTGAAAATATCAATTTCTATTTGTAGACAAAGTTTCAGAGGAATCGGGAAAGAAAACGAAAGTGGAATTAAGCTCGGATTAGAATTTTCCATGTCTAGTGCATGCATAGACAGTGATTGAAGTGTTTTCTAAAAAGTGTGCTTTATGAGAGGTAGCAAAAAAATGATTAATAAGCTTTTAGGAAACTCTGAGATCGGATGTGAACGTTCTGATCTGATGTGATTTAATTGAACGAAATGCTGACCTTCTTGTTCGACTTCTTCTTCTTCAATCGGATCTTTTCCACAACATTGATATCTAAATCTGGTATAGAAGAACATTATCATGAAAAACCTTTGAAAAGCAGTCGAGTATTGGCAAGTGTACGTTGGTGGACAGGGTTTATTCTCGGGATTGAATGGATCGCATGCTTCCACCAAACCCCTTTTCACATAGGCAAACTCTCCAGGTGGACAACCCTCTATAATTTCTTTGTAAATTGTTCACTGACTTTAAAACGCACCAGTCACTGCATTCGTTGTATCACCTTTACAACAAAAGCCGCTTGATGAAGATTTGTGAGAGCGGTGACAGCTGGAAAAAGTATATAGAAAAGTTTGATCCAGCAAGTTTGCAGAAAAGACCTAATTCAATAACTGATTGAATTAGATCTTAATTCTTAAGTTGTCTTAATCTTAAGTTGCTAGTGCAAACTTGCAAACTGCAAACTTACAGTAAGCTTGCGAGTACAATATTACAAAGAACACATGCGATAATACAAGTAAATTTGTTTTAGATGATGACTCAGGTGCTGCTAGACTTCTTTTAGCCACAGCCGTTCCTTTCCAGGTGAGTAAGGATGATATGAGAGTACAAAAGTCAATAACTGATTGAATTAGATCTTAATTCTGCAAACTTGCTAGATCAAACTTCTATATAATGTTTCCAGCTGTCACCTACCGATACCCAGCTGGACATGTGACAAATGAGCCAGGAGTGCAAATTCTTGGCATACGCGTCTTCTCATCCACGAGAAACTCAGCATCGCCACGACAAACATCTGCAAATTATTGATATTTTGTTTTCTTTTGATCTTTTCCATGTTTGGGCTAACACACGTAACGCCGGGTTTTTCTGGTCCAGGCTTGTCTTTGCCGTGGCGCAGTCTGGGCGCGCTTGCCTCCGGCTCACACGACCCGGCTTCGACCCTCCTTAGCCCCACTCTCTTTCACTTTTTTAGTTCTTTTGATTTTAAATGATACAAGATTTACAATCTTGTGGATCCAAAAAAGTTTTTAGACAACTATACTATAAGAGAAGAACTATTAGTGTTCATTGAAAGCTAAAAACAACTTTCCCATTTATTCCTTTTCCATTCAAAACAAACTCTTTGCCGAGCAACAGAATCCTTGAAGCACATTCTTTGTCCGACTTTGGCATGAGTAACCATCGTGGCATTGATTTGCTACATTCAATGTGCATCTGGAAAGTGGAATAGTTTAGACAAATAGCTTTGAAATTGGATCCATATATCCTTTGAATTGATCTTAAAAAGTTACCGTTGTGGAAGCAAAGTTTTCGGGGCTCGATACAGAGCTTTTCCTTCCGGGCAAACGTCTGAAAGTTGATATTTTTCAGATTTAAGAAAAAAAAAACTCACTTTCGGTGTTTGGAGCACAACAATAGTATTTGTTTTTGTGAGGAGAGAAACGACAAAGAAAATTCGCGGGACATGAACCGGGAATATTGATGGCACACTCGCGAATTGTTTCATCCAAAGGATTCACGAAAGCTCTTTCCTCCATTGGGCAAACCTCTTCAAAAAAATGTGGATTGTTTTGAAACCGGTCGATATTTTCAATGTTTTTGGGTAACGATTCCTGTGTGAGCGTGGCGCAGTGTGGACGCGTTTGTCTATCACTCACACGACCCGGGTTCGACTCCCCCTGGTGCCACTCTTGATTTTTTCTCTTTTTAATTGTTTTTTATTTTAACTAGATTAAACTAGATTCTATTTTAAGATAAAAACTATATTAGTATCGATTTTTCCTTGATTCTAAAAGTTATCAATAACTGTCAAAGCTGGAAACTCTAAACTCTCAATTCGACCTATTAGTCGTTCAATTGGAAAGTATTTTTTCGAAATCTTTTTAATTTTACTATCAATGATACGATTATAAGTGTCATATCTATTTGATAATATAGTTATTTCTTTAATTTACCCATGCTGGTTGAGCCGCAACAAACGTATGAAGCAGTGAGAGCATTGTGACGACATGTGAACTCGGGAGGACATGAATTGCGCAAATTGTTGTTGCAATCGAATACCTGAAAGAAATTTAGACAATTATTATCATTTATATTAGATTAAATAACTATTTTGATATAGAGTTTTAAAAGTTTTATGAAAATCATCTCAACTTACTGTTTAGTGAGCCGTTAATCTTATTCAAAGCAAAACGATTGTCCGCTTACTGTTTTTACAAAGTGAACTACTTTATTAGGCGGGATACGACAAAATAAACACTCCCAATCGATTCCTCGATGCCGAAAACCCCTGGCTACAAATTTTCATCTTTGTATCTCATCTTGGAGTCATTTTCAGAACAAAAGAAGATTTATTGTGCAAAGAGTGCTTTATGTTCTTTGTATGGTCGCGTAATCGCTCGCCTTCTAGTCAACGGCATTTCCATATACCGCCGGAAAGTTGGTTCATCATTCTGTTCGTTCCTACGAGTCAATCCGATAACCAATCGTGTTACAGGGCCCTTGGTGGTAGCACAAAGCCAAACAGCAGATTTTATTCCGCCAATTTTGGCTCAGCGTTCGGGTGTTTACTCCGCTACCCAACTTGGATCCCAAGTGCCTTGAGTGTTGCGCAGGGGGCTGCCGGACTTGATGCATCCCAAAGACTTGTTCGTAAGGTCGCTAGCAAACGTTAACAGAGTGAAAACTAGATTCATTAATGAATTGGTTAAAGTTATCAATCATTAAAATTCACAAACATTGCGTCTTACAATAAGACTTTTCCAGGACCAGGTACTGTATCCTCAAAAAAGCCTTTGTTTGTCGACGTGTCGTTGCGTGTGTTTGTTTCTTCTTTTCCCCTTGATGGGTGGTCCTTTCTCATCCTCAGCCCTCCATTCATTTTTCTTTTTTCCCATCTCTTCACCCATTCTTCTCTTATCTCTCACTCAGCTATAATCTATTTCTCATCAAAGGTCAAGTGTCTCAGCTCTTGTAGTTCTCTTTCCCCAAAAATCGCTATTTCGTCGTCTTTGTGGGTGGTCCGCGTAGCCCAATTCTTGTTTCGTGTTTTTCCCTTCAACAAATGCTTTCGTTTTTTCCATTTTCCTTCTCCAAACATAGATTTACTGTTCTTTAAAATCGGGAAAAGGGGAAAGATAAATTTTTTTTTGGGTCGTGTCTGCAAGCTTAAACTGGCTTTTGTACTTAAACTGAATGGAGACTTGATAGAAAAGGCTAGAAAGCTAGAAAAACTTAAAGAGGACGATTTGTGTACAAATAAATGCAAATGAAAACCCTAACCCTTTTTGTGTTGACATCTTTGTACGCCACTTCACCAACTCGACATCCGGCTGATGAGCAAAAATTATAACACTCACTCGCTGATGCAAAATTATTCAAATTCCCGTTACATCCATTGTACTAAAATAATTTACATCTGAAAATTTGAATTTCTTTCCCTTTCTTTCTCTTTCTTTCCCTTTCTTTCTCTTTCTTCCTCTTTCTTCCTCTTTCTTCCTCTTTCTTCCTCTTTCTTCCCCTCTTTCTTTCTCTTTCTTTCTCTGACCTGGAACGAAGCGCACTCTTTGGTCACAATGTTGAAGTAAAAACGCGCGACCGACATTTTCGAGCAGTGATTTCCCTGTTGTGGTGGTTGAGAGCAAATGGTTACTGAAATTTGAAATCGAAATTCATTTTGTAAGTCTTAAAAAGAAAAGCTAATCAAAAAGTTTATCAAAAAAAAATAAACCTTTTGTTGGACAACATCGATGTTCAACGTTTCCATTGTGCGGAATGGCGATGCAATCATGAGTGTTCGGGCATTGTCTCAACTCCGAACAGCTCATCTAAATAAATCAAAAAAATTTCTTTATTCTAATAATAAGATTTCAGAAGATTTTTGATGTTTAAAAGCTGGTTTAGAAGAATTATTTTCAAAGGCACGTGGCGACTGGAAGGCTTTATCTTAATCGGAAGGTCGAGGGTTCGAACCCCACATGCGACATGGCACCCCCTTCGGATTTCCCCTTCGGGTTGAGGGGTTTCTGGGGGGCAGTCTGGTGGTTGTGGCCCCAGTTCTTTAAAGGACAAGCCACTCCTTCATCGTCACCCCCTCACCACCAAAAAGCTATTAGCCCCATTGAGCTTAGGGTTGGGGGCCGTCGCTGACGGGGTTAGTTAGATATAGCCAGATTGTGTGTGTCGTTGTATTGTGATTCATATATTTCGTGTATGCGATAAATTCACCACTGGTAGCCCCAGTCGGTATTTTTTTTTTTAAATCGGCTTGTTTTTATGATCCGGTCCACCGGTGGACCGGTGGACCGGACCCTTGAATTTATCGCTTTTTTTGAGACCGATCGAGTTGAAACTTTGCACCAGAGGATTTACGGGATCAAGGAATTCGAATCCGTTATTAGTTTTGATGATCTATTAGGTTAGAATTTACGCTGAGTTTTTTTTATTCTTGATTTTTTTCATTAATAGCTATTGGTTTAGTTTGGGTAATTAAACCAAATGAAATCTCGAAAAATAGTAGTTTTCTTTAAAAACTAATAACGGATTCGAATTCCTTGACCCAGAAAATCCTCTGGTGCAAATTTTCAGCTCAATCGGTCTCAAAAAAAAGTGATAAATTAAAGTACGGTCCACCGGTGGACCGGATTGTTAAGTGTCACGATTTTAAGCTCACAAATGGCTTGAAGATTTGTCTTTTCAATGATTTATGATCATATTTTACAATTTAAATCCATCGACACTAACTGTAAACAAAAGAAATCATTATGAAAAATGGGTTACTGCAGTAAAACAAGTGCAGTAACAAGGCCGAGTCGTCGGCACTGGCATTCTTGACAATTGAAGAGCTTAGAGCGCATCAAACCTTACTCTATTCACAAGAAATGACTTCTTCTGATTACTGAATGTTTTAACTAATGTAAAAATCGATGATAGAGAATCGTATCGCTTAAAGAGATCAAAATTTAGTGTTTCATTTCTTTTAATCTCAAAGCATCGCCTATTCTTGCTTGTTTGCAATATATTATTGATAAAGATTGAAATTCTATCTTATTTTGTTCTATCTTATTCTATCTTATTCTTAATAAAGTTTAAGAAAAACGAAAATTCATAATCGGCCAATTATACCTGTCTATTGGTGGCCTGATCTCGTAACGGCATTCCACCATTTGGACAACCTGAATAAGATCTTCTTAAGATCAATAAGATCTATAAGATCAATAAGATCATTAAGATCATTAAGATTAATAAGATAAGATCAATAATATCAATAAGATAAGATCAATAAGATCAATAAGATCAACAAGATCATTAAGATTAATAAGATAAGTTCAATAATATCAATAAGATAAGATCAATAAGATCAATAAGATCACTCCCTTTACATTACTCACCTCCCACTCCACAATATGCTTGACATTCTTCAGCGGTGAGGAAATTATTAGAATTTCCATCACATCCCTCATATTGGAATGTCTCACAGGTCTGCTTTTGCGGATTAAAATAGTAACGATAGGATTTTCCTGAAGTTTTTTTTTGTTTGTTCTGATTCGTTAGAAGCGTTAGCTCTTCTCTTGAAATAAAATATTTAGATTCCACTGACCACTTCCACATTGAACACCTTTATCAGGATTTAGAGAACAAGTAAAAGCTTTTGTTGGACAGCATCCATGAGAAGTACCATCATAAAAACAAAGATGATTAGCTGGGCATCGATTGGCTCCTGAAAAAGAAAAAAAAATAAAAAGCTATCAATAACATTTTGGTAAATTTTTTTTGTTTTAAAACAAAACCAGAAAAAGAAATGATAAAGTTTCTGGGATCTTTTGAAATCTAATAAGATAAATCCTTTTGTAAACCTTTATCTGAACAAGTCTGGAAGTTTCCATCACGATTTCTGAAAGCTCTCCCGTGCGGGCATCGTGGCTCCACTGAAATCAATATTATTGGGTTGGTGAAAGGAAAACTGCGGGAGTTTGAACTAAAATTTATTCAAACATAAAACCATCAATTCATTCCATATAATTTCCATTATTATAGACGACTTCTGCCCATTTTACAGGCAATTTGCGGATTCCTCTTTCGTCGTAGGATTTTGGTTTTGAATCGAAAAACGTTTAAAGCCAAGTTTTGACTGCTTCTTCCGAATCGAAGTGTTCTCCCGCAAGCTCATTACTCCTGACCCGGAATAAATAGTAATCAAAAGGGGCGAGGTCCGGACTGTATGGGGAATGCGCCAAAAGTTTCCAAACAAGGGTATTTATTTTAGAGCGAGTCAGTTTTGCAACATGAGGGCGCGCGTTGTCGTGGATGAGAAAGATCTTTGAGGGCCTATTCTTCTGGAGGGCCTATTCTTCTTCAGGGATTCATTCACCTTTCCCAACTGTTCACTGTATTTGATTGCAATAATGGTCGTCATTAACGACATTAACGGCCCATTTTACAGGCAATTTGCGGATTCCTCTTTCGGATTTTGGATTCTAGTAGGATTTTGGTTTGTGTGTGAGACAAGTGTGAGACTCAAAAATGGAGGACTGGAGATGTCGAGATGTCTCAGTTTGAGCACTTTCTTCAACAGAAACCCATTTTGGTGTCAATAGAAAAGTTGTAGAGAATCAAAAATTAGGCTTATAGCCAAATTTCCAAAAAGATACACTTCGTAGTTTCGCTTAAAATGCAAGTTTTGTGAAAGTTTCGTAAATTTGGTTTCTCTCGAAAACCAGTTTTTGAATCGTTCTGAAAATTTGGATATAAGCATGATTTTTGATTCTCTACAACTTTTCCATTGACACCAAAATGGGTTTCTTTTGAAGAAAGTGCTCAAACTGTCACATATGACAATGCCGGCAGTTTTCAATTCACCAACCCAATATTTTCAAATCATTCTCATCAATCTACCTCCAACTCCTTTACATTTTTGTTGACATTGGAGAAGTGTAGGAAAGTTGTTATCATTACCCTGAAAATGAATTTAAAAGAAGATTTCAAATCAACAACTTGACAGCCAGTAAACTGAAACATTTCACATTGTCTTGTACCCGCATTGTACCAATAACGTCTCACTGACTGTGTGCAATCACCAAGTCGCTTTGGCTGTGTACATAACGTTTCTAAAAGTTAGATATGATAATAGATTCAGATTCTCTGTCCCAAAATCTTCAAGGTCAAATATTTCGGATCTACAGCTAACAAATAGCTGTAGATCTGAAATAGCTGTAGCTAACAGATAGCTGTAGCTAACAGATAGCTGTAGCTAACAGATAGCTGTAGCTAACAGATAGCTGTAGCTAACAGATAGCTGTAGCTAACAGATAGCTGTAGACAGTTAATGACCAAAATTTGCTGAATCTTTTAAATTGTAAAACAAACGGGCAGTAGGACAGCAAACTTTATGAGCGGATTGACATGTGTGACTCGTTGGGCAATCAGTCGGACCTTCACACCTTTGCCATTCGTCTCCAATCCTCAATGGATGCCCATTTTCACAGACCACTATGTGAAAGCTTTAAAAAGAAAATTCGATTTTTTAAACTCACATTTTGAACAAAATGATTCACAATCTTGCTTGGTGAGGAAATTGTTGAAATTTCCAAGGCCTTGATAGATAAAATTAACACAACGACCTTGATCAGCGTCATAATAATATCGGGTTGCTGGTTTGCTGAAATGTTATTCGATTTTTTTCCACTTTTTTTTGTTTATTTACCTCCCAGCAATGTGAATTCCTCGATCAAAGTTAGCTAAAGGTTTAGCTGGATAAGATCGGCCACCATTTGAACTGCAGATATGAGCTAAAGGATAGCTTCAATGATAAAGTTACAATTTGTTGGTTACTTGTTGATGGACAACAGCTTTGTTGACTTCCGATTAAAGTGCATTGATAATCCGGTCCACATCGATTCCCTAAAGAAAACGAGTTCAAAGACTGATTAGATTTCAAAGACTTACCACCAGATGCAAGACAATTTCCCAAAGGAGTGTCATCAATGAGAGCGACTTTCCCTTCAGAATACTCTGTTGGGCCTCGTTTACAAGCTGAAAGATTGCTTTAAACAAATTACAACAAAGAAAGAAACGAAAAGACTCTCTAAAAAGCTTCTAAGAAAACTCACTGTCTCTGCAATAGCTTTCACAATGTTCGATTGTTCTGAAATTGTTTGGTGAAGCGCTATTGATCGTGTCTGGATCCCAGAGGAATTGGACACAAGTACCTGAAATCTATATTGAACTGCTAAAACTAGTAGTAGACCTGTAGCAGAGTTAAACCACCATCGCGGCACTGACGGCTCCGGTCCGCTCTCCATAGGCTGAATACAAGCAAAAGCTCTTGACGGACAGCAAACGCCATCAACCGTTTCGGCGTACTCGGGGAAAACTTGATGAGAAACCTATAGCAATGTTTTATCTTATCCCTTTTTCTGCTCACTTGTGGATGAGAGACACAATCGTAGATGTCAGCTATGTAGAGATCGTTGTCTCCATCCGGGTAAATGCACCAAGTAGATCCATCTCCACTATTTGAGTTGTGCACTTCTGTCGATGTAGACGTGCACAGCACCGGCCTATTTTAACACTTATCAGTAAAAAAAATCTCTACTTACATATAAGTATCTTTGTGTATTGGATGAGTGTCTGGATTTGCAAGGACTGTAGCTGGGTTTGGGGAATCTAAAGAAGATATGAAATGAATACTGATAGGACTCACTACCAGAATGAGGCTCAGGCAATGGACAGGATGGAGGAAGAGCTGCCGAGACACAAATCGTTCCATCACGTGTTCTTGATGGGACTGTATTTTCTGGACAATCGCAAACACCTAAACTTGATTGTGAAAAGTTTTTGAATTCATCGAACCAGAGCCTGAGCAAGTGGTTTGTGGCCAAACTGCTTGACATTGCCGATCCTCTACACATCCCGATTCACCAGGGTTGATTTCTGAAGAGATTATGAAGTCAAGAGTAAAGCATGCTCTAGTGGCAATGGATCCGTAGCTTGCTGTAGCTCATTGGATGCTCTAGCTCATTGGGTGCTGTAGCTCATTCATAGAGCGCTCGCCTAGTAAGCGGTAAACGAATCCAGGCGAGTCGAATCCCGGCGCTCGCGGGTTCGAATCCCGGCTCCAACCATGTTTTGTATTCCCAGCCCATAAAAGAATCAGCCAACTTCAAACCCACTTTGCCAACAGTGATTGTTGATTGCGACAAAATCGGATAAACACGAGCAAACCCCTCCACCGCAATACATTCCTCTTTGGCAATCGGTGTTGAAAGAGCAAACATCTCCAACGCGAGAGCTGCCTGAAATTAGATGAGATTCTCAAATGGATCTCCATCCACCACTTGAGCTACGTCGATATCGTCGTCGATGCAAAGACTCAAGATCTCCTCCCTTTTCCGCCATTTCTTCACTCACACATTGTCTCGTAATCGGATTGAAAACCGCATTCGAATTCCCCACCTAGATTTCGGGTTTTAAATTTTTAAACATTTCACTCACTGCGCAATCAAAAAGTCTCATCTCATCGTTCACGCATATCAAATACTTTGTCGAGTCATAAAGAACACTTCTGAAAGGAAACTTTTTAGCAAAAACCTTGTCAAAGTAACAAAGATACCTTGTCTCATTGCTGCAAAAATAGTAGGGAAGTCGCTCATTTGTGTTACATGGAGAGCCTTGATCTTTGAGATCACATTCAAAGCATGACACTCCTTCTTCACAATATCCCAATACTTTGCTCAAAAACACTAAAATCTTTTCAGCTATCTAAACTTGTTTTTTAAAAAACTCACCAAACAATAAACAAATCGATACTCGCATAGTTTATTGTAAAAGCATTAAGGGAAATTAACTAGATACTAGAAAAGTCGAAACCGGAAGCAATTCGATAGCGGTTTTTAGTCTAAAGAAGGGGAGGAAGGGGCAGCAGTGAATCGGGTCGTGATATCCACTTGATAGGTCGATCACCGCCCATTGTACCATCCTGTCCCCCCTTTTTCATCGACTCAACTTCTCACCTTTTCTCCATCTATTCATCCGATCCAATCTCATCTCTTCTTATTTACTCTCATCTTTGGGATTTCTTTTGCGCGTGAAATCTTTTCAAACAATTGAATGATGTGGAAAAAAAATTGACTCCTTTTTGAGGGGAAGACCACCCTGGGTTTTAATCAAGGAATCCGATGAATTGAAGAGGTTCAGTCATTATTACAAGCAGTCGGCATTAGATCCCATAAAAACCCAGCGATTTTTTGTTTTGATCAATACTCACAACAAAACGTTTTGTATTTAGTTTTTTTTCTCTTTCATGCTAAAACTTTCTTCTTTCTTGCACTAACATTCATTTTTTAGGGATCAACTCGAGAAGAGAGTTGAAGTCGATCGAATGAAGCCAACTCGAGAAGAAATCCACGCTCTACTGCTCCAACGATTTTCAAGAGGGATTTCAGCGGCTAAAGCAACACGAGAAATCAATCATTTTTATGGCAATAAAATTGTTGGATCGAGTATTGCACAGGAATGTTTCCACAAATACAAGACGGGCAACAAGAGGATCAAACGGAAGAGGGGAAGTGGCTGACTCCGGAAAGTGGATCGATTAATTCTGAGGCACCGATTCCTGCGAAACTTCGATGGATCAACCGGGAAATTGGCTGGAAGTTATTGTGGACGGATGACTGCATGGGGATGGCTGCGAAAAGTGGGAAAAAAATTGGAGAAAACAAAGGCAAATCTTATACGAAATGTCGGAAACAATCCAAGCCAAAAGAAAGCGGACATGTCACCACTTGTGGAGCGAATACCGGCATGGTCGACTTCCTCTTTCGAACATCATCACTCAAACGTGGATTTTCTACAATGGCCGAGTGTTACAACGGCAGTGGTTGAAGAAAGGGCAAGTAGGGAAAATGGTGCCCAACGGAAAATCCACGGAAAGAAGCGAATGTTTGGTGTCTACTGGTGTTTGACAGGCATCATTTTCTGGAAACTTCTCAAACTAAAGCAACACCGATGTTTATCTACGTCATATGTAAAAAGTGAAACAAAAAGTCGGGAGGTATGGAAACGAATGTTTCTTCAGAATGGCGCAATTTCCCACAAATCAGAAAGATCGATCGATTTTTGTGAAGAACAACCTACACTGGAATATCCTTCTCTAGACGTTTTCCCTTCTGACTATCACTTGTTCTTGTCGCTAAAGGATTTCTTACGTGGTAAAAATGTTCAAAGATGAGAGCTAACTCGAGGGTGGATTGAACGACTATTTTCACGCTTGGGTTTAACGACTATTTTCCCGCTTGGGTTTTACGAACGAGAGATTGACAAGCTAGTTAGAGAAAAGTTATAAATTCATCTGGAAAATACAGGGTGCACTATAATTGTCGCAACAAGATAAACTTCTGATTTTAAGGCAGACAAGAGCAGAAAAACAACTCTTTAACTGAATAACATTTATTGTACATTAACAATTATAAATGAACTATCAAATTCGAATCGGCCACCATTAGCTTGCAGGTGTTTCGGGAAGGTGTCAACGGTGGCGACCAAATAAGCTGGATCGAGCTCTTTCCACGCTTTCAACAGGGTTTTCTTCAAGTTTTCGATGTTTTTGTGGGACTTTGAACAAGCTTTGGTTCTAGAATCGACCACACTGAAAAATCCATTGGGTTGACGTCTGGAGAGCTAGGCTAGACTCAGAAAAAGAAATGAAGTCCGGGAAGTTGTTTTGGCAGAACTCTTGGACTTTCTTGGATTTTTGGGTCGGTGTGCCATGTTGCTGATAAGTCCAAATGTGTTTCAGAATAGTTTCATCAAAAATGGTTAATCTCAACTTTCATTCTAAAAAGAAGCTTTAAATGCAATACTTAAAGCAATAGTGATATTAATAGTAAGGTTTTATTAATAGTGAGGTAATCAGTAATCATTTAAAACTCTTGTAGCCACTGTGTACTTAAAGACAAGTTAAAAACAGTCTAAACCAATTCAGACTCTAGTAAAAGTCAAAGTTGAACTTTCCCAATTGAATAAAGTATTCAAAGAATTTGTACTACTGAAAGATATTAGTTTAAGAAAGAGCAATTGATTTCTGAGCAATTGATTTCTGAGTAATTGATTTCCTTTTTTCATCGCCTGATTCGCAAAGCATTTGAGGTAAGCTTCCTTTGAGGGGCATCGTCTACACTTGGGAGAAGTTTTCCTTTTTTTGGTGTCAGCTGAATGTGGTGAGGTGTGAAAAGCATTACTCATTCACTCATCTCTGATAATTCCAAAAAAAAAAAACAAACAAACAACTCACGAATTGATACATGTGAGAGCTCGTAATTCAAATAATTTTCATTCAAATTCAACCCAGATATTAGTTTAAGAAAGAGCAATTGATTTCCTTTTTTTTCATCGCCTGATTCGCAAAGCAATTGAGGTAAGCTTCCTTTGAGGGGCATCTTCTACACTTGGGAGAAGTTTCCCCCTCCCTTATCAGTTTGTTCGTTTTCGAGGAAATGCGATATTGAGTGAGCGGAGTTGGCTGAATTTAAATGAAAATTATTTGAATTACGATCACATGTATCAATTCGTGAGTTGTTTGTGTTTTTCTTTTGGAATTATCAGAGATGAGTGAATGAGTAATGCTTTTCACACCTCCACACATTCAGCTGACACAAAAAAAAGGAAACGGAAGGGGTTTTTCAATCATTAGATTGTGTATTGAGTCATTGATTTTAGAAAAAATTAATTTTGATGACTTCTGCCGGAATTTGTTCTGGTATTTTGACAATCTATGGTTAATGGCTTTTTAAACGAATTTTAAAATTGAGCTATATAGCTATATACTAAACTTTTTATGCTCTATCTTTTATCTAATGACATAAAGATAGGTTTCCTTAGCTTAAAGTGTCTAAACCACATCATTATCATCTAGTCATCACTCTTTTTGACTATTCGACTTTATCGACAAATATAAGGCATTTTAAATCCATTTTAATTTTATTTTACAGAAAAATAATTGAATTTCGGAATGAAATAAACCGTAATTCAATTGGGGAAATTTGTTGGTTTAAAAACGGAAGAATGAAAAGAAACGAAAAAAATTTTTCTGAACAGCTTAATATTTAGCTTAATTTATCTTGATATTGCTTGCTTGCTTGCTTGCTTGTTTGCTTGTTTGCTTATTGCTTAATATTTAGCTCCCGATCGTTTAGTCTTCCTTATCATTAGCTATTATTGACTTAATAGTAGTCTTGGCTCATAAAAAGATATCCAATTTTGAATCTTGAATACTTTTTCAGGTATATTGTAGTAATTTATAGTAATTTATAGTAACTTATAGTAATTTATAGTAATTTATAGTAATTTATAGTAATTTATAGTAATTTATAGTAATTTATAGTAATTTATAGTTATTTATAGTAATTTATAGTAATTTATAGTAATTTATAGTAATTTATAGTTATTTATAGTAATTTATAGTTATTTATAGTAATTTATAGTAATTTATAGTAATTTATAGTAATTTATAGTTATTTATAGTAATTTATAGTTATTTATAGTTATTTATAGTTATTTATAGTAATTTATAGTAAAAAGCTAATTTAAATCAGTCAGAAATCTTTTTTAGAATAACTTGTTAAGGTTGAAACTTGAATACTTGTTTTTTAGCCCACAAGTCATCAATTAGAATCAATATTTTGTTGAATAAATAAACAAATCGCATATTTTCCCCTTCTGACTTACGGTAACTACTAGAGTGTGTTCCTCGCAAGTAATACGTTTTTTAAAGCGCATACTTGGGAAAAATTACCGTACTTTTGGCGAAAATTATTGCAAAAAATTGACGAGAAAAAAATAACGAGCGCTGAGTTATATACGATTTCTTTTAAACATATTCAACTGTTTAACTGATTTGGTGGCAAATTCTCTTCAACTGTAAAGATATTCTATTTACTCGCTGTGTAAAGAGGATTACTCGTAGTTACTCGGCGAAAAACGTCGATTAATCGAGTAAAAATTACTCATGCAAATTTTACTCGAGTAACTCGGAAGGGAGGTTTTACTCGGAAGGAACACACTCTAGTTACTACTGTAACTCGACCCACTCACTTTTTAATCTCTTAACACTAAATACCGTATTTCTTCGAATAGAAGACCGGGTAAAGAGTATGATCGCGTGCTCCTGCGTAGCAGCCCTTTTTAAAATTTCTTTTCTGCATGAAAGCTTTCAATCAAGTGCTATAGGGCTGGAAAATGACTCAAAAATACCACATGAGCTAACAGATTTTTGAGCCATTTTCCAGCTCTATAGCACTTCATTGAAAGCTTTTATGCAGAAAAGAAATTTTAAAAAGGGCTGCTACGCAGGAGTACACGATGATACTCTTTACCCGGCCTTCTATTCGAACAAATACGGTAACTGTTTTCCTCTATTTTACTTTTCTATGTTTTTGTTGATTGTCTTTTAAAAGGACTTGAGTTAAGTGAAAAACAAGATTTGTCTTTTGGGGAAGATAAGCCCTTTCAGTCTATCCAAACACTCGAGTGTCTCAGCCAAATTATCAAAATTTCTTTCATTCCCAACATTTTCTTTCAGTTTCTTCTCTTGTTATGTTTTGGTAATTTGGTTAAGAAAGGTTTATTTTAAACAAAAAATACTTTAGAAAAGTTTAATCTGAATTTGATGCCAAATCATTTGTTTAGATGTTCGAACCGGGCCGGATAGCTCTCCATAAACGAAAGAACGTAACGATCGATGAACTATTCGCGGTTAGTTGTGTAATAATAGCTTTATTCGTTTAGCAAACATTATTACCCGGCAGTAACTAGCAGTTTCGAATGGCTCAACTGTGAATAGTCTCAACTGTGAACTCATTATATACTCCTTTGTCTTTCCCCATTTATCACTTGATTCCCAAAAAAAGCTTGAGTTTTATGAAAGTGTAAATTTATCCTAAACGACTATACTGTCATGAAAAGGAGATTTTTCGAATTTTCCCCTCAATTCTTATCAATATTCTTTTCGGCTAAACACTGTGACTCGGCTTTTAGCGGTTGATTTGAAGAAAAGAGAAAGAGAAACACGGTGAATCCAAATTGAAAAAGAGCTTATCAAATGAACATTACCACAAATCGTGAATAGAGATGCTGAAAATAGAATAATATAAAAAGAAAATAGCATTTGATCACAATCACGAGTCTTTCAACAAGTCATCAAAACATTGTCGAAAGCTTTTGAACTCAAAAATCTTGATTGATAATGAAAGGTTGGGTAAATAAAAAGGAAAAACTGAAGAAAGAAGTTGGGCTTGTTTTGGTGTCTCGCATCTAGAGAACCATATGAAACAAGGACGTTGCCTGGTCGGCGCTTTAGCACAAAATTTAAGATCTATGAAACAAGGAAAAGCTGAAAAGCTGAAAAGAAATGAACTCGTTTAGGTTCAAGCTTAAGTACTTCACTTAGTTAGATAATTGACTGAATACTTTTGAAACTGACTACAGTAAAGTACAGTATTTCTATTTTGAAATATCACAAATTTCATTTGAATTGAAGAACAAGAGTTTATCTATTACCGTAAATACTGTAATAGTACCCCCCATAATGACGGTGCGGAGTGTTGCGTAGTTTAGCTTTGAACAAGTTTTTCTCGACACTGGTTTATGCTACAATGCGCTACAATGCGCGCTTAGGTATCAAAAAATAGCCCTGAAATTCAGCTATTTTTTGATGCCAAAAACGCATTTTTTGAAAGTACTTTGGGCCTGAGCTTTGAAAAAAATGAAATACTAAAAAACTTTTGCGACTACGCGACTATACGAGGGGGCTGGGGTACTATTACAGTATTTACGGTAGATTTTTAAACAATAAAATATTTAGCGAAAAGATGGCACCACTTTGGAGACGTGTCGACATGATTTTGCACAACTTTTACAAATGAAACAAGATTATTCTTGTCGACAAAAGTGATCAAGACAATTTCTATTCTTAAAGTCAAAGTTTAGGCGAAGTTCGCTTCTCGTTGATCCATGTCGAATAGATGACGCGGCGTTAATACATTTGTAAGTTTTGAAAATCATTTCCCGTAAACAGAGTTTCAGATTTGCTTCTTTATATCAAAAGTTGTCTACGGCGCCAATGTCAACAGAAGAACATCTGAGTCAAATATCACTCATTAAACAAGTGATTAAAGAGTTAAATGTTTTCAAGAAAAATCATTGAACCAATACATTTGCTAGATCCATTCTGATCGAATGGCCGAAAGCGATTGGAGGTTTAGGACCAGGGGGAGAAGAGGATTATATTGAGGTAGGCTATCTAAATAAATCTATGTTCTTCTTGGAAAAAGTTACCGTATTCCCAGACAGACAAACAAACAGACAGAAAGACAGACAGAAAGACAGAAAGACAAACAGACAGAAAGACAGACAGACAGACAAACAGACAGAAAGACAGAAAGACAGACAGACAGACAGACAGACAGACAGACAGACACAGGAAAGTCAGACTTACGGCTTTTCAATACGCGTAGCCGCTTTACCTCAGTCTGAACGCAACAATTTCAGGTAGACTGTCCCCCATTGATACACCGAGCACGAAATGTGGTGAAATGTCGGAGTAGTCATCCAACGATTCGTGTAAAGTAAGAAATCGAGCAGAAAAGCAGAGAATACAAATTTTCATTTGAAGAGTTTGCGCAATCAGCCAATCGGCCGGTCTCCCTAAAACGGTTGAAGCGTTCTTTCGGGCCACTCTCGTTAAACTATCATCGGATTCAGCTGAATCAAAGTTTGTGTAGCTGAAACTGAAACTTGAGATACGATTGCTTTAGGCAAGTGGCTGGTCGAATTATCCTTACACAACGCGAGGGAACGCCAGCTACGAGAAATTGTGATCATAGTGGAGCCGTAGGTAAGTTAAAAGTGATGCAAGAAAACCTCGTTTGAAAGTGTTTAGTTGACTCGGATGGACGCGTGGTGGCATCGCAAGCCGCCAGTGATACCCATTCATATATTCTTTTGGAGAGGTAAGCAAAAAGAAACATTGATTGATAAATCAAAAATATAGATATGGTGAGACAAACGTTAAAACGAGTCCGCTAAAGTTCGAGAATGGAGTGCTTTGTGCAACGTTTCCTGAAATGGTGGGATTTGATTGCACAAGAATTTCAAGAGTCTCTAGGAAAAGGCTTCGAATTCTATTGATTGATGAAATTTGAATGTAATGTAATGAAGAAATTGATTAAATAGGGAGTTGCATTGAATTCAATGATTGATCGTCGCCAACTAGCCACTCGGTATGCAATCCAAGTCGAAGTCGGTCTCAACATCGATAACAAGCTTATCGTCGAGCATGTAAGTGGTGAAATTTTGAAAAGAAACAGCTTATTAAATAGTTAATTGTTATTAAACAGTTATTAAACAGTTATTAAATAGCTATTAAATAGCTATTAAGTAGTTATTAAGTAGTTATTAAATAGTTATTAAATAGCTATTAAACAGTTATTAAACAATTATTAATTAGTTATTAAACAGTTATTTAATACTTATAGCTATTAAAACTTACTGAAATCTTGAATTTTTAAAACATTTTCAAAAAGAAACTGATAAGCTTTCAGAAAGAAGCAAAAATTTAGCAGAAATTCTTGAAATCCTTTGAATTTTTAAGAATAAAAGCTTTACAATAAGAAAATTCAATTTAAAAATAGCAATTATTGATTAGAATAAAGCCTCAAATTGTAATGTCATCGTGAATACAAAGAGATGATGACTATTTAAATCAGAAGAGAGAAACAAATCTAGCCTGCTATAAAAGGAGTAAGTGTAAAGTATTTAAGGAGTATTTAAGGAGTATTTAAACAGTATTTAAACAGTATTTAAACAGTATTTAAGCAGTATTTAAGCTCTAAATTTTCCCTACAAAAACCGAAATCTATAAAGCTAGAAAGGTTAATATTTATCGTAAACTTTCTTCTTTTACGTGTCTCACACCCAAAACTTTCGCCTAAACGTGATTCAATTCGGAAACTGAAGAACAATTCCAAAAATTCCCGTCTATCTCTCTCAATTATTTGAATTATTTTCGTAAGAAAGCGTTGCATAACGCGGAATTTTTCTAACTGTCTCTGTTTCTAACTTTTTTTTGTCAGTCTCTTTTATCTTTTACTATAAATCGAAATAGACCCTGCATTCACATCCATTTCTGATTGCAATCACGAACGATCAAACCGAGCCCCTTCTATTATCGATATTCTGGCATCGTTTACTCAACGTCGATATACCAGTAAGTCTTTTTTTAGTTTAAGAATACTTCTTACAAATTACAAATTACAAATCGAAAACTTTTGACATGAATTGATCAAACTCATTCAGGACCCGATGGAGGCAATCGCTCCACTTCCTGCTCTTCCTTGGAAGGTGGATTTTTGGAATCAAACTCTACTTCAAATCAAATCTAAAACTTTGATCTCACTTACAGTAGCGGACATAATTTTGGAAACTTTCGTTTTTTCTAAAGATCCTTTAGAATCAATAATAGTCTGGCACCGAGCGCTCATCGAAGCGACCAAGTTGTCGAATGCATTAAAAATAATAGTTTTCAAAAAGTTCAGCAGTTCTATCTATCGATTATTACGTGCTTTTTAGGTCTACACATTTTCGCTAGTAAACATACCGAATCAGATTTTACTAAGAAACTTTTTTAGAAAAAACAAAAGTTTTCAAAATTATGCCCGCTACTGTACGCAACAATAACTTCAGGTGCTTCGAGAAGCGCTAATGCATTTCCCAAAAATTTTGTGCAATGCATCTCGTTCACTTCATCACTCGGAGCTGCTCCATGTCCAGTGCATGCTACTTTTTCCCAGGTCAACTTTTGAGCAAAATTTGGTGCTATACTAGTTGGTCGGGGCCTAATTTTCGAAAATTACGGGAATACGGTTTTCTTTCAGCAACCACTTTTTTTTCGTTTTATTTATGTTCCTTAATACGTTTCATGATAGAATTAGCGAAAATTAGGCGCCACTCGACAATTTTTTTTTCTGGTGTTTGAGATATCTGGTTGATCCTGACCATTTTTGACCCCAAATGTTAAAGATTCTGGCTGTTAAAGGATATTAAAGGGCGCCACTCGATTCCGGCCTCTTTAAAAAAAAATACGTCTAGTCTAGACCTTAGATTTTGCGCTAAAGCGCTGGTCAGGCGGAGCACGCACGTCGCCTGGCCGGCGCTTTAGCGCACAATCTAAGATCTACTAGATCTACTAGGTTTTTTTGGTATAGGTAAATAAGCAAATATCCATCAAGATCGGCTTCAGCGTAATTTATAAGGTGAGACATTGCCAATGGTGAAATTAGGCCCCGCCCACTGGGTCCCTTCAACTGGTATAGCATCCAAAATTTAACATTGTTGCTTAGTAATATTCTTAGTAATTCTTAAAATCAAATAATTTTTTTTAGATTTATCAAATGCCACTCGGAAGAGCAGTTGAATTCGATGGAAAGACTTCTTTTTGGGAACGAGAGTGAGGAAAGAGAGGGAATCGGACATTTGGAGAGAATTCGCAATCGTTTATTGGAAGAAGAGATCGATCCCGAGTTGTTCATCGAAAAGGATGAAGTGTTTGTGGTAATGTGTTTTTCAAAGAATAAATTTCACTTCAAATTCTTTAGACTCGTTGCGTCTCGCTATTGGATATGCAAACCGAGTTGAAGCATACGCTATGGCAATGGATCTTTAAGGTATGTGCGGAATATTGTGCTCCTCGTGATTATCGACTATCGTGGTTATGTAAATTTGTTTTTTTCTTTAGATTTAGATTAGCAGACAGTAAATGATTTAGGCAAATCTTATTTAAAATCAAATAATCGCAGTTTAAATCGCAGCTGTTTTTTTTAGACCAGAAATCGTTTTGAGTTTTGAGTCTTCAAAAATTAATTATTTAATTACGAGGAATTAATACGAAATGAGCTTTTTGTTCAAATCGAAAATGCTTTAATTAACTTCTTGAAACAATCAAACGTAATATTTTTAGGCAACAGAGATGATCATGGATGTGGGTCATAAGTTGTGTCCTCCACCACTTCTCGAGAGAAAGGGTAGTAAGACAAAGCGACAGCTTGCCGCCTCTGATGACTATCTCACAATGGCCACACTTTTCAAGAGAGGGTTCGTTTTCTTTATTCACAATCAAAGCCATTCTATTACTTTTAGAATTCTCTCCTTTTCATCAGCCCATCGCACTTGCCAACTTTTGGGTGATTTGTGTGCAGATGCTACAACATCTACTAACACTCAAGTAATTTATATAATTAAATATTAAAGTTGACTTGAAATTAGAAAAAAGCGATGATTGTTCGATTTTGCGATGAAAACGCAGGCGCTCTCAGCCTCGCTTTTGCAAATGGAGAAGAGTTTGTACAATTTTTGAGATTTTTCTTATCAACACTTTTCAGGAAACCGATTTTTGGATCCGTAACGGCTGATCAAATCAAAGACTTTAAACAAGGATTGCCTGAGGTTTGTCTTTAGCTCAAATAAAGTATACTAGGCCTGGGAATTTTCCGGTTCAAGAAGGTCAATTAGGTATCCAACGGAAAAAAAGTGTCATCTTTTGGCCAATTTCACTCCAATATTTTTGATTTTCATATCAATTGACGCAGAATTTCATTTTCTATCGATCGAAATTAAAGACAAAAAAAATTGGAGTGAAATCGGCCGAGATATGACATGTTTAGGTTGGACACCTATTGACGTTCACCCGGAAAATTCCCAGGTCTAAAGTATACTCAAAAACACAGGTTCTCATCGATGAATCGTTTCCATCAAAGTTCGAGAATATCATTCTCCTTGACTTTCCCCCATCCGTCGAGTTTGGGATTTCAATTCGAAAGTTTGATCAGTGTTTAATAAAAAACTTCTTTTTTTGAATTAGGAAATCGACAATCTTTCATTACTATCGCACTCAGCGACAACCAGCAAAGGGGATCTTGGTGCGCGATGAGGAGACTGTTCGTGTCAATCCACTCACTGGCAAGTTTACAGTCCTTGAGACGTTGAAATTTGAAAGTTGTTGACGAAGAAATTTCTAAAGTTCAAGTTTATTTCCAATTGAATATCTTTTAGGTGAAGTTCTTCCCCGGCGCTCCACTCCATCACCCGAAGCCGAGTCCCGTGATGAAGACCTAGGCAAGCATGAAACTCCATAGAATTTTATATGCTCACGCCAAGGCATTCACAATGTGCTTTAATTTCAAATAGAATTCTTATTTTTCTGGCAACTAGTAAAATTAATGCCTTCATCCCGAGAAAATGCATGCTCAGTTACCTTTCACTTTTTCTAAAGAATTGCTAAGGTGTACATACCGTAAATACTGTAATAGTACCCCACTCCCCTCGTACAGTCGCGTAGTCGCAAAAGTTTTTTAGGATTTCATTTTTTTCAAAGCGCCCGTACTTTCAAAAAATGCGTTTTTGGTATCAAAAAATAGCCCTGAATTTCAGCTATTTTTTGATAGCTTTTCAGCGCATTGTAGCATAAACCAGTGTCGAGAAAAACTCGTTCAAAGCTAGACTACGCAACACTCCGCACCGTCATTATGGGGCTGGGGTACTATTACCGTATTTACGGTAAGTGCAATTTTTTTCTAGAAGTTTCACTTTTTTGATTTACTTGCTGATTTTTGCACGTGCTATCTTTAAGCGTTTAGATGGATTATAAAAATAAACCGAAAAAAAGATGAAAAAAGCACTCACAAACTGTTAAAAACTATTCTATAATCGCGTAAACCTTAGTCATTTTTTAGAAAAAATGAAAGTTAACTGAGCACAAATTTTACTAGTTGCATATTTTTCAACTTTCAAAAACAAATGTCTAGTGTGAGCAATAAGAAAACTTTCAAATGACTCAAGGAAAATCTTTCAGAGAATCATCCAATGTCAGTGCCACCAAATCTGTTCACATTGATGCAACAATTGACAGCTCCATCTCTTGGATCACCCTTGCTCCCACTCGCCTCACCCATAGGTATCTATTTCTAAGCTTGTTTATTAAACGGCAAGGTTACCGTAATATCGCCATTACGGCTGTATTGCAGTTACAGTGACTCCGGAAATGAATGATGGAAAAGATAAAAATTTAAGTTCCCTCCCCGATTCCACTTCTTTCCTCCACTGCAATCACTCGATCCGTTCTTCCACCACCAATCAATCTATTCAATCAATTGGCTCCAAATCAGCGGGCCCTCGAAATTTTTCTGAAGACCTTCTCCGGTCTTCAAAACGCGAACACCACACAGTGAGTGAGTTAGAAAGCTAAAAAAAAATCAATGACCTTTTTCGGCCCCATTCTTCACCAATGGAAAGCGTCTCAACTAGCGACTCTTCTAGATTACAGGTAATACAGAATAAACGAAGTAAACCAAAAAAGTGTTCAGGATTTTGACTTTGATGAAACTGATGTGACTCCCGCAAAGAGATCTCCAAAATAATCCCTTTATTCTATGTTCAAGAAATCGTTTGTTTGTTTTTTTTTGATTCTACTTCCTCGTCCACAAAAGTACAAAAAATACTTTGTGCTATTCATTTTCAGAGAAAATTATATTCGTTTTGTTTTTGAATTGAAATTTTTGAATTTATATTGAGATTGTGACTTGTCTTTCAAAATTTGCTCACACTCATTCATGTTGTCGGAAGAAATTTTATTTGTTTTTGATTTAGAGAGATAAATAGAGATTTATTATCAACTTTTAAAGCATATTTTGTTAGCAATTCCCCGGATTACGGTAACAAGCTGCACTCAATCCACAATCCGCATGTTTTGTACAAGGAATCCCGGTTCGATAAGGGGCTCCAGTGGTTATGAAAATCCGTATATTTACTTTAAAATTTACACCCTACACGTAAATCCTATAAACCCACCAAAATACAAAATAAAAGCCCTTGGATAGACAATAAATTCATAACTGGAAGAGCGCACACAAGCTTCTCAAGTTATACAGTTTGTGTGGACAGTTCTGGCATTACAATCAGACAGTTGATTGAAATTCAACGTCTTGTTTTATATCTGCACCGCGAATTGTTTCATTGACAATCAAAAATCTTTTATTTAAATAAAATTCGAAATAAATAATATGCACATTGGTCGGTTACAATAAAAAAGACTATTCGCAAACCCTACACATAAAGAAAAGCAAGTGAAACACAAATGACAACCAAAATCTAACACGACCACATTTAAATTACTTTATAACACAAATTTCTACGACTAGTAAAAGAACTACATTTTTCGAATAAAAGCTGGGAATTCTCAAATCTCGATACTTGTACCTAACTACTTAATAAATCGAGAGATGGTTGTATAACTTTTCTACGTATTATTTAATTAAAGCTATTGCCGCACAAAAAGATTTACAGTACAATTTAAAAATCGGCAAACAGTATTAATTGAAAATGGAAAAATATTTACAGCAGAGTTAAAAAAAGGAGAGTAAAACCAATAAAAACAAGGTAAAATTTAAACGGTAAACCTTTGTTCTCGCCCTTCCGGTAACATTAACGTCAGCGCTTTTGTATTAATCCAAACCAGTCGTGAACGGAAGGATTGACCTGAAAGAAAATGTTACTTTAATCGTCAGACATTCAAACTCCCACCTCCTGGTGACAAAACACTCGGCAAAGCGGGTGCTGCCAAAGTTTTTGTGCACCGCATTTGAGATTGGCCCATTCCCTAAAAAATGAGTTTTTTGAATTGTTTAAATATTCTTACGAGAAAGCTTTGAGACGTCTGCCAAAAGTTGATTTTTCCGTCTTGTGATCCATAAGTGGCAAGATACTTTCCGTCTTCAGAGAAGGCAACAGCAGCCACCGGGCCCTGATGAGCTTGTAAACTCTAAAAGGATATTAGCACGTTGAAGCTATGCCTAAGAGTGCTACCTGTGCCTTGGCGGATCGCAACTCATGAACAATACAAATACCATTTCGTCCACCAAATGCAATTCTTCGAGTAGTCGCACAGTAGCCAATCATATAAAATCTAAAACGTTCATAGATTAATTAATCATTAGAAAAACATTACCTAGTAATTGGTGGAAATACTTCAGCCAATGTTTTGTGCTTAAGCAATGATGTATCCAAGCAGTGCACCAAAACGTCGCCAACCTTAAAATTATTGATTTCAAGCATGAAATCCGAAAAATTTACCGGCAACATCATTTCGACCATCGATACGTACTGTTTATCGGATAGCTCCTCGATAATTCGGAGAACCTGTACCATACCGATCGGATTAAGCTTTTGATAGGGTAACTCACCTCTGTTCTTGACTTTAGAAGAGGTGATACAACGGTGTGTTGAATTGTTTGATGTTGCGCCGCGGCGTTATAACGTGCAACCTTATAAACCATACAATTCAATAGTTTAAAGATAGCTAAACCTCCATTGAAAGCGCAGTAAGCATGGCTGGTGGTCGAGCATTGGCAATCAACGATAAGGCATGTCGGGCAGTTCGGCAAGCATCCGCAAGTGGTGACAGTTGGCCAGAGTTGCTAAACCTTTAGGAAAAACTTTAAGAAGGTAGTTAAGTTTTTTACGTGCTATGCTTTTCCGCATTGGCAGCAAGATCCAGAAGTCCAAGTAGTACTTTGCTAATTTCAAGATGAGGTTCCCATTGAACAAAGCTAAAATGCAATAGCTAAAATTACAAATAGACATTTCTCAATTACCCTCGTCCGAGCAAATCAATCGCAGCACGTCTTAAAGGTGAATGTACAGGAAGCAACGTCGATGGTGGAGAAACAAGTAGCTCGAGTAGTGAAATAGCGGTTGCTCGCGTCAATTCGGCTCTAAATTTATTTATTATGCTGATCACAAATCCAATCAACGTTTCATTCGGAAGAAAAAAAGAAAACTAAAGCCCAAAGCAAAGCTAATTAGCTCACCGAGTAAAATAACACATTCTTCTAAACAATTTTAGAATAAAGTGCATGAAACGAGCTTACTTGTTTAATTCTTCGCCAAACTCGGAGCCGACAACACCCAGTAAAATAATAGATGTCGCTTGATTTCGTCGTACCTAAATTCAAACGAAGTTCATAGCATTTGCATTTGCTTTTTACCTGCTGAACCCCATTGTCGCTCTCCTCAACATGTGATGGCTCTAAAACCAGAACAGTTTTCATTTTCAAAAACTATATTTATACCTGGTATAGGCACTTGCGGTAGTGGCTGCCTGTTGGATCGTGGAGGAATTGGCGGTGGAGCCGCTTGGGTCTAAATGTTTACTTTTTCAAAGATAAAGCGCACTTTACCGTGGCAATAAGCATTGGTGTCGAAGGCGCCATTGGATTAATCGATTGACGAGTTCCAAATATTGACAAAGAAGGATCTAAAGAGCGTAGAGAAAAAAAAGAGTTCAATTTACCAAGCAAAGTTGGCAAAAATGGAGCCCAGCTCTCGATTAATCTTTTTCGCCCACTAACTCCAAGCCGGTTCAGTTCACGAATCAAAAGAGCTTGCGCAGCTTCTCGAATTTCGAGACAGCCATCCTGCCACCTAAAACTCCAGATTTATGGATGTAGATTGCATGTAAGAATAAACCTTCTTGCTAATAGTTCTATACGAGGGGCTGCATATGAAGACTTTGGTCGAACATTGTCAGGCAACATAACGCAATGCATCGCAGCAAGCAACGACCATCCTAGAATTCCAATATTGTTTCGCTCTTGGCCTGAATCGAACCTTGCTTCATTTGCTGGCGCTCTCCGCTCATGCTATCTTTGCTTGGGGTTCGCTTTAATGGATGCACATTGCTTTTGCGTCTATTGAGCTGAAGCGATGAATTTCGCATCGACATCAGAGTATTTGCAGTTGAGATAACTAAATTTAACATTGCATTTTATAAATTTTTAGGTTGATTCTTTTCTTTAAAACGAGTAAGAGTGTTTATTACCAGAAAGCAAATGTATCGTTGTTAAAGAATGGCTCGCTTGCCAGCGAATATCCGTTGCGAAAGTTGAAAATGACGATCGAGTTCTTGCCGGGATAACGACAGCCATGTATCCTAAACATAAACATAGTCAATATTCAAAACACACAATTAAGTATACCTTGTCGAGAGAGATTTCCATAGAACAATTGATGTTTTGGCTTGTGAAGACCAAGTTTCTTTAGACAAACTGCATCAAGATCGGCGTCGAGTTCCCAGGCATGAAGGCAAGATAACAGAAGCCTTTAAAATGCACAAACTTATATGGAAAGCAAAACAATAATAACCTTGCAATATCCAAATACAAATTGCTCTCAAATTGCCAAGTCAGTCGACGAGAAAGCCCAGCTACTGCCGTATCTTGACTTTCCGACTGAAAACAAAAGGACTAAAATAGTTCTAACAGAAAGTTCTTACTTTACTCATCAATTGTGATATAGACTTTGGATCAGATGTCGTGTCCTCAACAGCATCAATCGATGTTAAACCATAAATTAATGAAGCAACCTTAATTTCCTAGTAGATCGTCTTGGAATACAAAAAATACCTCGAAAAGAATAATGTGAGCACCAGAATCCGATTTTGGTAGCGTCTGAACAGACATTGGTGCAAATATCGCATTCCCGCCACGATTTGAGGACATAAGTCCGGAAGATCCAGGACCAGATCCAGCTCCAACACGCTTAGCCTAAAAATAAATCGTCGCATAATGATTACGATAGCTTTAGAGCTTTTAGCAACTTAACACAACTTACCGCGTCGATATTCCGATGTTTCAGTGCTCGTATCAATTGCACGGCTTGAGTAGCTCCCGCTTCATCGGATCCCTCAGCCACACCTAACAAATACAGCTTTACATGAATAATGCAAAAGCAATACCGATTTGTTCATCACATGCCATAAAAATATCGTCACCCTGTGGCCCGGAAACAATTCGCTCAATGCTTGCTAAAGACACTTGACGTCGGATTTAAAAGAACTCCCTTTGAACCTGTTTCAATTTGCCAAATGTAAATATGTCCATTTTCAAGTCGAATCAGCATATAGTCATCCAAAGGACGCCACTTTACCTAGAAATAAAAGTCTTGCTTGTCCGAAGCGATAAATTAATAAGCTTTTGATTCTCCGCTTACATCAATGACTTTGCAAGGATGTCGACTGGCGAGGAGTGTGCACTTCATATCGCGAATGTTCAATAAAGCCACCGCGTTGTCGCTCGATATGGCACCAATACATTTTAAGGTTTGTTTCTTAAACGGTAATATTAAGCTGTAAAAGGTTTTGAGAACTTACAGAACAATTTGCCGGTGGAACCACAAAGCGCATCACCGGGCCTCCATGCACGGAGAACTTGTATAATCGAACCTAAACTATCCACATAGAACAAGCATTTGTATGGTGCATACCGCCGTATTGATATTCCAAACAATCACAGAAAAATCGTCACCTCCAGATAACAATACCTAAACAATAGAGGATGATTCAGAAAATGGACATTTTATTTTATTACTTGTACATCAAAGCGAGAGCTATGTTCAAATGGATATATCAACGCCCTCACTGCGCCGGCATGCCCTGAATTCACCGTGCAAAAGAAATAAATTTAAAGATGTACCATGCAATATTCGAGGATTTTGTCGTTCTTGGTTTATGTCCAGTAATTGACGAGATAAAGTATCACACGCATATGTCATCACTAAAGAGCAACATAAAAAACAGTAATTTCGATATGCTTACCAATATCACCATTAGTTCGCCCAAGTAATAATTTTCCTTGACTTGCAACATAAAGCGAAGTTGTAACTTCAAATTGATCCTAAAAATCGTAATCGTTTTTAAAAAGTTGAATAATAACCAGCTCAGAAAGGGGTGAGTTTGGTGTTTCATTCAAAGCTTGCCAAATTGCATCCAAACTTTCGCAAAACGTTCCTTTATACTCTGAAATTAAATGCATATGATAACTGTTTCTAAATTAAAAGCTTACTTAATGGCAACTGATCCAAACTCGAAACTCTTTCAATGAACGTCGAACCATAACGCGGCACTAACCAAGATAACAAATCACCATCAAATGATGCACGAATAACCTAAATATTCTTTTTGCACAACTTGGTTGGTCATTTTTAGGAAACTTACAAAACTAAAGCACTTTGTTTTACATAAGCAATAAAAATCCACCTGCCATGCTGTTATATCATCTTTTTGCAGAGAAAAACTGAAGACAAACGGATCGGCCAACTAAATTTGATAAATAACTACACACATAAATTTGAAAACCTTTGTTGCATTGACGGATGCTTTTTTGCCTTCAAGTATCGCAATCTCGAATGGTTGATCCATATTGAAATAGTTTTGTCGATTCGGACCAAATTGCGAAATTATTTGGGCGCCATTTAGAGATCTAATGATTAAATTATGAAAGTCAGGGTTAGCAGTTGAGCTTACTTTAGGGGCATTTGGAAAATTCGAACGCTACCATCCAAATAAGCAATTGCAATCTTGTCTACAAGTTATGCCACATAAAACAAAGAAAATTTTTGACTTACCAACTTCCATCACTTGACCCCAAGTTGCGGGTGAAGTGGTCTTATAGCAGCCGAGGACCGAAAAATCATCGAGATCAATTATTCTCCACGAATCCATAGAAACAATCAATGCGATTTTCTCGTTCACTTGTGAAAAGGAAATTGTATTGACCGCACTTAAGTCCAATCTTCGAAGTTCATCATCAAAAAGAGGATTTGTCGCATCCTACATAGTTTATTTAAAATCTCACATACAAACCATTACCTTTTTGTCAAGTTCCATTAAAGACCATACTTTTAAGATTCCATTTGCTGATACTCCCAACAGCTAAAAAAGATATAACCCTATAGTTTAAAAAACCAAAACCTGCTCAGCTCGATTTGATCGCTTCATTAACGAAAAGGCCATGATTTTATCTGCATCGACACGAGAGCTAATCGAAAATACTGGCGTCAAATCCTAAACTTTACTGAATCACAAAATAAGCAATTGCTCAAACCTGTGGATCAAGAACGAGAAAATCATTATAGTCTCCCGAGCAAACTAGCCTTGTCATTTGTGCACGAGATGACGATTTAAAGGACTAAACATACATTCTTTTTCAATAAAAATCTAGCTCAAATATCATACCAATGGCTGCATCTGTCGGTGAACATGAGAGCCCACGACATTGTCAATGCATCGCCCATCTAGCCAATCCCACAGACATAGTTGCCCATCTTCACTCGCCGAAATGAATCTCCTAATTTAAAAATTTAAAAAAGGGGAAAAATTGACTAACGCTGAATTCGAAGATAAGCTGGCTGAAGACAAAGCGGTGATAGCGGAACCATGGCCGACAAGAAGAAGGTGAGGACATAACGCATCGACTTGGAGTTTCCAGACCTAAACACTCGTTAAACATCATCCAATAAACTAGCACTTACAATAACGTGTCCATTTTCTCCTCCTGTCACGACCGTTGCTCTATCGGAGAGCAGACGTACTGTCTAAATTTACTAGCTAAAAGCAACACAATTTATAACTCTTACCGTTATTTTGTGTTTTGGCGGCGTCTTTCCCCAAATCACAATCGGTATCACCAAGCCGGAGGGTGGCGGTGAGTGCGTCTCGCCAGGGGTCGCGGCCCACATTCTAAAAAGTTTAAATAATAATTAAGTACAAGACTTTTTAAAAAACACAATTGCACAGTTGTTTTTCAAAGATCAGAAGTCTTTGTGCCAGAAAACATTTCACAAAAATTCGATGAAGTACAACTCGATACCAACAACGTTTGGTGTTAAGCAAGAAAGGGGTTTAGTCTAACCCTCGAAAGATCGATCTTATAGATTATAAAGTAATAAAGTATCCAGTATCCATAATAAAACTTGGTGCACAACATTAAATAAATTTGGATAAAATTTATTATCATGTCTAGTCGATAAAAAACTAAAACCTCAATACTCAACAGACTTTTAAGAATTTCCTTCGTACCTCCCAAGAAATCGTAATATGAACATTCGTTCCAAGAAGATGAAATAATAAAATCCAGCCGATTATAAACATTTCAACCTTCGATAGTGTCGACACATTTGATGATTCTCTTGTTTTATACCAGCTTCTCTTGCATAATCGTTTTAGAAAAGCGGCCAAATCTGGAAAAACAAATTTTACTTTATAGCTGACAAAAATGAGGATAATCCAAAGATTTGTCAAATCTAGCAAAATAAAAAAGCTATTTGCTCCAAAAGAGGGACGAGAACGGCCGCGATAATCATGGATCCGGAGCACTCATCCGATTATCGAGCATGGTAGTCATGGAGTGCATTTTTCTCAACAAAAAAATGGAGTACATGTGCTTTTTTTTACCCAAACAAAACATGAGACAGGTGTAGATTTGGTTATCGGTCAAAGTTAAAATTAGTGTAGAATTGAAAATGGATTACGGTGAAAAATACGTAAAAAGAACTACAATTCAGCTTATCTGCCGTGACTTTTATTTAACTCTGATTTTACGGTTCAATTTGGACATGAAAGTCACTTTGACTCTCTCGTCGCTCATGTCTACTGTACTGTTTCACATCTCTTTATCTCGCGGATAGAATAGACAATGGGTAAAGCGGATTTTCAGAATTTCCAGACAAAAGCCACCGCCCTAATGTTGATTTTGTAAGCGGTGAATCGCCTGAACGCTTTATCCCACCACGTAACATTTCGGAGCACACAATAGTGGTTCGCTCAGATAAAAGATCTACATGGTTGCTGAAAAGAGGCACTGTATCGAATTGAGCATATCTGATAGGGGAGCGTTCTAGGGAGTGGCCCGCGCTTGACTATTGCACGGTGGACTGGCAAAGAGAATTGAGAGAAAAGGTGTTTGTTCAGGCCTTCGGGGGCGCACCCCAGTCTACGACATCCGCATTGCCACAAATGCCCTTTTTCCGCGCGAATCCCCTCGCAAAAAAATAACCAAAAGAACACAAAGCCCACCGTGAATATAAAAGACGCTCATCGGTGACCCGTTACAGTCATTTTCGTTTCCACTTTGACTCATTTTGAAAAATTCTCTGTATTTTAGCATCTACGATGTTCTCCGTTGCACTTCTTTTTGTTTCTGTCACTTTTGCTGAGCCAATCTTTTCTGTGAGCGGCGTTAAACCCTATGAAGTGAAGGAGACATGGGTGCAAAATTTCATCAAGTTCCAAAAGATTACTGAAAAAAGCGGAAAGAAGAAGATCATTCCGATCGGTAAGTAAATAGAGATCTAACACGATACCGTAAATACTGTAATAGTATTCCACCCCCGTAATGACGGTGCGGAGTGTTGCGTAGTCTAGCTTTGAACGAGTTTTTCTCGACACTGGTTTATGCTACAATGCGCGCTTAGGTATCAAAAAATAGCCCTGAATTTCAGTTATTTTTTGATACCAAAAACGCATTTTTTGAAAGTACGGGCGCTTTGAAAAAAATGAAATACTAAAAAACTTTTGCGACTAGCGACTACGCGACTGTACGTGGGGGCTGGGGTACTATTACAGTATTTACGGTATATCCCTGAAAGTCTTTTCAAAATCTAGTTAATTTCTAAAGTGTTCTAGGATGTGTTCCGACCAACTCGGAAACCGGGACTGTATTAGCGATTAACGAAACACTGCAAAACACGGATTTTCTTTATCTCTGTAAGCAGGATGAGGACGGTGTTGTCAACTGGGAAGCAATGGGTTTTATAAATAAGAAAACAATTTGAAAAGAAACTCGCAGGTTGCTTTTCTCGTGATGGTCGCTTGCTGAAGATTGGACAAGCACGAGTACTCGACAATGGAACAACTATTGAAAAGTGTGATATCGGTTCGAGTGGAGCTGTTGCAAAATCCGTTGAAACAGGCTAGATAAAAAGATTTAGAGAAAAATAAATAAATAACTTTAAGCTGCCGGTTGCTTTGGAAAGAGTGCCGTTTATTTCGATGGAGCAGATTGGATTCAAGAGATCGAGAATCGCAAAAAGGACGACATGGTGAGGGTTAATAAAAATCATCAAAAATCATTTGAATTCAGCTCGAGGGTGTCTGGATGAAATGTTTCCGGCCACACAATGGTTACTACGAGAGCCACGTTATTGGTAAGTGTTACTCGTTTTGAAAAGCTTGAATTTTTGCAGGCTGTGCTTCGGACACTCTTTTGGTGGCCACTGGAGATACGGCAGAAATAAGCGGAGGTCGATTTGTGCGTTGCGTTGAGCGCAGCAAAGATGTCGTCGAATTCGTGACCGTTGATAAATCGGGTAAGTCTCACAAAAATTCAATTGACAGATTGAAAGATGTCTGATCTCACTATCAGACCTTGTCTTGCTACAAAATATCCAGTTCTTGAGACTGAATAATTTCGCTCGAAAATACTGTAGTGAGGCAAAGGATTGGTACTATAGATAAAAGAACAGTGTCTGTCTTTTTGTCTGTCTTTCTGTCTGTCTTTCTGTCTGTCTTTCTGTCTGTCTTTCTGTCTGTCTTTCTGTCTGTCTGTCTCTCTCTGTCTTTCTTGACGGATCAATCCTTTTTCAATCCAAAAAACACTTTTTGGCTGATTTATAATATATTTAACAATGTATAGAATGTTTTTGACAATATATTAATGCAAAGAAAAGTACATAAATGTTTAGAGCTGAGCTGTCAACACGAAAATGCTACAATTGAACATGGTAGCAGCTGGAACGACACTTCCAGAGCCGCCATCCTACTTTGTCAAAATACTCAAGTGATCAAAACAGGTAAAGAGAGGAAACCCAAGAGAAATTACATTCATTTTTCATTCAACTTTCATTTACAGCTTGTCTCTTAAATGGAGAGGTGCTCGATTTGGGGCAAGAGGTGACGATCACTCTAGGAGAACCGGATAACTGTGTTTTCCTCTGTCATGAACAATCCAATGCCTACGTTTGCCCGAAAAAGATTGCCGAATATAAAATTGTCGAAGATACAGAAGAGCTAGCCACTACGGTATCATTGTCAAGCTCTTTTTGAATTCCAAACTCTTTCAGCTTTCACCGACTCAAAGCACAATCGACCGTGCTCGTCCTCCGAAAGCCACCACTCAAATTCCCCTTTCTCGGCTACTCTCTCTACGTAAATACAAGAAAATTGTGAAAAAGGAAAAGAAAAACTTTTGAATCAATCTGTGCTTTTTCGATTTCTATAAATAGTTGCTATAAGTGATTGATGTTTTTTTTCTAAAAAAAAAACGTACCAACAAAGATGAGAACAATAAAAGCTGGTTGAATGAATCGCTTTTGTGTCCTTGTATGATTCGTTTTATGGATGGTATGCAAATGAGGGGATCGGTTTTCGAAAAAGAGAGAAAATGGGAAAAGCACTCTGATGGGTTTCACCACACAAAACAAGTTCTCGTAAAGATCTTTCCGAAAATGTATCAACAAAAAAAAACAGCCACAAAGCGCTTGAAATGTTTATAGAGTATTCTCTTATGTAAAACACCAGAAAATTACTGTTTTTGGATTTTCAGGAGCGAGGGGGGAAAAGCTAACAAGCTAAGCTAGCAAACTAAGCTAACAAGCTAAGCTAGCAAACTAAGCTAGTAAACTAAGCTAGCAAACTAAGCTAGCAAACTAAGCTAGCAAACTAAGCTAGCAAACTAAGCCAACAATACTTGTGTACAATATCGATTTTGTATTATATCTTATCTTGAAAAGGTTAAAAGTTGACTAGATCTAACTTTTGTCGTTTTGAGAATTTGTATTTCTTTTCCGAAACAAGGCCATGACCGATGGTTGAAATGGGAGATGTTGGTTTGCCTCATTTCCCTCAATGAAATGCCATCATGTGCTCTTCTTCGAATACCAGTTGGGAGTGAGAGAGATGGACAAGGACGAACATTTCAAATTGGAGAGAAGGGGGGATGGACGGATATAAAGAGCCACCCAGGACAGTCACGCCCAGTGCTGCTCTCAACCTATCTGGTCCGATTTCCTAGTTGCTTCCTGATTTTCTTGCGAGTCGAGAATGGATCTCGAGACGCGAGTCAAGGTGAGAACATTCTCAATTATCTCCGATTTCTCTTTCCCGATAGAAATTCAAACTTTCACTCACTTTAGGCCTATCGCTTCGTTGCCTACTCAGCCGTTGCCTTTTCGGCTGTGGCCGTCCTTTCGGTGTGCGTCACTTTGCCACTTGTCTATAATTATGTTCATCATGTAAAGCGATCCATGCAAGAAGAGATTGCTTTCTGTCAAGGCTCGGCCGAGCAAATTTGGGGAGAAGTTCGTTTTTAACATTTCACAGTAGTTCGAAGATACAGGTCCGTCAACTCAAAGACATCCCGAGCGCAAAGAACCGCACTGCTCGTCAAGCTGGTTATGACTTTGCCGTCACTGGAGGCTCACAGGCTCAAGGCTCTTGGTAAAATGAATCTAAAGATCTGGCAAAGACTTTTTTTAGTGACTCTTGTTGTTTGCCTGGATCAGCTGGTCCCGCCGGAACCCCTGGAAAACCAGGACGCCCAGGAAAAGTTTGTTAAATCTCATTTTCAACTCATTTCATTGTTTAGCCTGGTGCTCCTGGTCTTCCTGGAAACCCAGGTCGTCCGCCGCAGCAGCCTTGTAATCCTGTCACTCCACCACCTTGCAAACCTTGTCCACAAGGACCTCCCGGACCGCCTGGACCACCCGGACTTCCTGGAGATGCTGGAGCTCCAGGTCTTCCCGGTTCACCCGGACAAAATGCTCTCCCAGGACTTCCTGGACCAAAGGGACAACCAGGTATTTCGCTTCGCATAGCTGGTACATTGATAACTTATGAAAAGCCATTTTCAGGACCACCAGGAAACCCCGGTGCACCAGGACAGCCAGGACAGCCAGGAACTCATGCTCAAAGCGAGCCTCTTCTCCCAGGAGAGCCTGGACCAGCTGGAGATCCAGGACCAGTCGGGCCTCCTGGCGCGCCCGGTCAACCTGGAGCCCCCGGACAAGCTGGCCAACCTGGTCCCAAAGGGCCTCGAGGTATGCGGATATGTCTTTAAAAGAAGTTTTCGAAATTCAGGACCTGATGGCCTGCCCGGTGCTGATGGAAACCCTGGAGCTTCAGGACAACCCGGAACCCCCGGTCAAGTGGGCGAGCGCGGCATCTGTCCTAAATATTGTGCGATCGATGGAGGAGTTTTCTTCGAGGATGGAACCCGACGTTAAACTGTGTTCTTTTGGAGTAAATCTTTTTCAAGAGAAACATTGATTGCCAAAAACGTTTATTAATATTAATATGTGCATTTATATTTGTTGAAAAAAGGGGAGAGTTAACAAGTTTCTAATGGTGACCATGGTGGCCATGATGTCCATGATGATGCTCATGATGGTGCCCATGTGGATGAATCATGTGATGCACAACTTCAGCGACTGGGTTGTGGTGTCCGTGGTGGTGATGATCTGAAGATTACTTTTCAAATAACACACAATGTTGCAAAAGAAGTTTAACGAGAGTAGGACTTGAACTTGTGGGCAAAAAAGGTAATGGGTTCAGTAATCTAGCAGACCACCGACATAACTGTTAGGGAAGCGTGTGGCCGCGATCTATGCAAGAGAGGATCGCTTTCTGTTAAGGGGTTAACAAATTTGATTCAAAACATACCATGATGGCCATGGTGATGAGTATCGTGGACAATCACTGGTTGAACCACTGGAACGACTTGAACTGGCACTGAAATTTTTATCCATAATGAAATGTAAATATTAAAGATCTTAGTGAAACTTCTTCAATTCTAAATGCAATATCTTTAAAGCTCACCAGCTCCATGTCCGATTCCAGTTCCATAAGGGACAGCTCCGTGTCCGATTCCGTTGTTGCAGCTGCCGTTGTTGTAAGGATTGTAGTAAGACATGATCCTGAAAATTTCCTAAATAAAGAAAAATCAAAGAAAGTCAAAGGTTTTTTTTTGAAATGAATGAATCATTTTCGAATGTGGAAAGTTCAAGCATTGGTGAGCCTTTTGTAGAGAATTTTGAGGCGATTGGGCGTTTCGTTCACCGATAAGGGAAGATCGGCTTCAAAGAGTAAGGCCCGATTTTTTCCCATTGTTGGCTCAGGCCTGATGACGTCATCTCCATGTGAGGTGGTCTCTTTACGCTTTTCGTCAGTGATTCATCTCATGGAAATTGTTTTAACAGCAGTTCAGATGAATCAGCAGACATCGACAACAGTCTATTTCAATGAAATTCAAGGGAATGACTGCGAAAGGCGTTTCAATGTTTTGCAATCAACCAAAGAAACAATGAGTAACAAATCTAAGCTAGTACTGTGTCATTTAAAATCAAAAATTCAAATTGAATGGCATTACGGGGGCCTGTGTGGGCTGTAGACAAGCGCTCTCCCGAAGTGACAACACCTGCGAGCAAGAAAAACTCGCTCTTAACGGGGTTTTTCGGCTGGTAGTCAATAAAAGTTTGAGAGTTTCACAATTTCTCTATACACGACCTTTAAAGTCTTGAGGAATCAATACTTTTTTGAAAGAAAATTTCTTTGTGCACTATTTTCAAACATTCACAGTTGAACTGCTTTTCCTTACATGTAATTTACTTCAGCTTCTGTATTAGATTGTCCCATAAAAACTCAGAGATTTTTTGTTTTGCTCAATACTCGCTCACAACACGACGTTTTGTATTTAGCTTTTTTCCTTTTTCATGCTAAAACTTTCTTCTTTCTTGCACTAACATTCATTTTTTAGGGATCGACTCGAGAAGAGAGTTGAAGTCGATCGAATGAAGCCAACTCGAGAAGAAATCCACGCCCTACTGCTCCAACGATTTTCAAGAGGGATTTCAGCGGCTAAAGCAGCACGAGAAATCAATCCTTTTTATGGCAATAAAATTGTTGGATCGAGTACTGCACAGGAATGTTTCCACAAATACAAGACGGGCAACAAGAGGATCAAACGGAAGAGTGGAAGTGGCTGACTCCGGAAAGTGGATCGATCAATTCTGAGGCACCGATTCCTGCGAAACTTCGATGGATCAACCGGGAAATTGGCTGGAAGTTGTTGTGGACGGATGACTGTATGGGGATGGCTGCGAAAAGTGGGAAGAAATTGGAGAAGATAACGGCAAATCTCATACGAAATATCGGAAACAATCCAAGCCAAAAGAAAGCAGACTCGAAGACGGATTGAACGACTATTTTCGCTTGAGTCTTAACGATGGATTTGCAAGCTACCCAAAAGTTGGAGAAAAGTTATAAATTCATCTGGAAATTTTGATTTGATTCTGATTCTTCGTTGTTTCGATGTATTGAAAATAAAAGAGATTCCATATCTCTAGGTTTTTATGGAAAAATCTAATAACTGTTTTCAAAGCATTCACATGAGAACAGGGACCATTTTCTTTCGAACAATGCACTATTCGAAAATCGATAAAATTCCCGATTTCAAAACGCAGCCAAGAACGGCATCAGATTGCTGAGTTCAACACATCAAAATTGCTGAGTTTCCTCTCTTTTTTTCTTATCTCGATTTGGGTGACATTCATTGTTTTTTGGTGACAATCAGCTCCGAAAGCTTTTCCAAACGACCGCCCTTTGCCGGGTTATAAAAATTTTTCTGGGCCTATCAAGGCCTGAGTTCAAAGGCTCACTCACACGACACTTTTCTATCTTAAGCCTTTTCGATACACGATTCATGGGGGTTGAACTGTTTGCTTTTCTCAAACTTTTCTCCTTTTCTAGATTTAAATTTTTTCGGGGCAAGACGTATTGATTGATCGTATTGATCTTAACCGGGTAGATAGTTCCTAACCGACCGGATTGACAAGTATCATAGAAGAATTACGATAGTTACGATAGAATTACGATACGAATCTTCAAGTTTTCTATTTTTTCTATTTTGTGAATGTTCTATTTTGTAAACAAACCTGTTCAGATATGCATTTCTGTCACGGCGGGTGCCGAGAAGGCTGTCCACATTGGCATCATCATCACCACGGTATTTGTATATTTGTACTTTTGTCTAATCTCGAAATTCAGGCCACCATCACCACCATCACCCAAATGTCTATGTGACGCCTGGATACATGACACCAGCTTGTAAGTGATTAGAATAAAACTAAAGTAGCATGTGTTATAGCAAAAATTTCAAAAAAACAATAGATATGCTTCAGATCCGATGGTTCAACCCGTCGTACAGCCCGTGATTCAGCCTGTAGTTCAACCGGTCGTCGTTCACGACCATCACGGTTTTTTTTTCAAAAATTCCCTTTCAATTAGGCGAATAAGATAGAATCCTAATTAGAATTTCTGTTTTTGATAATATTTTTGCAAATTCTAGGGCATCATCATCATCATCACCACAACCCGATCGCGGAAATCGTTCATGGTAAATTATTTCTCAAAAATAACAATAAACATAACAATAAACAATAAGAAATAACAACTAACAATAAAAAAATGAATGTTTCTTTTGCCCTAGAACAATATTTAAAAGAAAAGAAAACTTTAAATAATTGTAGGCTTAAAATCTGGGGAACTTACCATCTATATGTTGCTAGAATCACGTCAAAATCTTTAAATTTCAGCTGTCACTCATCCCCATCACCATCACCATCATGGTAAAGACAATCGCTTTCTTTTCGTAAATAAATTAAAGATAATTGAAAATGTTTTAGGTCACCATCACCATCATCATTGTTGATTGAGGATTCGAGTCTCAAACTTGTTTACTGATTTACTGTTTACTCAACCTCTCCCGCTGGCCATACCATGTACCTACTTAATCACGTTATGTAAAATTTGAATAAAGTCTTTATTGACAAAATGCGCAATATATGACAAATAACTAGAAAATCGGAGTATTGTATTGAATTTAAAAAGAACTACGACTCGACATGATCGGAAGTGACCACAAGGCAATGCAGAATTTTCGCTCCTCGAAACTGGGACCTAAAATTTTTTCGAAACATTATAAAACATACAAATTCTGATTTAAATCTTATATTCAATTGGTGCCAGTCTTGTGAATTTTACTTTAGTTCTTTTTAATTTCCTCAAGCATTACCATGTCCTTTTATTTGTTCAATATCTGCTTCAAGTGAAACACAGTCGAAGCGACGAGATCTTTAGGCAAACCACCCTTTTTCTTAATAATAGTACTTTAGGCACACCAGCCTTTTTTCGAGATCTTTAGGCAAACCACCCTTTTTTAAAATAATAGTTCTTTTTAATTTCCTCAAGCATTACCATGTCCTTTCATTTGTTCAATATCTGCTTCAAGTGCGTCGACGAGATCTTTAGGCAAACCACCCTTTTTCTTTGGTTCATTTTTGCAATCATTTGCTAATTTCTTCAAAACGTTTAAATAAACTTCTCGGAATTCAGTCTAAATAATATTAGAAAGTTGTGAAATTTTTCAACAAAAAAAACTTCATTTTCTGATCCATAACGAGAAATATCGAAATTCAACAAGAAACGAGCGATTTTCCAAATTTGGCGAATTTCCTGGAATTTTGGAAATTAAATGCTAGATAAATTGAAAAACCTCGTTTTTTGTAAGTCTTTCAATGCGGTGATGAATGATTATATAACGAGTGACTTGCTTTGCGATTTGTGGATCGGTTTCTGGAATCTGGAAAGGGTTTAGTGTTCATTTGATCGATTCAAATAACTTCTGAAAGTCATTGAAAGTCTGAAAGCCATTAAAAAGTATCAAATAGTTCATTTGATCGATTTAAATAACTTCTGAAAATCATTTACATTTTGCTCGATGAGTTCTCGAAGGATGATTCGAAAGAGGCAATCAGCAATACCCAGCCAATTAACATCAACGATCGAAAAGCGCTAAACGTTGATCGATTTGAGTTGCTTTAGTTCTTTAAAGATATGATATCAGAAATCGAATTATATTTGATAATCAAATACAAAATAAACTCTAAAGCTGACTTCAATGCAGAAGAAAGTACACCAAGCGGCTCGCGAATAGTACTCATTGAGACAAAGCTTTTTGATAAGTGGAAGCAGTTGCTTTCTCTCTAGATTCATCACCATCCTAAAACTTTTCTCTTAAAGCTACTAAATTCAATGTTTCACATTTGCATGATTTGATAGGAATAAGAATTTCTTTGCTTTTTCCATGCTGCATCCGATATTCGAATGAAATCTTCATAAGTCCTCGAATCGATCTCGACTTGCTGCTAAAAACGAAAGTTTTCTCATAGTTTACTAAAAAGTTCTTGTATTAATATTCGAGTTTGAATTAAGATCTTCTATTGCATCTTGTCGTACAAACTTCCAACCACAATTTACCCGTTATTTGTACTTTTAACCCAACGGATTACTTGCATGAATTCAATAGCGGAGCTAAAATCCGATAGGATTCGAGAAAAATGGATAAAGGTTTACCCGAAACAGAACGAAACCACAGAAGCAAAAATTTAACTAATTTAACTGATTTAACGGGAGTGGAACAAATGCGACCTTTTTTTTGCGCACCTTGCCCATTAGCGCACCTTTTTTCGCGTTTTAAAAAAGCTCTAAAAAGCTAATATTAACCAATTTCTATTCCAAAAGTTATTTTTCGAGGTAATTTGAGGGTATCGAATTCAAATTGTGACATAGCAGAGCGTGTGGAACCGATTTGAAAGACAAAACGGCTAGATCAAATTACAGAAAATTGTCGATTTTTCTCTTTATATAACTCCGTCCGTTTGCTTCCACACGCTCTGACATGTCAAAATTTTGATTCTACGCCCTAAAATTACCTAAAAAAACAACTTTTGGAATAGAAATTGGTTAATATTAGCTTTTTAGAGCTTTTTTAAAACGCGAAAAAAGGTGCGCTAATGTCCGGGTGCGCAAAAAAAAGGTCGCATTTGTCCCACTCCTGATTTAACACTAACTTAACAGTGAGGAAATGATAATATATAACAAAATTGGAAAAAAAAGATATCCAAGTCAGACAACAATTAAGCGAAACTAGTACTTTTCCCGTATTCGTTTCACGTTTTCTTACGTTTGAAACGACTTTTCGGTGGAAATTTGTAATCTTGAATGTATTAGGTTGGCCCATAAGTCTTTGCACTTTGTTCTACTAGCATTTATAAATGACAAATCTATTGATTGACTTACAACTGGCTCCATTAGAAAGGCCTACTATTTTTCTACAAAATAACGTTCGAATCTTACGAAAATCTTTTTTGTCTATGGTTTTTTTATTGAGGCGCAAAGTCGGGTAGTCAAAAAAGCCTCCAACCCGAAGACGCAATTTAGGCGTTTTGGTCCACAAAAACCTACTATAAATACTGTAATAGTACCCCAGCCCCCTCGTACAGTCGCGTAGTCGCAAGGGTTTTTTAGTATTTCATTTTTTTCAAAGCGCCCTTACTTTCAAAAAATACGTCTTTGGTATCAAAAAATAGCTGCAATTCAGGGCTATTTTTTTTATACCTCAGCGCGCATTGTAACATGAACCAGTGTCGAGAAAAACTCGTTCAAAGCTAGACTACGCAACACTCCGCACCGTCATTATGGGCGTTGGGGTACTATTACAGTATTTACGGTCTGTTGCTGTCAATAGATAAAAGATAGAGCGCTAAAAGTTAGGTATATAGCCGAATTTTCAGGAAAATCTGTTCAGCCGTTTTTTTGTAGAGCTTTTACATCGAATTTTATGAAAAAGAAGTTTTTGCACTCGAATTTACTTTCAAAAAACAGACCCAACTCGGCTTGAAATGATAGAAAAATGAATGCTAAACATCTTCTGTTTGAAGCAAACCATAGGGCAATTTGTGAAAAAGCCTTTTTCATTTATAAACACTAGTAAGAACAAAGTGTTATGGGGAATTGTTGTTGTGCTAAATAATAAATTGTTGTGTTAAATAATGGTAAATATTTAGAAAACTTATCCCACTCCATTCTTTTCATAAAAACCCGATTGAGCCACGCAATATCTTGGAGTTGATTTTACTAAAAGTGATTTTAAAACGGAAATTTAAATAAAAGAAAATTACGTTTCTCAATTCGAACCATCCATTCCTCTGTGCTACCATTAAGCTCCAAAGAAGTGGCTCTAAAAGCTTTGTAAGAATGATTTTAGATTGATTCTATTCAAATTGTGAATTCAATTTAATGGTAGCATTCAAGTCCATTTATTAGATATTGTTATCATTTTATTATTTGATTTTCGCATCAAAAAGGAATCATTTTAAAAGTTGATAAGTGTCAAAATCCTTACGCTAAATTGTTGATTTGCGATAAATTGATAAGCACTTTTGCTTGTCGATTCGATTGTCTTTGTATTCCAGAAGAACTTGGTAAGTCTTCAATTGTCTCGTAAAATCCCTCAGAAGGAGTTACAGAGGTGAAATTGGCCAATCGACTGTATCCCTCATCTTCACTCGGCGAGATCGGCTCATTAAAAACTTCCGGTCTTCTCCACCTCACTTCTTCTTCTTGTTCTTGTTCTTGTTCTTCTTCTCCTTCTTCTTCTCCTTCTCCTCTTTCCTTTTGTCCTCTTGTTATCTCATACTCGTTTTCACTCATTTTTCTCCATTTCCCCCGATCATCCAATGAGCTCTTAATCGGTGAAGCGAGTGATCTTTTCTCTTTCCAATTTGAATATTTCTCCTTATTCTTGAATGCTGAATTCCTGCTGCATCCTCTTTGTGGTAATCTCTCGATTCTTTTACACACTTCATAACCGTTATCCATTTCTTCACAGAATCTTGGTTCTTCTTTTATTCCCAGAGGCTTTTCCGTTGTATTTCCACCAGTTAAAATCGGTTCGATCGAATATTTCTCATAGATATCCCACTGAAATTTTTATATTATCTGATTGTTAAGAATTTTGAGCTTTTTTCTATTACTTACCTTAAGAAAAGAAAGTACCTTATACAGCTATTTGATGTTTTATTTTAAAGTTGATGTTTCTTTTCATTTTTTTAAAAATAAAAGCTGAAGTTTTTATAGTAACATATAAGTTTCCACCAAAAAATGTTGAAAAACTTGTTTCTTTCCAGAAAATTTGACATTTGACATTTGACTTTTGAAATATTCTTGAAATAAAGAATATGTCAAAAGGCGATCTTTTTTGTTGTGTCGAATGGATTGTTGAAAAAGGATTACAAATACAGGAAAAATTTGCATTTACATTGAATTGCACTAAACAAAACTTTCATCAATACAATCAGAATTAAATTATCAAAACAAAGGGGGGTGGGACAAATGCGACCTTTTTTTTGCGCACCTGGACATTTGCGCACCTTTTTTTTTGCTGAAAAAAGCTTTAGGCAAGGCCGTAGAGCTTCGAAAATATTTCCATATAAGGGAATCGTATGCGTAGATTCCGAATTTTGACAAATCAGACCTCGCTGACACGTAAATTTGGGCTAAAAGGCAAAAACTGTGGAAAAGCGTTAAGTTGCGTAGTTTTTGCCTTTTAGCCCAAATTTGACGTGTCAGTGAGGTCTGATTTTTCAAAATTCTGAATCTACGCATACGATTCCCTTCTATGAAAACATTTTCGTAGCTCTACGACCTTTCCTAAGGCCTTTTCCAGCAAAAAAAAAGATGCGCAAAAATGTCCAGGTGCGCAAAAAAAAGGTCGCATTTGTCCCACCCCCAAACAAAGAAAGTAATAAAGGCTTTAAAAAAAAATAAAAGAAAATGTTAAAGTTTGTTGATCGCTGTATAAAGTACCCGATTTTCTTAAGGTATTCTATTTTTGAAGGCTTTTTTTAAAGACTTTTTAAGGTTTATTAAAGTTTTAAGTAATAGAAAAAGTCAAATTTTGCTTACTTTTTTCATCCCAGTTGCTTTCTTGAATAGATTTGCTGGAGAAGGTCGTTGGTGACGATCGATCATTGTAGAACTTTAGTTTTTATGAGGTTTATGGTTTTACTTTAAAATTTTATAGCAATCTTATTGAACTTAAAGGAAAAGAAAACAACTAGAAAGAACCTAATTAAGGAAATCTTATCAAGAAAAAAAACCTATGAATGAGATCAGCAATTTGTAGATTTGCCTCAGCCAATGGAACAGTCAACTCTCCTTGTCCCAATGAACTCCGAATACCAAAACCATCCATTTTTCGGCGAATTGCAGAAAAAATTCGTCTAAATATAGTAATTAATGATTAGAAAGTCTTAAAAGATTTTGTTTATAAAAGATCTAAAAGATTAAAAGATTTTAAAAGATGAAAAGACCTTCAAAGCTCTTCAAAAGCTCTTCAAAAGCTCTTCAAAAGATCTTCAAAAGATTACCTCCTTTCAACAACTTCCCAAAGCACAATCCCCACTCCATAAACATCACTTGCTGTTGTGATCTGAAAAAAGCCTTTCATTCATCATTTACTATATCTACAATTGAGCTATTCGGATTCCCATATCCATTTGCTTCCGGACTCATGTAAGCAGCAAATCCCGCATTCGATGTATTCATCAAATCTTGCAAGAAATCCTTTCCACACCCAAAATCACACAACTTTATTTTAAAGTCTTGACTCAATAACACACTAAAAGACATAATTTTTTTTAATCCTAAGCAATTACTTTACTTGCTTGGTTTAACATTCTTGTGAACGATTGAAACGGTAACAAGATAGGAAAGAGCAGCAAAGAGTTCAGCAGTCCATTCGATGACGGTGGCTACAGAATAGGTGAAAGAGCTTTCATGAATTACTAAAATAATTAGAGAAAAAGAAAAGATATTAAAGCTACATTTATCAAGAGTGCCTCTAGAATGAAATTCAATTCTGACAATAGTCCGAAAGCCAAATGATGTCTCTTCAAAATAATAGCAAACATGGCGAACGATGTTCGGATGAGAAACATGCAATAGTGATTGAATCTCTTCTTCAAATGACTCTTTTTCTTTAATAATCATTAGCTTTTCTGCGAATTCTCTGAAAGACTCGAATTCTTTGTTTAAAAATAGAAACTCTAAAGATACCCTTCATTTGTTTTGAGTAATCGAGATGAACCAAAAGCACCAACTCCAAGAATTTCCATTTATTGAATGAAATCGATCTTGTCAACGCAAAATCAATAAGCAAAGCGTTTAGATGAGTCTATTTGTGAAAGGTGAGTGGAAAGAAAAGCTCACACCAAGAGGCACAGTATGGATTAAAGTGATAAGCTCTTTGTTTTTGAAAAGTCAGCGCTGACTGCAAAATTTGGCGCCATTTTTCGCCATCTAAGTGAATAAGCAAATATGAATGTTTAATAAAATGAAATAAGAGATTTGTGTGGGGATTGTTTTTTTTTTATATTCTGAGCTTTTTCAAAAATGGGTGAACGCAAAGGTTGGATTTTTTTGAAAGGTTGAAAATGCAAAATATCGTATATTGAATGCCCTTTTTAAAATAGCATCGTTGCTTAGGTCAAAATCACTACTACCCGCCCGACTTCGATTACAAGAAGCACAAGACGCTTAACGCTTGTTTTTGTTTTATATTCTAAAAAGAAATCAAAATTCAAGATTCATCTTATCATCAATAAATCTACATCCAGCTTCAACCAGCTTTCTACGCAACAATTTCTCAAATTCTTTACCAAAATTCTCAAATTATAAAGCTAAAAATCAGGTTTATCGTCTTGTTTTCTTTGTCTATTTGTGGGAAATGTAAAAATTAATCAAATCGGTTAAATCAGCTAAACGAGAGTGAATTCCATGCATTTTGGTAAAGAAGCCTTTACAAAATGCTTTAGTGATTGATACAAATGCTTACTGGCAAGCATTTTCCGAGAAAACATTTTGGCGTCGCGCACTAAAATGCACTAAATACCGTAATCCCCTTTTTTTACGAGAAATCTTTTTTTTTTTTCAACTTTAGCTAAATGAGAGCTGAACCGTCAGCAAACGTCTAAATTTCACTTTTCTGTTGTCTAACCCCAATCAAAACGGTTCGATTTGAGAGATCTGAGATTAAACTATTGCACAGAGCAATGCTAGTAGCATTATTTATCCAAATAGGCAATATTAATCACTGGCAAGCATTTTCCGAGAAAACATTTTGGGGTGGCGCACTAAAATGCACTAAATACCGTAGTCCGCCTTTTTGCGCAAAAATCATTTCTTTTTTTGCAACTTTAGCTCATTTTATTCTATTTTGGGGTAGGCTACTTTCCGCCATTTTATTTGCGCAACAGGGTCATTTGCGCAACTTTTTTTGACGTTTTTAAGGGACTGGCGCAAAAGCAGAGCGGTGCGCTTTCTAAAGCGTGGATGCGCTACCGTACCCCGTACAAAGAGAAAAATCAAAATTTACCTTTTCTAAAATAAGCTCTTTTGTTTTTAAAGGTATTCAGCTAATCAATTGAGTAATTTTTATTAGATTAAAGTTCTAAGTATACATTTCGAGTGTCCCCCCTGTGTCCTCCTTTTGCCCCCCTAAGTGTCCCCCTCAAAGTGAAAGACCCCCCCCCGGATACTCCACAAGTACCTGCAGTAGCACCTACCGTAAATACTGTAATAGTACCCCACCCCCATAATGACGGTGCGGAGTGTTGCGTAGTCTAGCTTTGAACCAGTGTCGAGAAAAACTCGTTCAAAGCTAGACTACGCAACGCTCCGCACCGTCATTATGGGGGTGGGGTACTATTACAGTATTTACGGCATGTTTCTTTTCCGGTTTCTGCTATTTTTTATATGTTGAATATTTTTGAAGATGGCGACCAACCCGGAGATCATCACATCATCATCAGCAGATGAATCGGACACTCCCGAAGCGCCATCAACTCGTGAAACGACGAAAGAAGCGGCTCAAAGGGACATCAAAGAAGATGGCGCGTACTACGGCATCAATCGTTGAAGAACGGAAGGAAGGTGACGCCCCGGACGCAACATCATCTGAAGTATTGAACAGCGATATCGAAACCGCGACTAAACCCCACAATGACATCACAGAAGAGCCAGAACATTACGTGCCATGTCGAACCGATTTTCGAAAGCCGTGTTGCCCTGCCGACGAAGAGACGGAGAATTCTGAGTTTGATGAACCAATTCCTGAGTCCTTCGAGAAACAGCTTTTACCAGCCGCTCAAACCGTTGAATATAAGCCACCGTCTTTCGCACCGAAACACAAAGAGGCGCATCACAGAGCTTGCTTCAACGTCGCTTTTGTTGATATGGCCTATCGAGAAGTGAGGGAGGTTGTATCAAATTTGACAAATCAAGGCACAGAAGAAAAGTGGATGATTCCGATTTTGGCTGAGAAACAAGTCATTCAGGCTCTCATGAGTGACAGACCAATTGAAGAGGGGAAAATGAAGAGGCTGCAGCGAACTTTTGTGCTTGAACGACCACCCGTTTTTTCAAAAAGGATCATGTTGGCAAAGGATGCGGGACCTGAGCTACTCAACATTTACGTTGATTTGAATCTCACTGAAGAAGAAAAGGAACACGAGATTAAACATCTTTCAAAACTCGTCTATATCAAGAAGAATATTAAAACTTTCCAAAAGGATGAAATCCCATTGAATGGTCAAGACAAAATTGCTTGCAATTGCAAAATGACTTCGGTGACTTCGGGGTGTTGCTGTGTGGGGAACATGAAATGCGCTTGTTGGGCCGAAAGCAACCCACGTCTGTCGGAAGATCAGGCAGGGGTGTTATTCGAAAATCTAGAATGGGACAACTCAATCATTTTCGTCTGTGGAAAGGAATGTGCGTGCAAAGGCTATTGCTCAAATCAATTCTCTCTATCCCGAACGAGATTTCGAGTAGAAGTGGCAAAAAAGAGTATTGAAATGGGTTTCGAAGTGGTTGCTGCTGAGCCGATTCCTCCCCGACAAGTCATCATGCCATTTCTTGGAGAAGTGATCAGCCAAGAGCAATTCAGAAGCCGTGCCCAAAGCGAACGTGACCCCACCGCTGAGTATTCATTTCTGTTGTATGCGGCTGTCGAAGAAGAAAAGAAAATGTTCGCGGATCGCAAGGTCTTGGCGCCTCAGCCAAATACGACTTTATACATTGATCCATCAAAGAAAGGAAATGTGGCACGTTTCCTGGCGCACTCTTGCCTTCCAAATGCGACACCGGCTCGAATCTTAAGAAACTCGAGAAGGATTGAAGACTCTGTGCTTGTGGTGGTGGCCACAGAGGTATTTTTAATGCAAAATTAAATTAAAACCTAGATAACTAGAGAGTAGGTAGTAGATTTTATGTAGCTATTGCCGTTTTTAATCCTAAATGTATTGTCTGTAAAAATTTTAATTAAACCCTTTTTCTTTGGCCGATTCCTGTTGGCTACTCGATCACGCTCAACTATGGAACCGACTACGTGAAACAGCGATTGGCAAAAGTGTGCCTATGCAACTCGCCCAACTGCATCGCCCCAACATCCAGCGAAAAAATGAAGCTGGAAGAGATTCTCTTCGAGTATAGCAAGAGACTCGAGAAATTGATGGTGGACGTGCGCAAAGATGTACACCAGAAGACATTGTTGAAAAGCGAAATCATCTGGCAAAATGGCGAGTTGTATAAATTGCGCAGAGCGTACGAGCAAAAGGTGGTGGAGAAGATGACTAAAAGGAAGCAATACGAGGGGTATCTATTTATTTATTTATATTTATTTCTAGCTGATAGGTTTCCAGCAATTTTAGATATCTTGATAAGTAAAATCTCGCATTTAATAAAGTATTAAATTCAGTCAAGATGTTAATTTAAAGAAGTAAATAACACTGGTGTTTTTAGCCGAATATACAGTACGGGCTTTCAACCGGGATTGGTGGGTACACGTGTGGGTGCACGACGTCAACAGCCCATTATTCGTCAACAGTCTTCGCGTTCAACCTCTCCGTCTTAAAGGTTTGTTGTTTTAAATTTGAGTAATACGCTTATTAGCAGAGTTAGATAGGACATTCAAATAGGAAATGTCTATATAATATTTTTTTAGCAACCACGTCGGAGGGTCAAACATTGTATTCATTCTCAAAATTTATTCTCACCCTATGCAGGTCCTTTATCATATAACTATAATTATGTTTTAACAGTACGATTGTTGTTTTGAGATCATTATGTTATTGTTATTGTTTAGTTGTTGTCTTTACACATATCATTCCTCCTAAGCGGGCATAAAATTTATTTAACACCATTAATTTCATGTGGTAAATAAAACTTCAATCAAAGGTTTAATAGTGGATACCCGCTTTTCGTCCGGCAATATTATATTAAAATGAAATAGATATAAGTAGGGACCGCGACCCCATTTTTAAAAAGCCCATTTCAGGCCGAAAATCGTCGGTTTTTCGACAAAACAACTATGAAATTCGAAATTTTTGACCAAAATTGCCCCTATAAGTAAAAAATAAAGAGTTTTATTGGGATTGAAAAACGTCCCCCGTACACTGCCTCACAATAGCGGAAAAGCCAAAAAGCGTCTAAAGGGGGGAGGGGGTTACCTATTGCGGCTTCTAAAACATCGGCTTTGCAACGGATTGAGTTCATTTATATGTCAAAAGAAAGCCAAATGTTTACAGATGAAATATCTACAAAAAGTTTGCAAAAATACTAACGTTGAGCCAAGTTATACATTTTTTTGAAAAAAAGCCTCCAAGTGTGCCAGCCGTCATTTTTTCTTACGTGCGACAGGAAAGGTACGCACAGTGGGGATTTCCGGCGGCTGAAAGTTACGGAGTCGGCTCACAAAAAAGTGCATAACTTCGTTCAAACTCGATATTTTTACATTCCCTTTGAAGGTAAATGATCTAGAAACATTTGCCTACATGATTATAGCAATCGTTTAAAGTCAAATTTACGGTAGGTTTCGAAAGTTACAACGTTTTAGAAAAAATCTTTATAGCTTTGTATCCAAAAAAAACCCTGGACATAAACTGTAAAAGTACAAAAGTACAATTTTCATTTGCTTTCTCATGGGAATTGGTGTAATCGGCTGAATGCAACTAGCGAACAATCTCCTTTCTCATTTCATTCATTTCCAAGAAAAAAACATCCACAATATTCACTTTCTCTTATTCCTTATTTTCCGAGAATGAAAAGCCGTCATGTG